TTGCTGTTTCAACTGCGTCCGAGATGTCGGTGTTAACGTTTTAAAAGTCGGTCTACAAGATCGAAAAACAAGAAAGATGATTAAAACGACTAATTGATTGAGATGATATTCAAAACAGTCAAAATCTCTAAAACTGGTAAGTTTTTTTATGGAATAAATCGATTCGAAGGCTTCTAATGTTGCACTTCATATAGCAACAACAATTAATGATCGATACAATGTTTCAATGATCATCAAATCAACGTCTCAGCATCACTCACACTTCTTCATTCTGCACTTCCACTCTTTTGGATGTGTGCAAAAAGAAACCGAACTTATCCGAACACAATTGTCATTAACCGAGATTAAAATCTGAGAAAATCGAGAATGAAAAGAAAAACTTTCCGCGTCTTGCTGATTAATTATTCCTTAAAGCTGAGAGACGAAGAATCAGCTGGTGAATATTTTCACTCTGAATGGGAATTTTATCTTCACTTACATTTTCGGTGGGAGTTCGGCAACATTGGGACAATTAACGACGTTTGAAGTTGCTTCGACAGCTTTCTCGATGCTTTCGTCCATTAAGCTTGGATCCATTTCCAGAATCATTTTAAGATCTTCATCAATTCCAACACTCACTTTGATTTGTTTTAAATGCTTTTGACTTTTACTTCGGCTGACTTGTGGTGCAGAAGGTGGATAATTTTCAGAATTTTGTTGCAGCATTGACTGATCGTTATTAGGACACGAAGGCGAAGCTTCACAATCGTCTTTGTTGTTGATTTCTTCATTCATGCAACTCATCAGTGATGGACAACTGTCTTCATAGAAGAAAATGCTGTCGGAATTGACTTCAGCACCCGAATTGAAGCCACTGTCTCCATAGTTCGCTTGCGTTTCTGAGTCAGATTTCGACATGTTCAAATATTGTATCGAACTGATGACATCACAAAAATGATCTTCATTTTGCATTTCTCTTAAAAATATTTTTCTCTTTTTAAAACACAAAAAATTTCCTTCTTCAAATCTTCGTCAATGATGTCACCAATAAACCTTCATAGTACTTAGTTGACGAGTTGACACTTAATAGTCGGTGCAGAGTGATAATGAAACACAATTAAATCAACAATGAATTCCTGAGTCGACGATATGCGATCGATGTTTTCTTCTCAGTTTCTTCTATCAACACATGAGTCTTGCTAATTGACTCGAATCAAAACAAACATTAATTCACACATCGCACAAGTTTGTTGCCGAGAGCGACTTTTCTTCAATGACGTAAAATGACGCAAAACTTTCAGCCGCCAATAACTGCGCCGAAATTTCTTCAAATTATTTCACAAAATTCTCTTCAATCACTTTCACTTCTATGATAGAATCTTTTTCTCTTCAATTTTATTATTAAGTATTTAATGTTTGACACGAAGGGAAGAATGAGTTCCACAATATTTTTGACTTTGAGCTTGAGGGAGAAAAAAGAATATTCAGGGTCAAAGAAAATCTTCGGATTGGTGTCTGCTCAGTCAGCGATTCGCGAAAAAACTGAAAACTAAAAATAATTTAACCAAACGTCGACAACAACACAGCTAAAAGATGATCATCATCAAAAGCAGACATCGAAGTTTATTTATTTTTCCAATTCAAACACGACACAATTCAACTAACACACACTCATTAAAGCTTCTTGCCGATGCCGACGAACAACGCGAAATTTTATCTTTTTTCTTTAGTGATAGAAAATTTTATTCATATTTTCTTGTTCAAGAAATACGCGTATTTAGGCTGATCTTCGACTCAAAAATAAAAGCGAACATTCAGTTTTTGTACTTATAAAATAAGTTCAAATATCGCAAAAATAGATGAAGTCGTGTAGAGCATTTGAGTTGTAGGTCTGCTTGTAAAGCATGATAAGTGACAAGTAGTTTTGTTGATTGTTTCATTTGTCAATTACATTCCATATTAATATTAATAAACCATTATTGTACTTATACGACTTTCAATTGGTTGTTTTTTTTACTACTAAAAACTTGCACAAAACAGAAAGATTGGAACAATCTCATCACGTTTGATTTCTGTTTCTTCTATCAATTAATTAATGATACGCTTAAATATGTAGATTATTGAGCTGGCATTTTCTTCAAATCAACTTTTTTGTTTCTATATTTAAAGTTGTCTATTCCTACATTGTATTTTCAATAACAGGGTTAAAATCATAATTATTGGTTGCTTTTAGCATTTTTTATTTGCATCAAATCGAAAAAAAGTTTGAGTGGCAATTTCCCATCATGCATCTCAATCGTGACAATCTTGAAGGTCAACATAAAGGAATTGTTATCTGTCGATAACGTGAATGACTGATAATGGCTCATGAAATGATATCAGTAAATTCAATTCCAGATAAATGTTGTATTAGCAATATTTTTAAATACGTGAATTTAATTAAAATCTTATTGAGATAAATCTAAAGGAACTAAAACTTTAAAAGCTTATTCAAGAGTGATTTTTTCTATAACACTTGACATTTGTTATTATTTAAGCTATTCAAATTTTCTTCTTATCATCTGCACATTCAATCAACTTACTTGGGAACTTCTACTTTAACTTCATTCCTTGATTTTGGCTCATAAAACTTGTCAGGATTCAACGGAATCGGCATGTCAAATAAGTCAAGTGAAATGTCATTAAAAATATTGGAGCAGCCAAGCTGAAGATCAAGAAAATCTTTACACCATTCAGGCTCATCCATTTTAAATTTCTTAATCAAGTTGAAAAACTTTTTATTCTTCTGAATACAACGGTGTGATACTCGTGACTAACGTGGAAGGTGTTGATATTCTTACAAATAATTTTGCTACATTTTCTTGACATTTTGTTATCAATAAACTTCACAAGAAAGACGCTCTAATCATACAAAGGAAAAAGAAGAAGTAAAAGAAAAAAATTAACACAATTCTTAGATATGCCAATGACAAAGAAAAATTCTTTAATGAACCAAATATGGAAATAGAATTTCAATTTTGGGGCTCGTCTATTACGATATCGAAAATATGCAACTAATTATAAACAGACCATCTTGAGTTGAAAATAGAAATTTCTTAAGCTTTTGTATATTTGGTCAGTTGATTAAAATAAACTAAAAATAAATCGAAAGTGATCGACGTCATGAATGGAATCCAAACGTAAGCAAATTTCAAGCATTCCTTCTCATCAAGTGATCGCTCGGTGGGATATAAGAATGTAGGGTTGAAATTAAAACTGGTAAAATCTTGAATTTCTCAATGAAAAGAGATGAAGCCAGTTTTAAAACAAAATATTTTGAAAAAAATTGCCTAAATTACATGAAGGAATTTCGCAAAAATATTTCAAATTCATTCATTGATGAAAGAAAGGTTTTAAAACTTTGAATAAACAGAATATTTTTATACTTTTATTCCTGTTAAGTTCAAAATATGCGGATGTAAAATGTATAAAAATATATTTCTTGTTCAAGCACTTCGTGGAATCAATTCAAACCCAAAAGGAACGAAAAGTTCCAGTGTAAGGTAAATATGTAGATATTTATTTCATATCAAAGATAGTGAAAGCATCAAATAAAATTTATAATTGAAATTTTTAAGTAGCCTGTGACAATGTCAGCTCCAAGCTTGTTTATCGTTTTGTGATTGTTGTAAATAAAAAAAAAATCACTCGATACTGTTGTTGTTTGTGATAACAAATCAATTTATAGCACTTATAAATTAGCTATATACTCAATACATGTCATTTTAAAAGCTTGTGAATACCTTTAAGTAAATGCAGATTAAACCAAACTTTGTTTTTATTCACTTCATTAAAGTTTTCTTCTTTGATTGATCTTTAAAAATGATAAATAAAAATCAAGCAAATATCAATTGAAGTTCTTCATTTGTTGCCAATCAAAAACCAGCATCACACGAAAAAAAATCATTCGGGATAAACAATGAATCACTGAAGCTGTTTACGAGCGGAATATTTCGCCGATCAAAAAAACTATTAAACCCGACCTAACCGGCTCTTCAAAAACAAGCAAAAAGAAAACAACAAGTTGAAACTGCTTAAAAGCAAACTGAGTAAATAAGTTGGGGATCCCAAATAATTCCCTAACGTGGCCCGATTGCATAATTCAATTTTTTTTCTCAAACTATATCAAAGAATTATGACTCTTCATAATTCTAGTAAATTAGGAGGTTCAATATCACAAAAATTGTATTTTGATAACTTGAGAAAAAAATGAATAAAATTTTCTATCACTAAAGAAAAAAGATAAAATTTCGCGTTGTTCGTCGGCATCGGCAAGAAGCTTTAATGAGTGTGTGTTAGTTGAATTGTGTCGTGTTTGAATTGGAAAAATAAATAAACTTCGATGTCTGCTTTTGATGATGATCATCTTTTAGCTGTGTTGTTGTCGACGTTTGGTTAAATTATTTTTAGTTTTCAGTTTTTTCGCGAATCGCTGACTGAGCAGACACCAATCCGAAGATTTTCTTTGACCCTGAATATTCTTTTTTCTCCCTCAAGCTCAAAGTCAAAAATATTGTGGAACTCATTCTTCCCTTCGTGTCAAACATTAAATACTTAATAATAAAATTGAAGAGAAAAAGATTCTATCATAGAAGTGAAAGTGATTGAAGAGAGTTTTGTGAAATAATTTGAAGAAATTTCGGCGCAGTTATTGGCGGCTGAAAGTTTTGCGTCATTTTACGTCATTGAAGAAAAGTCGCTCTCGGCAACAAACTTGTGCGATGTGTGAATTAATGTTTGTTTTGATTCGAGTCAATTAGCAAGACTCATGTGTTGATAGAAGAAACTGAGAAGAAAACATCAATCGCATATCGTCGACTCAGGAATTCATTGTTGATTTAATTGTGTTTCATTATCACTCTGCACCGACTATTAAGTGTCAACTCGTCAACTAAGTACTATGAAGGTTTATTGGTGACATCATTGACGAAGATTTGAAGAAGGAAATTTTTTGTGTTTTAAAAAGAGAAAAATATTTTTAAGAGAAATGCAAAATGAAGATCATTTTTGTGATGTCATCAGTTCGATACAATATTTGAACATGTCGAAATCTGACTCAGAAACGCAAGCGAACTATGGAGACAGTGGCTTCAATTCGGGTGCTGAAGTCAATTCCGACAGCATTTTCTTCTATGAAGACAGTTGTCCATCACTGATGAGTTGCATGAATGAAGAAATCAACAACAAAGACGATTGTGAAGCTTCGCCTTCGTGTCCTAATAACGATCAGTCAATGCTGCAACAAAATTCTGAAAATTATCCACCTTCTGCACCACAAATCAGCCGAAGTAAAAGTCAAAAGCATTTAAAACAAATCAAAGTGAGTGTTGGAATTGATGAAGATCTTAAAATGATTCTGGAAATGGATCCAAGCTTAATGGACGAAAGCATCGAGAAAGCTGTCGAAGCAACTTCAAACGTCGTTGATTGTCCCAAAGTTGCCGGACTCCCACCGAAAATGTAAGTGAAGATAAAATTCCCATTCAGAGTGAAAATATTCACCAGCTGATTCTTCGTCTCTCAGCTTTAAGGAATAATTAATCAGCAAGATGCGGAAAGTTTTTCTTTTCATTCTCGATTATCTCAGATTTTAATCTCGGTTAATGACAATTGTGTTCGGATAAGTTCGGTTTCTTTTTGCACACATCCAAAAGAGTGGAAGTGCAGAATGAAGAAGTGTGAGTGATGCTGAGACGTTGATTTGATGATCATTGAAACATTGTATCGATCATTAATTGTTGTTGCTATATGAAGTGCAACATTAGAAGCCTTCGAATCGATTTATTCCATAAAAAAACTTACCAGTTTTAGAGATTTTGACTGTTTTGAATATCATCTCAATCAATTAGTCGTTTTAATCATCTTTCTTGTTTTTCGATCTTGTAGACCGACTTTTAAAACGTTAACACCGACATCTCGGACTCAGTTGAAACAGCAACTTCAACGACAACAGTTGTTAGAGGAAGCAGAACGAAAAGAAGTTGAGAAGAAAACTTTACAGCAGCAACATCAGGAAAACAAAGTAAAGGACGAAGAATCGAAAGTTCCATTGAAAAGCATTGGTGTCGATGTTCCTCCTCAAATTTTACAAGTTCGAACAAAACTCTCAAACCCAACACGTTATCACGTCATTCAGAAACAGAAAAGTCAAGTGAAACAATTTCTTAGTGAATCCTTCAAATCCACTGACTCGTTGCATAACCTTCTGCCTTATTCAACAACTCAAAACACTACAATGCCACCCTCAACATCGTCACAGTCACAACCAGCAACGACGTGCACTTCTCCAATGCAGAAAAGCGACACAAACTTCAGATTACTGCATCACATTAACAACCTGATTGATCGTTCAACTACAAGTCACAGTGCTAACGATGCCAATGGACATCACTTTCAACATAATTCTGATTACTCTTCAGCACCTTTAGGACCAACTTCCAATAATAGTTTACCGTTCCTGTTTCAACAAAGATTCGGAAATATCATAGCAAGTCCATCTGAAATCGCTGCATCAGCGATGTCTCCAACTTTAAGTTCTGTCGCGACAAGTGTCACCAGCACTTCAGAGGTAGGCATTTTTATATTCTCTATTTAGATATCTTTATTTGGTATTTTTAAATGTGTCAAATAATTTGATTTGATAACTTTACTTACTGATGGAATTCAGAAGTTCTGAGTGGAGTGAACAATGAATTTTTGTCTGTCTGAAAACGATAAAAAATGCGCCAATGCGATCTAAAACACTTTATAAAATAATAACAAGATAAGGAATGAATAAAAACAGATTGCGGAATGTTTCCTGGTAAACAAAACAAGTCGCAGGAAAATGAAATTGCGTGATAAACTGTAGAAGTTCACCTGAAATTAATTCACTCGTAATAAATGTTTAAAATACTGATAAGTTGTGAGAATTTAAGACACTGAGATAAGCTTGTCGGGGAATTTTGAAGACGATCAAGTTAACATGACTGAACTTTTTTCAATTGATTAATAAATTGTTTTCAATTAAAACTTGTTAAAAATGCATCAGAATTTAAAAGAAAATTATTCAAGACGAAAAAGATTTCGCAATTTATAAATGTTGCGTGAGAGATTTATTTAATAATTTGCTTTCATGCTACATATGCGAAGCGCGATCGTTTTTAAAATATGTATTACATGCTTCGATACATAAAAATGTTTTGTGCATTTTAATTTCACTCTTGTCATCCTTGAAACGTCTTTTAATTTTTACCCGCGCTTATCTTGTTTTATGTCATTAAATGACTCCAATTAGTTGAATTGGTAATTTTGTATGTAGACTCGAAAAGTTTCTCTATCCTTGAAAGAAAATCAGGAATTGCTGTTGTGATATTATGTTTTTTTGGAAGCTCTGATTATTAATTATAAGTTTGAAGTTATCAAAACATTTTTAAATACATGATATGACGGGTCTTTTATTGTCAGCCTTCATCACTTTTTTAACAAACATCTATAGTGTCAACGTTATATAAAACAGAAATAGACTGTAAATTTATATAAATTTACAAAATAGAAGGAAAATATTGCATTGATTGCATTATCATTCCTCCGATGCGTGCAAATACGGTCTACAAGCGATTTAATCAAAATCTTTGTTTTCCTTAAGGAATTAATTTTAATATATTATCATGTTTGAAAATTTGAATATGATTTGTAAACATGAAACTTAAAAATGTCATCGATAGATTTTATAACATCATTATTATAATTTTCTGCATAAAGCCGCTTCTTCAAATAAACATTTAATTCGTCGAATTTTTAGTTCATTCTTCGGAAACTTTAGGAAGAAGCTGAACGATCATTGTTTCAATGTTTCAATGTTTTTGTTTACTTAATAACAATAAAAACGAAGCATTGAAACATCAAAGTTTGCTGTTGTTGACAAAGTTATTATAAAAAATCAGTCTCATGTTAGTAACTGAGCCGTAAACAAGTGGAGAACAGACAGTACATAAATATAACGCGATAAAAAAATAAAACAGTTTGTTATCTATCTACATTCACTTAAATTGTGGAAAAATTATTAAAAAAATATTACTGTGAGACTCCAATAAAAAAAAAAGTTTACCATTAAAAAGAAGAAAATTAAAAATCACATCAACTTAGCAATAGACCTTAAAAGTGCCTTTAGTAATTTGAATGAATTAATAATATTAGATAAGTGCATCATGAAATCAAAAATAAATAAAAGTAGTCGACGGTTAAAGGTATAAAAATTGCATGTGACCAAAGATAATCAATTGTTAGTTCCTCGGTGATTTCAAATCTCATTACTGTTTGAAATTGGCCATAAAACTTTTAAATTTATATGAATTGCACAGCTCGTGCAGTAACAGCTCATTCCATTCATTGTTTGTTTTGATGTCATTTTTGCATTTTCAATGCAATGTCGGTTATCTAAATGAACGTCATGCAACTTTCTCATGGAAATCCGCAAATGCTTTGCCGCAACATGATTGATTGTGTGAAAAAATTATATTGCAGTTGGTTCCATTGATCGGAAATGACAGAAACAGTTGTCATTCTTAACACAGATTAAATGCGGTTCATTACGACATTGAATCTCTTTTTTTATGACTATTCATGCTGGTCAGTTTTCAAGGGCTCGCAGTAATATTTATGTTGGTTCATTCAAAAAAAAATTCTGTCTAAATCAGATATGAAAAGTGATTGAGTAGTCAAATGGGGGCAATTAATTTAAAAAGTTTTTATCCCATTGATAAATGCCATTGACCATCAATAATCATTTAAATATTTTTTATTTCTATATTTTTTATATTCACGCAAGTTTTATTAGCGATACACGTTCACTTTATTTGTGATTTTAGATTTGAGATTACTCTCGACGAGTTTGCATAATTTTAATTCCACGAATGTGACTGAAATCCATAAATGCTGTAAATCACAAAATCGCAATGTAAATAAATAAAAATAATAAAATCGTTCGAAGAAAATTGAAAGCGTAAATGCGTTCAATGTTAACGATTCGAGACATTACATCGAGTACGATACAAAAATCAATGTACAGTGACTTTATAACGAATAAATAATGTAATCAAACGTTCTACGCAAAAACAAACTTAGTGCACTTGCATTCTCAAACATAAATAAAATGAGTTCAATGTCAGATTCACCAAATCCGTGCTGTTAAGTTTTTAAGTATGACGTGATCGATGTGTGAGAGAAAAATTTTTTGTGACAACTTTTGTTGGAGTTCAACATTCACTGAAGAATTCAGAAATAATTTGCTTTGTTTTGATTTTTTGTCAGCGATTTTATCAACTGTTTAATTCAACTGTTCCGATGACTCAAAGTTCTCATGTTCCACAACTAGATACAAGAGACATTTGATCCTTTAGGCATGTCATGAGTGGACGTTAAATAAACTTTCCTTTATTTCAATTTTGTGATTAGGCTGAAGAATACATAGACGAACTTCTCAACGGAGATTCCTATGCTGATACTTTGAAGTATGATGCCAATTCAATGAACGATATCAAGATCAAGGAAGAACCTCAAGTATTCTCCGAGGCTGAAGCGAGAGATCGTCAGAAGAAAGACAATCACAATATGAGTAAGTCGATAAATGAAACTTCAAATGATTTTTCATTCACTTCAACTTTTCATTTCATTTAACAAAAGTCGAGAGAAGACGTCGCTTTAATATCAACGATCGAATTAAGGAGCTTGGGACGTTACTTCCGAAGAACAACGAGACATTCTATGAGCTTGTACGTGATGTCCGTCCCAACAAAGGTACGATACTCAAATCGTCGGTTGACTACATCAAAGTACTGAAGCACGAAATCAACAGACTGAGAAAAGCAGAACTGAAACAGAACGAAATGGAAGCTCAGAACAAGAGGCTTATTATGAGAATTCAAGTGAGTGATGATGACAAGAAGTTCAATAAAAGACTAACAATCGATTATCTTTACAGGAGCTTGAGATGCAAGCACNTGGACGAAAGCATCGAGAAAGCTGTCGAAGCAACTTCAAACGTCGTTGATTGTCCCAAAGTTGCCGGACTCCCACCGAAAATGTAAGTGAAGATAAAATTCCCATTCAGAGTGAAAATATTCACCAGCTGATTCTTCGTCTCTCAGCTTTAAGGAATAATTAATCAGTAAGACGCGGAAAGTTTTTCTTTTCATTCTCGATTATCTCAGATTTTAATCTCGGTTAATGACAATTGTGTTCGGATAAGTTCGGTTTCTTTTTGCACACATCCAAAAGAGTGGAAGTGCAGAATGAAGAAGTGTGAGTGATGCTGAGACGTTGATTTGATGATCATTGAAACATTGTATCGATCATTAATTGTTGTTGCTATATGAAGTGCAACATTAGAAGCCTTCGAATCGATTTATTCCATAAAAAAACTTACCAGTTTTAGAGATTTTGACTGTTTTGAATATCATCTCAATCAATTAGTCGTTTTAATCATCTTTCTTGTTTTTCGATCTTGTAGACCGACTTTTAAAACGTTAACACCGACATCTCGGACGCAGTTGAAACAGCAACTTCAACGACAACAGTTGTTAGAGGAAGCAGAACGAAAAGAAGTTGAAAAGAAAGCTTTACAGCAGCAACATCAGGAAAACAAAGTAAAGGACGAAGAATCGAAAGTTCCATTGAAAAGCATTGGTGTCGATGTTCCTCCTCAAATTTTACAAGTTCGAACAAAACTCTCAAACCCAACACGTTATCACGTCATTCAGAAACAGAAAAGTCAAGTGAAACAATTTCTTAGTGAATCCTTCAAATCCACTGACTCGTTGCATAACCTTCTGCCTTATTCAACAACTCAAAACACTACAATGCCACCCTCAACATCGTCACAGTCACAACCAGCAACGACGTGCACTTCTCCAATGCAGAAAAGTGACACAAACTTCAGATTACTGCATCACATCAACAACCGGATTGATCGTTCAACTACAAGTCACAGTGCTAACGATGCCAATGGACATCACTTTCAACATAACTCTGATTACTCTTCAGCACCTTTAGGACCAACTTCCAATAATAGTTTACCGTTCCTGTTTCAACAAAGATTCGGAAATATCATAGCAAGTCCATCTGAAATCGCTGCATCAGCGATGTCTCCAACTTTAAGTTCTGTCGCGACAAGTGTCACCAGCGTTTCGGAGGTAAGCAAAAACGATAATCATTCTTCTTGTTGTGTTGTTTTAAAATTGAGAATGATAACAATATCTTAACTTTTCTTTGACGTCGTCAGTCGTCACTGATAAGAAAAAATTCTGACTCTTCGAACACATTTGTGTCGGGTTGTGAATGAAAATTTTATTTGTTTAAAACAAAAGTGACGATAAAAATACCGTGATAAGAAATGAAAACAAAGTTTGTAATTAATTTTAATGGGGCGTCAAGTAATGAACAGACGTGATCGTGAATTTTTTAAACAGAAATCTTGAGTTATTTTATGTTACAAATATTTTCTTTCAAATGTAGATATGAAAGATGATAAAAAGAAGTCAGGTTTATTGCTTCAAGTATTTGCTTTATTAATTTCATAAGTTTGATTAAAATTTAGGTTGTTTAACCCCTTTTTTAATAATCGCTTAAAAAATTTTATTTGATTCAAGCACTACATATAATAAATCTATCAACTGAAGTTGTTCAGAAATATGTTTGAGAAATATCTACAAGACGATTTCATCGCTGCTTATCTTTTACAGCTCTTGAACTTTCATGTTGTGTTTATCAGAAATGATGATTTGAGTTTATTTTACAACGTGAATTGCATTGTTGTTTCAAACTAATTATTCAGGGAATTTTGTAGTGCATTTAAAAACCATTTTATTATAGATTACCTTGTTAATGGCAAAATCGTTTAAATATATCCCGCATTAATATGAAAATACTCCATGAGATTTTTATTAGAAAATAGATGTTAAAACCTTCTTTTCTACTTAACTATTATTACCTTAATTTAATGTTGATTTCCTTGATAATCCAAAGATATCTAAAGTCAATAACAATGGAATTTTACTGCGCTGACATTTTTAATTCGGAATATTCATAAAATTGGCATGGGAACTTCCTCGTCATTTTTTAGACTTAAAAAAGTTTGGTAATGAAAATATAATCAAGTTTGATGTTCATAAATACCCATAAATGGCACTTTGAAATAATATTTATGATAAACACATTAATTAGCATAAAACATCAATTATGCAGAAGCACATCTTTGATTTTGTCACAAAAGCATCAGGGGATCCCCGAAAACGCGGAGCATCTCTGCACTTCGACAACTTTTATTTTTTATTTACGATCTTGTTTGTTTTTGACGGTCGATGGTAAAAAACATTGAAACATTGAAACAATGAAACATTGAATGATTGTTTTTATGAAACATTGAGCAACAATGAACTTTGACTAAACATTGAGTTCGGTAACGATAATCGTACATGAAATTAGATGATCAGTATTAAATAAACCGGATTCGTAATAACAACAAGTCTCTATCAATAATTTTAATAAGAAAAAAAAGTGAATTACTGCGAAAAAGTCAACATCAAGCAATTAAAAAAACAAAGTGTACGAACATAAACTGTTGAATTTCACGATAAATTGATTTCATCAATGATATTTAAATATCTTAATAATAATTCAATAAAGCAAGTTGTGTGATTGAAAAACAGAAACTGGGATTTGAAGAAGAACAAAAAACATATAGGAGGACAACATCAAAATAAATGAAATCGAAAGTTAAAAAAAATCAGCGACTATCACAGGTATTCCGGAAAATCTCAAAAGAAAATTACATTAACATTTGATCATAAACATTATCAACGACAGAAATTGACGGGATAAAAATGAATTTTCCAGTAAATTACTTTACAACCTTCGCGTGTGTTTTTGTGGTTTAATATTTTTAATTTAATTTAACGATTTTTTCGTCATTTTTATGATGACAACGTTTTAGTCATGAATCACTAAATGAGATACTAAAAAGCAAAAATGTAAAATTGAAATTAGCAACTTTGTTTCTCCTGTCAATCACAACTGATAAAGTGCTTCGGCAGAATAGTTTTTCACCTGTGAACGGCGAATATTAATAAAACGTGGAAAGATAATATAAACAAATAGATATCTTAAATTCTTGACCGCAAAACCTTAGATAAATTTTCTATTGTGTAGTTTTTCCTTTATTCTTTTCGGTTCTTTTCATTCTATTAATTATTTTCGTTCAATTTGGCACGATCGATGGTCAATTGATCTCAAAGGTTATTTGAAATTATGTTTGGGTCATTCAGAACACGATTTCTAATTTTCCTTCTTCTTGTTATTTGTTTATTTATTTGATTATCTTACTCAAATCAATACAGTGCTAAAAACTTTCATCCCTTAAATGTCACGGACCACTCCAATTGTTAATAATCAATGACTTCTATTAATATTCATGATACGCTCAATTGCGATACTTTGCAAGCAAGAATAATTTTAATTCCACGAATGTGACTGAAATCCATAAATGCTGTAAATGACAAAATCGCAATGTAAATAAATAAAAATAATAAAATCGTTCGAAGAAAATTGAAAGCGTAAATGCGTTCAATGTTAACGATTCGAGACATTACATCGAGTACGATACAAAAATCAATGTACAGTGACTTTATAACGAATAAATAATGTAATCAAACGTTCTACGCAAAAACAAACTTAGTGCACTTGCATTCTCAAACATAAATAAAATGAGTTCAATGTCAGATTCACCAAATCCGTGCTGTTAAGTTTTTAAGTATGACGTGATCGATGTGTGAGAGAAATTTTTTGTGACAACTTTTGTCGGAGTTCAACATTCACTGGAGAATTCAAAAATAATTTGCTTTGTTTTGATTTTTTGTCAGCGATTTTATCAACTGTTTAATTCAACTGTTCCGATGACTCAAAGTTCTCATGTTCCACAACTAGATACAAGAGACATTTGATCCTTTAGGCATGTCATGAGTGGACGTTAAATAAACTTTCCTTTATTTCAATTTTGTGATTAGGCTGAAGAATACATAGACGAACTTCTCAACGGAGATTCCTATGCTGATACTTTGAAGTATGATGCCAATTCAATGAACGATATCAAGATCAAGGAAGAACCTCAAGTATTCTCCGAGGCTGAAGCGAGAGATCGTCAGAAGAAAGACAATCACAATATGAGTAAGTCGATAAATGAAACTTCAAATGATTTTTCATTCACTTCAACTTTTCATTTCATTTAACAAAAGTCGAGAGAAGACGTCGCTTTAATATCAACGATCGAATTAAGGAGCTTGGGACGTTACTTCCGAAGAACAACGAGACATTCTATGAGCTTGTACGTGATGTCCGTCCCAACAAAGGTACGATACTCAAATCGTCGGTTGACTACATCAAAGTACTGAAGCACGAAATCAACAGACTGAGAAAAGCAGAACTGAAACAGAACGAAATGGAAGCTCAGAACAAGAGGCTTATTATGAGAATTCAAGTGAGTGATGATGACAAGAAGTTCAATAAAAGACTAACAATCGATTATCTTTACAGGAGCTTGAGATGCAAGCACATAAAGATGTTATTCAGCAATCCCAACAACATGAAGGAAGTTGGCAATCTTATGGATCATCTGGAGCTTCATCGTCACAACACCAAACTCAATTTTCCACCGATATGAATAAGGTGAGTTCTTATCACAAAGTGAAAGTTTCTTTACTTACTCTCACTTACTTAATTCATTTGATCAGCAAATGCCGGACGTGATAAGTGACGTTCAAACGACAAACTTAAGCTTAGTCGAAGACTTCATGGAACAAGAAACAGGGGAAGATCCATTGATGGCTCATCTGAATAACAACGTTGAACTTCACAACAGAAATTTACTTAATCTTGACCATCTAAGTCATGATCCGATGCTTTCAGCAGCTTCGTTATCATCTCATCATCATCACCAGCAACATTCAACAGTCGACATGTCAGCAATTGATCCAATGATCGGCAACTATGGTCTCATATCGATTCATCACAACATGAATAGCGGCAATGGAAGCGTCAATTCGATGCTCCATTCAGATTCAGACTCCCTCATCAGTGACATTGATATGATTGCATGACACATGACACGATGCATCAACGTTCAAAAGTTAATAATTTGATAAAATCCTTTTGGATTGAGCAAACATGCAACTTGCAACTTAAATTTGTATTTCTAGTTCAAAAAAACTAATTTGTCATTCAAGTTAAATAGATTTTAATTACGTTGGAAGATGAGTAGCTTAATGTTGTTGTTGTAATTTTAAGTATTATTTGATGATATTTTATTTTTAAAAGAACAAACTGAATGATAGTGAAATTATAAAATTTACGTTTTAATAAAGTTTACTTGAAATTCTTGAATTTTTATGTCTTTTGTTGTTTGTTTAAAAACATAAATCTAGTACGTCAAATCATTCAAAGAAGCTTTCAAAGCTCACAAAATTTTGCCACAGAAACTTTCGGAAAAGTTAACAAACACTCTTTCAGATTCTCGCGAGTAAATGGAACAAGTAAAAGTATAGAAACAATTTTTTGCTTCTCTGAAAATGTTAATTCGATGCTAATATCTCACCAATCTTCTCATTTATTTCTTAGTGGAATTAAGAACGCATTTAACCAGCAACAAAGAAAATAAAAATTATCTGCGTTTTGAAATTGGAAAAGAAATTATTGTGTGGTTAAACGTGCTTTCGCTCACCGGTTACAATAAAGTCTTGAATAAAGTCCATGAGACGTTGTCAACATGTTATTTGAGATATGTATTTGACAAAAGACTTTTTTAATAACTGACAAGAAACCATGAACATTTACAAACATTCCAAACCTTTGTTTGACCTCATGTAATTTCAATTCCATTCTTCAAGTAGCATACAAATGGCTTTGAAGCACGTAAACATCAAATTTTATAAGCAAAAAGCCAAATTCATGAACGAAATATCCCAAAAAAAAACGCTACTAGTAATTTTAATAATCAACCAGTGTCCCACTAAATTATTCCAATCACATCACTTTCTACTTCTTTTTGTGGTTTATTTTTATTTTTTAATTTGAATCAAGAGTCTCGAGAATGGGTGTTAGAAAAACATAGCGTTCGGTTCCGTTGTTGATGACAAATCATGACCCAAAGGATTGACTCGCTCATTCCATTGTTTGAAATCATAAAAGAAAAATTCACAATGGATTAGTTTCAACATATTTACAAACTCGTAGATGTTTTATTTAGTCAATAAATATTGAATTTTTCTTGTACGACTGATCAGTGAACTCTCTCGCTCTCTTCACTAACACTAGAGGATTACGAGCCAAATTTCCATTTTCTCAATGAGGCTTGTCGAGATGCTGATCTCGATATAAAGTGGACCTGTTTTGGTGACAACAGAGATGTTAAAAGACAAACCATTTGAATAAGATTAATTTCATTTCTTCGTTAAACTTTGAAGAAATGAAACTTCTGATATTGCAAAATTATTTTTTATTAAATTTGTTAATCAACAACACTGACATGATGTTGAATATTTTCATTGAACTAGTTGGAATTTTTTCTTAATGTGAAACTCGATCGCTTGTGAATCATTTATAGTATAAAAGCTTTTTCTCTTAGTTTGGCGTTTTACTTCTCCGTCTTCGAGGTTTTCTCTTAAGCTTTTGCTTCCTCCATTCGTTTTATTATTCACTTCTTGAGGTTTTTTTTTACTTCTCTTATTCTCAGTTGTATTTTAACTTTTCACGACGTAGGACGTCTCGATAAAGTCAGCATTCAACATCGCAACTGTGTGTAAATATTCAACAACAAAAGTAAAGAAAAGATTCTGTGCTGTCGTTGATGGAACGTGGAAAAAGAAAATCTTAACAGTTGTGACGGTGTCTTCGTGCTTATGTACTTAATTAAATCTGACTTATTTATTCCTTCAATCGTTTAATTGTTATGCTTACAAGTAGAATTATCGGTGACGTTTGATATCAGTGGAACGTTTGTTCGTATGTGGAAGTGAATAGTTTTGAGCGATTATTTACCGTTTGAGCGACGACTTGGGAACCTTATTCACTACTCAACTCATTTCCCGTCACTCGATTAGAAATTTGTTGAGCTCCCAAGAAAGTTACACGCTCTTTGTGTTTTTAATTACAACGAAGAAGAAGCTTTATCGATCAGTGGTTGCAATCTTGAAAATCAATCAAACAAATTGGTTAGTGTTTTTAAAATTAAAAGGAAAGAAAACGCTACAAAAAGAAGCCGATTAATTTACCAGAGATAGCTGTGCTAATTATGGATTAAGCCGTTCGATTGAAAATCATAAAATCAAATAACAACAATCAAAGAAATATTTGGATTTGATCCATAAACAGATTTAAAGGTAAGGGTTTAATTACCATCAAAAATCTCCTGCGATTTATAACTTTGAGAAATCATAACTGTGCTTGTTGCTTGCCAAGCCTGATCGTGTGGATCAAGTCAACCGAGCTAATAATTGGTGTAAAGCATTCCACAAGTGAAGTAAATCGTTTAAGCGACCTTCAGATGACTTGAGAAACTGTACCATTCCTTCAAACTAAGATTGATATTCAGACCATGAACAGTTGAACTTTTAGACATCATGTGAGCTTCCAAAATGCTGTGAAGATATATTCAAACGTCCTTGTCAACTCATAGTGGTGCACTATATGTGGTTATGAGCTAATTTACTTCGTCGTGTAATCATAAAAAAACGCATTAAATGCTAAAACTTTTAAGCAACAAAGAAAATCCATTTCAAAACTGTTTTCGCTCAAAATTGATGTTGTTATTGTTGCTTGAGGTGCTGCCTTCATTGAAGAATATTTACAATCGTTTTATTGCGCGATTGCACATTTTCTCGCTTGTTTTTATTAAAAATTCATTTTTTTCTTTTGTTTTGCGGTTTTCGTGATATTCCAAACATTTAAGAAACTATTTTAAAAAAAAAGTCGAGCAAGTAGCAGGCAAGAGTTGTTGGTGCATTTTAAATTGCAATAAAAACTTAATTTTTTTTATTAAAAATGCTTTGAATGTGTTTCTTATATCTTACAAAAAAATAATGCACTTTCTATGCGAGATTGTAAATCACCAAACAAGCCCCAATAAAACTTAATTTATTCATTTTAAACTAGCGAGCCCATCATAATAAATACCTTTGCTGGTAACAAATGCATCTTGGATTATTCAAATTAGTTTAAATATTTCCTTAGAGATATTTTTAGTATTTACGATCGATTGAGGCTCATCGACATGGAAAGAAAATAAGACAAGAAAAAGTAACGAAAAAGATTAAATGATCGGACTCGTAATAATGAAAATATTTAGAAAGTCTTTTCGACTCGTCGAGATCAAAAGATGTAGAAATTTTTATTTACTATTTTTTTTTTTCTTTTCATCGTTGTCGGAGTCAGTTGTTTCATACTGGCACTAAAGACGATGTAGGTCTAGTTTCAATACACTTAATATGAAGATTCCTTTAGAAGTCTTAAGGGAAATGTTCACTGGCAAATGTAAAGCTAACATTTGAAATTTCAAAACAATCTCTGATTAACATCGAAATGGTGTTTCTCAATTTATCACGCTTAGTTTTGTTGATGTCTACACGAACTTTTATCACCAATCATCATGTGAAGAATGCAAATTTCTCCTTTCAAAAACTCACCAGTTTACATTCTCTTACTCGTCTTAAGATGTGATTCAATCTCATGTGCGCGGTTGGTTGTTATGTATCGGATTGTTATACCGTACTTATTAACTTGAATCAACAACAACATTAAAGTCTTCTGCTTCGAAAATTGTGTGTTAATTGAGCAAGTCTTGAAAACAGTTTGTAATATATCCATTTATCTACTTCTTATTCAATTTCAATTTTCTAAACGCAATTCTTTGTACATATCATGCTAAGCATCTGTGTATGTGTCTTTATACGGGGAATGGTAGTAAAAACCTACAAAAAGCTTTGTAATGAACAAGGCCTTAGAAGTTTAGATCACAATAAGACCGTTCCCTTTGTTGCATAATCACAGCAAAGCCCCGAGAATAATTTCAAGAGCAATGACTTTAGCAATTATCATATTTTTCTCAATCTCTCTTTCTCTCCCCATCTTTGTTGTGTTTCTTTTCTTGTTTCTCGTCTTGCTTTAATTCAAGAACTTTTATTATAGTCACCGTAATAGTTGAGTGATCGTCTGTTATTATGAACGAATAGTGTGGATATTTATAAGTATTCAAACACGTTGTTCTTAACGATTTCAAGTTTTCTTATTGAAGATATAAAAAAGGTTGCATGTCGAATCAATCTCTCGATTGACAAATGAAAAAAGAAGAAGTTGAATAGGAAATTTACACTCTGTGGCTTTGAGTCGATTTTCCGCTTGACAGTTTCAGAATTCAACTTGCCTTGATTTGGATTATGCACGAGATTGTGCTGTGTTGAAATTGAATCTTATGTCCATGGATGTTGATGTAATTTGTATGTTGATTATGGGAAAAAGTCATTTGAAAAGTCTTAAACTGTTTTGTTCATCATGAGACTTCGTCTAATTACTTTTTTTCGGCAGCCGACTCCAGCTGCGTAAACCGTCATTCTGCTGATGATGAATTAATCTATTGTTCCGTCTGGAAGTTGTATTTTCATCACTGTAGAAAACAATGTGAATCATCGAGACGAGTGCCGTAGTAATTTCACATGTCGTTTAGGATTTAAAGCGAGTTAAAAGAACGAAAGTCTTTCAATGTGTGTGGTTGCGGTGAGTGGACGAGAGATAACCATCAACAAAAGACGCATTTTTCCATAACTTTCTTAAACGGTTTCTCTGGTGACTGGCGTACTTTCTTTGCAGTCGACAACTATGAAATGTTTTCTTCTTTATCATATTTTCCGCGATACTCTTTTGCTTAATAAATTAATTTTGCTCGGTACTTTTTAGTTGCGACGAAGCGCGGATATGGTGAAGCAGATGAACAATAGTAATTAACTATTGTTAAACCTCTTTTTTTCCATTTCATCATTTTCCGAGCTTTAATTGTTAACATCGCACTTGTAGCACTTTTCTCTCAAATTTCCCCCGCAATAAAAGTTGAGCTTATGGTTTGTTCCACAGAATTGCTTCTTCTTAAACGCTTATGCAAGAAATTCATAAAAAAGAAGTTGGAGCAAAATTATTTTTTGACACTTTTCACTTTATGATTTTCAATTTCATTTCATTAAATTTCTCCACGACATCAGAGTGAGCTCGAGTCGTGAAACACTTTAATTAGGCGACGAAATCATGAAAATTATGACACGCAATTTGATTTTGATCCGGAAAAAAATGACGCGATTATATCGTTCAGTAAACACGTGTAGCACTTATCCATTAATCGGATTGGAAATTTAATTGAAATGCTGTAAAATGATAAATAATCGATGATCATCTATTTATGAATATTCAACCGCTGATCGTTATTATTCATTATAATGAAGCGAGTGACGTTTGAGTTATAACTCACAACTCATTTCCTTTATTTAATATCGTTGCGCAATCCTAAACGCAATCTATGTTGATGTTGTCAATTTATTTTATGTAAACATTAATTATAGATTTGAAGCGATAATAGCAGAAAATCAAATTTCAAGCATAATCTCGAACTTTAACTTCGAATTTTAATTTTAGATTGAAAATGGAAAAGAACTGATTCATTGTGATTACGTTGTTGATGCTTAACTACGATGTAATTTGTTAGAAATTATTTTAAATTTAAACAGGAAAAGTAAATTTAAATTACATTAATTTTATGCTGCATACTTAACATGACCTCACATGAAGATTGAAGATGCTTTTATGCTTTAAATTAGCTTTGTCACGTTTTTAAAACTCAATCTTTGAAAATTTCTCCGCTTGCTTTTAAGTGCGAAGAATAAATAACAAAATGATGCAATTAAATGATTCTGCAACATTGTAAAGTGTTTAGCAAAAAGTCCCGCACTACATAAGCATGATTATTGCGCTTAAACGACTTTCTAACACATTTCATTGCAAGCAACTTTAGTTTTCCAATAAAAATTGGTTTTCAATTAAAGTCCAAAGACATTTACATAAAAATATATTCACTTTCTTGTGATTCGTTTCGACACTTCCTAGCCTCGATGTCTCGATTAAAACAAAATTTCAACTGCAATGCAGAAGAAAACCTGTTCTCGATGGTTGAAAGTTACCAGCAACCTGCTCCATGAATTGTGCTCATTTTTTATTCGTTTTCCAATCAATTTTTTTCTTCTTAAATGTCTTACGAAAACTCAAGGCACCGTTACTTATTCGAATTTATGAGCTAAAAGCTAGCAACCTGACCATCTCGTGCCTTGGAGCTTGAAATCGGTCTCAATCTAGGTGACGTGTTGCTGACATCAATGATTTCATCTGAATCATGCTGATGGCGCATAATCGTCGAGGAAGAAATGACTTATAAAACATTCTCTCACAATTTACATTTGCGGCATTATTTTTTAACTCTTCATAAGCTTTTGTTGGAATAATTCGTGGCATCATCATCATCATGTGAACGATTCCAACATTCACATCAATTTGCAAAACAACATTCTTTCTCTTCTGATGATTTATGATCACCCAAAAAATAAGCGAAGGAAAAAATTGTCCATAGCGAAAGTCGCAATGATCAAGCAAATAATTCAATCGAATCGAAAGTTGAGATAATTTTTTGTTTTTTCTTTTTTATTGATCTCAAAGCAAACTCTCCATCACAGCGTTTGTTTAAATCTTATTCTCACACACTATTTTTTTGATTAATTATTCAAATAGTTCATAAATAAATAAGCAAAAATTCGTAAGGCTTTAGGCGCGTACTCGTTTGATTTACCTTCGTGAAGTGTTTACTTTCGACATTTGTTTGCTAATGAATTACACAAATATTCCATTCCGCAAGTGAACATACTTCAAATAAAGATTATTAAAAAGTCGACATGGAAAGCGTAAACGTAAGTGACCGAAAAAACAGCTAATCGAGCACAAACTGCGGTCGAGCATAAGTGTAAACGAAGCTTTCAAAGTACTGAATAAGTCGCGCGAACTTCACCTTCGAAAATATTAAAATACAAACCAAAGATTTATTACATTCATTAAATATGCAGAAAAAAAGGCAAAAGTTAAGTTCCTTGATGGATTTTCTTTTTTCGTACAGTTTATGACAGCTCAGTTTTCTCATTTATGATGCACACACCAAGCTTTTAATTTCACTTTTGCGACGTGTAATTTCTTCTCAAAAAATGACATTGTAAAGTGTTGTTTGTCATTACTGTAAACTTTCATGTACCAATCCCTAGAAATTTCTACACTTAAAAGGCACATGTCAATTTAGTTGCAACGTGATATCAGTACTTATACTTATTGCATGTTCAGTTATGTATAATGCATGATGTATTGCATAAATGGCATAAAAAGAAATTCACTTGATTTCTTATGTTTCCTGGAATTTAAAAAAATCAAAAAAAAAGCGATATAATTCAATGATGGTATGTATTGAAGTAATATAATAAAAAGCACGGAATTGCCCTCGAGGTATGAAAATAGAAAGAGTTTTATTTGAAGTCAATTGATATGAAAGTTTGAGGAATTATTACTTAACAGAAATAAGTACGTATGCTGTGAATTACTCATTTTACTTTCCTTTTGATTTCTTCATTCTTAATAAACATAGAAATGGATTGGAAATTAAAGGGTTTCAATGATAATTGAGCTGCTTTGTGAAACTTGCAAGAATCAAATAATGCTACGCCTCTAAAACCATTTAATTGAGAAGCTTTTCTTTGACTGTCAATTTCAACTTACTGTTTTGATTTTGACTTTTAAAATGACTTCAGCAATTCCATCAATGGAAACACGATTGTTAAATATTTTTATTTACATCATCCAAGACTGAAGTTTGTGTAGGAATCGAACGAAATCATTTGCTCTGCTCTGACTTTTAATACTTTACGTATACGAGAGAAGCTACAAGCAAAAAGCCGGTTCGACAGCTTTTAAATGCTTTGACATATGTTTGTTTGCATGCCACAAGCCGAAAGCAAGCAAAAAAAACGGATTTTTTTTCGATAAAAATTGGAAATGTTCAAAGAGATCCAGTCAAACGTCTGTTTTCACTTTCACGCAGCCAACGGATACATGACGAGCCTGAAGTTGATTTCATTATCTTCTTTAATTTTTAGCCCCTTTTTATTATTATTTTCGTAGGTTGAATGGCCTTTTGAGAGCCTTTTAAAAATATTTTGCCTTCTGTCGATGCCTTTCAACGCATTCCGCATTTCGACGTAGAAAGTCTGCTCAAACAGCGCTGAAACTTTCAATAAGCCTCTTGATGGGACAATAAATCTTTACTGTCAATTTCCATCAATCTCTAGCTCCTTGCTTAAAGCTGATTATAATTAATAGATATACTTTAATGAGCATGGTTTTCGATTTTTCTTGTAACAACTTTATGGCAAGAGACTCGAACGATCTATTGGAAACATTTTATAGCAACAGACCTAAATATGCCTTCTCATTTAAACTTTTCATTCATGCTAATTTTCCAATGAAAAGTATTCATTTTCGTATTGTTAAATATTCAATAAAAGGGAAAAGATAATATTTTCACTTATAAAATCATTCCACCGAAACAAAGGCGTATATACATTTTTTTCTAATTGAACAAGCTATTTAAATACTTGCTGATATTTGCAGTGTGTTAACTTGTAGTTCGATAAAAAAGTATATGTTGATTTTATCGGTTTAAAAATATTCCATTCTTCCATCGATTGATTGAGTTGAATAATATTTAGATTAATGATGCTCTTTATTGTGCTTTTTTATGTCTGACAGATGCTTTAATTTTTATTTTCTTCTTTCCAACTCGTAGATTTTGCAGTGAAAATACCAATTCAAAAATGGGAAACACTAACAGCATGAACAACATGTCAATGCTCGATCAGAAAAGATATCAAGCGGAATTTTTACGATACTCGCAAATACCGTACGAGAGTCAATATCATCAGCAACAGAGCATTCATGCATCAAACATGAATCTTCATCAATTCAACAAATACAAGGAAGCGGTTGCAAATCCCGTTAAAGTTTTACCTGACGTCAAGTTCGAACCAAAACTGAGGACAACGAATAATGGCGCAATATTACACTCTGGTGGAACGATCAGTGGAAGAAAAGATTCCGATGTGAGATGAAGCGTAAAATGATTTATTTAAAGTTGTTTTGAAAATTTCGTTAATTATTTCCAGTGTGGCTTGCATCGCTCAAAAAGTATTTCTGAAACTCAAAATACTTACCTGAGTAATCCAAACGGGATGCCAGCACCACCTCCACAATTCCGAATGCAAAGAGCTTCAACGCAATTGTCAATCAATCTCAATCAACCATTGCGTGTGAATTTAAATAAAAACTTTGGCTCAACACATGACTTGAAGTCGGCTGACAATAAAAGTGTTGAAAAGCGACAACAAGAGAAACCTCGTGAGGTGAAGAAAGGTCGAGCACCGCCTCCGCCAGTTACCAATCAAAATAATAATAGAATAAGGGTAATTGTAAGATTTAACATTGATTTGAAGCTTTTTTAAGAATGTTTTTCTGTTTTTAGATGACGCCACCACCAACAACACAAGCTCCCGATCCACCATTATCTAAAACGAAAGCAAAAGTTCCCATGGGGCAACGACTCTTTGGTGACACTCTGACAAAGAACCATCAAAATGCTGTTCGAAGCATCCAACAACAACAACCGAATGAAAGAGTTTCTCCAATGAAACCAAAAGCAGAAATGAACAGACCAACAGTATCAAAAATCATTCCTTCTCCTACAAAGCCAACACAAATGCTTAAAGTAAATCCCACATCTTACTTACGACGAGAAAGAACATTTGACGTCACATTAATGCAAAATGAAAATAGGGAAAAATTCAGACCGAATTTCTCTCCACAATTTCAAAGAAAACAAATGAATGAATCATCAAAACCAGTTGAGTTAAGACAAATGTCAACTCAGGAAAGATATCGAGCTAGTGTAGCAACCAACAGATCATCAGCAGTTCCACAACAATTTAAGTCTGAGCTTCAGAGTGCCACAAAAATTCGTCGATCATTGGCTGGTACCAATGCTGAAAAGATGAGAACCATCGATAAGAAGCCATTGAAGAAACCAAGCCCAGCGATCGAGAAGCCAACGCTCGAGCACAAGAAGTCGTCTGACAATAGTGCCATCTCAAATCCAACAGTGTCAGCTTCTTCATCTTTCAAGTTTTCTAATCCGAAGCAATACAATGCCAAGGAACCGGAAATTGTGCAATATCATCGTCATGGTGAAGAAATTCTTCCATCAAACGATGCGAAAGAATCAAACGTAAAAGATGAAAATCAAGATGCAAACAATTTTTATTTTGGAATGCAAGAAGCGAGCGTCGATACTGACAATGAAGATGAAATCAATGAAGCTGAACAAGCTCAAATGGAAGCCATAAATAGATTTGCTGAAGATATCTTTAAGATGAGTAGTCGTGGTTCGAATTATATGCCCAATAGCCAAGGTGAAACACTTTCCAAATATTTTCATTCAATTTTTTAATAAATTATTTTCGTTTTTAGTTTCTCCTGAATCTGTAATCTCAGATCGTGAATGTGACTCTGATTCAGATATTTTATTAAGTCTACGACCAACATTGCCTCGTCGTCAACTTCAAATTCCACGTTTCAGTCCCGTTGCTGCTTGGAAATCATTGCTTGTTGACACAAATTTAACTGAAGCAAAGAATAACAAGACCAACTCAAGCTTACTTCAACTTCATGTTGCAGTTGATGATCAAAGACAAGAAACTAAAATTGAAAGAATTTATCGTGAGCCATCATTCAATCTTCAGCAATTAGATAATAAAAGTGGAGACAGTGGAATTTCAGCAGACAAAGAAATTGGTGGAAATAGTCCCGACAGTCAAATGCCGCAAGCTTATTTAATGTCATCATGGACGCCACAGCAAGATTTAGAAGAAGACGAAGAGTCGGTTGGTGGTGGTGGCGTTGGTGACAAAGAAAGTTTTCATCAAACTGAAGCTGATAAAAGTCAGTCATTTGCAAATGCAACAAATGGTCATATGTTCAGTTTATCATTGCCAAGAGACAATCACAGTGTGTCTGATAAAGCTCCGCAGAACAACTTTTACAGTTTACAGAAATTCCGAAAGACCGTTGCTGATGCTTTCGGGTCGATCACAAATGTTAATGATAACAAGATTCAGATACAGAATTATGGAGTAGACAGTAACTGGTTATTAAGTTCACAACCAAATTCTATTGACGAGTTTGCACAGCGAAAGGAAGGCGAAAGAACTCAAATAATTTCACAAATGACCAGCGGCAAACATGTTATGTACTTGCCAACAAATTTTGAAGATGACCCGAAGTTTGAGACGACAGTTCGATTGTCATCAGTTGAACGCGAGACATCACCGACATATAAGAATCATGATGATGATGAAGAACAATTCCAAACAAAATTGAAATCAAAGAATCATAAATTCAAATTTCAAAGCACAATTCGTCAAGTTGAACGAAGAAAAATTGCTGAGAAACTTTCACGAGAAGCTGAAGAAAAGGAAATGAGAAGATTGAGTGAATTAGAAGCGATGCAGAAAGTGGAAGAAGAATTTCAACGAAAGCGTGCTCGTGAGAAGAATATGATTCGACATCAGTTGAGAATTGCTTCGCTTGAAGAAAGTTACGAATCGCAACATGATCATGTTGGAAGATCGAACTATTACAAGTGAGTTGAATGCATGATTTCCAAATCGATTACTTTTCATAATGTCAAACTCATTTACAGTGGAAAAAATTACAATGAACATGATGAAGATGAAACTGACACACGAACGCCTTACATCTCACGAATCATTGAAGCGAAGAGTCCAAAAGTCATCAGCAGCCAGTATAAATCTTAAGAATCGTTTATTATCCGGTGATTCTAGTCAACACGACGCAGAAATAAAATTTCATCAGCTGACAAATTGCTGCGCAAAAATTTAATCTTTTACCGCTCGATTAAAAAAAAATATTAAAAAATCATTTCTCGAATATTAAATTTGTATAAAATATAAAAAGAATTATATTACTTAATTAATTGTTGAATAAAAATTTATGAATAAACATGTATCAATACAGAAGCTTTATGGAATTTTTATTGAATGTAAATATGATGTTAAAAGCACAATTGCAGTTTTTTAATTAACAACTGAAGAAAAATTTTGCAACATGCAAAAAAAATTGATTGGAGATTGCACAAAAAAACTAATTTAAAAGAAAAATAAATTTGAACAGCAGTCAAAGTTAATAATAACAATAATTTAAATCGTCGTTTGAAAACTCGTTTGATTCTCAATCTTCTGAAATATCGCAACATTTCCCCTGATGACATTTCAAATAATTCAGGTAGAATCTTCAACCTTTGACAAAATCCGCAATGAGTTAACAACTCTCTTAAAATTAAAAGCGAAGCTTAAATTACCAATTGCGTGTAAATATCGTATCTAGACATATAATGGACAAAAATATGTTCATAAATTTGTAGGTCAAATGATTCGACAACACTGACAACTTGATTGTATCTCACAATTGCAAAATATGGAGAGAAAACAAAAAAAAAGTTTTCGGTAGGTGGGAATCCGAAAAATAAACGCTGGAATGCAATATACGGTAACCGATGGGTAAACAATTGTTGTTTACAAAGGAAAGTGATTATGAAAGATGAAGCACTTTCGACCTACAACCTTTTCACATTCGACGAAAAATCTCTCAAAATGCAAATGTTTCTCTCGCGTTCCTGTTTGACGAGTTGAGTTATTTCAGTTACGAGTTTTGTGTGTGACCATCACCTCATGAGACATGTCAGGTTAACAAAAAAAAACATCATCTAGGAGAGAAATCATAATAAAAAAATATTCAGACGTTATTTAAATTTTTTTTCTTTGGTTTTTTGTTGTTCTGTTGGTGAATCTCCGGAATATCTCGATGTTCATTCATTCATTCATTCATTTATTTGTGGCGTCTCGTCGTGATCAGTCCGAAGATTCCAAACTTTTAACCGACTATATTATGTGTGTTAATTAAATTTGCCTTTGTGTAAACTCGTTAATTTTTTAATACCTCAAACCTTAAAAAAGTCTTTTGTTGCACTCATTAAAATTGAATTGTGATGAACAATCAAAAGTGAAAACTCATGTGCGATTGTTACTTAATCGTGATGAAAAAATAAATTCGTCGCCATGTGAATCGTGAAGAAAAACAAAAAAAAGAGTTCAGATTTGTATCTATTAAGTTATCAGTTGTTGAACTTGTTGTGCGTAAAATATTTCAAAATCACGAAAAATGCTAATTAATTCGAGACGCAGTGTCAAAGCATTTAAAAATGGAATCGAGGAAGTTTATCGTTTTATCAACACGATTAATTTAAGTCAGAGATCACTAGGAATTTATTCATACATCCTTGGCACAGTCAGTGGCATCTTGATAACAATCCTTGTATTTAAATATTTACAATATGAAGAGCTACTGCAGCAAACGACGCGACCGATCTTTGACATTTCGCATGAGCCAACAATTGTTTCTTCAATTGATCTTTATGATGAAGTGAAGGTTCTCTGTTGGGTTTTAACTCATCCGCCAAATCATAACACAAAAGCTTATGCTGTGAGAGACACTTGGGGAAAGCGATGTAACAAGATTGTCTTTATTTCAACGATGGATGATGATAATCTCGATGTCCTATTAGTCAACGTCACTGAAGATCGAAATAATTTGTGGGGAAAAACGAAGCAGGGATTGCAGCAAGTCTATGAAAATTATGGAAATGATTACGATTGGTTTCTTAAAGCCGATGATGACACTTGGATCTTTATGGAAAACTTACGTTTTTTTCTGTACTCGTATTCGCCTGAAATGCCAATTTATTTTGGTTGTAAACTTAAACCATACGTAGATCAAGGCTACATGAGTGGATCGGGTTATGTGTTAAGTCGCGAAGCTGTCAGACGATTTAATGAAGATGCGTTACCTGACGATTATAAGTGCTGGAATGGAACTGAGGGAAATGAAGATGTTGAGATAGGGAAGTGTTTGGCAAATGTGGGAGTATTAGCAGGTGATTCCAGAGATGACCTTAATAGGTCACGGTTTCTTCCATTCCCTCCCGAAGGCTTGCTGAGAGATTTATACGGCGAGACTTGGTTGGACAACGCTACTTTCTATGAAATCAAGAAGGTGACTTTTCTATTGATTTAACAAAGTTCATAAGTAAAATTCTAAATTAAAAACTGGTTGTGAATAACAAATTTACATTCTAATCTTAAACAGTTTAGAACACCGATCAGAATCCCCTTTGATAATATGACACAATTTTATTAACATTTTTAAAAACGAATTGATGAAATCATTTACTGACTTCTTTTTTTTTTTGTTGTTTCATGGAACAGGGAATCGAATGTTGTTCATCGAATGTCATATCATTTCATTACATTACGCACAATCAAATGTACGTGTTTGATTTTTTTCTATACCATGCGAAGTTGTCAACAAATCATGATAAATTACCAAGAAAGGTCAGCTTTGAAGAAGTTGAGATGAACTTAAATGCCGCAAGTGCTTCAAATAGCGTTGCTAATGAATCGACAGTTTCGACTACTGAATCAGTGATTATTTAAATTTTAAGGAAGTTGCGAAGTGATAAACATTTTTAGATATAGAATGAAACCAAATTATAAGATGAGTTTATGATTAAGATTTATTAATGATTTGTTATGAGATTTAAGTAATCATTAAAATATCATTTTGAAGCCCAAAATAAAGATATGTGAATTCATAAAAGGTCCACCAATCAATCATGCTTGTTCGGGATCTGCTTGTGAAATATTCGAAGGTTTCATTAATCACTGCTTCAATCATTAAGTATGAGTGTCGCCAAATGCCATGCCATGTAAGTTGCCCATTACATTTAGCGTGCGGAAATTTCATCATTTAAGTAAAAATTATGAATCATAAACCTTTAATCTCATAATTATTGAATGACTTGAGTGAATCTCCTAGTAAATTGAACGATAAGTTTTTAACCTTTTACGAAGATATTTAAATATTTTATTTCTCTTACCAATGATGCTTGCATGATTACCAAACGAGAGTTTAAAGTGTTTTAACATTGCTGCATTAATCATTTTTCAAGTGATTTTTTTTTCATAACTCAAACCCGTCACTTCAATTGATTAATTTCCAGAAAAACAAAAATTTCCTTTCATGTAAATTCAAAACATAATGAGATTTATTTATTTATTGTCTTAAAATGTTTTTCCACTTAAATATTCAAATCAAATATATAAATAAGATTCATTAATTAAATAAAACTAGTTATTTTCATCTGAGATGTCATCAATGCTTATGTCAACATGCAGTTCAACTTGTTTTCATGCTTTGGCTTCACGTCGCTTTCTTTCTCTCTTTTCGAGTATTCAACATTCACTTTGTTATGAGTAAATCGTCATTAGAATCATCTGCACATGAAATAAATTTGAAACTTATTTTCTTTGGATATTTCCTGAATCATTTCTTTACCTCTTCCAGTGATAACGGGTTTGTTTTTGCTTTGGAATCAAGACTGTGATAACGATCTGAACATGAAGAGTTAAAATATTAAGCAATTTAGGGTAAACAAGGTATTGTGAACACAATGTTTTTTGTAAGGTATTGTGAACACACCTAATTTCGAATGCGATTTTCTTCGCTATTTTGCATTCAAATGGATCAAAACTTTGTATAGAAGTAGAGTAGATAGTTCAAACTACTTCTATACAAAGTTTTGATCCATTTGAATGCAAAATAGAGAAGAAAATCGCATTCGAAATTAGGTGTGTTCACAATACCTTACAAAAAAACTTTGTGTTCACAATACCTTGTTTTACCCTAGTTGTTAATTAAATTATCAAAATCTAACCTTGTGCTAAATGAATTCTAACTAAGGCTAACAAATATCCTTCCAAAGTTATTTGTTTATTTTTTGTGAATCTTCCTACAAGTGCTTCGATGACTTTATTACTTGCTGTCACACCGCCAGCCCATAAAAGTCCTCTAAGACAATACGACGACACTTTCGATGCCCAAATTCCTCGACCTAAGCTTCCAGTTGTCGAATATGATGGTCCACATCTTCGAAATGCATTTTTCCAAAACTTCATTAACGATACTAATGATGGAACGTGTTCGATTGACAAACGACCACCAAGATCAGGATCTTTCAATGCAAGCAAACCTCGACAAAGATCTAATGATGGTCCACAAAATCCACCTAAACCTGGCAAATTATTTCCGCAACTTCCGTTACTTTTCAACAAGCTTTGCAGTTGCAATGCATCAATCTCCGATGGATATTTCATCTTCAACTTGTATAATAATTTCTAAAAAAATATTTCCCATGAACTTATAAAATATTTAAATCGTTATGTTTCTCATTGAGACTTACAGCGTCATGTAAACGATCTTCAGTGAAATCTATGCCTGCATTCGGAATGATAATGTTGTCTTCATTCACCTCCCAGACATCTGCATGCTGATCAGCAAATATTCGCAACAGGAATTTTCCCTCACGATGTTGTAATGTATTCGGTAAAACGACAAAATCACCTGGTGGGAGGGCGAAGAACGTTGCAATCTCTCTGATGTTAGTCACTGGAGCGTAATCGAGTGGTGCATGATCGCTGACATATTGAGACGTGACGCGAGGCATGTTTGGCGGCACTTCATAAATTGTAAAGCCTATTTCACTTTCTTCTTCATTTCTCGAACGGTAACAATCATAGCTTTGTGCAACAGCAACAACGATGTGCGCTTTCTCATGATGACCCGAAGGAACTCGAATACGAAATTGCGGATTTGTTGCTGTTGTTTCAATACACTTGTGAGGTCCGCCAGCGTTGAACCCAGCACGCCATTGTCGAATTGCTTGTGCAGCTCGCCATGGTGCTCGTGTATGAAGTGCAGGTTCGAATGCCCAATCTTCCGGTCCAATATGTGCAAGCCAAATGACAATAAATCGACCTAAAAACTCTTGAACTGACATCCAAAACTCGCCATCTTCCTGTGTTCGTGAAGCAAGCAAATCACGATCACGTTCGCTTAAAGCATTCCATTCCCAACTTTTTTCTGACCATGCACCACCCCAAACTCCACCAAACTCGCCACCTGCCCATGGACTTTGCAACCTTATCAAATTAGTATCTTGTGAACTTCCTGAACTTTGTGATGCATTTGATGAACTTGCATTCGTACGAACGCGAGCTAAGCCGGTGATTGAGTAAGGATGTTCCGGAAGTAGTCCCATTCGTCTTCGTCGTGTTCCTTTCTCCTGCTTTAATTTGATTAATTCATTCAAACCTCAAACAGTTAAAGACAAAACTTCTCACCGTTTCACTAATGGCAACTAAAATTGTAGATCTGGGAACAGATCCGGAAAGAAGTGGCAACGATGGTGGAACAGACTGAACAACTGCTCCAGTTAAATCTTGTAATGAACGTCCTACAGTTCCATATTTTAGAAATCCGTAGCCGCCATAAAGTCTGCGAAAAACATTAAAATTTGTAATCAAATTTATTCACAAAAAGACGAATTGAATGTGAAATTGAAGTTACTTTGCATAAGCTTTCTCAAGCAGCGCCACCCAAAAGACGTCTGGTTGTGAACAATGTAAATATGCGGGACGATCACCTCGTGTTGGTAGTCGATCATCAATTCGAACCTAAAGAATTTCAATTGAAATATTTTGAATTCTTTTCAAATGCGAAATACTAAACAACAGCAAAATTATTCTTTCTTACCTCAATCCATCGTCCATACTGCCAAAAACGAAACCTGAGGGAATAGAAATGTGAATAAAACCAGGTTGAAATTAAAGAATTGTTTTGTGGCGTGCGATAAAAGGCCGTCATAAATTGTTAAAACGCGTGCATAAATCGTGATGGATCAGAAAAGTTATTTCGCGTTTATCCATCATTAGCAACATGTTAATGAACCTTTCAATTTAAGTTCTTTATAATTCCGCAAAAATTACACAACGAAAATAAAACAGAAACTTGTTTGAAATATTTTGCAACAGCAGCAGCATCAGAAGATGAAAGCAGAAGCAGCAAAATGCAAATTGAAATTAAATTTCCAAGTTTGAGAATTCTCATTAATTTGCAATCGCTACGGTTCATCAATGATGAGATTTTCTCTCTCAAGATGAGGTCAAAGCGATTGTGATGAAAGCAAATCAGCTGTAACTGACTGATTCATCAAACACTAAATTGGTTTGTAAGCTTCTTTTTATATTCAACTTTCGTTCATCCTCGCAGAATTGCGTGCGGTACAATTAGTAGAAATAACAGAAAAGAAAATAAATCTCAATCAGTTTCAAAGCTGTTTCGTGACCCAGCATGATGCCAGCGAAAAAAAAGTTGTATTTAAAGAAAAATACTCGAAGTGAAAGGCATCGTTTTGTTTATCTTAATCGTTCTAAATGCTGACTTAACACTCCATTTATCATCACAATTGGAGAGATTTACTATCGATTTCTTTTTCATTGATGATTAATTTAATTTTCTGGGTCGGTAGATATAAAGTTCAAATAGAAAACGAAGCTATCTGAGAAAGTTTTTCGTTCTCAAATGTCAAGAATTTCTTTAATGAGCGGATACTGATAGCATCTGTCGAGTGAAATAAAAATTGTTCCGTTGCAGAAATCTTGAAAAAGATAAAAGAAAGGTTCTCATAGTACACTTAAGTTAATTTTCAGAATCTAAAAGATTCATGAAGCTTCATGATTAATGCGCAAGAGTCGGAAGAACTTTTTCATTCTCATTTTGTTCGTTTCTATTCGTGGCGATTAACGCGGCACGAGTCAGCATGTGATCCGATTTCATTGAAAGAAATAGTTTACAAAGGAATAAAATGAGCATTAAATTGATGATAATGATGTGCTATTATACATGTTTTGATAAATTGATTGAAATTAATTTAAAATTCAACATATTTCCTCTGTCACTTAATGAATCAGTTGAATATTTTTGGTCACTTTGTATAAATTCATTTGGTCACTCGGTTGAATTTTCGAGTCACTCTGTCACTCACTTGAACATTCCACAATAATTTGAATCAAAGTTTTGCTCAGGCGGTGCAATACGTTGAAGTAGTCTCGGCATTTGACTAAGAGAGCCAAGAGCAGCTAATAAACTTGGATCGCCTTTACAGTAAGGTTCTGGAAGTTCTCTCGATGATAATGTTCCTGATGATGGGTTTAATCTGAATAGTGGATCGCTGCACATTTCCTGAGTAATAATATGAATGAAAAAGTAAGAAAAAAATCTTCAAGAAATTAATAAAAAATTATAAATCGAGCTGAACAGATGCTGTAAATTGCCACCTATAAATGAATCAATAAAACATTAGCAGATTATCGAGTATCCAATTGCAAGACCGATAAAACAGAAACTTTATGTCGGCAAAGTAAATGAGAAAAAGAAGAAAACTATTTGTTAACAGCATTAAAAGAAAAAAATGATCTCAATTTTGATTATTGAAGTTTGATTTTTAATTCAATTTTCATAAAGTCAGCATTTGATTGTTAAGTGCATAATGGGTGGGATATGATTTTTACGATATCATGGAGCTTATCTGAAAGCTTTTCTGAATGAAAGATAATTGACCGCGTAATTTCTTTTCTACCTCAATGTGCGAGCATTGCAAAAGGCACTCGAAATCATTTTGAAGAGTTATATGACTTTCATAAACTTGCAACTGTGAGCTATGTGAAGAAGAACTTTGTGGCTTGCATTCGCGCACGAGATTCTGACATTTATCGTTGAATAAAATTTGATACAGTGTATTAAATTTACGACTTTCTATCTTGCAACTTACAAATAATTCTTCAATTTCATTGGCGTAAATTACCATTAATCAAGTTGTGAATAAATGAAGCCTTGACCTTTTCTCCACAGAAGCTCTACAATTCGATTCCTTTTTAATGTCTTAGAAAAATTTATGACTCACGTATTTTAACTAATTCAAATATTTCCAATTCCTCATTCATGATCTCGAAATCGAAAACAAAGTTGCTTATTTTTCTTTACAATTTCAACCCATGCATTGAAGTCTTTCTCTCTTTATTCGCGACAATTGTCAAATTCGATACCAAAAGCGTTTTAATGTTTCCGGCATTATAAGTTTTGTAAGAAAAATTAAAGCTTAAACATAAATCACGCAAATGAAAAATTTCACAATGTATTGACCTCCGAGAAATCTTTTGAGACAGTTAACTAGAGAAATCAACAAAATGATGAAAGCATGTGGGCAACAATTCGAACCATTTTTGGGTGTTATGTCTTTGCAAAGATGCAAGTCTATTCAGCTGTTTATTTTGGCAAGATTCATTGACTTAAGTCGAGCAATTGAGGAAATCTGTGGGTGAAATTTCTAAATCAATAATGTCAACAAGCTCCAAAATGTTTTCCTAATCACAGCTTAATCATATTTTGTGTTGTAATGAAACAAGATTTAATCTCACAAATATTTACTAAGAAATTTGATTGAAGTTTTTAAAGAAGAAATAAAAAATAGTCTTTCTGTCAATTGTATTAAAGTTAAAAGCTATAATTTTGACATAACTCACGAACAAGCCCAAAAAAAGGTTAACTTTTGTGAACAACAGAAATAGAAATCATTGTTCTCAACTATCTCACGCTGTTCATCGCTCGTGCAGCACAAAAATATAAAAAAAGTAACTTACATGCGGTCGCATCCATACAACATTCTTTTTACGCGTCAATGTACGTGGCGTGGGTGGAAAGTCGAGATCTTCGTGTAGGCCGTTCACACCACGTGACAAAACTCCATTTAACTGCCTTCCATGCACTGATGAACTACTGGATGGATTCATTGCATCGGTTGATGATCGTGGACGAGAGATGGTCGAAATCTGATCGACAGATGCTTGAAGACATGGATTTGTGTAACCATTGCCTGGGTGGTATTGACTGATGCTGTTGCGATATTTCAGAGCACCACCGTCTGGGAAGCACAAAAAATAAATGAAAATTTTTTATTAATCAAGATTCACACAATTGAGGCCTTTCATTACATCCAAATTAAGCTTAAATCAACGAAAATTTAAGCAAACAGCAATCAAAACAAAAGTTAATCAATTAAGTTTATGGTAAAAGTTTAAATTGAGTAATTCTTGCGTGTCATAATTGACGATGTTGCCGTTAATTTTCCCATGAACCTGACCCACATTCAATATAATCTGCATTCTCTATTGTACTGGAAATAATCTTTCAAGAAGCATTTCGTGTAATTGACTCGTTCTTCTCTTCTTCCTTATGTGTAAATTATAATGCATAATTCACTAGAATTCATTGTTCTATTGTGTTTTGTGAAGTTTTGAAGAATTTTCTCACCATAATTAAACACTTAACGTTCTGTCGTCCGGTCGGAGAACCAAAAAACAAGAGAAACGACGAAATTTTGTCAAAGGAGAAGTGCAAAAGAAACAACAAAAAAAAATGAAGGAAAATAAACTTTACAATCTTCACGAAAGCGATTCCATGTTCTAGCTTCTTGTAATTTATGCGAATGAACGAAACGGTCCGCGCGAGTCGATTAATTTCAATTTTCTGGAATTTCTTTATGGTGAATGTTTGGAATTTCGACGGTTTAGGACTGTGCTTGATGGGTTTTAGTGACGCCGAAGCTATAATTTTAGAGATCGATGACCATACTAGGATTACGACTTATGTAAAGTTGCTTGATTATTTAGTGGTGACAAAACCCATTAAGTCGAAAAACTATAAACAAATAGTTGAGTCAATTTATCTATGATAGACTTCGGACATGAAACATCTTCCCACGTGCTCCCATCTGAATTAAAAATTATAGAAAATTAAACGACTCAATGGACATATAAATACGTAAATTTATTGTGATTTGAAATAAATTTTATCGTGTTTCATGTCGATGACACTTTATTTATGAAATTATGATGAAAAGAAGATCAAGAAATTTCAAAAGAAAACAAAGGAGAGAAATTATGAATTGGATTATGTCGTCAGCGCCATGTAACGGTTTTGATCTATAAAAAAATAGTAAAGTAAGTGGAAGTAGAAGTGACAGAGAAAATTACGGTGCTATTGGGCTTTTTCTGTTCATTTGAAGCAACAAAATTTTTGATGGGAGGAGATATTTCATTTGGATTAACAATATAATCCATTGTTGCAAGATTGTGTTCTGTTCAACAACGGACTACATAGTTGATTTGATTGCTTTCGTGATTATTAAAGTTTTATTCCATGTTCCATGTAACACTTGAACAGAAGGTAAATGACACAATAATTTATAGTGTGAGGTTGATAAATTGCTAATTTGAATGAGATTTCATAAATATTTCTTTCACTTAATTTACTTTAAATCTATTTCGATTGAGTTCAATGATCGATCATGTTGTAGGACTAAAACTTAAGCTATTGGAATTATGTTAAAAATAATCTGAAGCTTCTTTTTTTTCTGTAACACGAAATGAAACTCGTGAAAATCTCTAATTAACATCTCTGCTCATAACACAAATCATTTGTAATAAATCCAATTAAATCTGATACAATTTCATTCAAAATTTGTAAGCATTAAATGTGAATAGTTAAAATATTTCTTTGTCATTCCTTGATTACCTTTTAATTTGACCCAATGATCTACATTCTCAAAACATCTGAGACCACAAGCTCTGTATCAAATAACCCAATACAACAACTGACGTTTGCTCAATAAAGCTAAAACATAATAAAAGTGTTCATTTCACTTTTTTTTCCTTCTAGCTAAAATTCCTTTGAAATCGATCCACATAAGCCCACATGTCTTAATTGAATTAAAGTACAATTTTTTTCTAATGTGCCGCTGTCGTTTTCAATTATTCGTACTCCAGCACGAATATGGCATATAAGAAGGCAGTTCATGTAAAGAGAGTGTTTTATTTTCCACCCATTTTCCATCAGTCGTCGTAAGTCGTAAGAAAGGCCAGCAATTAGATTTTTTCTTTTCATGGGAAATAATAAAGTTGATCAGCTCCATTAGGATTTAACTTACTAATAATGGCAAACGTTTTTTTTTTGTTTTCTTCTTACATACATTCATATGATTCCATGTTTATGTAACAACATCTTGCCTTCCATAAAACCATTGTGCAAGCATGTAGAATTAGCTTAAAGCACGTTGAATGTTATTTTCTACAATCTTCAGTAAAGCATTTCGAGATCAACAGACTTTAGAGAGAAACATTTGTGACTTGCTTTATGTAACTTTTTTCAATTATGCAAAAAGATTACAAATAATTGCGCTTAGAACTAAAGAAGGTTTAGGAAAAGAAACTTTAACATCAACAACAAACAAACAAACAAGAGAGAAAGACAAGAAAATTAAGAGAAAGTTCAACAGAAAGCAATTAAAACTAAGTATCAATAATTCACCGGATGTTTTAAAAGCATTTTATGGGTGAAACTGAAACCACCAATCCCGCAAAAGTCACTTCAAGTTCTTCATTCACAACATTTTAGCGAAGTCTTTGTAAATACGAAATCTTGCTAAGTGACGGTGGTCAATTCACAAGTTTCTTAATTTCTGAGTCTTTCTTGCTTGTGATCAGCTTTTCATTTCAACAGCAATCGCATGCACAAATTTGTTCGTCAAGTCTGTTGAAGCGGAAAAGGCGAAGCAATGAAATAGACAAGAACATGTGTCGGAATGATGATTAGTTTAAATGTTTTGTGGTAATTTTTGTTGCTTCTTTGCATTCTCCTGTTCATGGATTTCAATAAAATTTCATTCTTAGAAGAATCAAGAATCGTGGGTTAATTGATTTTGGCTTTTTTTGACTTCGACTTGTTGAGGTCACGTCACGTTCGATGGAATTCTTTTCATGAGCTCACTGCACAAATGATTCGACAGAAAAAGATTTTTCTTGAAATCAAGCACTTCCATAAACACAGAACTTGATTCGCTCCGAAGCTCATTTAATGTCACTTCGAAACATTTTGTTTCTCAATCAGAAATCGCAGAATTATGCGTAAGACTTTGAAGATATGAAACCATTCAAATGGAATGCGTCTGTTTAGCATCGACATTCGCTATACCAAAGCAGACTTTTCAGTGTTATTCCAGTGGAAAAAAGTGAAATTGATATAATTAATTAGGATCTGATGGTTAATTCATCATCATGCAATGAAATCTCTACATCAAAGTATAATCTTCGCTGTTCATTGTCGATGTCACTAAGCAGTTTTATGAAGAAAACATAAACATAAAAGAGCATAAAAACGCAATGAATTTTAATTGAACAACTTTTCATTTCGTTTTACAATCTTTTAATGATTTATCTTGGTTAACATCTCTTTGAAACTTCTTATGCAAGCGATGATACTTCAATTTACAATTTTATATTTAATCGAGTGTCTTAATTGATGTTCGTCCTCCAATCATGTGAAAAGAAAACTTTTAAAAAATCAATGAAAACTAATCCCATACCGATTGAATGTTCGTTCAGCTACTCTTTAGAATCATCAATTGAATAATTTAACAAAGTGATGTACTCAAAGATGAAACTCTCGAATTCAAATTGATTGCCATTGTCCACTTGAAGTCAATGAATTAAACATTTAAAAGTTGATCAATAAGTGAAATTAAATTTTCGGCGCTTAAATTTCACTCTCGAAAGCAAATCTTCGTTTTGTTCAAACATAATCGGCATTGTATCAAAGGCTATCAAATTTAAATCAACTGGGTGGGCATACAGCAATTTAGAGAGAGAAAAATTAATAATAAAACAACTTGTCGATATGTCAAGATGACGCTGATGAAATCTGGATCGAAATGAAATTTGCATAAATGGGAAGGAAAGAAATTAGAAAACTTTTCCTTTAGCTTTCAACTTACCCGCATGAGTTTGAAAGTGTCATCATGTAAAAGTGTTTCAACACAAGTTACAAAGTGTACTCATGTAATTATTCCTTGATGTATTTGACTCTGACTTTGGATATTCGAGACTGTTTTCACGTCCCACCTGATCGTTATCTTCAACTCTCTCAATAGATTAGCATTAACGCTCGCTTTTGCCTTATACGCATCACTGAATGCTTGTACACAAGAGAGGTGCGATTTTTCATTAGTAATTTATGTAGATAACAGAGAGGAGAGAAAGAAGAACAACATCGCGTGGATCATCAACCCGTCATGTTCCTTCTTCTCTATGCGTTGCCACTTTTGACCCACATACTTTAACTTAACATAAGAAACTACTTTGCATTTGATATGCGTGCAATGTTCTTGCTTCCAACTATTTGAAATGTTGGAATAAAGAGAAAAAGAATTACAACTCAATTGCATGAACAACAATAATGAATATTTGAACCTTGAAGAAGAAGATCTTCTGTGTTATTATTTGTTCCATTAAGTAATTTATAAAATTGTTTTTTAGGTGTGTTCAGCATTTGATCAGAATCTAAAATTCAAATTCTGATCTCTTTTAATGCGACCGTGAACGGTTGCTGAAAGACGATGGATAGATAGATAATATCTTATAAAGGCAGCAATTTCAGATTTCAAATCTACACCCACATCATTCAGGAAAATTGCAAAATGCAATGCTAAATGAATCATGAAATAATAAAACATGTTGCGTCATAAGAAGAGAAACAATAAATTTTATTTCTATTTAAACATCTTATCGAAGATACATTAAATGTTGAATACGATTATTGAATGTTGAGATGGCGACGAATAAAGGAAGGAATAGAATTGAGTAAATAGAAATTTCACGTCGCTCAAGCACTGCACTTAAGAAGGAGAAATTACAGTTAATCTAATAAAGACAAAACTAAATGCAGATGAAGTGCCTCATTGACATTTGAGGAGTTCGAGAACTCGCTTCGAAATAAATGGAATTCTTATGTTGTTTAGGTTTTTGTTTGACTTTTTGTCTTTACGTTTTCAAAAGACATAAATTTCTATAGAACGAGATGAGAAGCTTTCATGTACATATTTATGGGAAGATAACATTTTTTGTAAAATGATTGAGATCTCCATCAACACACCGCGGTTGGTATCACTTGTTTAATTGACTTAAATGAGAGAAGGAAAAATAGATATTGACGCTTTAATGCTTCTTTCAAATCTTTCAATGTCAAAACGATGAAGTGCGGAAGTCACAAATACATTGCACGACTATCGGGAGATAATTGAAAGCTGATGAAAATTTTCAGCGGTAACAAAGGCGAATTTATGGTTCCCGTGACTTGTAAGTATAATTAAGTAAATAGTTAATTGACGATATGATTCCGTTTTCCATTTGACTCGACGTTTGTCTGACTGTTACAATGATGATGCATGTTTCATGAGAGCGAAAAGTCATCGCTAATGATAACGACCTACTTTGAAGAGGAAGAAAAAACTTGACTTTGACGGTTGGTTGGATAATTCTTGAGAGAATTTATGTTTATTGTCGTTGTTAACCTTACAAATTCCCAAGAATGTCTGTGATAAGAAGACATCGTCGACAACATGAGAATGGAAAGAAATTTTCAAGTGATAAAAGCCAATCGAAAAACAAGTTTCTAATGAGAGTCAATTTACTCAAAAGTTTCAGTTCTTGATGAAAGAATAAGTAAGAAAGAATCTTAAAAGAATTTCAACATCTTTTTTAATCCCACGTTTATTTATTTATTTAATTTTATATTGCCAGACTTTACCGACTCAATCAGACGTTGTTGGCCAAAATCAAAATAAACAAAACTTATCTTTTGTTCGTACACCAAAATCGCTTCCTCGTTTTTCGCACACTCAATCTCAACCCGCACTTCTTCTTTTTTTGTTAGCTGTTTAATTTATCGTTATTCACGTTGAATAATGTTGAGACATTCAAGTTCAATTGTTGCCATAATCAAAAAGTATTTGGAAGCTTAAGTAGACATGCCAGGATGCTAAATTTCATTGTTAAATATGAGAAGATAATTACATATTTGGCTTGAAGCGGGCCTTCTTAATTACTTTTCCCTTTGCTTCACTTTAATCTGTCTCTCTCTCTCTCTTTTAATAGCTTACTTTACTAAATAACTCGAAACACCAAGCAATTTGTAAGCAACATCCGAAGACAATTTAATTACATTCATATGACTGTGATTAGCATGATCTCTGATGCCCAATGGGCTGCTCTTTTCGCGCTTCATGAAGCTTGAAATCTGCGTAAAGATGAGATTTTAAATTAAGTTCGGGAAAAATAAAACAAAAAAAAATGTAGTAGAAAAATTCATTCATTTTTTCCAGTTAAATAAATTGCTCGCATTTTGAACACCATTTGAAGGTTTTTGGAGATTATTTTCTGTTTTTTGTTTACTGCTTGATTGGAATTTTCGTTTTTTTTTCAATTTTATTCAAACGGCTCTGATTGGATTTTGATTTTTTTTGGGAAAAACAAAAATAGATGAAAAATATTAACGAATGGCCCAGATTTCACGTGGAATAATTCGTTGTTAGGGAAAGACGATAACTGTTCTGTGATATTTATTTTCATGGCTCTGAATTAGCTTATTCATTGAATTAAATCGGGAGATCAAATATCAAAGAATTTTTTCTTCTTTTTATGATCTTGACAAGCTCTTTGAGTCAGACAAATTTTTTGATACACATCGGTAATCGAAATTCAAAGTAAATGAGATATCAAAAGGTTTATCGGAGAAAGTTCTCTCTAATCTACATTCATTAAAATTCTTCATCAAATTTTACCGCACCGTGCTGCACCACCTTTCCAAGTTGGCATGTCATTAAGTTCCATTAGATCAATGATGTATCGATTGTGATGATTACACAACACGCAACGAAGATAATCTGTTTAAATTAGGTCATACATAACAAAGTAATTTCATCAGAATCAATTCATCCGCAACATGAAATCAAAATTAAGAAAGAAAATCTACACAGACATTAGGAATTCTCTTTTATCATCACATTAATTTCTCATTTTGCTGTGGAGAAATTCATTAAAATATGTTCATGTATACACAAATTATTATCTGTATCAGATTTCGGATACAAAAGTCAAGACAAATCTCTTCTAGCAAAAAAAAAAAGGCAAGTCAACAGCCATGTTTCCCATCCAAAACTTCTATTCTATTTCTCTATTTTTTATTATTTTTTTCGTCTTCGAAATCATAACTGTTACCCAATGTTACCCACAAGAAAGAAAAGCAGCACATATAACAAAAGCCTTGGGATTTGAAATAAAAGATTCTTCAAATATTTTCTCTTCGCATCGCATCATCTTTTCTCGAGGCTTTTTCGCCTGAGGTTGTACGTTTTATTCGCGCTTAAATCTAATTCTCATGGCATACAATTGGATGTTAGTTTGTGTTCTGGATGAAGAAAAAAAAAATGAAGCGAATCCCATTCACAATTCAAAGAACCTAAAACCACTGAAGCGGCTGTCAGTGATGTAAATTGTAATAGCAAAAGATTTCTTTTAAGTATTTAAATTTATTCTATAGTCTGTTCCTACATATTGAGCATTAGATATTGCTTATACATAAATAAATACCTAATTAACTTTCCCCAACATTAAACAACACTGATGACTCGTGCAAAAATTTAAAAACTTGAGCACGAGACTGGAATGAAAAGAATTTTTCAACATCGATTTCAAACTTACTGCTCAAGTGACCATTGTTGTGATAATTATTGTATCCATTCGGCATTGTGTCGTTATCTTTCATGAATAATCCGAATGCACAGAAGAACGATGCAGAAGGAAGGACGGTCTATTTGTGCATTTTTTCAGATTTAATTACTTTTTATTGATCTCTTTATCTTCAGCCTCAACTTCATTCCACGTCGAAAGACGAGCATGCACAATGCGCCCTTTTTATAAAATTATTTTTCATAGATCTTAATTTTATATGATCTTTCTTTTTTCTATTGAATCTTTATTTTTTCTTAACAGCACTACCATTTCCAACTGTTATTGTGGATTCACAAGAATCATCATCATCGTATCGTAGGTAAACACAATGCACCAATAAACCTTTTTTTTTTCAAGCTTTTTTAATATTCTCAATGAGTAAGTTTCTTAACTCCTTTTCTCTTCTTTTAATTATTGCTTTGATACGTGACCCGCGATAAGTTTGGTGTTGTTTTTTATTACACCGTGTGTCTTGAGAATATATTTTTCTAGCACCTCAAGAAAAATGAACCGACACGTGAGAAGAGTTGAAAAAGACTGAGCGCTGTTTGTTATTGAGAAATTGTGTTGAAGACGTTGAGTGAGAAGAGTTTTTTCTTTTCTTTTTAAAATGTTTTGTATGAATTCAACACAGAGAATAGAAATTTTTTTTTCGGACTTGTAACTGTGCAGCGTTTGTGCAACCAAAAACATCTGAGATTGATTGACCATCATTTCCTCAGTGGTTGCATATATTTATATTTTATTTAAAATATGTAATCATCAATTAAATTCTACAGACTAAAGTATAAATCAGATATTTTCTTTAAGTGTGACTTCTTAAAATAGAATCTTCGATAAAATTTAATAGGAAAATTTTCAACGTGTTTTTGATATTCAAAATTCAACCATCCACCTATCGGTTAAAATCAGAACTTGAAACATAAATTCTATCAAAGAACATGAACCTTATATTCTCAGTAGTAAGGATATTTCGCTTGTAAACTAATAAATCAAATAAAAAATAGTTTAGTAAGAAATCTCGACAATATTATTTTAGCATAAGAGTTGCTGATATTGTGTCGTAAAATTATTTAATATTTAATAACATCTATTAAAATGACTTCATCAGCACCACCCCAGAATCCTCAAAAACAATTCTCGTAAGTATGAGAATTTAAATTTTCAATGTTTTTGGTTTTTAAATTTTGAAATCAAGTAAAATCAATTAAGTAGAAATTATTATTACTAAACAAGTGATTTACGGCGCCGAATGATTGCAAGTTTATCACCAATTAAACAGATAACAATTGCTTAATTGATATCTGTTGTTGCCATGTCCCTCATATTATCAAACCAAAAAGTCAATAAAATAAACTGTGATAATTTTATAAAAAATAAAAATCAATAATTTGCATAACTTGATATTATCTACTCAAGAGCTGGATAAAAGAGCCTTTTATGAGGTTGCTGCTAATTGATTATAACCAAATTTTTGACAATCTGACGTTATATTAGTACCTTTAACTTAGAATTACTGCCCGATTACGCTTGACGTTATTTTTTTCCTGTTGATCATTCTAGATTAGTACCCAAAATTATCAACGGTGGAATCGCAGGTAATTTATAAAATTATTAATATTTACTTATGGGAATTACTTCTATTCGATGTCATGATTTGATGAATCACAAAGGTCAATGTTCTTATGTTAACAAAGCATAATTTATCTTTGTGTCATTTATTTCTTATCAGAATGATTTTCATTATGAAAGTAGCCCCAGTGACATCATAAGAGAATAAATCGTTAAAAAAATCAAAGCCATTCAATTAAATCTTCTTTTTTATTCATTTAGGTATTATCGGTGTGTCATGCGTATTCCCTCTTGATTTAGTCAAAACTCGCCTGCAGAATCAACAGGTCGGACCTAATGGCGAAAAAATGTACAAAAATATGTAAGTAATAAAGAAATTTTTCATGTCATTAGTCACAAACAAAAAATATTTCACGTCAATCTTTCATCTGCTCTTTCTTATATTGTAGCATTCGCAAAATGCTACTGCAATTTCTTCTTTTTGTTTATGTGTTTTGTTTGCAGTGCAAATATTTCAGACGATGATTTTCATTTTTCTTTATTTCTTCTTCTTTGTTGTGAAATTTTAATTTTTTTTAAAAATAGATATTTAAGTTTGTTGTTGTTAGTCCGCGTGATACGTCAAAAGCTTTAGTGACGTGAAAATTAATAGCTCGAATAAACAGTTGTTCAGAGATATCAAAATGTGAAGTGATAATCAGTAATCTATTTTAAGGTTTGACTGCTTTAAGAAAACGTACAAGGCTGAAGGCTACTTTGGAATGTATCGTGGTTCAGCAGTGAACATTCTTCTTATCACTCCTGAAAAAGCCATAAAACTTGCTGCCAATGATTACTTTCGTCATCATTTAACAACCAAAGATGGTCAGTTGCCAATAACAAGACAAATGGCTGCTGGAGGTCTTGCTGGCTTATGTCAGATTGTTATTACCACTCCAATGGAGTTATTAAAGATTCAGATGCAAGATGCTGGAAGAGTTGCCGCTCAAGCGAAAGCATCTGGAAAGACAATACCGAAGACATCAGCAACAAAAATTGCAATGGAATTGCTTAAGCAAAAAGGAATTGCTGGTCTTTACAAGGGAACTGGTGCAACTGCTTTACGTGATGTAAGCTTCTCAATCGTTTACTTCCCATTGTTTGCAACGCTCAACCAATTTGGACCGAGAAAAGATGATGGAAGTGGAGATGCAGCATTTTACGTGTCGTTCTTTTCTGGATGCGCTGCTGGATCATTTGCAGCTTTAGCTGTTAATCCATTTGATGTTGTTAAAACTCGTCTTCAAGCGCTTAAGAAAGCTGAAGGCGAAATGGCTTTCAATGGCGTTGCTGATTGTATAACGTGAGTTTATTTTTCAAATTTTATTATCTCTATTAATGATAAATTCTGGGGTTTCTAGGAAAACATTGAAGCACGAAGGAATAACTGCTTTCTTCAAAGGTGGACTTTGTCGAATGATTGTCATCGCGCCACTCTTTGGAATCGCTCAAATGGTTTATTTCCTTGGAGTAGCCGAACGGTTATTGGGGATTCAAAAGCATCAGTAAAAAACGATTTAATGATAAATTATAAATGGATTGCAAAAGATCCATGAAAGAATAGAAAGAATGGCTTTTGCGTGCGTCTCATGTTATGCTGTAGTTGTCACACGATAATGATGATGGTTTTTATTATTCAAGAAACGTTTTTATGTTTAATTTTAATTGACGCTTTTAAGGATATTCAAGACGATTCCATTCCAGTATTTTTTCTTTGCTTTCATTGTCACATTATATTCCTTTTCCTTCTTATTTCCTCTGCTCTTGACGTTCTACTACATTTATTTTTATGACAAACCATCCTTTTTATATCTACTGATGATGAGAAAAAACATGCATGACACACGATACAAATCATGATTCTACTTCCATTATAATCTTTGTCTGACTTTTTTCTTATTATTTAGTATTTTACTTAGATATTAACACAAATTGTTTATTTTGTTTTCGAGTTTATCACCATCACTGATTACAAATCTACAGCACATTAACATTTAAAACTTTATATAATTTTATGTTTCTTTAGCATCTTTTGTTATTTTTATTATTATTATATTTTGATGTTGAATAATGTCGAAAAGAAAAGTAATTATGTTAAAGTTCCGACTTTGTCGTCGCAGAAATTGTGTAGAAAAGAATTAAAAATCAATTATGATAAACAGGATATCAACGAAGACAATAAGAAATAAAATCCTATTAGATAAGACAAAAAATATATTAATAATAGTTGTTAAATGGACTGTATTGACGTATTAAAAATTAATTAAAAAATTAAATAGTTAAATTTTGGAATCTTGAAGAACGAACCTTGGTTAACTGAGTCGTGAGTAAAATAAGAAATCTTGACTCAGCTAAAATTGTTTTTAAATGTTTTGCAAGTTCATTAAGTTTTCAATTTTCCCCCTAAAGTTTTATACATCAAAACTGATTTGAATATTTTTTGAAAGGGAAAATATTAAAGTATTTAATCTCATAAAGATCATTGAAATGCAATGGAAAAGGGAAGAAAGAGGAAACCATAACAGTTTTTCGTAAAATTTACAATTTGATTGTTAACAGCGTCCATAAAAAAGAAGTAGATGAAATGTCAAGTCAAATTACATAAATTTAGCAACAATGAAGTAAAAGGCATAAAATATACATAAAAGAAAAATTGTTTTACACTTATTTGATTCAAACTTTCAGAGCATCAGTTTATGGATATTTTCCAGAATTGTAATTTGCTTTCAGACATCAGAGATTTCCTTTTAAACATTTCAACAAGAATTGGTCACTTTTAAAACAGAATTTGATGTCATTAGCGGTTGAAATGAACTTTAAGAATCCTACAACAAATAATTGATCAACAAGTGTAAAATTAGGGAAAATAAAACAAAACTCAAACTAAGGTAACAAAATAATTTTAACATTTTATTTAAAACAAAATATTTAATCAGATGGAAAAACAATATTATCTGAACCATACGTTGGATTTACTCGTGTTTTATGTGTTGAACTTTCAGATTCATTTAGGAGAATGTCATCATCCTTAAGTTCATAAATTATCCCAATAAATGTTTTTTTTGTTACGTAGTGTTGATGTTTCTGAAATTTATAAGAAAATCATTTTTAAAACAATTCATTATGATTGTTTGTTATTCAAAGAATTTCTTTATTAATATCAAAAAAGCCTTAAATTGGTTCCTTTCAACTTAGTGCATTAAGTACAACAAAATAAAAAAATCCTAAATTATTTTGATCAAATCAAATATCACAGGCAATGTTTATGTGGGCGTACATGTATTAGCTTACAAATAAATTATCTGCAAATTACCTAAAAGCTTAATATAAATTAAAACAAAATTACGTACAATCTTTTCATTTCAAAATCTCTCTAAATTATTGCTTCAGACAGTGTCGTTCCTTTTAATAAAGCTTTCAACAATATGGCAGTTCATTTATGGCCTCACAAAAATTATATAAAAATAATAATTTATCGGCAGTAAGCTTAAATTTTGAACAAAATTTCAAAAAGTAAAAATATTTGCAAAAGCTAATAAAAATGTAAATACTGAGACTGTGACGGTTGAAGGTGCTGTTGACGTTTCTAAGTCTTCTTCACTTTGAATCCTTGCCGACCTTTGAATACTTGACAACTCTTCGTCTGTAAGTTGACAATTCATCCAAACTTTCGAAGACGCTCGTGGGTTTCTAATCTCCAATGTCATACTTTCATCATTGAATAAATAAAAAGCTTTTCCACTAAAGAAATACGTTTTTCCGCCAGTTTGAAATCCTGTGTCAATTTTAATCTTATTAACTTTGTCCCAGCGTTCACGGATAGGACGTGGATATTTGTTCATAGAGTTGTCGACATGAAGATTATCATCGACTCTGTTTAAAAGATTCTAACAGAAATTTTAAAATTAAATAATTGAATGAAATTTTACCTCCAAAAGTAAGGTCCACTGAAGACATAAGTTCGGTTGTTGTATCCCCATGTAAATATGGCATCAATCTTTTTAATATTTCGATGAAATCCGAGGTATTCAAGGTTGTGTGTATAAACTTTCTGATGGCTATCAATAACAACAACGTCATCGCCTATGAAGAATACAAATTTGCCATCTTTCCTTTCAAAAACAGCATCGATGTGATCAAATGATTGTAATTCAGGCCACATTCGAAAGAATTCCACTGGATAACCCTGCAAGAGACGTCCATCTCTGAATCGCCACATCCAAATGCCTTTGAAAATCATCAATTCATTCCGAATGATTCCAATCGCATCGTAGCTGATGTTGCATTTGTCGGGCTTTGGCGCCTTTGTGGTTGACACTTCCGTTGTTTGAAATCTTGGTCTCGCAGTTGTTGTCGTTGTGAAGCGTCTTGTTGTTTTCCGTGGAGCGATTGGTCCCCAACTCTTTCCACTCTTCTTCCCATAAAGCTGTTCAATGCCCCATTTATCGTCGTCGTATAACTCCTTCGTAGATCTATCAAACGTTCTTCCATTTGAATACCAAGGATACATTATAGACTCGACAGTGCTTGAATGTCCAAGACCAATTGAGTGTCCTAATTCATGTAGTAATGTATAGAAGAAATTGACATCTCCTTCAACACCGTTTTCGATATCCCAAAGTTCATCTTCATCTAAATGAACATCACCGCCAAGACCGGAACCAGGATAGAAAGCGTGCGCTGTGAAATATGAAATTGAAAAATTGAATTTAAGTTCAAAATTTTTTTATCTTACCCAGACTTCCGCCTGCTCCATTAAAGTTAAAATTGTCACCATGATTCCCTCGAGCAAAATCAATCAAAATATCAGCTCTTTCATCAGCCGTTTCTCTTAGTTTAAGATTGCTGTTATGCTGCCAAAATTCCATCGCCTCGTAAATAAGACGTCTAATTTGCCCATGCTCTCTTTCACCTCTTGGGTAATTCCTGTTTAAATATCTGGCAAAAAGTTCACTTACTTAATTCAATTCAATTAGAGTTTTAATGAAATTTCAGTGTTAACTGTGAAAATGCCGCAACTCATTCTTTCACGCCTTCAATAACATTTCGATGCGTCTTATCAATTGCTCGCTCACTCAAGGAGGTTGTGACTGTTTATCATTCATTATTCCGTTTATGCTTTATTCACTGAAAGAGTCTGATTCGTAGGATCTTGTGGCGTCGTATAGACGCTTACGATCTACAATCAAGTCGAGGCTCAACCGTGTGTGAAAATTTGCATTGGACAACGAATTATCATTAGAGATGTAATCACACCCAAGTTGAGTGAGTCAGCTATGATAATTTTTCTTCTTTTCAGCCATGGATGATAGTTTATTTTATTCACAGCAAGACTTCACGATTTTTTGATAAATTATGAGACTTCCTTCAAATCGAAATTTTATTCAATGATTAAAATTTGAAAGAAGAAGAATTCAGTTTAACAAATTAAGTTGATGAAAACCTTGATCTTTCGACATTACTCAGAATCAGATTTCAAAATTGGAACTTTTAATTAACATCTCAAAAGTAAATTTCTTATTTAAAGCTATCCGCATTTCAAAACATAGATTTAAACTAATTCAGTTTTCCTTAATTTAATTCAATGATTTCTCCAGTGTATTTATGCTATTTTATGTTAATAAAATTTATTTCCATCTGGTTCTTTTACTTCCCGCTCGGATGACACCAATTTCATATAATTCTTTTCTGCCACATTGCTTCAAATTATTTTTAATATTTTTAACTTCTTCTTGTTATTTCTACTCATCAACGCTCTCCGCAAGTAACTAAATGACTAAGTGTCGAGTCTCGAGTTGGTCTCTTGATCCCAAATTAGATAGTTCACTGAATAATTGTTTTTATTAAAGCTCATTGCCTTCCATCGGGCTCAATGACAAAGCGGAATATTTATTGATGGGTTTCCATATCAACAATCCTGTATCAGTCATTAACCTCTTTTTATGTTGATGTGAAGGGGGGAAGGGATGATATTCTCAATGTAACTTCGTTGTAACAATGTGCAACAAAATCACAATATTTTATTTCATTGTGGAAAGAGAAGTTGTAATAAATATCATTGTGTAACACATAAATGATGTGATGTATGCATCGAGCAACAAACTGAGTTATGTAAAGAATTTTTTAATTTGAAGGCAATTCATATTCAATTTCAAAGCACCATCAAAATAAAAGGGATCAACGCTTGTGAAATTAATAAATAAATATAAAATATTTTAATGTTATAAAACGAGAAATTATGAGACATATTGAAAATGTTTCAAAAAATGCTTTTGTCGACACAGTCGATCATCATCAGCACTCGCACGTTGCTTGTTCCTACATACAAATTCAGTTGAGTTTTATTGATTTTATCAATTGATTTCAATTAAAATTTATGATGAGTTTTAATTGAAGTTGAAGTTATCAAAAACAGTTTCTTTTGTTTTTTTTCTCGAGTGGTTTGGTGCTTGGGTTAGTTGAAGTATGTCGCATTTAATTTTCATTTGAAATGCTGGTAATGATGGATGGCGATAGTAACGAGAGTCAAATAAGGGAACGACATCAATCATGAACATTGCCACAAAATGATAAAAGATTCAAATTCAATTCTCAATTTCAATTCTGTTATTTTTGAGTCTTGACGAATAATTCTTCTCGATAGTTGGTTCTCGTCTGTATTATGACGATAGAACATTTTTTATGATAGATACTTAATTTCCATTCTCCTCTGCTACGGCTTCGTTTTTATATTTTTATGAATATATTTTTCATTTTATTTACTGAAGTTGTGCAAAATTTTATAAGGGAATGTCGCCGAGATTTCAGGAATGTGTCTGCGACTGACAACGGCGAGGAAATTCTTTAAGCCGATCAGAGAATGTTTCCTACTTCTCTCAATTACTCAACTCGCTCTTAATAAATTGTGTAAAGAAAGTTTTCTGCCGTTAAATTCTTTATGACAATAAAATGAGGGTGAAAGAAAAAATGAAGTAAGTTGTTCACCCACGCTCCTATAAAGTCAGCATATTTAACGACAACGGAGCCTTAAATCAAACATTAATAATTTAAATCGAAAATTTTTTAATGCTTGTTTTATGTCGTTCACTTCTTTTCTATTGTGTGTTCATGAAAGCAATAATGGAAACTTAATCATGATGAAAATGCGAACGTTCGTAAAGAATTTAAAGCTGGGATCACACTCATTCCTTTATTTGGCATAAAATCCAAACAAATGTCAAGGGATAAGTGGAATTAATTCACGTGTTTGAATTGAAGTGTGAATTCTATTGAAGGTAAAACCATCGAGTGATCACCTTAACAAGAATGTGTCACCAAAGAGTGGACAGTTAAGGGACACAATTATACCAAGCCCATCATATAATTGTCATTCAGATTAATGACCAACAAACAACAAATGCTTCACATTGAAGTCCATCATCAGCAGTCATTGCTTCAACAAGCTTTGAAATTCCTTTTACATTTATTTGAATTCAATTTAACCCCCCAAATGTCTCAATTCCGTTCTCTTGCTTTTCAAAACCAACCAACTATCATAACGTCTTTTGTTCCTTGTCATAACAATGGGGAAAATATTTTTCTCCTTTTTTTCCTCTTTTCATTGGCGTTTGTCATGAGGAAAAAAAAGCATAAATTGAGAAATTACTTGAATAATAAGTTCCATGACTCACACCACTTTATTCTTTTCATGTGCTCCGCACCTCTCGCCTCCCATCTCAACACTTGTGTGCCCAATCATCATCAATACTAAGGGCTCGGTGAAAATAATTAGAAAAAAATATACAAACTGAGTTGGATGATTGTTGTTGGTCGGGGATGGAATGATGAATGCTTATTGAATACCTATCGATAAGCGGTTGAAACAGGCGAACATACAAACACTCATATATCTTAGCTTGTGTTCTCTTCATTAAATTTAATAGTTGGTGGCACTTTAATTCCTTTTTATGCTCTAAAAGCCTCTCGAGAACGGAAAAAAGGGTTCGGTTACGGGGTGTGTACATTTACAACACAACATTGTCATCATCGTGTGTGCCATTATAGGGGACGCCTTGAGATGATGATGAGAAATAACAATTAAAAGCGAGAGTCAATATCGTTTATGCAAATCATTTTTTAAGGCTGACGTAGGCAAAAAATTCAATAAGGTTTAAAAAAAATTCGGAAGCGGGTATGAGAGAAAATGAAGACATAATAAATTGAATGATTTTATGTTAGTTACTTATGTTGATTTTAGAATATAATCGGATATTATATAAAAGGATTTTGGTAGTGGTGGGAGGTTCGTGACGTTCTTTCAGCTATATAAAAGATTATAAATTTTTTATTCTAATTTAAATTGTTCCTGATTTAAACGCAACCTTCTATTTTTATCAGAAATCTTTTGTCAAGTAGAATTATACTTTCTTAACAATAAATTTAATAAAAATATGTTCAATCTTTGCTCAACTGCACATAAACGTGCTTATTATACGATAATAGAAAACAATTTTTTGTCTCGTAAGCTAAAGTTTCGTTAAATCGCAAGCACACGTTTCAATCAGCTCATGCAACTTGTTCAACAAAACACTTTAGAATGAAGAAGAAAAGGAGAAAAATATTTTCCACCGCTTTATTTAGATGCATTGAATTCATAAAGTGTGATTCGCACCAACTCCCACATCTACGAGATATTCTCAACCACGAATAAACACTTTACATGGGATTTTCTCTCTTTGTCGCTTTAGATCAAAAAATAGAAATAAAATATGAAAATTCTATCGGGTAGAAAACGGAAACTTTTTATCACTTTTCATCTCTTCATCTTTTAGTGTCGTTGTCCTGTAATTTATTCTGTTGTTTTCTGTAGCATAATTTAGTTGGTGCATTTTATATCTGATTCCATTTTGGGTAGAGATATATTTGCGTTAAATGAGTGGCTCTAGATAGAAACGTGAGTATTACCCTCCAACTCAGCAACAACGAATAAACTGACGTTCGATGAAAATATTCTTTGTCCACTTGCTTGTCTCGCTTTTTAAGTTTTTTTAGTTGATGTTTTTGGATGCGAAGCCAAAGCAAACAACGACTTTTCTTCTTCCATTCGAGGACTCAAATTACCAAATTATGTTCTTTTTTTCTATTCGTATGATTTCACCGAAATTAACTTGCATATGAGAGTCGCACTTGAATCACGAATAACGTGAAGCTAAAATGATTTCTTTTTTTTAGAAACATCCCTTGGCTGACTTATAAGTGGAAGAAAGACAAAAAAAAAGATAAAGAAGCATTTCAAATAATCAATTATGTTAGGTATTTTGATACTTTTTTGTTTACTCATTTAACGAACTTCAATTATCAGTCATGTAATCGATTCTTTATTGCTAACATTTCGTGTTTCTTTTGGGTTAAATTTTAATGATTCTAGAACATATCGTGTGCTATTTTCAGTGAATCTTTGTTGCTTCAAAATGCTTTGTTTCGTGAAATTGCTTCGTTATTTAATATTTTTTTTCATCTCAAATTTGAAATCTGAAACTGATTCGATTTTTATTTCTTTCCCTTTAAGTAATTTTTTGCAAATGACTTGATTTGAAAACCTGCAAGTTCCGATATTTATCAGATAAAACAAAAGAATCTAAAATTTTCGAATCTAACAAGCATCAAGTGATTTTATTGCTGCACTCGCAAAAATAATTAAAAACTGAAAATCATTTGAAGTTTCGTTGCAATCACAGGAGAGAGAAAAAAAACCACCAGGAAATTTGAAACAGAACCAAAACACTTGTTTTCACTGGCACAATTGAGAGCACACATCAAAATGAATTTGAATAACCACTCAGTCACGTTTGTATAATCAACTTCTTCACCCGAGAATGCCAACAAACTTCTACAACGTTCAAGATCCAACTGAACATTTTTATTCTCTGGATGATGTTTTTATATCGTTGAAGATTGCGCTCAAGTCCGTTTGATGGCGCTCGCGTACATTGACGGAACAAATCGGACGTTTATCGATCACAACCGACGAATAGGGGACGAAAAGAAAAGCACATTTTTAGACACAATCAACTGATTTTAATTGCATGAAAATTATTATTTATTTATGGGATAGAGAGAAAGAGTTGGGCGATGTTGTGAAGCAAAGAAAAAGAAGAAGAAGAAGAGTCGAGGAAAGCTTAACTGACTCAGTAACGACGAATTTTCATTTATTTTCATTTCTACTCAGTTGTTTCTTAAAAAGAAGGAAAATATTTTCTCTATCCCTCACTATAATGAATGTTGCATAATGAAAGAAAAAGAGAAAAAAAGAATTAACTTTTCACCATTGCTTGTCGATTAATTTCTTATTTCCAGTTGATTGGCATTTGAAATAAAAAGTAGTTTGATGCTAAAGGTAAAGAGTCGACTGAGTAAATTACGGACAGTGTTTCGGATAAAAATATGCAGCTTTGAAATTTATGTACAAGAAAGTCTTTCAACCCATAATTCTACCCTTTCATGCTTATTGTTAATGTTTCTTCAATCTACAATGATTAAATTTTTAAAAAGAAATCCATTTCGTGTTCATATGTTTAAAGTAGATCAACATTAGAACATTAATTTGATATAAAAATTTAAAATTATTAAGAATAATTTATGCTTCAACTACTTAACTATTCAAGTCTTTAATGAAACGAAAAAAATAAATAAATAAATAAACGAATTGAAATGAAACCTCACTAGGATACAATTTTTTGAAGGCAGCAATCGTCAAGCATAAATATGAACAACTGTTTTAATCGTGTTGTATGTATATTTCATTGAATTAATTATTAATTACTCATTCCCTTGATTGTTCCCGTTCATGAAATTGTTCTGTTTTTGTTATTTCACTGACCGTGGCGCGTGTCATGTGTGAAGGAATTTTCCGTTAACTGATGGGATTGAAATGATTTTGTTTTCCAAATGTTTCAACGTGATTTGACAATGTTGAGGCCGATAGAAAAGTTAATAAAAACATGTGAAGGAATTTCAAAATAAAACAAAGAAGTGTTCGTAAACGAGAGTTCATCAATATAAAATCAATTAAGTGTCGTCTTGTCGTTAATAAAAAGAAAAACATTTTTACTATGTCGTTTAATGACGCCTAAACTGCGGTTGTGTGCGTCGTCAAACTATATTGCTTTCTAATATTAATAAAAGCAATAATCCACACGGCCACCCTCTCGCGTCTTAATGAAAACGCAAATTAATATCTTCCACTGTTGCTTTAAATCTCCGTCGCCCTTTTTCACCCAATGATAATGAATTTTAAAAGTGATTATCAGCTGAGTCTGCTTGTTGCCACCATAATAATCGAATATATTTCCTTCTATGCCTGCAACTTGCGAGTTAATTTAACGAAACGATAAAAAGAAATTCATTGACATCTACGATGAACTCAATCAAAAAATTCCATTTTGATGTCTTTAAGAATTCGTGAAGCTCTATTTTGGATCGCAGCAAGTCTCATTCCACTAACTTAGCTGTTAATTGTGGGCCACATTGGATGCCACTCTGTCGTGAAACAAGAAGAGTTCTTGGAGCATCGATAGGAGGGCGTAAAAACTAATCAAGTCAATTAATAATAAATTTATACTGTTTCATATTTCCATCAAACCAGAAGCCATTTTCTAGGGGCGACGTTTTACGATGATTCAATGAAGTTGGAGAGAAATTGATAGAGAGAAAAAACATTTCATGTCGCATTATCTAAATTATAATAAAATTAATTCAGTTGGAGACTTTTTTTTGTATTATTTCTCGTATTACAGAGGGAGAAAAGTTTATTTATTTTGATGTTATTGATACTCAATAAATTGTATTAAATTCCATGATCACATGATGATTCAATCGGAAAGAATGAAAATTTCATTAATGAAGAGATTTTATTTGAAATGTTTGACATTTTTATATTCGCTGATTGTGTGGGTGGCTTTTCAACAGCATGAAACAATGACGAATATTGCGCGACATTTTCACTTGCTTATGTTTTTGATTAAAATGAAATCTCTACCATTAAATAACAACTTTTATGATGTAACTTACTTCCACGTGACATCCAACTTATCCCACTTAGTTGGCCCTAGAACATAACGTTTCTGTCTTCTGTGTCTGCTGCTGTTCGTCGGAATAGTTTCAAAGTCTGGGTTTCCACATCGAGGTTTCCGTAGCAATGCTTTTGTTGCATCATCTAGAAATCCAGTTTCAGGGATGTTTCCTAATCTCTGCCAACATTTTTTGTACGTTTCATTAATGAAACAAGAAACCTAACACGTGACTTTTAAATTTATTTACCTGCAGAGCTTTCAAAGCGTTGGTTGCTGTATCCTCATGTAAAATGTCATCACCAAATCTAGATGACGTCTTAGGTAAATATCCGTAATTTCTAAGGTAGTCAATCTAAAACAACAATAAGTAGAAACAAAAAAAATGAACATGAATAATATAAATATGTATGTAGATATATCCAAGCAGTTCAAATGATGATGATGATGCGTGTCAATGGTTCATAAACAATTGCAACATTACGAGAAACGAGTGGAATTGAAACATAAAAAGCGACAACGACGACCATAGCAAACTCTTGTGTAGTAAAGAGCATGTAAATTTGCAATAAAAATTTGCTAAATGAATTGAAAGGACGCTTCGGGTAGATGTGGACACAAAACGAAAACACCCGGAACGAGAGCTTTTAAGCTGAAGACATATGTTCGATGCTCTTAAAGAAAATGGATTTTTGAAGTGTCTAACGATGGATAAAATGTTTTCATTTAAGTATCACGACTTGCAACCAAAAAGATTTCATTTTTTAAGATATTTTATTTTCTGTTATCATTCATCACAATTTTCAGTCAATTTTCAAAAGATTTTTAGACAAAAATTTCATGAAAATTACTTCAATTAGTAGACAAGAAATTAGTTTACATTCTTAAACAATCTTTAATCAAGAAGAGCTTTTATCACTTAATTGCTTCATTAAATTTTGAATGAATGACAACGAATGTGTAGATGTAAGTCTTTTAGTTGAAAGATGTTGCTAATGGGTACTTTTTGATATAGCGGTGTAGTGAGTTGAACACAATGAAGAGTCGATTGAGTTGCTATAATGAATTAATTTAATTATTTAGGCTCACATTATATCCTTCACTTAAATTATTTGATTGTTAGAAAGCTTTGCTCTCACTTTCCATTCATTTCCCTCCGAGTGACATGAAACATAACTTCAATCGCTTAAAGTTATTTGAGCAATTTTAAATTTTTCATGTGATCGACATTGTCATGTGATTTCGTTCTATTTCCCTTGTTATTTCCATCCCCCAGGGACATTAATGGATACGAAAACTCATTCAACAACATATTTTTTTTCGCCTTTGGAATGGTTACGAAAAAAGTATTTTTGTGGAAAAAACTATCAAATTGATAACACAAAATGAGAATATCAATAAAAATGGAATGAAGCATCGAACCATAATCGACAAGTGCTGTTTCAACAAATGTTCTCGTGTTGTTATTCTCGAATGCAGTTTTCATTCTTCAGCGAATGTGTTCTCTTCATAGAGAGTTCGATTTAAAGTATTTTGGGAAGAGAAAGAAAAAAAAAGAAAACATTTGAGGGCGATTTTGTGTGGAGAAGGAGAAAAAAAGAAAAACATCGTCGAGTTATGAAGAAAATTTCTCATGATTTCTTCCAACTTTGTTGGACTCACTTGTAAGACAAGTAACAATGTCTTTTACACGTTTTTCCAGTTATTGTTACTATCTAAGTCCTAAGGAAAATGTGATACAAAGACATTTCTTCAAAATGAGAAAAAAAAATTACCTAAAGAAGAAATTTATAAACAAAACATTCACTCAGGTTGGGACGTAATTGAATGTTATTTCCCTTTAAATCATATCATTCTTTCTTTGCAAGTAGTTTTATCTCGTTATCAGATATGAAAACACGAAAAACTTTTTGAAAATTTCTAGCACGTACTTTCGTGGGACTAAGCGTGAGGGTGAGGTCAAAATAGGAATAACAATTTTAATTGAAAAAGTTTTGCATCTCTGTTGCTTTTCGTTGTTGAGTTTATGTTTCTTGCACGATCGATGTGGTGGAAAATAAAATGAAAGTAGCGTGGAGATGTAGGTTATTCCGAGTTCACAGTGATAAATCTTGAAGGGATTTTCCAGTCGGATAGAGAAATGCAAGCTGTCATCGTATGGAAAGAAAGCAAATGAAAATCAATAAATCCAACGATGACAGTATTCGAAGGATAATGATGATGATGTATCGTCTTGACGACCCAGTACTCCCACATCGTCATAACTTTTCATTGAATTCTTTCTCACACTTTCCTTCACCCCTCGCTTAATCAACACAACAATATTGTTAAATTTTCTTTTATTTTTTTCTTCAATAAAAAAGGAAACATTGCTAAAAGCGTGTAAAACCTTGAGACTCTTGATAGAGTAAATGATCACTCTTAATGACGAATTAATGTATTGCATGCAATCTTCATTTACATAATATAATTTTATGGATTTTTCTTTCTCCAAAAGCTAAATATTTATTGTTATAATCAAGATGTTATTGCTCAAAGTTTCTCATTATCATCATATTGCCACCCCTTCAAAAAGAATTCTCTTAATGTAGTATAATTTCTCATAATATTTCCCGATTCTATCTCGCAGACCGATTCCATGAAAATATTTTTCCTCTCCAGCTTAGCTTTATTTTTATAAATGTGTGAAGTTATAGGTAGCGTCGTTCGTATTTGTTAATCTTCTGTTTTATTTATAAAACATGATAACTTAGAGTGTCTGGTAACTTAATTCAAAACGATAATAAAATGCCGACAGTGGAATTGGTGGGTGGAAATGATTTTGAAGAGTTTTTAATCTGTGGAAATCTTTTTCAATTAAATATTGATCATAGTCTGAATGTTTCAAAATATTCTTCGACTCAAATGTTTATGAAGATTAATTTTTCTTTCTTCTTTCTTCTGTAGATAGATAATACATAGACAAACACTTCAAAATTACTGCTCTTAACCGTGATCTTATAAATCAACAACATAAACGTTGAAAAAAATCTGAAAATAGCCGTGGACGTCAAAACTCTTTTTAATGTAGGTCAGGAAATCGAGAAATTTCACTCAATTTATTTTTTCTAAGAAAATTTTGTATCAAAAATAATTTTTCGTCGAAGTTGTTTCTTTCTTCGTCTTTTATCACATTGAAAATATCTTCTAATGGTTCAGTTCTGAATAATTAAAACATAAGATTCAGGGGCGTGAGTTGTCGTTGCAGAAAAAGGGAAAACGACTTCGAAATCTTCTCGCTTTTAATTACTCAACTCATCGTGATTTTTTCATAACAACTTAAAGCGCTTCTAAATAGTCATGAATCTTTAATTTACTCACTATCACACATTAGACATCGTCAAGCAACAAGAAGACAATGACAACGTTTCTGAGTGATTAATTGATGTCAATTTGTGCTAATTGGAAGTCAAACAGAAGTGTTTGCTGCATTTATTCCCTCACATACATTTTCCAACATAATCCCCGTTATTGAAACTCAACGTGAGGTTTTCAATTTTATCCTGCCCTACAATTTCATTATTCAATCATATCTAATTATAATTTTTCTTTCATTTTTTAGTCACCCTTTCAACAGTTTCCTTTTATACTTTGATGCTTCAGCACTTGACTAACGTGTGAGTCATCATAAAACTTTCATGATATTTTTTCTTCCCTTTTTTCTGTGTAACAAAGAGAATCCCTAAGATGTATTCAAGAGAGAATGCACTTGAGAATCTTGCTGTGGTTGTTAAAACGAGGGATGAAAAGTCAGCGACTCGATGTCGAGTACTCAATTTTTATTAACATTCCATTACGTTTCTATGACTCAGTTTTTATTTGCTTAAGAATTTTAACACTTGCCGGTGTTCGACCTTTTCAATATCTTTTATATAACCTTCGATAAAGCGCTAAATCTATCAAGTTAATTTTTTTAACACCTAAGAAAATCTTTGTCGACATTAAACTCTCTAAGTAATTAATTTTCTAGTTTTCCGACCTTCGAAGGAGCAAAAAGAAAATTTTCTCTCACACTTGATGATGATTTGCGAGATTCTTAATGAAAAGCAAAAAGAAAATCGAAACAAAAATGTATCAAAAATGAATGAGTTGCAAACGTTGCGAACATCGTTGAAGTGGAGACGAGAGAAGAGAAAAGCGGAAATTGTTGTTCAATTGAATCAATCGTCTTAATTCTTATTCCAATTCCCTTGAATTATTTGATTCATTATGGATTTCATTCAACTTGAGTCACAGTTGAAGTATTATGGAAACTTACCGCATTGTCATCAATTGGTAATGAACAAACAGCATTTAACACCAAGCAACTTCCGATAAGCCAAAATTTGGCGAAAATCATGATTCTCGTTGTCAAGGCGATTAACTAACACACATACACACAAAACTCTGGAAGCACTTAATTGAATCTCCTCGTAATAAAATTTCGAATCCTTTGTTAATGCTTGCAAAAGAAGAATGAAAGAGTTTTCACTCAACCACAAGTAAATTGAAGAACTTTTTTCCTTCCGTGATTTCACACTCGCAATAAATTTTTTTTAGCTAGTGTACTTTTTTTTGTTTTAAATTGAAGGCTTCAAAAAATATATTAAAGAATTCATAAAAACTACTACATGGAAGAATATCACGTTTCACTATTTGCGAAAAAATAAAAGCGAATCCAAATAAAACTGTAAAAAGCACTGCTCATTGGTTGAGCGCATGTCCCAATTTGCTTTCAGTTTCCTTCGATAAATATCAACGAAACAGTTTTAATCACCACTGTTCACTATTGCCACGACTAAAAGAGCTTTGCCCTTAAGCTGCTTGCAACACAACAAGCCACGATATCGAGTTCAAAGGATATTCCAATAAATCATGAGCGCTTTACAAGCTTTTTACTTATCTCCGGCTTTTTAAACTTATAAGTATTTTTGTCCACTTTTCCACTTCTCACGAAGGTTCGTTTTCTTCTTTCTTTGCGCTCTGAATATTATTTGTTTATTTCGTGTGTGTCGTCCGCGAGCACAGGTGATCAACTAAAAACTTACAATTCGTAAAGACAAACTGAGAAGCAAAATACTTATGTGAAAAAAATCGCGTGTCGCGATTGAAAATAATGTACGCGCTAGTAGCGAAACTGGTTTTAAACTGAGATGAAAACGGAGGAGATTCAATGAGATTTAAAAAGTTTGAAGAGTCATCTCGGTGTATGTTGCGAACTTTATTATGAGTCACTCACATTTGGTGGTAACGAACCATACAAAGTGACGTCGATTAGACACATTTTAGATTATCTCGAAATTTGGTTTCTTTCTTTTTTCGACTGAATGATGACACGATCATTGCAATGAAGTTTAAGTGGAATTCACAACTGATGACATGAATGGAAATGAAAAGTCTAGTTGATTGAATCATGATATATCTTATCGCTTTTATGGTAGTTTCAATGACACAATTTTTTTATTCAATTTTTTGGGTGGGATTCCAAGCAATGTTAAGTCACAAATCGTAAGTAATTAAAACGGTTGAGGAATTCAAGTATTTATTCACACGACTCTCGACTTGACTTAAATCCCCTAAACAAACTACAAGTAAAAATTAAACCGACATTACAATGAAGAATTGTGATGTTTTGACAAATCTATTCATAACAATTTGTAGGTGGATTTACAAGCGTCATGAGTTTGTAAAAATTTATTTACTCTAGATATAGATTTATGTAATAAATAATTATTGAACTCACATTACTAATCATTATAGATTATCTAATGAAATCGAAATTGAATTACTAATCATGCTTGTTAAATGTTTTATGATCGAAAGTATCGATTATGTAATAAATTATTTTACGATCTTCTTTAATGACTAACATTTGCAATTTCATGAATTGAGTTTGAGCATATGTTTAATGTATAAGTTCAAGTTACCCAGAAAATGAATGAATTTAATAAAAAATTTATTCTAAATAGGAAATTGTCGAACGTGCATGACGATATGGTAAACAGCAACGATGCAAATTTTTTTTATTCAGAAATAAACTTTTAAAGTTTTCCGAAACAGTTTTTGTTCCTACAAAAAGCAAATCAAGCGAATATTGATAAACAAAAGTGACACTGAAAATCCCAAACGATCAAAACTCACGACACAAGTAGCAATAAACGATTTCTTAATCATTCAACGCTTTAGATTTCTCGCGATAAATAAAGCGGTGAGTTTTGTTCACTTTAAAAGGTCTGAGCATGTTTTTCTTATGCTGACTTCCATTGACTTCGTTCACTCTGATCACAACAAACAATCAACGCGACATTGTCAACTCGTGCAACGTGCAAATAGTTTCGATGGCTTACAAAGTCACACTCCGGCTAATTAAATGTAATCAGCACAGTTGCAAAGAATTTTAATGATTATCAACTGACGAGACTTTAAGATTTTTTATTATTTATTTGTGATGATTTTTTTGTGTGTTTGCTTGTTGCCAAGCGACTGTAAAAATTTCAATGCGAAATCGATAACAGATGTTGGATTCGAAGGCGAGTATTTTTCGTAGTATAATGGGTGAAATTCCCTAGAAGACCTTGGGAAAACCACCTGTTAGAATGTGAATAAATAGTTATAGTTAACTCAGCGTGAATCAATGTCACTTGTTAGCACTTTAATGATTTGTAATTTAATTTTTTCGGTGAACGCCAATAATGAATCATTAATCAAAATCGACAAGTCAACTTTTGAATGTGTTTACATTTTCAATTAGAAAGTTAAACGCTTTTTATGACTTACGATTTATATGAAGACCTAAATTGTAAACACAGACACTGGACTTAGTCATCATAACTTAGCCATTTCCTCTCTTAGCCATTTCTTTTCTTACGTGATTTTGATGCCGGCAAGAGAAGAATTTTAAAATTGAATTCGTGATTTTTCCGTTTAACATTCCAAGACAGAGATGTTTGAAAATACAAATGGAGTCATAGAATATTTTATAGAAATTTGTCTAATTCTAAATTGAATTTTTATTCTAAAAATATCTTTAAAATGACGAAATATTCACAAAAGTGAATTATGTTAAATTGGGAATCACAACATTAACTCGCAACATCACTGATTTAATATTAAAACTTCTTACGATCTTTTGTTTTGCACATCAAGACAAACTATTAAAAGAAGTGACGACGAGGGTGCATCGCTTACATGTTGCTTATTCCTTCGGCTATTAAAATTTCGTCTCGACTTGAGAGATTTCAACTACGTGATTCATTTTGGAATATATGGAAGAAGTGGAAATTGCTGTGTTTATTTACTCCACTTTTGCCATACCATGTCACCCTCACCATGAACTCAATGTGTACACATTCACCAATTTCTACGAAAGGAGAGAGAAGGAAATTTTATGTTTAATTTTTTCTTTTTTTTCGTATGCTCGACATCATGTCGCCGGACGCTTTCAATGTTTTCCTATTGCGAGCATTCGTTCCTATTCGAACACATTCGCATAGAATATTTCTTTATTTTTTTATATATATTTTGTATTCATTTCCATCCTTCAAACTGAAAAATTATGATTACAGAATACGAGGTTGGTGAAGGTTGTGTTGGTTTTTATCTTCTGACTATTAAAGTCATCCCCTCGGAAATGAGTTATAATTGTGATGATGACGAAATGCGCTATACACGAACTTGCAAGCTCATTTTTTTGATGACTTCGACTAGGAAGAAGTAATAAAAGTTTAATAAACCTCCATTCTGCCCTTTTGCGTCCATTATCGTCTCCTTAGCGTCGTTGTTTGCTTTGTTTAACGAATTTCTTCTTTTTTTGTTTATACATAGATCGCATACGATGAACTAAAATCCGGTGTCATAAAAGTCGATGTCAACAAGGAATCTCATTATTAGCTCATTTATGTAATTTTATTGGTTTTAGTTTATCGAGTAGTATATTATATCTCTCTTTCTCTCTCACACACAAGCATCTTCTATTAAATTTCATTAAATTAAATGATTTAAGCCGTAAAAATACTTTCTGATTTATTGTTTCAATTCTGAAAACTACTTCATGGCTAGAATATTTCAACATAAATTTAATGATTTAATCTTTGTTACCTAATTTAATTTGAAGAAAAATTGCGAGGAAATTGCTCAACAAACATGAGGTTTGACAGCACGTGGTGTAAGAAATATTAAAACCTTGCAGTTTGAAAACTTCAAGAAAGTTTTTGTGCTTTTTGAATGAAGCAGTAAAAATTAAAGCAGCTTTTTGTTCCAAGAAGTTAACCCAGGCAACAGGCAAATGATTCACACTGAAGTTTGAATTTCATTTGAGAAAATTTATATTCGCATTCTATTGAAAAGAAATTTTCTTTCTTCAAACCAGCCTGGGACATAATAATTACACTCCCACAATGACGAACAAACTGATTATATAACAGTTCAAATAGACAAAGCAAACGAGAATAAAGAAATATTTAAACAAAAAAAAAAAGAGAAGTGAAATCCTCGATGGGCTTCTTGTTCGTGCTTCAATTTCTAAATCAACATATCGAGAACGATTATGGATCGGAACGGCACACAACAACGTATTATTTTCCCTTTCTAATGACTTCATGATAGTGTTTCGTATGACATCGATTTAGGTTGGAGAAAAAGAAAAAAATGTGGGTGGAAGTAGATAAAGTAAAATGGTCATCAATCAACGAAATTATTTAATTTAGTATTGAATTTTATTTTCTTCTCGTTTACAAATGAAGTGAAATCGATGGAACCACCCAGGAGATGGCTAATGATGCCAACATAATGGCAATGAAGGGATGATGAACGATAGCAGCGTCTTTCTTGTCAGGTTTCGAAGTGCTTGTTGTTTTCTCAGACGAAACAGTTGTGGTCGTCGGCGTCAAAGTTGTCTCTATGACCTTTTCAACATTGTCTTCATCATTTTGGATTTCTACTACTTCCCCATCATCTATGACATCTGTCTCGTCGCCAAAGCGACTTAATATCTTCGTCAATCTTTTGTTGCCCGGACACTGCATGAAATTTTGGGCTGATGGTATTGGTTGCATTCTATCAATTCTCATCGGTCCATGTTTGAACTCATAGAAATATTTTCCTTTAAAGAAATAAAGCTTCTTATCGTCGCCAAATGCTGTATCAATATCGTAAACTTCTCTCCATGATCTTAAAATATCTTTTGGGTATCGACGGCTCACCATTCTACCATCTAATCGAAAGTATTCATCACCACTAAACATGTAAGTTCGATTGTTATAATACCATTTGAAAATCGCGTCAATCTTCTCAAAGTGCCGATCAATCCCAAGGTGCATTAAAGTAGATTTGTAAACAAATTTCGTTGCATTAAAAGCATAAATGTCACGACCAATGAAAAATAAAATGTTTCCATCTCCATCAACATTCTCAAACACCGAATCAACGTGTGTCAAATTTTCGGGAAGTTCTGGCCACATTTGTCGTATTTCAATTGCATCAGGACTTGAATCTGGTCGCCAATAATAAATATCTTTAAATATGAAAAGTTCATTACGAATTTTAGCGATTGCGTCATAAGACATATCGCATTTATCGGGAATTGTGGGTGAAGGTTGAGCAATTTCCGTTGTTGGAGCTGAAGTGGTTGGATATTGATAATCTTTGGGAACACCGTAGATATGATGGATACCTTCGATGTCGTCTTTAGAAAGCACTCCAGTAGTAACTGTATAAAATTCGTACATCACAGCTTCATGTCGATCTGAATGTCCAAGACCAAGTGTATGTCCCAACTCATGTAAAGCAACAGCGAAGAAGCTCAGTCGATTACCAGTCGCTTGTTGTCCGTAAATCACATCAAAATCCCATTCAAGGTCTTCTCGAAAATGAACATCGCCACCAATTGTTAAACCTGGTCGAAAAGCATGTGCTAGAATGGGATCGTTCATTGGATATCCGTCAACATCGTAATGTTCTATCTTCTCAAATGATATCAAAATGTCAGCATCGCTTCGTTCTGTGACCTCGTGAAATATCAGAACTGAATTTTCTTGCCAAATATTTAAAGCTTCTGAAATGATGAAACGAATTTTTGAAGCTTCACTTGCATATTTTCCATTTTTATGGTCGAAACTGTAAGTAAGCAAAGATAGTTTTGCATTTATTTTAAAAGTTATATCTTATATAAATAAATAAATATCGTAATAAGTCTTATTATCCATTGCAAATGTTCGAGATAGCAAATACTCACTGCCAACCAATATTGCGCTTATCCCATTTAGAAGATAGCAAATCATATCTTTTTTGTCGTTTATGGGTGCGATGTTTAATATCGCGAAAACCGCATCGTGGAACTTTCATAAGTTTTAGTGTGGCATCGTCAATCTTCCCAGTAACTGCAATGTGACCGTCAACCTAAAGCAATATTTTACGATTTATGAAATGAATGATAAATCATAGATAGTGAAAAGTTATTTTCATACTTGCAGTTGCCTCAGACTATGTCGTAATTGCTTGTGACTTATTTTCGTTCTATTATTATTTTCTGGAAGATAACCAAAAGATCTCAAATATTTGATAACATTTTTCTCGCTTTTCTTCTCCTTTTCTGTTAATTGTTCACCATTTACAATACTTGCAATTAAAACACAGAAAAACAGACCGATTAATAATACTTTCATTGTTCTCTAAATAATTTTAAACTCAGCGTTATTCATGCGAATTGAATGCCAACTAAATACACAACTCAGTCAAGTGTGACGAGAATATTTTCACTTATCAGTTTAAAATTCGTAGATAAAGCACTTGTGACAGCGAAAGTTTTTCGTATTTTTCTAAGAAATCGATTGACATTACCAGGTATTCGTTATGAAACAAACACTTGTAATTGTTATCATTCGCGATGATAAATAGTGATGAATCGATAATAATAGCTAATTGAAGATACGAATACTAATTCTGCGATAAGACATCTAAATGAAAACAACAGCGGTTAAAACAAAATATCACAACTTAATTAACATCTTCTTTTCAATCACAGTTAACCCAAAGGCGTCATTATCACACTTTAAAGTTTGTAAAGCTCAATTTTCAAACATATGATTCCATGGTCTGGTTTGCTACTGAAGTGAAGTTAGTAAGGAATACTTGTATTAAATAGATTTCTCAAGGTCGTTTATGTTTATCCAACTTGTTTCCTTTTATTTAAACAAGATGTCGCTAAAGTAGATTTTTGAATGAGATTAAGAATAACGATTATGTTCGCCAAATATCTTACATTTGAAGATATCTGATCAATTCATAATTAGGTATGCAATTCAAATATTTTATTAATCAGAAGTTTTAAATATTATAAATAAACAATTAGATAATTAAATATTTGTCAAAATAATAATAACGTTAATCTCCCGTCAAAATTGTTCACTGACATGTAATAATTTAAACCTCACACTTTTATGTTTTCATCATTTTAAAGTGTCATGTAAATTTGATATTATTTGATAAATTCCTTATGTTTAACACGTTAAGGAAGACCTACCTTTCATGTTCCTTCGCAGCTCGTTAGACGTCCGTCAGCTTAAAAGTGCATTCGTCGATTTGTCTTTCGTTTTATACAACACAAAACTTAATATTCACATTCACATACATCGATTAACGTTCTTGTCACGTGTTTCTCTGTCAAACGTTTCATAAATTTTCTTCTCTTTGTTTTGTTACTTTTCTTCTCTCACATCCTTCGTCTCTTCATCGCGATCTTTTCACACAAACTCGTGAATCGTTTCTCTGTGGTTATGAGAACATTTGTTCAACGTCGTCTGCAAGTCAAAACATTTTCAAAATAAAAACACTGTGAGAGGGAGAAGTGTTCAGTCATCGATCGTTGCTTGTTGAGTGAACACGTCGCATTAAAGTCAGATTATTTGTAACTGCGGGTTTATTCATTAAATTAATTTAAATTTCTTTGCGGAATATTTTTGTTTCCTTTTACTTGCGGGTTTAAGATAAATAACAATTAAATTTAATTTAAGTAAATTGAAGCGACTGTTGAATCATGACGTGATGAATAAATATTGAATGAATGTAGGTTCTTCATTTGATGATTAAATTTTAATTGAAACAAATTAGAAAGTTATTAAGTAGTGAAGTGAACAGCAAACGCTGATAAGTGAAGAATGCGAAAAAACAAATTCTTTTGCTGTATGAAATTCAGTGTCGTTATCAGCAACAGTGTTTCAATGACATCACTTCTGAAAGCAATGTTTGAAGAGTCTTAAGCTTTGTTGTGCCGAAAAGAAAATAATTTTCGTTTGATTTAATTCGCAAAGCGGCATCGCATCAAGCAGATTAAGCCGCCGACGGAGAAAGAATCAAAACTCGTAAAACGATTGACATCGAAGGAAGAAATGAATGAGAAGTTGATATTAAAATTGCTCGTTCATTGGATTTTGTGTCAAATGTTATCAGACATTGCCGTTGTGTGTAGTAGCGGCGGAATCTTCAATGATCTGACGACTGGTGAGTGGGATTAAAAATTTACTTCTTAACAAAGTAAAATTAAGTTGTTGACTGTTAATGATTCAATTTTGAATGGGATTAAGCAATCAAGTTCGCTTCTGATTATGCCGCAGATCGATTGGTAAATTAACATCAATTTCATGTGTGATAATTTAAATTGCTGAAACGAATCAAAAATGCTACTAAATTTTATCGTATCAAGAGACTTACACTCGACCATCCGTTAAATAATCTTTCCGCTGGTGCTCCCCATTTTCTCTCTGTCCCTCTCTATCTCTCACTCTCTCACATGATTTACGATCATCACTCGTTGTTGGTACTGAAAGCTGCGTAAGTCACAAAGATGAATATCGTCGTAAATGTTGTCTCATCAAATGTACATCATGATAGATTTACATTTGGTTTTTAATGAGTTTGGATTGGCTTCAATTAAAAGTAATTAGTTGACCGTGGCTGGTCACAAAGTGATAAAATATTTATTTTCTTCACTTCGATAGACGTTTCCGGACGATTTCAGATGCAAAATTTCGACTTTTTCACAATTTGAAATCTCTGCCATCTGTGATGGTTGAAATGATTAACATGCGAGAGAATGTTTTTGAGCCACATGCTTTATTAATGAAAGTCGATGGGAATTAAAATATGTGACGAATTATTGCGACAATGTTAGCTAAAGTCTCAAATCAATGTATGAAGAGGAAATAAAAATGTGATCTGAGTAATGTTGTTCTTGCTATTATTATAATGACGACAAAAATATCTTGAAAAGTAAACGTCAAGTGTAAATTGTGCTTAAAACATTTTTCGCCATGTCATTTTGTTAATGAACTATTAAGCATTGCAAATTGTTAGAATATTTTCTCTCGGGGAAATTTTATGAATTTTCTTTCTGCTAGATGTTATTAGATATGCAAAGGCTTTTGACTTTCAAAAAGCTGCTCTAATGTTTCGAATGTCTGAAAATGCAACAAACGTTTCAGCTTCATAACTTTTATGATGTCTCTGAGATTGTTTTCAAAACGATTTTCTCGCGCAACAATAATCAAAGGCGAAATGTAAATCATCTGACTTGAACATAAACATCGAAGCGATTAAAGAAATGTTTAAATCACAAAAGAAGAGACTATAAATATCGAGCACTGTGAAGTGTTGTGAGTTGTAACAACTTTTGAGCTTCTTCTCAATCATTAATTTTATAGTTAATTAGGCAATTGAAACGCTTCTATTTTGCGAGAAGAAAACATCAAAGGTTTGGCGTTGAAATCCAAAATGATTGAAGTCTCTGTGTAAGGTGTACGAGTTTCTTTTGTTTTTGACAATTCTTTTGACACCTCATTAGACGTCTTTAAGATAAATCAGCAATTTCCTAATATTGATTCAAATGATCTGATGATAAGTGACTTATTCCCTTACTCAGATGAATGTCACATGCTCTCGGCAGAACAAACCGGCAAAACCACAACAACAGCACATTTGACAGCTTAAGAAATAAGAAGAATATAAAGAAGTGAATTTCCACTGAAATTGTTTCTTTTCTTTACAAAAAATTTAATCTAAATTTAGTTCAACAAGACGCGAAAGAACATTTCTTTTAATTACAAGAATTTTCAAGTCAATTTCTCAGCCTAGCGGAAAATTCGCGTCCCCTTTGCAAACACATCATGTTTCCTTTTTTTGTTTGTTTAATTTTGTGGTGTCAAGTGTTGCGATTTTAAAAGAGAAATATTTTCATGGAGAACTCAGGGATAGCGTGAGGTGCACGCAAGTAGTAAATATAATAAGATAACATTAATCATCCAACTTTATACTTATGATGCGAAGAAAGACGGGAGACATTTATTTCCATTTGACTCGTTACACTTGTGTCTTGTGAAATCAAACATGTGAAATTGTTATTTCTCAAAGAGATTTTACTGTAATAGCTTAACTCACAAGATCAAAACATGAAGCATTTCCACTCACATTTCGCGAGCATGGCAGAAAGATGATAAATGATGTTTCCACTTGAATTAATAACAACGTGATGGATATTACGGTAATTAACTTAATTTTCACTTTCATGTCGTTACAGGCACATTCTCATGTTGCAGGGATCTCTCAGGATCGTGCAAGAGCTCTTGTGAAAGCGTAAGTGTTGATTTAATTTCATAGATTTCAACTAAAGATATTCAACGACTCACCGTCTGCCTGTGGTGGCGTAGGTGGCAACAATGTTATTGAATTCAACTTATTTATCATATTTATGAGCATGTCTTTGGTTCTTCCCTTACTGTTGACTACAAGACTTTCAAAACAATTTAATTAAATAAATTCATAAATTCAAAAAGGTTCGGGCACTTTTTTTTCTTTTTTGAGTTTCTCCTTTAATTTATGTTCATAATAATGAGAAGAGTGGAGTTTCAAAACGATGACAAATGAATATTGAATATTGTTTCAAAGAATTTCATAAAAGTTTAACTTCAATTTAAAGGAAATGAAATATTTTAAACGTTCTTACGACATGTCAAAGTTTTATTGAATTTCTCATAAATAATCTTCGCCATACTTATCTCACTTTTTCAATCACATCTGTTAAGTATAGTGAAAGTTAACAAATATTCGTCTTTAATAACATTATTAAAATCACAAGACAAAAGCCATTAAACAAATAACCAGATGACTTCATAAAAGTCACAAATAGATGTTCATTATTTGTCATTGTTTTGCCATATAAACCTGTTAAGTCCCAACCAGAATTCATATTATTTTTTTCGTTTCGCTTATTTTCGTTCTGTTTAAGTCGCTGTCTTAAAAGTTAAGAAACAAAAACGACGCGTACAAATTATTATTCGAAGTAGAATATCAAATTTCTTAGAATAAAATATCGTCATGTAAGAATCATAATCGTAATCGATCTTCATGGATTGTTTGCTTTTTGTCTTTCCTTTGTAATAATTATTTTTATCGTTCACAAATGTCTTTATTCAATTACCATGCAATTGTCGTTGCTTTGATCTTATCAAGAAGTAAAAAGCGCTGAAGAAAAGCAAACGCATGTTGAAGGGATTTCCTTTCGAAACAACAAACACCAATGAAACGTTTAAGAAACATTTTCATGCTACTGAAAGCGTCCAATTTGACGCCTTCGTTGAATCAACCACAAAAGATTATCGTGTTTCTAATGTAAATAAATAAAATTACGAATAAAGGTTGAGGTTCTCTTGAAAAGATGAAATTATAAAAGAATCAAACGTGAATACAAATGAACGCTCACAGCAAGAGAGTTCTGCTTAAACAACAATTAATTCATTCAACTTTTTTTCTAAATTTCAAGCTTTTCACTATTCAACCTCGAGAATATCTTGTTACATTGGGTTTTTAATTCTATTGACAATTCTAGACAACGCGCAAGACAACAAATTATTGTCGTTGTTGTCTCAAATTTTTTTTCTTACTCAAAAGATGAAATCTTGAAGATACGTGAAGAAGGCAGAACTCAAAACACTTGAAGATCGTCTCACCGAGTATAAAGAAAAAAAGAGGAAGAAGAAGAAGTTAGACAATCGAACAAACGAAGAAAGACATTTTCATAATTGAATTAAACGTTCGACCATCCTTCATAATATTTTCTTACCTTCTTACACCTCGTCTTTTTTTCATTGCTATTCACTCTTGAGTTGAGTTGTGTGAAGTTAAGTTGAGTTGAGTCGACATTGCGTTGTGCCAGCTCTCAACTGAACTGATTGAAATAAATTGAATAGATTTTATCATTCAATTTCTTACCTTACAATTCTTTTATTTTTTTCATGTTCCTCCTTCTCTTGAAACCGTCATTGGAGATTCTCACATATTGAATCGAAAGCGAGTGGATTTCCAAATAATCTTGAAACGTTTTGTAGTGTTTATGTTTGTTTTGTTCGCGTTTTGTTTTCTTTGAGAATATTTTGTTATGGGAATTATTTTGAAATGAGGTGCATCGGGGAATAAATAAATTTAATTTTATCTCAATTCAAAGTTTATTCCCTCAGATAACTCAACAATTACATTTCAGGTCAAGTAAAATAAATTATGTACCGAAAGTCTTTGACAAATCCATGATCTTTGACTGACATTAACAGCGATTTCTTTAATGTTCTTTGCAGTTTCTTTAGTCTGCGATCGCCCTGACAGTATTATTAATTTTTCTTGCTTCATTTCTCAAACATCCCAGGGAATTGTGCGATTGAATAATTGCGATTTCGAATCGTCTCTTCAGTGTCCTATGCACTTTTCCTTCTTTTATGTTTATGTATTCATTTATTTATTTTCTTCTGCTTTCATGAGACATTGGAGTCATTCTACAACACAATTCTACAACGGATCTCAGTCTGATTGAGGTTCATTGATAAGAGAAATTCTTTGCTCAATTCTCGTTTCTCTTCTTGTCTCCTCTCACTGTTTATTTACTTTTTTATGTGAATATTCACTCAAGATGACGTTTTTATTGCCTTCAATTTGTGTTTGTGGTCGTTTCATTTAGATATTCAAGACTCTTAATATTCATTTTTATTAATCAATTGAAAAGAGTTTCTCGGGAGATGAAACATCAAGTGAACAAGCACTTTGAAATAATTAGCTCTCGTTGTGGAATTTTAAAGATTTCACACTTCAATTTAGATGATTTCTGGGAAGTTCACTTTTAACTACACTTGCACACTCAAATTGTGATGATAACAATGCGTGCGTGACGAGATCATATTTTTTATGTGTGCTTATTTACAGCAAGTAAGCATCGCACGTATTTGCTTACTCAACAAAAAAAAAAGATCTACGCGCCATAAATTATTTTTTATGATCCGTTAAATGCACTTTCCAAGAGTAATAATGAGGTCCATAATAACAAATATTTGCATTCTTCCTTCACATCTCACGAAAATAAGAAATTAAATTTTCATCATGCGATGTCTTCGTAAAGTGTGATCGTCGATCAGTGGAAAGCAAGCAGTGTAGCTTAAACAAAAACTCGACATGCTTAAATCAACTTTTTTATGACATGATTTGATTCATGATAAGCGTTTCAGAATAATTAACAAGCTAAACCGATTATTAAATTATTAAAATTGTTTTAATATTTGCATAACTGATAGATTGAAAAAGGTAAACAAACGAAGACAACCAGTTTTGTCTTTTTTTCCTGATTCAGGCTGCTGATTGTTGGCCACCTTACTTACTTACTTACCTCAAACAGTTTCTTTCCTTCATAAGTATTCCTGTTTCGCTTGATTTTATCAACTCATTTACTTACTAAGTTGAAATATTTTAACATTATCTATTGAATTCTGTGAAATTTGTAAAAGTTTTAATTACATTCCTGATTTATCTTAAAATTTCATTCAATCGCTACTACTTAAAATTTAAAAATTTTCAACTTCTTTTATATTATTTAAATTTTTAAAAAATTATTTTTGCATAAAATTTTGGTTTTAAAAATTTGCATTTATTGAGCAAGAAGAAGTGAAGATTGTTATTTATTTAAGGTGGTCTTCGACGAGCTTCACATAAATCAGAAATTTAATCAAAAATTTCGATCAATATTCAGTACAATGTACCCAACGTATGTTTTATGTCGTTTAGTTTTCTACTTTATTAACTGATGATGAGAAGTTATTTGAAGACGTTGTGAGAATTGTCAGAAGCGATGTTCATGACAGTTGTGGACATAAAATTAATTAAATTTCTCTCTAGAAATGACTTCTCACTTTAGCAATGTAATGAAATCTGATAGAAAAGACTCTCGCAACTCACCAGGCGGTTCTTCAAGATGAAAGATTTTCACTTTGTCTTCTGAGTGACTTTGTTTTTCCTTGTTTTGATTTTCCACCGAGACATGAAGAGAGAAAACTATTTTTCTTTCATTTTCTTTGGCTTTGAATGTGAATTTTTGTTTTTAAATTTGAGCTCAGATCAAACGGCAACGAGCTTGGAATTTATTTACTTTGAAATAACTTTTGATGTTGATTATTAGTTGCAGTCAAAATATAATCCGATGATTGTTTCAAGAGGATTTCGAGTGAAAAATGTTTCGTTACGGGAACGGAAGTCGCGCATTTGTGGTCGTTCTCGTTCGTTTCCAACCGATTAATTCATTTAAATACAAATATGTGGATAATGAGTTATGTTGATGAGGTAAAATAAGAAAGAAAACTGACAAACTCAAATGGGAAGTTAAAACAAAGTCTAGATAAAGATTATCAGCTTAATATGTTGTCTTCCATTAAAACTTTTCCTTCTTTCACATCACTTAATCTTCTGTCGTATTCCTGTTGGCATAAATTAATGAATATGTTTTTGAAATAGTCGTGTGTTTAAACAAATTTCTTCTGTCGAAAAATAAGAATTATTACGCAAATAACTTTTGAACGAAAAAATTTGTTCACGAAACGTGTTCGCACGTTTCAAACTTCGATTGATCAAAAATGTGGATTTTTTAAATGAAATTTATATCTTTAAAATCGAAATAGATATCAAAAAATCTTTTTTTCCTTTTCATTGAAAACGAGTTTCGTAATTTCTCATCTCATTCTTCAAAATCCATCACATTCTACAGTGGATTAAAGTGACATCTGAAAGACTTTACACATGTTTACATCTCTTTGTCATACTTAACAGATACTCTTGATGTTTATCATTCTAGTTGTCACTTGTACAGTTAGCGACGTCAACGTCAATCAAAGATAGTCGACTGCAGAGTCTTAGAAAATTCTGTCCCGATATTCAAACTGAATTCTGGATGTGTATGAATAGAACGCTTGAATCGATTGATAAAGGATCGCATTGGATTGGACGATCCTGTTGTTCTCAAGCGTTGCAACCACAATGTCAACAAGGTTTGTTGTTTATTGCAATATCAGTCGACTCATAAAGAGTTTTAATAATTTAATTCCTCCATTAAAGGTTGTGCAATCTCAGCATCAACATTAGATTTGAGAAGATTTTGCAGACAAAGTGATGAATTCACGCTGTTTTCATGCATCGATCAAATGGAACGAAATACTGAATGTTGTTCAAATGCAAACACGCCAGACTGTCGACAGGTGAAATATCTTAAAAAATATTTGATTATTAAATTTTTATTTCTTGATTTGAAGATCTGCCATCAAATGTTGTTCGAAAGAAACGGAACAGTCAAAGAAATGAACGAAATTCTTCATCAGAATTGCAAAGAAATTAATGACGATGTAATTAATTGTGTAAATGACAATGTTGACACGAGAACGTTGACTAATTATGAAGATTTTCTTCATTGTTGTCGTTACGGGCAATCACAGCAATGCAAAGATGTTTGTCGAAATAATTTGAATCTTCAAAACTTCACAGAAGGTGAAATCATTGACTCGTTTATTCCAAGCTGTGGCGTCGTCAACTTATCATCAGAATTCTGGACATGTTTCTTAAATGGAAAGAATAATGCAAAGAATGTTCAAAATATCGATGAAGTATCGAGAATAAAACAAATCGGAATCGATTCTGCGAAACTCCATTGTTGCGAGAAAGCACAAAGCACACAATGTCGTCGTCAATGCTACAACACATTTTCAGGCGATCATCCATCTTCAATTGGAAGCTTCGAACTTCATTGTCTTTATAATAACTACGAGATGAACTTGAAAAGATGCATTGATGAAGTTGATTTTCCAGCTGAAATTGGATGTGACGGACTTTCATTTTGCAGTCATTTCAACAATCGACCGACGGAACTTTTTCGCAATTGCAATTCACGAGCTGATCACGCAGCTTTAAATGAATTTTCAATGTGGAAAGAACAGAATGTTCTTAGCCTTCCTGGCTTTGAATTTCCAATCAACAATATTTCGTATTGTCGTCCAGAAGTGTGGCACACCATTGCATGCATCCTACAAATTAAACCGACAACTTCATCGCAACATTTAACGCAGATATGTTGGGAAGACTGTTTTGATATTCTTGCGAAATGCATGGATTGGAAGCGCATAACTGATTCTGACATGGATCCAGCTTCTGTTTGTACAAGACTATCACCAGATTCAAAGGCACCTTGCATTTCGATCAAACCGTACTTGGAACCAAGCGACAGTCCACATCTTGAGAATGATTTTAAAATTATTTCACCATGTCGTGGACAACAATGCAATGCAACGTCAGAGATTTGTGAAGTTAATCGTAACATTAACAAGCCATCATGCGTTCAAGGATGTCCTTTAGGTGAAGCTTCGAATTATCTTGTTTCTGTCGGTCAATACGTAAGAATTCCATCTTCAATCAACAAAGGATGTTACAAGATCTGTAAATGTACAGAATTCGGACAGATTGAAAACTGCCAACCAGTGCCTTGCGTGACACCGAAATCATGTCAAATGGGCAACAGAACAATCGAGCATGGAATGTCTGTTAGCATTGAATGCAATGTTTGTACATGCTTTGCTGAAGAAATTACATGTACAAAGAAGCAATGTAGAATTGCGGGGATATCTGAACGAACTTTTACGACACTTCCATGTAATTGTCCACCACATTATGTTCCAGTTTGTGGACGTAATGGAAAAACTTATCCATCAGCATGTCTAGCGAAATGTGTCGGATTTAATGACGCTGATTATGAGTTTGGATCATGTGAACATAGAAATCCATGCGACAATCATGACTGCCCTCAAGGAACGCTTTGTTTTCCCAATCGTAATGTGTGCCTGTCAAATATGAGTCGACCTTGTCCGCAGTATCGTTGCGGTAAAATGAAATTAAATTATACAAAAATATAAATTCTTAATTAAATTATTTATAACTTAGTTTCCGCTAATGGAGAGAATTGTTCTTTGGAGCCAATCACTGATACTGAAATGTCAGTTCACTCATCACTTTGTAGTTTAATCAGAACAAATAAAAAGCTTGCTTATTATGGAGTTTTTGACGAACATGTCTGTAGAAGTAGTGGGACAGTTTGTGGTATCAATGGTGTCACTTATAACAGCGAATGTGAAGCATTGAGTGGTTAGTTTAAATAATTAACTTAATCAACATTCAATTTAATTTAATTCATTTCTTAGAATTTTCTATGGTCGATTATTTTGGACCTTGCAGGGCTGTTGGCTTGATTGATTCAAAAACGAAATGTTCATCAGCCAAATGTCCGAGAAGTCTTCCTGAACATTGTTTAGGTGTCATTCCTACTGGTGCATGCTGTCCTATTTGTGCTGGAGCTTTGAAGATCGTCTATTCAAGAAAGCAAATCGATCGTGGAATTTATGCTTTGAAGAATGCTGATTTGGAAGCGTTAACATTGAAATCTATTTTAAAGTCACTTCAACAGCTTGTGAAAGTCTCGTCATGCTATCTCAGCGGTTACCTTACAATCGAGACTGACATCATGGTTATTATTTATACAATCGACAACTATCCTCAAAAAGATCAGATTAATGTCTGTCAACAAGAAGCGATTAAAATTGCAAATCTTATTTCAACTAAAAGTCATCATTTTACAAGCAATTTAGGATTATCCTCATTTATATTAGCAAGTTACGTAAGACCAACGGTGTCTTTATCATCAGCAATTTATTCATCATTTTCTTTGCCACTTTTTTATCTTTGCATAACATTTCTACAAAGACTTTGATGATGTTTTACTTGTGCCATGATTAAGTCATCGTATGAAAAGAAAGAAGAATATCGAAATGTGATATTAATTAATAATTTTGTAATTCATATCTAAACTCAATTTAATGAAAAAACCTAAAACAGACCAAAAATTTTGTAAATCGTTTATCTAGTTTGATGGACTAATAAAATATGATTTTAATGAAATTTTCATTTTATGGCGAAATAGTCGAATGTGACGAGAATAAATTTTATCTTGGCTTAAGAAAATAAATAATTTCCCACAATACAAATGCATCCAACCAGATGGTTCTTATAATGTTGAAAAACTGTCGCAAATTTAAACATTTCATCATTTATCTGCTACAACTATCTGTCAATACTAAGATCAAAATATTTGAGAATATTTCATGAAACGTTTCAGTCACAAACTTGATATTGAAAGGCAACATTCATACAAGTACCTTGTGAGTATGAAGGTTTTATTACTCATCATTTTATCAACTTTTGCAAGCGAAATTGGTAAGAAATAATTTCAATATCTGACGACGTTCCAATGAATAAAAATTTAAACAAAAATTTTTATCATCTAAATCACAGCTTCAGATCACGGACCTCACGAGCCTGAGAAATGTTGTACAATTGTTTCAAGTTGTCTATATAAAAGGAATGGTGAATTGAAGGTAGCAAAACTTGATGAATGTCCCGTTGCTCCTTGCTGTGGATTAAATCAAGATTTGGTTACGAGAGGTGAAAAATGCTGTTGTGAAGGCGACAATTCCTATTATCTTGATAGACCTGACCCGGATTCACCTGGACCTGAAAATCTTGGAATGTGTATAACGAACGAAAGCGGACTTGTAACTGGAGGATATTCAGATCCATGCCCTAGTGTGTCTACATGTGCTGTGAATTATGTCATGGCTTATGGTATCAACCCCAATACTGGTCTAACTGATAAATGTTGCTGCGTTGCTAAAGACGACAAGGACTCAATCCACTTTGACTAATAAATTTGAAAAGATTTTCACTGTCCACAATCTTGTTAATTTTTTATGCTATTAGTATAAAAAGTTTTGAAATAAAAATTATATATCAGCAAGAAATTGGACATTTTGAATGTTTTTCTCAATTCATCACACAAACCAGATACCGAAGATGTCTTTTATTTACTCAGGTGTTGATTTCATTTTTCCTGTTTCAATAATTTTCCACTCTGAAAGAAATTTGTTTATTAAAAACTGCTCTGAAAATTTGATTTAGTATCGAAAATCTTTGTATGTTTTATTTTAGTGTTAAGCTTATATGCATATTTTAATCTGTTCCTTCTTTCTTTTCTTTAATGGCATCTTTAAAACGCTCCTCAAATAATGAAAGCTCAGACATAAGATCTGTGATAGCATGCATGAAAGCATCTTCTGGTGTATAATTTGACGTGGTTTGAATACGGATGACGAATTTGTGTTCCAATGGATGTGGCAGCTTGTAGCCGGCAAAGAGAACACGAGGATCTTTCAGAAGTTGGCTGTTGACAAAGGTAAAATAACAAATTATTGCATTCTTTTCATTAAGTCACAAAAATATTTACTTTCTGATCATGTTTCCAAGTGTGTGATCTTCTTTGTTTACTGTGAATATAGCTGCATTTGGAACTTTAGTATCCAACTCCTTGATGATTCTGCAAACATAAATTTTTTAATATTTTTATTCTACTGTTCTAATGATCAGCAAATAGACACAGCTTACTTTTTTTCACCTTCATAGAGAAGAAATGACTCGAAAGTTGGAGGAGCATTCATATTATATTTTTTTCAATTAACTGTATTCGCTGTAAATTAATAAATCCTGTTTTAACTTTTGTTTGTACGATGAGATTTGTTTTTGTGTACGGAAAGCGGCGCTTGTACTTCGAATTACACTCTCCACCTGTAACTGCTACCCAGAAAGTTAGTTTCAGCTGGAGAGTGTAATTATCACGCTCGGTTTTTACTAAGCCAAGCAGACCGAATTCAGTTTTTCATATATTGGGAAAAAGATTAACAAACACTTATTTAAGTAGTTTAAGATATAACAACACAAAATGAATCAATCTAATGACTCTGCGTTGAATGCTAAAGTTAAGAAAAGTAAGTAAACTTTATAAAGATTAAGTTTCTCTCTTAATTTCTTGATCAAAATTTCAGCAAACGAGAAAATTTCTGAAAACATTCACATTGTGGCAAATGAACCGTCACTTGCCTTCTATCGCATTCAGGAAAATGTTCGGAAAGTTGTTCCTGTAATAATCGAGAAAAGAAGTGATGTATTGAAACTTAAAGAAGATTTGCAAGGTGTTTGTTACGACCTTGAATACAGCGTTGAAGCTGTCAAGTCAATAGACGCAGCAGAAGAGCCTCTTAAGAACATACAAGAGCTGCTTAAGAATGCAATATTTCTGAAACAACAATTGAAATATGAAGAGACCAGAAGGAAAAAAGACAATTCAAATAACAAAGATTCAGTTTACAAAAGATTTTCAGCTCACATTCCATTAGAAATGCCTGACATTCTAAGAGAGACGACAAACCGAGTAGAAAATATAATCGGGATAAATAATCCATCTGGATCGCAAACAACATCTGAAGGAATTCAAAGATCTCATACTACACTTCATTAAGCTTAATTACAATTTTTATTTCATACATTTTCGTGATATCTAAACATTTAAAAATATTTAAAATAAAATATAAAACTAGAACTTCAAAATTGTCGTCTTAGATTCTAATAATCGTCATATCCGTAAAATCGATTTCGTCTCGCTCTTTTACGATCATGTTCTCTTTGCCATCGAACACCGAAGAAAATCATCAACACAAGAATTAATACGCACATTGTGACGATGATTACAAACCCAGGGCCATGAGTTAGCTCAAAATTTATATTTTCCTTGCTGTCACCCGAAGAAAATATTCCGGGAAATATTCCAGCGGTATTAGGACCTTCTATGATTTTCTCGAATCCTTTTCTATTTAAATTTGGATCGCAGAAAGGTTCCTCATGATTTAAAAACTGAACAAAACGAACGCCTTTAAAATCTTTTGGTGCTTCACACTTTAAATCAATTAAAAGAAATTGATGATCAAGTCGTGAGTAAAGTTTTTCTAAGATATCATGAATCATCCATTCATCTTCACAATTACATGCTAATGGATTGCCTTGAAGATCAATTCCTTCTTGTATTTTACTCCAGTCAGTTAAATTCTTAGGAATTTGCATAAGTTGATTATAACTTAGATCGAGATAGCAAAAGTCAACACCTTCGAAAGCTCGGCTATCAATTTCACGAAGATTCTTGTTGTTGGAAATGAAAACGTCAACACATGTTCCAGTTCCATCAGCAGTAATTTTAAACCCCGAAAGATTTGAAAAAGCTCCTTCATCTATAGTCTCAAGATCTGTAAGCTCCTTTAATGAAATCGATCCCAAAACTGTGTTTTCATTGATGTAGATGCTTGATATTGGATTTCCATCAAGAATTAAGTCATGAAGCAATGGAGCCATCGAATTTAAATTTTCTGGAACTGACGTGAAGTGATTGTAACTTAAATCAAGTTTCTCAAGTTTGAAGAATTGAGTGTTTGGCATGTTTTCGATAACATTGTTTGATACATCCAATAACTTTAAGTTTTTCACCGAACGATCCTTTGGGAAAATTACTTCAAGACAATTAAAATGCAACTCGAGTTGCTCTAAACTTTCCGGTATATTTGAAAATGGCCATGCTGCTAGCTCGTTATTTGCCATAGCAATCAATAATAATGAATTTGGCAGTTCAAGATTTACTTGGCGAATATTATTCTTCGACAAGTCCAAAAGCTTCAACGAGTCAAGTGACGCAAAAGCATTTTCATCAATGTTTTTGATTTTGTTATTCGATAAGTCGATGGACTCTCTGAAAATGATTTTGTTTTAGATTAAATTTAATTTGAATCGGTAAAAGATTCTTACAAATTCATGAAATTCTCAAACATAGATCCAGTGATAACAGTGAATTGATTGTATCCTAAGAAAAGCTGCCGTAACTGATAGTCAATTTTATTGTAGGCGTTATCAATTGTAAAAAGTTTATTATTCTCCATTCTCAAAACTTCTACCGAACTTAAAGCTTCAAGGAGATCAGCAGATAATTTTGTGAATTCGTTAAGTGATAAATTTATTTCTCGAAGATTTTTCAAGTGGCTAACAATAATTGGATCAATGGTTGATAAGGAATTGTTTGAAAGAATTAACGTTTTCAAGTTTGTTGTTGACTTTAGAAAGTCTGCAAAATGAAGTTTATGAATGAATCCACGCAATTTCAATAAAATTATGATTAAAAAATCAAACCTTTAGTCAATTCTGATATGAAATTGTTTGCCAACGATATTGTCTCTAAATTATTGAAGTACTCGAATGGATTTGATACAAGCGTTCTTATCAGGTTGTCATCAAAGTTGAGTGAAATTACATTTGAATCACCAGAAATTCTACAAAGAAAACATTGCAAATCTCTGATAAGTTTTTTTGTTATTTTTCCTTATCATATTTTTACACACTTTGGTAGTAAACGTAGTGACATAAAATTAAAAAACCCTAGAATCGATCGATTTGTTGTTCTTGGCCATTCCATCATGTCAAAATCAATCTCAGGTGTGTGACCTTTGTATCCTTTACAATTTACAATCGTTTTATCTGCGTCAATATCAAGACATCTGCAATTGTAGTCACAAATATCTCCACATTTTACAAACGTTAACGTTATCATAAAAAATGATAAGAGAAGCGTATTTCTCCCTAACAAAGTCATTGTCACAATTTCTTTGAATTTCGTTTGGCGCAACTTCTATTAATAAATGCTTTTGGCTTCTTTTCTCATAGACACATTTTTAATTATTGTCTCCTTTCCTCATAAACGAGTGTCAAAAGTCAAATTTCAATTGAAATGTAAATTTTTTGGAACAACAAAAATAAATTCTAAACAGAGCGATAAACATGAAATCGTGTGAATAACACGAGAGCTTAACTTCAACTGAAATTTTATAATTGCGTTGAGCTCGTCGGCGTCGATAAGAAAAAAAAGTTCGTTTGGAAATAGATAAATAAATTAGCGGGCACAATGTGATTGGTTGTAGTTAATTACAGGCTCGTTTAGCGATGATGTTATAAATGTCGTTTTCCATTTTCACATTGAATATGTTTATTAGTTATTTGATTACATGCTTAGTCGTAAATTACGAAGAAATTTATCAAAGTAGAAGAATTGTGTTTTCATTATTTATTAAAAAGTAAACACGAACTCTTATCATATCTTATGGTCAGAGATGGGCAAATGTTCCGTTCAACTCGATTGACTGACTGACTGACATGTCAATGTCTTTCAGTCAGTCAGTCAGTCAGTCAAAATCGCGAACAAAAATATTCGCTTGTTGGGACACGTTCATATAAATGTTCCGCTCAAGTCGTTTGACTGACTGAGTGACAAGTCAATGTCTGTCAGTCAGTCAGTCAAATCCCAACTCTGCTTATGGTAACTGATAAAGTGAAACTAACTCTTTCAAGAACATGAATTGCAATATTTATTTTGGCCCCTTTCAATAATTTTGATGTTATGATAAATAATATCGTTGAAAAAATTCTGACAAAACAAAAATGATTTTAAGTTTCTTAAATTATCACTTCTTAACTAGAATAATGAATGAAATTTTAATGCATTTCAACAGTGATTTATCAGTTTTCACGAGATTCACAACTTCCATACTGACAACAGATGAGAAACAATTTTCACATTGATTAGATAATATTCACATTTATAGAATAATAAACACGCTTCATCATTGTTTATAAATCGCATGCCGAGCAAACACATGTCTAATTGAAATAAAAAAGCTTTTAGAATTCATACACAAAGTGCTTCCATGTTACAAGTAATCAAAACATTTGCTACTTAACGATTCAAATAGTCGTTCATGAATTAAATAATTAAATGATGACGTAAAATATCAAAAGCTTTTTTTTCTAATCAACTTAAAAATCTAAATTAACTTAGAATGTGACAACTTATTGTTTATACTTGACAAGTAGATTAAAAATTTTGAATAAGGATAAAACGAAAAACTTTTCCTTATTTTCTTAAACATTGAAAAGTTTTAATTTCCCAAATAGGTATTCAAATGAATGTCATCATAAACTTCCATCTATTACTTAACTTATGACATGTCATCGGAATTAAACCATTTCATAAACAAAAATTAAAAATGTTGATTAAAAAAATCATTTGTGGTCACAGTTTGATAACTTTTACTTGTCTGGCTATTTTTACTGTGTGTTATCTATTCAGATTTAAAAAGCTTCATGATGTAAAATTATTACCACCCGGACATCAATTTGTAAGTTGGCTACCTTGGTAGTTGAAATAGATTCTTTACAGTCAGTTACGTCTCCCAATTAAATTTAAACATTGAACAAAATTTCTCCTATTGGCAAATGTTTATCTATCTTAATATCAATAAATACTTTTTTTTCTAAAATTCCTACATTAATCAAATTTAAACTTATTTCAGTAAAATTAAAATCTTGTTATGTCTCCAATATTTGGAGTGATGTTGACTTCATTAGTTTTTCTTTTCACTTTTCTAATGCAATACGTTATGATATGATAAAATATTTCAATAAAGGACAGAACGGAGCAGCCAAGAAATAATCCAAAAATGCCGCCAGTACTTGATAAGAAATCGGAGAGGGCATAAACTTCGTAACGTTTGAGTCTTGTGTAATGCGCATGTTTAAAATAAATGTTAATTACAGTAACTTCATGTCTAAAATAAAAAAGATATTAATTGAGATTTAAAAAGATTCTTGAGACATTGAAAACTTACTCTGGATCATCACTGATGATGAAGTCTGTTTGTGATATTTCCGGCTCGTACTTCAATGACGTACATGTCGTCAGACAATTACAAGATTCCATTTTCTTCAGTCTCTTAAAGCCCTCATCCTTCTTCGTTATTTCTCCATGCTTTAAAGCTCGCTTAAGTTGCTTCTGCAAAAGTTTCCTTTCAAGATCACGTGTTGTTAAATTTCTTTCTGCTTCATAAGCACATTCAAGCATTGAATAGTCACAGATTTGTGTGAGATTATCACGTGGCATTGAGAATTTCACACAGCCGCAAGATGAGAGAACATGCTTCGACAAGCATTCAAGTGCACAACCTGACTTTGTATAAGTTTTGAAGAAAGTTAAATTTCTTTCATTACTGAAATAACATTGCCGACTAGAGGGATCGTAATCTTTGACATCCTTCGATGAATAAATCATGTGTGGATTGACAGCAATTGAAGTCAACTTCTGAAAGGGAATGTAAAGGAAATCTTTTGACATTAGTGGAAGTTCTATTGGAGTATGAAGTGTTAAACGAAATCCACGAACGCCACGCTTGCATCCGGGATTCATATTCGATTTCTTCTTCTTTAATTCAATGTAAAGTCCAGACTCGTAACCAGTTCCATGCACTCGATGCGGATAAACCTTAAGTTTCATTGAATTATATTCTTTCTCCAGAAACCAATCAGATTTCTCTCCATTGATGGGATATCTCAAAGTTTCTTCCATCACATCTTTGAATAAATCTTTTCGATCAAGCATATTAAACGTGTAGCAAATACCTTCATCAGTTATCACTTTTGAAAAAAGTTTTTTGCAATCTGAAAAGCGGAAAGATCCATATCGGCATCTTTCAAATAAATCGTCCATTGGATTTGCCAATTCTTCTAATGTTGATACGATGTCAACTTCCATTTGATTAACTTCTAAAGCATCTTGAAGATTTTCACGATCTCTAAAATCACAAACTTGAAGCAATGCTTTCAACTTTGAACTTTCTTCTTCAGTTAAGTTTTCGGAATTTCTCAAAACTTTGGCAAAATCAATTTCACTCTTAACCGCTTTCTCTTCTGAACAAATTGTTACAGCTGGAAATGGAATTTCAAATGTTGGAGACAAACTTTTTGCAATCGATATCATCACCGGTCGATCTCGACGTTTTTCATATATTTCAACGACATTTTTAACACACAGCGCTATTGATATTACAAAAATTGTTATCCAGAAAGTTCTAAGAAATTAAAACATCGTTAGTTGTTGAGTTTATTCACATGATAAGCAATTAAAATTGTCACGTTTCACTTACTTCTCCGACCAATGACGTTTTCTCTCACTGAAATATTTCACTCCGTGAATTGTTGCATCTTTCGAATAATCCTCCATAAATTCAATTGGTATGTGCACTAAAATTAACAAAGATTTTGAAGACACTTCTTGGCTTTTGGCCATGCAATTTGACATTCCATACTCTTATGAGCAAAGCTCTCTTTCCTCATGACTGGATTTCCCGATGTGATTCTCATTTTGCTAGATTATTTAATCTTCTGTTCTTCTCCCAGCAGGGCAGTTTGTCATCTGACTAATTAATCACGATTATTTGTGCAAGGTAATGGTCCGACTAACGATTTAGTCTCTCTAACAAATTTCCTTATATTTCAATTAATATCCACAACGAACATCATCATGATGTTAGCCGAAAACGTTCTAGATCGACTGAAGCACTTGTTGACTACAAAATGAATTTTTTCGCAGAGTTTTGCTTTTGTAAAAGCTGAACAAGCAATTATTGTGTGTAAATTTTATTAACAGGTATCTATTAATGTGTGACGATCTTCTTCAATATTTTTTATTTCTTTTTTTGTTATATGACTCACTTTAAGTTGATTGTTTCGACTGAAAGCATAAATAATAAATTTGCAAGTAAAATAAAAAGTCGTCTGATAAAATATAAAATTTTTAATTTGCCATTACTGGACATCGTCTCGACACTTTTTAGTGTCCTTTTGAAGCCTTTTTTAATTACAAAAAATGTAAATTAAATTATTTTTCCTTAAATGGATTTATAATGACAGAATATAATTTAAAAATAGAACAAACTGCTTGCCGCCTTGTTTGTAAATAAATTAGAAGCTAACTGGCATTATTTGGATAGGTCAGATGGTCAGAAAACGACTAAATGTTCAGATTTATGTAGATACGAAAATGGAATGAAAAGTTCGGAAATAATATTCGATTAAAAGCATTGATAGTAGTCAATAACAAGCTTTCATGCTGCACGAAAGCTTGACGGAAGTAAAAGCGATGATTGAAAAAATGATTTAAATTATTTTATGCATTTTCTGTAACTGCGAATATTTTAAGATAATTCGGTTCGATTCTCATGATAAAACTTCAGCCAATCATGATTGAGTTCAAATAATTTGTTATCAAACATCCGACCATGACAAATTTAAAAAGAAAATTATAAAATGTTTCTAGAATTTTTATTCTTCTTCGACTTTCTTATCACTAAATCCCCTGCATCCTTCAAACATTTTGCTGATAGACGTTTTTGTGCTGTTTTCGGTAGAAGTTTAATAACAAAGTAATCTTAACCACTTAGGTTTGATAAGATTAAAAAGATTTAAAAGAAATTAGGATGAGTGTCTGAAATAAAGAACGTAATTATGCCGTTAATGTTGAAATGCGTAATCAAGACAAATTCAAATGAAGAACGAAAACGAACATCTTTAATTCAACGTTCATTGCTTTGTAGATCGTGATCTAATGAAATGATCAGTGAGATGAAGTGATAATCTCCATGAAAGATAAAAACTGGCGAATTCGTGTGTGTGTGTGTGATACGAACGTAAGCGATAAGATAAAATTTGACTACATAAATGCCAACAGTGCGAAAAGTTTCTTCAGTCAAACGTTTGACAATCGAAAGGAAGTTGAATTAAAAGTTTTTTGAAACTCCCTTCACAATGAAAAACCTCTTGCTATTGTCGATGTTTGTTGCGTGGGTGGCCGCTACACGTATAATTAAATAATTTCTTTTGGAGAAAATTAAAAATTAAATATATAAATTTGTAGCAATTGTTGAGCCGGATTCTATAGAGTCGTACGTTATCGGAGGGGCCAATGCACCAGCTTCAGGAATTTCGTACCAAGTGACTTTCCGAACAATCTTAACTTTGCATTGGTGTGGTGGTTCAATCGTCAATGGTAAACTTTTATTTTTTATCACAATGCAAATTCTTTTATTTCATTGTACCAAATATAGCGAGATGGGTTTTAAGTGCTGCTCATTGTTTGGATGCACGTGCGCCAAGTTCAATCACAGTGATGGTGGGAAGTAATTTATTAGATTCTGGTGGTGCATTCCATCAAGCTCAATCGATTCGTCTTCATCCTTCATACAATCGAAATACATTTGCTAATGACGTTGCTGTTCTACAAGTGACAACTCCATTTGTTTGGAATGCTCGTGTTCAGCCGGTTGTTCTTGGATCTGCATTTGTTGGTGGTGGTGTTAATGCAAGATTTACAGGGTAAAATGAAATAATTAAAATATCTCGTAAATAAAATCTTTTGTTCCAGTTGGGGACACACAAATCAACAAGGAGCTCGACCGAATCATTTGCAAGTCGTGACATTATCAACAATCACAAATGCTGATTGTATTAATCGATTGGCAGTTAGGGGCGAGGAACGTTTCGTTGTGAACACGAAAATTTGCACGTTCACCAGAGTAAGACTGATAAGATGATCCCCAGATAAGATTTTATCATTAATGTTTCTTTTTAAAGGTTGGACAAGGTTCTTGTCCTGGAGATTCTGGTGGTCCACTTGTCACTGGCACTAATACTCAAATAGGAATTTTAAGCTGGGGAGTTCTTCCATGTGGGAGCGGCTTTCCTGATGGCTTCGATCGTGTTTCAGATTTCAGAACTTGGATCATCAACAACACACCTGTTTAAGTTTTAAGACTGCCTGAGATTTCAAAAGACTTTTCATGGATTAAAAGTTTTTATTTTTTAAATCCCATGAGATTAAAATAAAACCAAATTTTGTTCACGAGATTTCACATTTCATCTTTATTAATTCTTTAAATATTTTGATAAATAATTATATAATGTTGTTCAATTTGTGTAGCATATTAATGAAGATTTTTAAGTGTTGTTAAAAGAATTTTCTTTTCGTTATCATTTCATTTGAAAATTAAAATAATTAAATAAGATTTCATCTTTCATTTGAGATATTAAATAGATATTTGGAGTTTTATTGATTTGCAAAAATAATTTCTCATCAGTTTCATCGCTGTCTGCTTTCAAAGCTTTTCTCTTGTCATGAATAGTAAGAAGAAGGGAACAATAAATGGAAAACGTGACTGACTTAAATACATTAAACAACAAAGGAATGATAAGGTGCTAGATATTCATCGGACACATCCTTCTTACTCTAAACAATTTCATTAATTATTGATTGATATCTTTGAAAGATGTCATCAGATTTTTCCTTTTTTCAATACAACTTTAAATTATTTTCCAACTAATTACCTTTACTTCGTATATGATTACGAACTAGTCTTACGGAGAAACAAAACATTTGGAATATCTATTAGTAATTTTTATGACCAATATTCATGTGAAATTGTGGTGGTGGACTTCGAATACTCGAAACAATTCCACCTCCAGTGTTATAATTATTTATGACGCCATTAAAGACGTTCTGATTGTTGTTTGAGTTAATATTGTGTTCACTATCGAAATGTCCCGGTTGACCATTAGTGAAATGATCGTTAGGATGAGAACCAGCAAAGCCAAGAGACGAGAAGAGTGTCGGGAAAACATAAAATATGACAAACATTGCTGCATAAATTAGTAAGTGTATTAAAATGCATGTCCAAATGAGATTAATCTGAGGGAAAAACGAAAGAAAAATTTGAATAAATCTTTGAATAAATTAATTAACTCATCTCACCTTAGATTTACGATTATATTTTGTTATATTAACAAAGGGAACCAATGCAAACGTTAATCCCATTCCAAAGACTATTCCACCAATGAGACCAGCAAAATTCTGCTGCCATGGTAAAGTACTCATGCCAAAGAGACATGCTGCTATTAATAAAAGTTTAATTAAAGCCAGATAAGGCTTTTTAAGTTGTTTCCAATGACAAAAGGTTAGAATAATAGCTAAAGATGAGATGACACCAGCAAGAGATGCCAATGGACCAACCTGAATTGAAATTTTTATTTATTACTTTAGAAATGTCACAAAAAAGTTGAAAAAAAGTTCACCTCTGGTCGATATGGAACTAAAATTGAACTTGTCAAGTTCCCAGCAATTCCCGACGCAATATAAATGATGGCGGTTCGTAAAGGTCCAAGAAGCCGTTCCAGATCGGATAGAAAAATATGTTGAAATGCAATTGTAATTGCTAAATGTAAAATACCAGCGTGTAAGCAAAGAGATGTAAAAAGCCGATAAAATTGATCTGGAACATCGTTAGAGAAAAACGGAAACATCCCACACACGTTACTCATACAAGAAACCTTTAGAAGAGAAAATTTTGATTAAAGTTAAGGTGGAAAGTTGGGAAATGTTCAAACCTGAGAACAAAGTGAAGCTTCTTCATGGAAGTATCCATTTATGAAGTTACAATATTCTTCTGTAGTGATCCGACATTCCCCGTAAACTCCAGTACAACATGGATGACCAACAATCTCACAAACCATATGTTCAGCTGTGTGATCTTTAAGACGTGATCGATGAGAGATTGAATTAGTTTTCCGACAAATTGGCCATTTTGTTATATCATCAGGCCATTCATAAGGTGCAACTGAAGTTGGTGCATCGCAAAACTTTGGATCTAAACCGCAAACACTCCCAGAAATTCTTCCGCCTGGCCCAGAATCGCCTGGTGACCATTTCTTCCATTTTGAGATTGTTTTCTGTGTTGGCCATAAACCACCGACTGAACATTCAGCTTGAGACGTTTGCACACATCCCGAATCATCGTTACGAATGCAACAAGCAGTTTCACGTTCTTTCCTTTTTGTTTTAGCAATGACATCAAGAATCTTAGCATCACGTCGCATGCAGCCACCAAACTTCGCTCCTAGATGGACAAGATCCATGCTTCTCGGTCCGATCCAAACATTTCGTTGTTCATGATGTGAAACTTGTTGCAAGTTCAAGTTAGTCACCATGACTTGTGCACTTTTATGTTCCAATCCAATGCCAAATGCAACAATGCCATAGCAGATCAAAGTAATTGCCAAAACGAGAATGTGAACCGTGTTAATCCAATATGTGAAGAAAGGTCGATAATCATGTCGATCATCGAGATCATTTGGACGTTGCAATTTGATTTCATTCATCACTGGTCGTCTCGAATTGTCCATAATTCCATCAAGCAATTGAGATGAGATACGACAACCAATTCTCATTCCTGAATGTAATTCATGTTCATGTTGATTCGATTTTATTTGCCAACCATTGTTGCGAACCGATGCACTTGCTGCTGAATACATTTGACGATTTGTGTTACTTCCGTCTTGACTATTTTGACTGGAACTTGGTGAATCAAAAAAAGCTTCGTCAGTTTGAATTGGACTTAAACCATCGCATAAGTCATTGTCATCATTGTTCTTGACATGTGCTGGTGCAAATGATCGTGACCATTGCTTCTGCTTTCTTGGGTTACGACGACTAACCAGATAAGAAATTCCATTCCACATCATTGTCGCAACTGACGCTTTACGTTCAATCTTGTAATGCGTACGTTCAGTTTCTTCAGTGTTTTGTGCTGGTAGAATATCTGGTCGATATCCAAGTTGTTGTTCATTCCTTCCTTGATGACGTGGCGAGTTGGAAATGTCCATGTCATCACGAAGCTGTCCAAAACACCTTATCGCCAATCGTTTCTGACGTTCGAACCATTTTATGCGTTCTTCCTCTTCACTCAAGATATCAACCCCAAAGAATTTCGCTATTTCACGTTTGACGTATTCCTTGACTTTCTGCTTTCGTGAGTAGCGTGATTGATTTTGTTGTCTTTGCTGCAACGTATTTCTCTGTTGAAGGTTCATGTTTGAGTTCAAAAGATTTGATGATGAATCATTATGTTGATATTGATACATGAATGATCGATTGCTGCCAGTTATTGAAGATTCTTGTTGAACTGGTGGATGCGCAATCGGCTGTGGCTCAGGCATTGTTGACTTGTTCAACAACATCTGCGGTTGTTGGCCTTCATTGGAATCTTCTTCAATCTTCTCTTGTTGAATTGTTGTCGACGAATATGTTGGTTCTGGTGCCAATGATGCAACAGATTGTATTGATGCAACTGAATGAGTTGACGATGGTTGTGGACTCAAGGGTGATTGAGATTGATGTCCTTCTGACATTGTTGGCAACACAAGTGGTTGGGGAACGGGGCTAAATAGAACATAATAAATAATCATAAAAGACTGATTTCAGTTTCAATTTTAATTACCTTATCGGTCCAGTAGTTTGTGTAGTTTGATGAACGCCAGTTGTACGTCTACAATTCAAGCACGATTGATCAGTTTGATTCATCAAGTTGATTGGCGTTACAACACGACTTGAACTAGAAATTGAAGCATAATCAGCGCTTGTTGGTCTTGTTCCATAATCGCATTGAGTTCCAGTTTGTGATTGTGCACAACAGATTGATGTGGCAGTGGAAGAGTTGGAAACACCTGAACCAGATGACTTCGTATTGATACTGTTTGGGCGAATTCTTGGAGTTGTAGCGTAATGGTCAGTTTGTGATGATGATGGCAGTGGCAGTGTTGAAGTGTTTATCTGTTGTTGCTTTTGAGAATCTGAACAGCATTTCATGTTGATTCGATATTGTGGCGTTTGTTGCTGATTCATTCGTGACTTTGATGGCTTCAATGTTTGAGATGAACCAACTTGTGTTAAAGCGTTTTGTTGAGGAAGTGACAAATGATAACCAGGATTGCTTAAGGTCGGTCCATCACTGTATTGTGATGATTGATCATTTGTGCATGTTAATGGAGGTGTTGGAATGTAACGTTTAACTGGCGTGTGAACAGTTGATGACAAATAAGCTGGATAGTTATCATTCGAAGCTAAAGGTGTAGAATTAGCTAGGAAATGTCCAGGGCTTGATGACATGTCACGATATCGATCTGACATGCTGCTGCGATATCTGAAAAACAATTTTTCAATTTATTTCTGGAAATTTAAATATTTTTATTTCATAATCACCTTGAATTCGGTGACATGGAACGCTGTTGTTGTTGCTGCTGAACCATTAAGCGATGTTGTGGCCCAGGCATTCCAATAACGAAGCGATCATTATTGGGAGCAGGAGATGGTGGTGGAATGCAACATGTAATGTTTTCTTCATATCTTGATTGAGGGCGACTTGTTGTTGTCACGTAGCAATCATAACGCGATGGTGATGAACATCCAAGATTATCTTGTGATCCAATCAAGGAACAAGAGTCTTTGAACATGATTGGCGCAGCACTCAATTGCTGTGAAAAATGACTTTGTCCATAGGACGAACGTCTTCTTGTTGATGAAGCATTTGACGAACTGGAAGTGTGATGGTGATGACTTGGAACTTGTTGTTGAAAACATCCCAAATGGTGGTAGCCATCAATATCACCGTTGTCGGAAGAAGGCATGTCGCTTCAAATCAAATTATCCGAAAAAAAATTCTTCACTTTTCTTCTATGGATGAATTATCGATTTTTCTTGTGAAAAAATATTTTCATCGGGAAATTACTAAATCATCATCAATTTTGTTGAAGAATTTTCCATGACTAATCAAACGCTTACTCAGAATTTCTATTGCATAATTTTAATTTAATAAATTCACTGAAATGGTAAATTAAAACTTTTTTCAGGAAAACAAAAAAAAATTCTTCTGATTTTTCCACCAAGTTTTTCCAAACAAAAATCAATGAAAAACAATTTATTTTTTCACAGCACAAAAGGAAATTACAATCACTAACAGTTTTTAAATAAAATTTATGTTTTCGTTTCGAATTTCCTTAAATTTAAATTAAAAGTTTTAGATTTTTCGAATTTTTCTTTGACGAAAAATTCTCCAGTCTAATGCAGAGTCAAACGTTGGGGTTGAAATTTCAAGTGGGGTTGGACTTAGACGCGGTTATCAATGTATAAAGAGAGGAAAATAAAGAAAATCATATAAATTCCTTCGCTCCACACCTGCACAATTTTACACATGCGCAGCGTCGAGCAAATAGGGAAATAAGGAAAATTTGATTTTCTCTCTCCTTTTTTAATGATATTTATTCAAAATATTGAAACACATGTTTTCAAGAGAGAGAAATTTTATGAGAGTAAACATTAATTTATTTTGGTCTGTTGTGTTTGGATTAAAAGTTATTAACCAAAATGTGTAGGAGATGAAATATTTTATTCGAATTCAAACTAATTTTAATTTGTAACAATAAATATGTTTTTGTAAAAAATAAACTTTAATTCATTTTTTATATTTCATGAAAATCAGGATTTCGTAAAGCAAAGCATTTCTTTTTAAATTTCCATAAGCTCCAGCAATTCTGATTTTTACTAAAAATTTTCCAATTGGCAACCACCCAGGAGCTTTCAAGCAGTATCCCTGACACATATCGGGAACATAACAAAACGAACGGTAAAGTCCCTTTAATATTAATAATTATTTATAGACAATTTTTCATAACCAATGAGATACTCACGACTTTAAAAGGACATTTTATTTCAAACTGGTTGCATTTGAAAATTTTATCCATTTGCAGTTTAGTCAAAAGTGTATTGGAACTCAACGCATCACCGAATTTGCAAAGATTTACTGTCGTCCTAACCACTGAAGTATCAAATGTGTCCTTACGTTTATCTTTTGGTACCAAAATTTCAAATGATACTGTTGAAAAAAAGATTTCAGAAGAATTAAATCGTCCACATTAATTTATTTTACTTAACTTGTTTCTTTCTTGATTTCACGCTGAAACCAACATTTTAAATCATAAGAAAAGTTCAAAGATCCATAATATGGAGTATGGATGTCAATAGTCAAATTGCTTATTGGTATTGGATTATAAGTATAATTCCAATAATAAACTTCAAAATCTGCATGAATATATAAAACTATAGAAGACAACACCAAAATGAAAATAATTGTACGAGACATGATATCATTTGTCAATCGATTCGAAAACTAAATGTTTTCTGATATTTCCCGTAGCTTTTAATGATCATAAAGCGTTTGAAAAAATATTTTTTAATATTTATCAAATGTAAAATCAGCAGTTCAAACGGCAGGAAGGTGGTTATTAATACAAAAATCAAAAAGCTTACTTCAAATAAACATAAAATTGAAATCGATTGAAACAAGCTAGCTTAAAAAATATTCAATTGAAGTACCTAGACAGACACACAAGTATACTGTGCATTAACGGTAGAATTGTTATTTTTCATTATCATAGTTTTATTGATCATGCCGTTGAGTTTTCATCTTACACCGGTTTCATAAAGTTTTATGTTTCATTTTTATTTTCATCCCGTTCCAAGCCGAAATCTGTCATCATCATCATCATTATTTTTCAAAATTCAGTTTTCAACGAAAACAAAGCAGATAGAAACACGCAATTTTCATTAAAACTTGATAAAATCATGGAAAATTTTCAGAGAAACATTCAAACCCGTGAATGCAAGAGCAATGAACTTGCAGAGAAATTTCGTAATGAAGGCAACAAGAAGTTTCGCGAGAAGAATTTCTTTGAAGCTCTCAGTTTATATAATAAAAGTCTTTGTTACTCACAAGATATGGAAATATTATCGCTTGGATACGCAAATCGATCTGCAGTCTACAAAGAAGTTAAGATGTTCGATATGTGTATCGAAAACATTCATTTAGCTAAAGAAAACGGATATCCTTCAAATAAAATGAATAAATTGATTGAACGTGAGCAGAACTGCAAAAAAATAGTAAACCTCAAAATGAAAAGTGCTAAAGAAGATGCTGAGAATTTCTTCAAACTTTCACTTCCTGCTAATGAAAAAATCCCTTTCGCTGTGAAATGCTTGAAATACCAAGTCAATGAAAAATATGGTCGTCATGTAATTACAACTGCAAATTTAAAGGCTGGTGACATAATTTTAATTGAGGAACCATTTCTAAAGAAATTTCAATATGGTACACAAAATTACTACACTCGATGTGCCAACTGTTTGAAAACTAATAAACTGAATTTGATTCCATGTAATATTTGTGCAACAAGTAAGTTATTTATAATGTTTGTCAAAATAAATCTTTTTATCAATTTTATCCACAGCGATGTATTGCTCTTCAGAATGTCAGAGAAATGACGAATTAGTTCATCCTCTTGAATGTAAGGTACAAACTACGGAAAAAATTTTCCTCTCTAATTTGAAATTGGTGCTACAAGCAGTTCAAATTGCAGGAAGCATAAATAATTTGAAAAGAATTTTCAAAGATAAAAGCAATAGCACAGTTTTTGATTTTGATTGGAGCAAAGAAGATTTATCTCATAGCAAAAACTTTTTGAGTGTTCTTGCTTCAATGAATTGTGTTCAAACGAGTCTATTAAATGAAGAAAAACTTGATCTTCTTAAAAATGTACTGAAAAAATATTTAGCTGATCATTTGAGTAAATTTAACGAAACATATAAAATCGATGATCAAACTGATTTTCTTTGCCAACAATCTAAAAACTTTTTTAACATTTTTAACACAAACTCGATCAGAATGGAGGAACATACTTATGAATTTAATCAAGACTCGGCTTTTACATCATGGATTGATTACAATAAAATTGGCAGTGGAATTTTCCCTTTTGCATCACTTTTTAATCACAGTTGTGATCCAAATACTACTCGAGTAACAGTTGATAATAAGCTTGTTTTTGTTATCAGAAAGCCAGTGAAATCTGGCGAACAAATATTTGTTACATATGGTCCTGACTTTACTGGTTATACACTTATGGAACGCCAAAATCTTTTGATAAGAGATTACGGATTCAAATGTGATTGTGAAGCATGCAGAAATGATTATCCTAAAATGGAAACATTTGTAATAAATCCATCTATATTTCATAAATCATTATCAGTGGCGAAGGCTAAGAAAGAATTCAGGAAAGGTTGCGTTTATATGGAAAAACATATGAAGGATCATCCAAGCTTTGAAACTGATGAAATGATGTATCTTATCAAGCATACATTATTCGAAATAGCAAAACTTCCATTCGACGATAAACTTGTTTAAACAAAACTGATGAAATATTAAAATTTTGTAACAACTTAAAAATTTATATACCTAATTAACTAAAAATAGCAGTTTATATAAAATAAAATAACGACAAAATAGATTTTGAAATTTAGTTTAATATTCTTCCGGTAGGGATCAACCGAGCCATTTTTCTCTGATTTCAGACTTCACTCATCACCTGGAAGTAAAGATGAAAAATGTCGGACTTTTTGCAAATTAAAATAAATTCCAAAAACGCTTGTGAAGGTGAAAGTAGCTCGTTTTTTGACAATTATTCAGTTATTACAAGAGGTAAAAAGTGAAAAATAATTTAAAAAATTAAAACCAGAGAACATTTCAAGTTCATTTGGTTGTTTGTAAACAAATCACTTTCTGCTCAAAAGTTAATTCAAGAAATATGATGCCAAACGCTTAGAATCCATAGACTACATTGCTTTATTTCTTTTATATATGAATGGCAGAACTAAAATATATTATTACATCCATTAAATATCCGACACATGCAGCAGAAATAAGAATGCAATTTTTTTCACAATTCAACATGAAACTAAGTTGTGGAAAATTTTTGTTTTTTTCCATAGAAAATGACGACATGACAGAAAATAGTGATTCAGGTTTCACAGAATTTAACCAGACCAGATCAAGTGATACAAGTCAACATGAAATGAGCAAGACATCGTCACCCGAACCTGACAATCAGGAGCAGAGAGAAAGCTCAAGCGACATTGTAGAATTAAAATCTTCCGATAATAGCTTAGGACGTGGATCAATGTCAAAAAGCAGTGAAAGTTCGTCTGATGACGATGATTCAGACGACGATGATTATGAGGATTCCGAAGCAAGTCAGACAAGTGTTTTAGGCTGGGTGCGTATTAATTAAAAGTGAATTTTTTCTTTCTCAATTTTCAATGACTTTTGCTCAACTTTAGGTTCGTCAGCAAATGCAAAAAGGTGCAAATCCTCGCGATATTATAAAAGTATTGTTGCATAATTTCCACATCCCCGAAAATATGAGCGAAACAATGTTATGGCGGATTATAAGCTTTGCCGTAACACCGCAACGTGAACGACTCAGTAATGTTAAAACTTTGAGTGATGCTGTTCATCGAATAAGACAAGCAAAGCATATCATCATCTTAACTGGAGCTGGTGTTAGCGTGTCTTGTGGTATTCCCGATTTTAGATCTCGTGATGGAGTCTACAGTCGTCTTTCAAGAGAATATCCAAATTTACCCGATCCTCAAGCAATGTTTGATATAAAATTCTTTTATCAAGATCCTCGGCCGTTTTTTAAATTTGCTCGTGAGATTTTCCCAGGACAATTCAAGCCTTCACCATCACACCGATTCATTAAAAAGATGGAAGAGCGAGGCGTTCTGCTTCGAAATTATACACAAAACATTGACACTTTAGAGCGTGTAGCTGGAATCTCAAGACTCATCGAATGTCACGGATCCTTTGCAACTGCATCTTGTACCNTCATAAAATATATTATGAACATTATAGCAACTACGATTCCATAAAATCTAACAATGAACAAATCCCTAGAATTTTTTGTGTCCATATCATATAAACCTGCCACAGCAATAGTTCTGACCAGGAACATGAAACCACTAAACACAATAAGGACAATGGTGAATATCCACGCAAAACGTTGGTCCTTTTTTTTATACTCATCATATGGACTTGTCATATTTGTGCTTTCTAAAAATGTTTGAATTAATTAAATTTGCTTGTTTTAATTGACAATATTTAGTGCGATTCATAATTCTAATTGAATGTCAGATACAGTTCAATCATTTAGGAAGATTTTTAGAAGATTCACATCAAAAGTGTCTTACCAATTTCTGTTGTTGCAGTATCGTAGATTCAAAATGTTTACTTGCTAAATTCAAATTTATCTGAAGAAACCTTTTACTTCCGAATGAAATAATACAACATTTTGAATAAATTTTTTCATACTAATACATTGATAAGATCATCATTCCGTGTAGTAGTATACACAAAACATTGACACTTTAGAGCGTGTAGCTGGAATCTCAAGACTCATCGAATGTCACGGATCCTTTGCAACTGCATCTTGTACCCGCTGCAAATTTAAAATAAATGGTGACGCAATTCGTGAAGATATTCTGCAACAGCGCATTCCCATTTGCTTTCTTTGTAATCCAAATCATGGATCACAAACTATTTCACCACAACTCAATGAAGATACGTCAACAACAGACAGAGATCACCTCAAAAACTTAGTTGAAATGGGAATCTTCAAACCTGACATCGTTTTCTTCGGTGAAGAGCTTCCCGATGATTTTCACGATTCAATCGATACAGATCGAAATAAATGCGATCTTCTTATAGTTATTGGTTCGTCATTGAAAGTAAAGCCAGTTGCAATGATACCAAATCTCGTACCACCGAATGTCCCACAAATTTTAATTAATCGTGAGCCATTATCACATATGAACTTTGATGTTAATCTTTATGGAGATTCTGATGTCATAATTCATCATCTTTACAGCTTGTAAGTCTCCAATGTTAATTATATTGTGAATTATTTGTTAATTAAAATTTATTTCAGACTTAGTGAAAGTGATGACGACAAGGATGAAGAACTTTGTTGGATGGAAAAGACTTTAGAAGAGACAACAGTCGAAATTCCTCAAAAAACGATTCCTCCATCATCACCAATTGCACCTGAAAATGAGCCTGCAACGTCAGACGAGCCACAACCATCATTACAATCCCCAAACAGTGAAAGTCTCGTGCATTTACTTCCTGCAGATAAGTTTGCTCAAATATCTCCACGATGTTACATGTTTCCGGGTGCTGAAGTAACATTGGAGAATATGGAAGGAGAGTCGGAAGATTCTGATGATGAATACAGCGATGAAGATGATGAAGATGAAGCAGAAACGTCACCAAATACACACGAGATCATTGTACCTGATATTGATAATGTTTTGTCCAATGAAATTCCCATCCCTGAAGTGTCACCGACACCCACAACATCGAATTCTTTGTCACCGACACCATCAACATCGTCACAACTCCAGTGTAACGATCGTGAAGTAATTGAGAATATTACAAATATGCAAGCCGATGAAGCTACCGAGGAGAATTTTGAAGCAACTCCGATCAAACGACCGCGATTGGAAATCGACGGTGATCACGTTTTTTAATTAAACTCATATTTCTTTCTTTCTATCCATAAAATATTCTCTAATTTTTGTTCTTCTGATTCTCAATAACTTCATGATTCGACAAACTTAATTTAAATTAATTTTTCTGTCTAGCAAGACTTTAAGTTTATGATGATAAAAAAATCAACAACTTTCCTTCCATTTTAAGTTCAAATTTATAATTATTATTAAACTATTTTGTCTTTCCTTTAGTGGAAATGTTTCGAATTAAAAACAAATGAAAAGGAAATTTTTGAAGCAAATATTTCTCTTAAGTTAGATTTTATCGAGAGAGTTTGTATCTTAAAGAACATTTCTGAAAATAAAATAAAGGAAAAGGAAATTAAAAAAAAATATTGCAATAAATTTCAAGCATTGTTAATCGAATTCAGACTCAAAAGAGTTCTTTATTTAAATTAATGGCTCTTGAAAAATGCATCAAGTGGTTGAACACACTCACAATGGTGCATAGAATGTTACAATAAATAAATGACGAGTAAACTCAACATAGAGATGAAAATCATCTTCAGAAACCTTGTAACACATCCTTCCTTCTATTTTTACATAAGTTTATGAACAGCTTCACTGTACGATGGAGGAAGATCATCTTCAGAATTCTTTTGAGGGCTCCGATGAGGTTGAGGAGTGTGTGACCTTGAAGTAGTTGGTTGTGAATTGAAATTTGAGGTATTGTTATTTTCTGGTTCCTGGGGAGGTGCAGAGGGAGGATTTGAGGGTCGATTATTATTAAATGTATAATTTTCACTGAAATTTGAAGTTCGTGTGGTAGTAGTTCTTGTGGGTCGGATATCATCGTTTGCATCATATCTATTGGTTTCATAATCCCTTTCATTTTGCTTATAATCTGAATAAATCGTACATCTGATCATAAAATATATTATGAACATTATAGCAACTACGATTCCATAAAATCTAACAATGAACAAATCCCTAGAATTTTTTGTGTCCATATCATATAAACCTGCCACAGCAATAGTTCTGACCAGGAACATGAAACCACTAAACACAATAAGGACAATGGTGAATATCCACGCAAAACGTTGGTCCTTTTCTTTATACTCATCATACAGGTCTGTTGTCATATTTGTGCTTTCTAAAAATGTTTGAATTAATTAAATTTGCTTGTTTTAATTGACAATATTTAGTGCGATTCATAATTCTAATTGAATGTCAGATACAGTTCAATCATTTAGGAAGATTTTTAGAAGATTCACATCAAAAGTGTCTTACCAATTTCTGTTGTTGCAGTATCGTAGATTCAAAATGTTTACTTGCTAAANGAGCGAGGCGTTCTGCTTCGAAATTATACACAAAACATTGACACTTTAGAGCGTGTAGCTGGAATCTCAAGACTCATCGAATGTCACGGATCCTTTGCAACTGCATCTTGTACCCGCTGCAAATTTAAAATAAATGGTGACGCAATTCGTGAAGATATTCTGCAACAGCGCATTCCCATTTGCTTTCTTTGTAATCCAAATCATGGATCACATTCATAAGATCATCATTCCATGTAGTAGTTAAAACATTTGGGAAATTCGGCATTAAAAATTTCACAGTAAATAATAAAAAGCTTCAAGTGTTTAAAGCATTTTGTTTATGTTTTTCATATTATAAATTTTAAAAGTGGGTTAAGAATGTTTATAAAAATAAAAATATTTATCTAGATATAGATAAAGAATGTTTTTTTGATTTATTTATTATGTAACGACTAAAGTTTAATATGCATGCTAGCAATCTGTACATTTCCATCGTTAATATTACAAGGATTTTAATTCTAAAGTTTGCATTAACAATTAATTTCCAGTGACATTGCTATTGGAATTAATACCGAACATTTTTAATAGTACCTATTTAGCAAAAACCATGTGAAATATTTTTCAAAATCATGTGGGTAATAATTTGTGTTCAATTATTTAAGGCTTTTAAAAGACCTGGGGAGACTGTTTCTTGAAGTAAAAAAGGATTTGTTTAACATGGCAGAATATTTTTAACATCTTTTAAATTATTTATTTAGTTTATGAACAGCTTCACTGTACGATGGAGGAAGATCATCTTCAGAATTCTTTTTAGGGCTCTGATGAGGTTGAGGAGTGTGTGGCCTTGAAGTAGTTGGTTGTGGATTGAAATTTGAGGTATTGTTATTTTCAGGTTCCTGGGGAGGTGCAGAGGGAGGATTTGAGGGTCGATTATTATTAAATGTATAATTTTCACTGAAATTTGAAGTGCGTGTTGTAGTAGTTCTTGTGGGTCGAAGATCATCGTATGCGTTGTATCTGTTAGCTTCATAATCCCTTTCCTTTTGCTTATAATCTTGATGGATCACAAATCTGATTATAAAATATATTATGAACATTATACCAACTATGATTCCATAAAATTTAATAATGAACAAATCCCTAGAATTTTTTGTGTCCATATCATATAAACCTTCCACAGCAATAGTTCTAACAAGAAACATGAAACCACTAAACACAATAAGGACAATGGTGAATATCCACGCAAAACGTTGGTCCTTTTTTTTATACTCATCATATGGACTTGTCATATTTGTGCTTTCTAAAAATGTTTGAATTAATTAAATTTGCTTGTTTTAATTGACAATATTTAGTGCGATTCATAATTCTAATTGAATGTCAGATACAGTTCAATCATTTAGGAAGATTTTTAGAAGATTCACATCAAAAGTGTCTTACCAATTTCTGTTGTTGCAGTATCGATGGAGATTCAAAATGTTTACTTGCTAAATTCAAATTTATCTGAAGAAACCTTTTACTTCCGAATGAAATAATACAACATTTTGTATAAATTTTTTCATACTAATACATTCATAAGATCATCATTCCATGTAGTAGTTAAAACATTTGGGAAATTCGGCATGAAAAATTTCACAGTAAATAATAAAAAGCTTCAAGTGTTTAAAGCATTTTGTTTATGTTTTTCATATTATAAATTTTAAANGTGTTCAATTATTTATTTAAGGCTTTGAAAGACACCTCGATTATTTCTTTGGTTAAAGTTTTTTAAATAAATAAGGAAAACTTTCCTTGTTCCTTATTATATTATTTTCAATCTCCACGTTTCTAATGAGATTCCGAAGATTATTTCCTTTCTATATTTTCTATTATATTTTTAAAGTAAAAAAAGGGATTTGTTAAACATAACAGAATATATTAAACACCTTTGAATTATTTCTTTAGTTTATGAGCAATTTCTGCGTATGATGGAGGAGGATCGTTTTCAGAAATATGATGTGAACTTTGATAAGTTCGAAGTGCATGTTGTCTTGAAGTAGTTGATTGTGAGTTTGAATTGAATGAGTTATCCAATATTAATTCTTCAGGAGGCGCAGATGGAGTTTCTGTTCTACTTTCAACAACATTCGAAGTGTTTGGGAATAAAGCAGATGTCCTAATGTTGTCTGGAAGTTTGTTCAGTATATTTGATGGCTTCGGATTGTTTTGGAATTCACTTCGAATATCATCTTCAAAATTATCCTGGAGCACATCAACACGAGCTTGCCTTTACATTAATAATATATTTTTAATAATAATGAGCGTTAGTTTTTTGTATGAAAATGCAAACCATGATTTCATATTTAAATTTAATATTTTCTTATACTTTCTTAGATCTTCAAATAGAAAAATATTTCTAATCCAAATATAAAAATCATGGCACGAAGTTTGTATAATTTTTCATACTTTTCTTCTGATGGTGACGTCATATTTCAAGAAGCTAGAAAAATATTAAAAATATTAACTTTCATCAGAAGCTCGAAGGATTCAAACTCTTCAGTCAACATTTGATACTATTTCAAATCTGTCATTGAGTAAATAATGGAATTGAAGAATATTTAATTGAAAAACCTAACTCTTCACAAGACAAACATGATGGTGAATCATCTTTGAATAAGTGTTTTGAGTAATTTAAAGAACCGCAACGATGTAAATATTGCAATAAATGATTGAAATTACATAATTTACACTTAGGACAGCATAAAATTTTAATAAATTTAATCTAAACGATGCATTTCATCATCACATTATTTTATTTCATATTAATACGTCATTAAAATATGATTATTGATTATTATTTGATATACCTAAATAAATTGAATTTATTATGTCACATTTGAGGATTTTCTAGCATTAATTAATAATTTACAAATTGAAGATTGTCAATAAAACTATTCAACGAAAGAAACTCACCACAAATCGATGCAAAAGAAGTAATTAAGACAATAGTTTCTTGAATTTCCCGCTTAGCTACTTTTTACTGCCGAAAATCAAAACAACACTTTTTCGACACACTTTGTTTGAACTAACACATCTACAAGATTACTATTTTTTGTAGTGGTAAATGTTTAGCGTAAATTGGACATTTGAAGATTTAACATGCAACTTTTATTCAACTTCATGGCTTTATTAGCTTTTGAAGTTAAGATTGTTCAAATTGGGCACGAGAAAGCGTGAAAAAATATTTTCATAATTTTCACGCTGAGCAATTAATGAAAAAAGTTTTCCCATATACTGAGGGCTGTAAAAGATTGATTTCTTTTAATTTAAATAATTTTCTGTAGTTTTAATTTTTTAAAAATTCTTTAATTTTATATGGCAAGTCAATAATCTTATCACAATCATCAACAAAGAATATCATTTTAAGAAATCATTTCAAAAACTTTAAAGAAATTGAAGCATGTCTTTGTATGATCTTTAATCAAATTGAACAATTCGGTGAGCTTTTGATAAATTCAATAAATATTCATAAAACTCTTTAAGTCAATTGTCAATAATGTTGCTTGTCATGCATAACAATGCAATTTATGTTGATAAGAAAGCGTAAAGATTAATACGAGATTCTTAACATCTTATTTTTGTTTAGATAGATTATAGGCAACGTCGTCGTAAGAAGGAGGCGCTTCGTCCCCAGAAGTCTTCTGTGAGTTGTGATGAGTTTGAGGAGTTTGTGAATGTGGGTTCAAATGTATTGTGTGTTCTTCAGGAGGTGCAGTAGGAATTCCCAATGGTCGATCAATTTGTATTGTAATAATTTCTCTTTCAGTTCCATTAACAGTTGCAGTAGTTCGTGATGTTGTTATTAATTGATCATTATGGTTTTGATTTGTTGAGACATCTACTGTTCTTATGATTCCACTGTTCGCATTTTGATATTCCTCTTCATTTTTTTGATATTCTTTGTAAATTAAGCTCTTTAATATAACATATATCAGTAGAATTATGAACACAGTAAATACATAATAAGTAATGATCAATGCTTTCTTGTTTTCCGAAGACCCATTGACGTATATCATTTTAGCATAAAGAAATATAGCCGTGGTCACGAATAAGATTACATATAAGATCCGTGCGAATTTCCTATCCTTCTTTTTATAATTCTCTCTTGGCGTTGGCATATTTGCAAATGCTTAGAATTAAAACATTGAAAACTTTAACTTTATTTTTTCAAGTGTTGAATAATTTAAAATAAAACTTACAGATTTCCGCCAAGAGTTTTTAAAATTTAGAATTATTACTTCACTTCTTATGAACCAAAACATTACATATTTCTATGAAAAATTCTGTACGAATACCAATGAACCAACAAGTTTGCTGTCAAGTGTAGTGGTGAACACATTGCGAGTAGTTTCAAAGTTTGCGTAAATTTCATAGTAAACTGCGTAAATTTCATAGTAAACTAACATGCCGATAAATGTGATCATGCTTCAAGATATAAATTTAAATTAGTATTAAAACTTTAAGGAAATTCAAAAACAAGTAAAATTTTGTCATCTTGACCATTTCTCACAAATGTCAATGTCAGATTATTATTAAATATTTTGCTTGTGACCATGTAATATGCAGATTAAAATATCTTATCGATGAAAATTCATTATTTCATTTCAAACTTTACTCTAAATTTAGAAAAAATTTAATAAAATAAATAATGACAAACAAGCTGATTAAGTTTTATAGTTGAGCTTTTTTCATTTATTGAATATCTTTGATAAGTATTTTTAATCTTACAACACTTTTTTTTGCTTAAGAATCTAAAAAAACGAATCCACTAACACAATAAAATGAGTTTTGTTTTGTTATGAACACAAAATGCGTAGTTATATAAAATTATACGCTTTTTAAACACTGAAGTTTCTTATTTTCTATAGCATTAATAAAAGTGTTAATATTGTTTAAGAATCGTAAAAATCTGTCCATGTATATGGGCAACAACAAAGAGAGTAAAAGATTCTTATAACTGACGAGGAATTTTTAATGTTTACGTGAAATGTATTTTAATGAAATGTTAACGAAATTTAAGTAGATAAATACTTGTTACGGATGTGACGACAGATTTTCAACCACTCGTTCACGTTTTTTACGATCATCATGTTCAACTGACTCAATTTCGACTTCATTTCTTGAAGGAGTTGAGAGAACAATTTTCGGCCTTGCAATCTCTAACAACTCCCGATCGTTGTTGCCTTCTTCAGGATCTTCAGTTGGAATTCGCTTCCGCTTCATTGAATTTTTTGAGTAAGCCGAGTCAATAGCACCTTTTTCCTTGTCGACACAGTACCAGTAAATAATCATCACGATAAAGCAAATGATTAAAGCTATGAAGAGAATTGTACTGACATCCGATCGGAAAACAGGTTTGGCATCTGAAAATTAAAAATTTTTATCAAGCGTTGAATTTAATGAACATTCAAAAATTATCTTACGTTCTTCGTTGAATAATTGATCAACAATATCCTCAGCATTATCAATTAATACTGACTCGCTGCTCATTTTGCTTCGCTTTAACTTCCGACTGAAATAACAATATAAAAGAAAATGTAATTTCTTCCAAATAAAAGTTCTCTTCGAATATGAAAAAGCAGTAAAACTGGTCTGTTTCAGTCGAAACGTTAGTTAGTGTTTACCAAAAACCAAAAATGTATAAATAATTTACTAACATCATCTCACGTTTGCCGATTTTAGTTTTGTGCTGGAAGATTTTTCCATCCATTTTAATGTGTGTGCTTCACCAATTCCGCCATATGTGCAAGAAGATCGTGAATCACGATCAGATTTTAAAACATAGAATTGAAATGATGTAATTTTTATGCTAGAAAATGTCCGCCATCTGTTGATGATTTTCGAAGATTTTCATTCTAAATTTTTTATTTCATTTTTTCTCATCTTTTATTGTTCTTTAAAATTATCATTTAAGATTTGTCACACTTTAATTTTTCATATTTGTCAGCTAACATGTTTCGCTGTTGCACACTCTTCATACGATGGTGGAGGATCATAAGATGGAAGTTCAGTCAAAGATTGAGTTTGAGTTGTTTCGTTTTCTATATGCATTTGACCTCTTTGAGATGGTCTTGTTTGAAAAGTTGGATAATCATAAATATCTCTTGATCCTCCTCTAATTCGAGTAGGGTGGCGGACTATGATTCGCTTAAAATCAAGCTTTTTCTGACGCTTCACAACTTTAGTCACTTATGATTTCGCTCATATTATGTTTTGAGCGGTGTGACCTATATAAAAACAAAGCTTATGTAATGCACTTTGTTACTGATTTTTTTCGCTTTGAAAAAAGTTAATTAAATTAACTAAAATTATTAAAATGCCAAGCTATTTTTTTGGATGTTGATTCGCGTGGAAAAATCTTATTTCGTGCAAGGATTTAATCTTGATTCGTGATTTTTTTTAAAAATTAGTAGNAGTTGTTTCGTTTTCTATATGCATTTGACCTCTTTGAGATGGTCTTGTTTGAAAAGTTGGATAATCATAAATATCTCTTGAACGTCCTCTAATTCGAGTATTTCTATTTGGAAGATTTTGTGTTCGAGAGCTAACAGAACCTTCATCAGTTAGTTGACAAACTTTTTGACAATAAAAGTAAATATAACTACAAATTAACATAACAAAAAAAAGCACTAACAAAAATAAATGAAACGTTGAATAATCATCAGATCTGTTGTCAGTATCTGTATCTAAAATAAAATAAAAATATTATCACTTAATCATGACTTTTAAACTCATATTAAACTTACAATTTATATTCTCAAAGTACTCATATTCGTCATCTTTCCACTCGTATGCTTTAGCATAATTCAGTTCTCGTTTAATATTTGACGTCATCTGCTTAAATCATTAAATTATGAAACAATTTTATCTATGATTCTTATGCTTTTATACTTACAACAACTTCATCATTTGTCATTTAATTAATATCTTAACAATGAATAAAATAGAAGAAATTTAAAAAGCGTTCTAAAATCACGTTTGGCTAAGAATTTTTAATTTAATTGTGATAGGACAGTTTAATAAATCTGCGATGAAATATCAATAACAAAATAGAAACATTCACTACCACAATCTTGACCACAATCATTGAAGCCTACAGTCATAAGATACGAAAATATTGCTTAGAAGTTCTAAGTTAGAACATACATTTTTAATTATTACTTTTGCATGCTTCTTTAAAGTCAGAAAATAGTAAATTTACGTTTATCTCATGACAACACAAATGATAGTAAAAGTTCTATGAAAGCTTCGCTCTATTAAATATTCACAATTATAATTTTTAATAAAAGTAATTTTAAATTCTTAAAAAGATGAAAATTTTTCTTTCTATTCTTCAATACTAACAAACATCATCACATTCGTCTTCACACGTATCGGTACAAATATTACACTCATCATCAGTATCACAGTCTTGGACATCACATTCGCAATACTCTTGAATTAAGCATTGAACTCCTTCTTCCGCAGCAGCAAACTCACACTCATCCATTCCTTCGCCAGTGTACCAATGAACATACGCTCGCTTATGAAACATCGTGTTGAAGTTATCTACGCAACGTTGGAAAAGAAGCTTGATCGCGGTTGTATTACTTACAAATGTTGCTGACATTTTCATTCCTCGTGGTGGAATATCGCAAATTGCTGTCTTAATATTATTTGGAATCCAATTCGAAAATGAATCACAATTTTTCTCTTGTATCGCTAATAATTGGTGTTCAATTTCTTTAGGTGAAATAATTCCACGAAAGAAAGCTGCACATGTTAAGTAATGTCCTTCAGTTGGATCAAACATCGACATTTGATTGCGGCTATCGAATATTTGACAAACAAGATCGGTTGTCGTAATTAATTTGTAAGCTTCTCCTGATCTCGATGTCAACGGTGCAAAGCCAGGAATGAAGAAATGAAGACGAGGGAATGGACACATGTTTGTCATAATTTTTCTTAAGTCTGTGTTCAATTGACCGGGATAACGAATGCCAGCAGTGACACCTGCCATTGTCATTGATATCAGATGATTCAAATCGAGCATTGAAGGTTTGCAAAGCTTTAACGTGTTGTTGCAAATATCGTAAAGTGCTTCATTGTCAAAATAAACTGCTTCATCACAATTTGTAATCATTTCATTTATAGAAAGAACTGCATTGTAAGGTTCAACGACAGTTTCTGATAATTTAGAACTTGGTGTAACAGTGAAAGTGCTAATGATTCGATCTGGATATTCTTCCTTGAGTTTTTGTAAAAGTAATGAACCCATGCCACTTCCACTTCCTCCACCAATTGAATGAACAAGTTGAAAGCCTTGAAAGAACTCACAATTCTCCACTTGACAACGGGCGATATCTAAAACATTGTCGACGATTTCAGCACCTTCTGTGTATCGACCTCTCGCCCAATTATTTCCAGCACCACATCGCCCAGCGACAAAATAATCTGGGTTAAAGAGACGTCCAACGCATCCACATCTTATTTCATTTAAACATGAAGGTTCAAGATCGCAAAGTATCACTCGTGGAACGAAAATTTCCCTCGCACCTTTTTCAAAGAAGACATCAAGTCGTTGATATGGCAAAAAACTCGTTCCATAGAAATGACCACACTGATTTATGTTATGTTCATCAGAAATTGTTTCCCAAAACTGAATAATTACAATTTATTGATAAACTTAATTGAATTTTCTTATCTTCGATTTTTATTTACCCTTTCACCAACTTTATTGCCACAATTTCCAATTTGAATTGAAACAATTTCACGCATTTTGACAAAAACAATTTTTATAAACCAAATAAAGAAAAAAGTTAAAATCGCAAACTTAAAATTTGAGTCGTTTGAAAAGATTTTCAAGTTTAAAGAAAAGAAATTAATAAAACAAAAGTTACTGCGAATGAAATTCTCAATGGAAACGCAAAATAATTTTATTGAATTTCTTGGGTAATTGAAGATAAAAAAATTTTATAATTAAAATGAAAGAAAATGATTGAATGACATTCTAGAATGACCGAAGTTTAAATGATTTTACATCAGAACGTAAGTGGCATCAGTCATGACGCCACAGTTGTTGTTTCGTGCTGACATCAAAACGTAGCCGTCGTTTCCCCAATATGTGCTGTAATTTACAATTAATTTTAATTAGATAATTAAAAACTAAAGTTTAATTAAGAATTTTTTCTCACCTCCATGAATTCTTGACCAGCCAATAAAGTTCACCATTAATTGTTCCATACCCAACAGCAAGCACAGCGTGATCTAATTGGTCCATCTTATTACCGCATGTTTCATCATAAAACACTCCATGAGAGTAAAAAGTGAATGTTCGCTTCGATGCATCAATTGCAACTGAAATTGGGCCGTTCTTGAATAATGCAACTTTGAAAGCATTTTCATTATTCGATGTCACATTAACGAAGCCTTTGATCGGAGCAACAATAGTTGCGTTATTGACATGACAATATCCATCTTGTCCAAGATAGTCGCCATAACTTTCTTCAGTGGGAACTCCACCAACCTTCATCATCCATTGATAAGCACGGAAGTCTTCGCCACCATCACATCCGTTATTTCCATAACCCCAAGAACAGTCAATCAATGCTTGTTGTGATAATCTCACGAGATTTCCACCATTGTTCAAAAAGAAAGCACCTTCGATAGCTCCAATTGTTCCAAAAGACCAACATGAACCACAAACCGACTGATCTTTGACAGGTGTAACAGCACCATAAAGTCTCCAGTCATATTGATCGGGAAGATGATCTTTCTCCTTCTCAACATCATAAGGGAATGGCTTGCCTCCATTATAGATTTGTGATGATTTAAATCCCCTCAATGCTTTCAATTCGTCAGCAGTTCTATCTGCCAAATGATTAATACCCAACGAGAAACTCAACCCAGCACGATTCTTCGAATGAATAAATCTCAAATTCTGACGGAAAATATTCTTGCGATTTTCATGTTCATGATCTGAATCGTATTTCTTTCCATGTTTATTCTTAAAACGACTGAACTCGTGATCAACGTGTTCAGCTGCATGCGGATAAACAAATTCCTTCATAGGATTTAATGTCGCATAATGACCAGGTCCAGGAAATGAAATGCAAGAATCCATCTCCACTTCAAAGACGTCATTTGGAATATCTTCGTGACTGTAATAATCGTAACTCAAATAATAATGATCAATGTGTGAGCCTAACAATGTGTTGTAACCTCGCATTTCATAACGAACTGGAATAGGCATTAAACTTGATGGATACTTTGGAGATTTCTTATAACGAACCCACAATGTGTAAACATTTTTCTTCTGTCCAATGAACTCTTCAAGTTGGAACTTATCGCATTTCATTCCATTGTAATCAACTGTGCCAATGAGAGAGAAGTTTCTGACATCGGGAAGAATTGATTGGACTTGAATACGATAATCACTCGTGCCATTGACTTGAAGACAAGTGTCGCGGTTTTGATATTCGTCTGTTGTGACGGGAGCGAATTTGAGACTCGTTCCGTGCTCATATTCTCCACCAAGCTGATAAGTTTTCACCATTCCGCCGTAATAATCAATACGTGATCGGCCTGATGGTTTGTCGTACCATCCATAGAAAGGTTCTTCGATTTCAGCGTAAGGAATATACAAAACACCTTTAACAGTGTAAACTGATTCCCATTTTGGAGGATCTTTCGCTGCCACAAATGCGATTAAAACACAAAGACACAAAATTAAAAACTTCATGTTGAATCTTTCACAAAAAAAAACTTCTGATCCCTTCGATGGTTGGTTGTCGACTGAATTGTTCGTGAGAACGTTTGATTCTGATCCCTTAAGAGAGTGTGAATATTCGTAAATTATGTCAATATTGTTCTCAAAATCATTTTCTTCTCAATGAAAAAGTTTAATGTCGTCATTTAAAAATTATTCCATCACATTTCTCTTTCTTATCATTTTTACCATAGAATTTCAACCTGTTTTGAAAACTTTTTGTAAAGAATTTAGGATGACTTGTTGGAGTTCATTTTTATGAGTTTTAAAAATATGTAAGAAAGTGTCTCGTTTCTTCTGTTTAGTGAGGACAAAGAACGTTCGATTGACAATGGAGATTGCAGGTAGAAATACATTAAATTCGTTGAACTAATTTAAAGACTGAAAAATGATCGAACACAAAACAAAATTTAATGTCTTATAGAGACGCAAAACGTTTCTGTTTACTCTCAATCGAAATTGTTTTGATTAAAAACGAGAAGTGAATTAATGAGACAACAAAAAGCGAATCAGTCAGTTGGGTTATCACTTCTGACGTTTTAAGCTGATTATTGTGACAACACAAAAATATGATTCGAGAGAAAACAATTAAAGAAATTTCTTAAAAATTCGTGTTTTCAAATCACTACGTTTAATTAAGTTTTATTTTAGTTAATGTGTACAAAAACATGTTTTTGATTTCTAATTAGCACTTTGTTGAAGAATTGGCGACTGCTCAATGTGTTGCTCTTCATTCTCTTCTTGAGTCTGTTGTAGTCCTACTGGATTCTGAACATTTATTTTAAATTAATATTTTTTCAAGTTTTTAATTTTAATTTCTTACCAGCTTTCGAGCTCTTTCCACGAGAATATTGTTAAATGCAAATGAATTCATTGAGATGCCAGTTGGAAGTGCGACGCCTTGCACACGATAAAGATTGCAAGAAGCATTTTCTGCGGATATTTTATGAACTGATGCAATGGCAGAAGTTCCTAAAAAGGATGTTGAAGCAACCATTGGTCCTTTACTGATATCAATGTGATCACCAGCACGATATAGTGTGACTATTCCATTATTACTATTTGAGATACTCGGAAGTTGTTCGCGTTTGAAAGGATTTTCTTTAAACATTTCCAAAGCAATATCATGCGAAACTTCTAATCTCTCAACTTTTAAATTTTGTGTTGCAAATTTTGTCATTTCAACTTTAAGAGTGAAAAAATCTTCTTTTGAAGGCTTCCAATCACTTTCGTTGAGTGCGATATCATGAACAAAGCTTCCAGACCGGACATTCGGCTTTGTGAAACTATGCAAGAATAAGCCAGCATTTTCTTTAAAAGTCTTTTGTAAGACTGCTCCTAAGAAGAAGGAGCACGATCTCCAAAACGTTGCATTGACAGCACCAGGGTCGTTCATTTTAAAAGACAGAAGTTGAAGTGTACAAGAATCTTCCAAAGGTCTGTGCATATCCCAAAGTATCTTGTTATTCAAAAGAGCTACCGCCGATGTTTTACATTTTGATTCACTAATATCTAAACAAAAAAGTGTGAGGTCAATGTACATTCATTTACGAAGTTGTTAGTTTCTTACGTTGAGCACAATTATATGGAGTAGAAAGTTTCTTATTCATCATCATTGTTGCGTCTTCTGGAGTGCCCAAATATCTAACTTCGATTTTCTCCACTCGTCCAACATTGCTACGCTGTTTTTTCTGTTCAAAATCAAAGATTCGATTACGTTTTCTTGTGATTTCCTCATTGGATAAATTTCCTAATCAAAATAAAAACATTTATAAAAGCACATTTTTTGTAAAATTTGTTAAATTTACTTTTCTGAAATTCAACTATGTTTTTAACACTTTTCCCATATAAGCGGCTTCTTACATTCACAAGGAAATGTGATGTCATTGTGAAAAAATACTTTTAATAAAGGAGAAATTCAATTTATATGAACTCCGGAAAAGTTTTTGTTTTTAAGACCGATTATGAAAGTGTTAGTGAATGATATTGAATTGCTCAGTTGCTCAGTTCAAAGTTTTATTTTGAATAAAAAACCGGTAAAAATTCATAACATATTTTTTTAATCATTTAGTGAGATTTTCTTGTTTCCAAGCTTTTAAATAAATGTTAATAAATCGGACCATCCCCTTCGTCCAAATTATCATCTTCATCATTGTACCCTTCACCATTATCGAAATAGTTATTCCCATAGTCAATATCGTCGTCCATTTCTTGATCTTCCATCTTTTCTTCTCCGTCCTGAAATGATTAATAATGTTATTGTGAAAACTAAAATTTATGAAAATGAAAGTGAACTTACATCATTGATATCATCATCACTTTCATTATCTCCTTTGGTACTACGCTCTTCACCTTCGGGATTTTCCTTTTCCTTCTGCTCTAAAATTTTTAATTTTTCTTCAACAATTTCTGATGGAACTACTTTCAGTTTCTTCGCTTTGTTCGATTTATTTGGAGATCTTCGTTTATTACTTGGTCGGAGCTCAGCTGGCATAAGGTTCCATGCAAATTTTAGCTGCACTTTCTTCTTATGTTCTCTTTCAATGGCATTCTAAAAAAATATTTTTATTTCATAACTTTGTGAATGGTTTTAAACTATTTTTCATTTCAACTTACTGCAACCTTTGAAGAATAGCTGTCATCCGTAAGATTAAGATCTAGATTACTATGCACTTCAAAAAGATCATTCTGAAACTGCACTTTCCAGTCAACTTTATACTCCAATTCTTCGCTTTTTTCAATCTCAATAGGACGTGACACTAAAGGTGGAAAAAGTGATGTAGGAGCAGCAACTGGGACATCTTTGGAAGTCACGCCTAAATTTGTCAATTGTTCTTTCGTAAAACCAGAATTTCTAAAAGCGTACATGTTAATAACTGGCTGATAATAAACTGAGCTAAGGAATGGAAATTATTCGATTGCTCAAAAAAATTTTCAAAGCGGGGCCATAACTAAATGTAAACAAACCGCTCAAATATTTTACTGAACACATTGGAAATAGCGGGAAAATTTGAATTCAAAAAGTGCTTGTTTATGCTGTGAGAAATTTAAATAAATTAAAAAAATATATATTCCAACATTAAATCAAGACTGTTTTTCCTTACTTTCATTCCCAACATTAAAAATTTAGAGACGAATACGTAACTACGAAAAAACTTCAGACTTTCTATTAAAAAATCATGGCTAAAGTTCAAAGCCTTTTTTGTTCTTCCAGCAGTCAAATAATGTTGAATAATTTCACACGAAGCTGTTGAGTAATTTTTGTTTCATATTGCTACTGTCTATTAAGTGGTACTTGTCTAGTAGATGTATGTTTAAGTTTTTTACTTTTTATTGTTTCTCAAGGTAATTAAAACGAAAAGGCACTCAATAAAATGTAAAAAATATTCACAAGACTACGACATATGTTTCCTAATTTTTAACCATGCATAATTGTTTTAAGAAATCTAGCTCTATAATTATGTATTGCATCGTTTCACCGCAGTTTAAGTTACTATAGTTAAACTGTAACAAATCTGAATCAAAGTAAACTTGTTGACCTTAGACTTGATCATTTGCAAACACTCGGAGACAGGTTTTACACATGTAGGTATTTATGCAATTTTTCTAAGCGCAAAGATGACTGCATTTTAGATGACAGTTGATTAATGTTTCTAATAATAGTCATTACTTATAAATATTTAAAATGCTATAAGTATCTAATTGAATTTTTATTTTGTGCTTGTCGTAAAGTCCTTAATATGAACCTTCTATAAAGCATTGCATTTCCTGTTTACATCTTATTAAGTGTTGTAATCTTGCGCTGGAATGATGTACCTTAAATTTTTATTAAATATTATTTTTATCATCCCAATGGTAACTACTGGAAGAATTGAACCTCGATCGTTTGTGGATATGAAAGAATCAATGGAAAAAACCCATATGGAGATCGTAGAAGAAGCAGCACCATCAAGTAACGATAAAGATAATATAAAAGTTATAAAAATGAATGAAATAGTTTACGGCATTGAAACGAAAGGGAAGCCTGAACTTTTCCGTCATGCACACGATAAGCTCTACAAAGAAAAACGGACGGAATTCAATGAGAATGAGTCAACGACTTCTCTCAGACCAGAACTTGCTTCTCATTCTCATGTTCATGAAAAAGCAGCAGAAACTCACACAAAAGTTCATAAGACAAAAAACCAGAAAAACAAATCAACAACAACTTCTACTGAAATGCCTGTAACGACTCATCATAATCGATTCAAACGAAGTTTTACAAAAGATGAACTTGAAAGTTTTTCTGAAATGGGAAAAGTCTTCTCGGAAAGTTTCAAAAAGTTTAATGATGACGCGAAAAAAGCTGAAAAAGATTTTCTGAGTTTTATGAAAAAACTTGATAAGATCTCAGATTCACATGACCACTATGCATTTTAATGCTTCAATTTAACATTTATTTATTACATTTAAAATATAAAAAATAAAATCTTATCATTGTACATCACCAGAAGTATAAAAATAAATATTTAATATATCACATGAAAAACAAAACGTAAAAAATTGATAAACTTAGTGATTCAACCGAAACCTCATGACGCAATATGCTGCAAAGTGAAAAACCGCCCAAATAATGCCAAGTGAGTGAAATACTTTTGGAATATCTTCTCTCATATCAATCATTGTCATGAACTTTTTTGTTGATATAAAGTGACAATAAAGTTCTTCACATTCGAGTTTTGTTCTGTTGAATCCCAATATTAACGAGCCATAGCCATCTAATGCGTGTTTCATAAAAGATATCTGGAAGGTACGAATGAATGTTAATAAAATTCAGGTTTTAATGACGTTAGTCCAATAAAACTTTACTTCGAACATCCAATGCCAATATGGATTTACATCTTTCATGAACACAAGTCCACCAGCGAAAATGATTTGATAGAGCATAAGTAAAGCAGCAAATAACAGCGACAACTGAAAATTGAACTTTCTAAAATGAGTACAAAACAATTTCAATTAAATATTAATAAAACCTTGATTTCAACAAATGATCCCGCAAATATTCCGTATGCTTGCGACGTAAAACTTAAAGCGAGACCAATTGCTAAAACTGTTCCAAGTCTAAAGTCTTCCAACGGATGATTTGTCATCGTATAAGCGACTACAGTAAACATGATCGAACAAATTATTACTATTGGAACATCGGCTAAGTTCAAGGCGATGTAATGTGCAGCTGTAGAGTACCATCGATTGAAATGTTCACGTTGAATGATCGGTAAATCTAATGGAACTGAAAATGTAGTTCATTAACAACTTTGACAGTTATATAAATATTCAAAGTGAAGTTACATCGAACAGCCAGTGAATACAGTGACGTGTACATTAAAAATGCAACTAATATGAATATCGATTTATAAATGTTGATCATTTGTTTTGCATCGTTTCCAATGTTGTAGTACATGATGCCAACAAGAAATCCCACGAATAGATAAACGACAAGTCTCATAAGCATGTAACTTTTATCGCGTATATTAAAAAGCGTATTTCGAGCTGTTAGTTGAATAACTTGATCAATAAAAGATGATGATGAAGAAGCAGATCTTTGATATGATGATAGCTCACAATTACTTTCGATGATGATTGATTCAGATTTTTTTCTGTATTCGTTATTTAGTCCATTTTTAATTTTAGCTTGCAAAAGATAGTTTTGTTCTCCATAATCATTATTAGCGATTTCGAGAAGAAAATCAGCTGGATTGAATGTCTCCGGGCAGATTATATCTAATTCGTGTAGAAATGGAACAATGTTTTTGCTAGCACCTTGGTAGATGCAAACGCCGTCAGCTAACGTGTAGAGATTGTCAAACATTTGAAGAAGCAATGCAGAAGGTGTATGAATTGTACAAATGATTGTCTTCCCTTCATGTGCCAATTTTTGAAGAAGCTTCACACATTGTGTTGACGAAGATGAATCTAAACCTGTTGTTGGTTCATCTATAAACAAAATTGATGGATCATCGACAAGCTCCAAAGCTATTGCAAGTCGCTTTTGTTGACCGCCACTTAAATCTTTGACAAATGTATCGATTTCGTTATCAAGCCCGAGATTCTCTAATATCATCAACACTTTCTTTTCACGTTGTTCTTTTTTTAATGAGTTTCCCGTTTTAAGTCGAATGGAGAACAACATTGTTTCACGTAATGTCAAAAGTGCATGCAGATTTTGTTCTTGCATAATGTATGACGATTGCTTTCTAAATAAATTAAAGTCACGAGGCTTTCCGTTGACCCGTATTGACCCGCGCACATTTGATGTTGAGTAGCCTGAGAGAACATTAAGCAAAGTACTCTTGCCACATCCACTCGGGCCCATAATTGCTGATAACTCACAACCTCTAAACTCTCCATTAATTCCTTTTAGAATTTCTTTCTTATCTAATGAGAGAAAGAGAGAGCATAGAATAGAGAGAACAACATTGCATATGAAATCAAGAATAATAATTAAGCAAGTACGCACTTAGTCCGAAAATGTCGTAAAACACTGTCTTGACACTATAACGTAACTCTTCAAACTCGATAGTTAATTTCTCATTCATACTTCAACCAAAATCGAATTTAACAAACTCACGGTTTTATTTCACAATTTATCTAAAAACTAAAACTAAACCAGTTCTTGGCTTAAATATTTTACATCTATCAACGTCAAGATGACTAAACCGACTGAAATCGCGCGCGAGTTTTTCTTCGTCGAACACCCAAAAAATACTAAAAATATCAAAGCTGCGATAGAAAAGAGAAATAAACTCAAAATTTAAAAGCTCCAAAAAATACAATCACAAGATTGACTGCCGTAGCGATCACACGAACGTAGTTTTTTCTTTCTTTTCCACAATTGTCACACTAAACACTTAATTAAATACCAAAAGTTCGAAAAGTTCAACCAGAAACATTCTGTGAAGAATGTCAGAAATTAATTAATTAGCTAATTGTGTGAAAGTCAATTGATATTTATGTACAGTTAATTACCATTATTTATTACCATTTAATGTTTAATTTCTTAATCTGTAACGCATAATTAGAAACGTAAGCAAATGCATTATAATTAAATTAACAATGATTGACGAAAACACCTTCGTTAAATTTTCTTCAAGTCCAATAAACTTCATAAACTTATTCGGATCTTCAAAGTGACAATAAATGTCACTACAATGAAGTTTTTTTCTATTAAATCCAAGTATAAGTGAAGCGAATCCGTCAAGTGAATGCTTGATGTAAGTTGTCTCAAACAACCAGTAAAATCCTGATGACACATCTTTCATGAGAATAAAGAATCCACCAAAAAGAACATGAAATGCCATCAAAAAGCCTGCAACTACAAGCGCTATCTGTAAGAGAAGTGATAAGAAAATAGGTCGCGAAAGTGAATTCAAACATTGTAATTTGCTTCACTTCTCGTTTCGTAATAAAACGAATTCATTTCATACCTTAACATCGAACAACGATCCAATGAGCAATCCATATGATTGCGCTGTAAAGCTTGTTAGAATTCCTATAAAAATCACGTTAATAAGACGGAAAGATTCCATTGGTTGGTCGGTGAAGTAGAAAATGATGATTGTGTAGAAAGTACAACAAGTGATGATAATTGGAATATCTGAGATTATGAGTGCGAGATAATAAGAACCACTAGAATACCATCGATTAAAGCATTCCCTCTTTGTGATCGGCAAGTCCAAGGGAACTTTGAAAGAAAATGTTGATATTCAAAATTTATGATTAATCAAAAGTTTCGTCATTTTTCCTTACATCGAACCATAAGCGAATAGAAGCCTGCGTACGATAAAAACCCAACAGCGATTGGAACGAATCGAAAGATGTTCAATATCTCAGTCGCTTCATGTCCAATGTTATAATATATGAAACCTATCATTAGACCTACGATAAGATGAACCATCACTCGTATCCACAAAAACATTTTGTCACGCATCAAAAACATTCCATTTCGCAATAAAAGTTGAGTCAGTTGTGTGACGAATGAAGGCGAATAATGATGATACCGACGAATGTCATTCAACGATTTATGACCTTTCTCATTAACTGCATCATTATTGTTATACTTATCATTATTGTTATTATTATTGTTGATCAGAATATCGCGATAAGATTCAACTGACCCGTTCATGATCTTGTCCACAAGTCGTTGATTCTGATACCCGTACGAGTTTGTTGCAATTTCTAAAAGAAAATCAGATGGATTGAAGGTTGGGGGGCAGATTAGGTCAAGTTCCTTTAAAAATGGCACAAGATTTTTGCTTGACCCTTGATAGATGCAACAGCCATCGGCAAGCGCATAAATGTGATCAAACATTTCAAAGAGAAGTGCTGATGGTGTGTGAATTGTGCAAATGATTATTTTTCCTTCTAGAGCCAGTTTTTTTAAAAGCTTAATACATTGAGTGGAAGACGATGAATCTAATCCGGTTGTTGGTTCATCTAGAAAAAGTATCGAGGGGTCATCGACAAGTTCCAATGCTATAGATAGTCGCTTTTGTTCTCCACCACTCAGATCACCTGAATAATTATTCAAGTTTTCTGACAGTCCAAGCGTTTTTAAAATAGAAACAATTTTTTCATCGCGTTCCTGATTTGACAGCATGTTTCCAGTTTTCAATTTAAATGCAAAATTCATTGCTTCGTGAACTGTTAATAAGCCATGGAGATGTTCTTCTTGCATAATAAATGTTGAATTCTTTTTAATAAAATCACTACGATCATCGCCATTAATTTTAATTGATCCAGAAACATTTTTTTTCATAAATCCTGATAAAATCTTTAAAAGCGAAGTTTTTCCACTTCCACTTGCGCCGAGAACAGCTGATAGTTCGAAGCTTCGAAATTCGCCGTTGATGTTGTTCAAGATTAATTTTTCGGCTGAAGATGTGTTTGTTGAATTTTTTATTATCTTTTAATTAGCAACTGAAACTATTTTTCACGTGTACTTACATTTACCGAAAACCTCCTGCTTCACTCCGTATCGAAGCTGCTCAAATTCTATATTTGTTCTGGAAATCATGATCTGGCGCTGAATTTTTGTTTTTGTGACATATAGAAAAAGTTCGCAAATTTACACACTTCACCTTATATTCCTACGATCACCTACGATCACGAGAGTCTGATTCGCGACTATTTTTGTTTTGTCAATTTTTTGTTTTTTTTTTTATATATATGTTTTTGTATCTAACCAGATTGAATATGTGCTTTTATATATATTTTTTGTAAAGTTTTAAAAGTTTTTTTAATTTCAAGAGCAATCAATATCAAAAACCAGTTGGCAAAAATTGTTCACGGTGGTGATCGTTGTAAATAAATAAAATTTAGGTGGAAGATAAATATCAGCACACTCTTTTTGTTAGTCTTAACGTGGTGAGTTGTAGAAGAAAACTAATGCACTCTACCACACCACTCCGAGATCAAACGGAAGGGAAAAAATGTTTCAACGCTTGTTTGCAATTCTCGGCTTGCGTATCACTGAGACACGATTGAAATTGCATCTCGCCGAAGCTCCACACTTCTCCACAACTTGAAATATAAAAAAATAATTAAAACTGAAGAGAAAAAAAATCTTAACGTTGATATTTGCATCAATCTGATCGAATGAGAAAAGGCAAGGTTCAAACCTGTGTTCACAAAATTTTAATTAAATCTCGTCAATGAAAATTTGCAACTTATCTAATCAACTTTAATAATTTTTGTAATTTATAGCTTTTCAACGTATTAAAGAATGAAATGCATTAATGAGCGCATTGAAATTTTATGCAATATAATAGTAATTAATCGCCATTTCGATAGTTATGCGTTAGATATTTAATCATGATAGGAAACGTAAAAAAATAAGCAACACATCGAATTTTTTTTTTTTGAAATTCTTTTATTAATTTTTTATTCTCTTGCGAAATTGTTTCAAGTTACAACAACTGATTAATTTCCCATTCTTTTGTTTCGTTAAATTAAATTGTTTATTAAAGTAACAAAATTTCTGTGCTAATGACTTTCTCCCTTCTTTCCAGCAATACGCTTAAAATCATCCATCTTTGTTGTTGCAATTGGAGCTCCGATGATTTGAAAATTTTCGATGACTGTCTTCTCATCACCAGACTGATTATCCACAATAAAGAAAGTCAAGTTTTGAACGTTCTGGAACTTAACAAACCGAAGATTTATGAGATTGCACTTTCTAAATCCTTTGGACTAATTTCCAATTCTTGAGTGGCTGCGGTGCTACTTGCAGCATCAAAGTCAAGTGTTACTGGTTGGTTAATGAAGATTTTAATCTTTTTCGGGCCATGTTTTGGTGGTGCCTTAAGCTTCAGAGAATGAATTTTAACAGCCTGGTTGAACGTAAGAAAAATAATGAGTTGTTCATCAACGTCTGATGCCAGATACCCTCCACCGCTGTTTAAAGCGTGCTCTAAAGTGTGATCATCTGCTTCATTTAAACATTCACACATATTCTTCATAATGAACGTATTTAAGTCCATTAATCCTTGTCCGTAATCTTCAGCGTCATCATTTGCTCCTTCAACTCCATAATGCTGCTTAATTTTTGTTTCTAATCCTTGAATATCAGCACCCTGGATCCTATCAATTTTCGAACGATTCCTATAGAATATGAAAGTTGGCATTGCAGACACGCCTTGTGAAGCAGCGGTGTCTTGACATTTATCCTTGAAAAAGTTTATTGTAATGCAATAAATATTACTTGAAGGATTAAAATTTACAAGTGATTCATACAAAAATTACATTAACTCGTTTGTGCAAGTTATAAAATTTCTGACGAATCAACCTTGCATTTTAACAATTGAATAACTTACAACATCAACCTTAAGGAAGATTGCTTTAGGGTACTTCGTAGGAAGCTGATTAAATAGTGGTGCAATCATCTTACATGGACCGCACCTAGAAAGTTAATCAGCGTTAATTTCTGCTTTCTTTATTGTCATTGCTATGATGAGTATGCAAAAAATATAATTCTAATGTTTTACCATGCAGCGGTGAAATCGACAACAACAAGCTTAATACCAGCTGATGATAACTCTGCTTGGAAATGGTTTTCATCATTTATTTCACGAACACTCATTATTGTTTATTTATAATTCAAGAAAACTTTTTATTGCAGTACAAAATTTTAGTGATTTTTGTTTCCAACAGCAATAATTTGCGTTTCAAGCGAATAGCTGCTATTATATGCGAGAGTTTAAGGTCGATAATAGCAATAATTCAAAAATTTTATTCGTATCTAGTAACATGCCCCTCTTAGCAAAATTTTGCGGTTGAAAATTTATACTCAAATGACTAAGCTCAACTATAATATTTAATTCATTGAGTTCGTTTACTTTTGCTTTTATTATCTGTGAAAAAACGAAAACATAAAAATGTGCTGATTTGATGCAACATTTCTGTTATGACATTAATTAAAAAATGCCCGAGTAAAATAATTTTGATATTTTTTTAATTTATTTTCTTGATTCTCAAAAATAAAGAAAAAAGATTCTCTTAAAAGTTATTTACTTAGTTTGTCACTGCATGTACCTTCTAATGAAATCAAGGATGACAAGATAAAACTGCAATAAAATACATAAATTAAGAGAACATGACTTTTCAACTATCGATTAATTAGATAAGACATCCCAAAAACAGCGTGAAATATTTCTAAAATCAAACAGTAAAAATTCGATGACCTTTAAGAGAATGTGACTGAAAGTTACAAAAAATTTAGTCTAATACAAATAGCTACTGTTTTAATGAATGTTTAACTAAGAAAGAAAAATTTGTACAAAAATCTTTTTATAGATTGTGAGAAGAATTTAAAAACATCAAATTAATATTTATGATACTTGGAAGTTATCGCTAAGAAATCACAATTTGTTTTCCTCGCAAATAAAAAATTGTTTAAATTGTCTTCTATTCTATCTTTCCCAACGAGTATGCAAATATTTGCTTAAAATTTTAAAAAGTGCGGATAAATCTTGATGAAACACCGCAACCATCTGTTGATATTTGAATATTATATATCAAAGTAGGTACCTAGTTGATCTTATAATGATAAAAATAAATACAAATATAATAAATTTTGGTCTGTCAATATAATATCATGCCTTTGTGATCATACAAAGTTGTCACCACACTATTTCGGGTTTCACACTACGTTATAATATTTTCTTCTTTTCTTACTGTTTAAACATTTCAAGTTCAAGGCCGTGAGTATTAATTATGAAACTAAAGCCGGTATATAGCCTATAAATAATGTTGTGTATAGATGTGTGAGAGTTAATCGTGTGATTATCAATGAACACCGTTAGTAAGATCTCTTGCATACAGAATAATTCAAATTTCAAACCGGTTTTATTGTTTTTCTCTTCACCCTTCCATGACTTCAAATCAAAAAGTGACGTCGCATAAATCAAATTAAAATCCGATGAACTTGTGAAGATCATTCAATTCTGAAACAATCTAAATTGTTTTCTGGTCATCAGAAACTCCAAATGACATCATTAGTAAATTGTTCTTAATTGGAGAAGACAAAGAGAAAAAAGAAGCATTTTGAATTTATTTTCGTCTACAACACGATCAACATACGCTCAGTTGCTTTCGATACGTGATCAGTGCGAGTGTACTCGGTTCTCAATTTTTCTAATTACTAATTGTTCTCATGCAAAACACCATCAATTAAAAAATGAGTTCGACTTGGAGCTAAAGTTCGTGATATTTTAAAATTATGTTAGTTTGCACTAAACTGCGCAACGATGAACATAAGCTTTGAAAATTTAAGTTATAAGGTTGAAAAGCGTAAACTGTTAGGCAAAAAAGGTGAATAATTTAATTTTTCCATTTAAATATTAAATTAAATTTTATTTCATATATTCATAGATGTTACAGAAATATTAAAAGATATCAATGGCGAGTTTCGTAGTTGTGAATTGTCAGCAATTATGGGTCCAAGTGGAAGTGGAAAAAGTACAATGCTCAACATTCTATCGGGTTACACGTCAAATGGTTTCAAAGGAACAATAAAAGTTAACAATAATGAAGCGAATCCGAATAAAATTCGAAAAAAATCGTCATACATTATGCAGGAAAATAGTTTACATACCTTTTTATCAGTGCACGAAACGATAAATTTTGCAATGAACTTGAAGGTTGGAAGTCGATTGAACTTTGAACAACGTAGAGGCAAGGTAAATTTTGAGATATTTAGAATAGTGATCATTATAATCTAATGACAGTTTAATGATACATTTAAATTTTAGATTCATCACATTCTCGAATCGTTGGGATTACTTGAGATTGTTGGTAATCGTGTTAAAGATATTAGTGGTGGAGAACAGAAGAGATTGTCGATAGCATTGGAACTTGTTGATGACCCTTCGATAATTTTTCTCGATGAACCCACAACGGGTTTGGATTCGTCTTCTTCTCTTCAATGCATTCAACTTCTGAAAAAACTCGCTGAAGAGAGAAAAACAATTGTTTGTACAATTCATTCACCTTCGGCTTTATTATTCGATCTTCTTGATCATATTTATGTGATAGCCGACAGTTCATGCATCTATCAAGGTTCCACTAAAAAATTAATTCCATTTTTAAATGAATTAAATTTGATATGCCCACAAATCTACACTCCATCTGACTTTCTCCTGGAGATTGCTACGAATGATTACGGTCCACAAAACCATCGATTAACTGATAAAATCAAAAATGGATTAAATAATGAATTTAGAAAAGTGGAAAACTATTTAGTCGAAGAAGATTTATTGCTTAACTCAACTCAAGAAAGCACTGAATATTCAACATCATTTTATCAACAATTTAAAATTCTTCTCTATCGTAATTTCCTTACTAACAGCCGAGATAAAACTTTATTCTTGATGCGTCTTCTCATCAACATCGGTGTTGGTTTGTGTTTCGGAATAATGTATTTTGGAATTGGTAATGAGGCTTCATTCATTTATGATATCCAAAGATTCATCGTCTACAGCACTTTTCATCCAATGTTTCTTGGTTTTAATTCACAACTGACTACATGTAAGTTTTATTTTATAAATAATTCAGTGACTGATCTTTTAAATATTTTCAACTCATCGAGAATTTCTTTTCAGTGCCTTTAGAATTGCCAATGATGAAACGAGAACACTTCAATCGATGGTATTCAATTGGGGCTTATTTTTTAGCTTTGAATATTGTTGACATTCCTGCACAAATATTGAACAATGCTGTTTTCGTCTCAATCACTTACTTTATGACTAATCAACCTTTGGAAACTTTCCGATACTTTTTGTTCTTCTTGGTGTCGACACTCGTCGCTCTGACGTCACAAGGTCTTGGCCTGTTATCTGGATCGATTACTGATGTTAAACACACATTGATTATCGCTGCTGGTGGAATCTTCATGTTCACACTTTTCTCAGGATTTTTCGTTCTCATGAAAGACGCGAGTGTTTGGTTTCATTGGCTTTTTTATGGATCCTTTCTAAAACATGGACTCGATGGAGGGTTTCTTGCGATCTTTGGGTACAACAGAGCCAAGATGGAATGTGAAGCTGAATTTTGTTATTTCCGATGGCCTCACGTCTTCCTCAAAAAAGCACTCGGAGTTGATACAACTATTGAAATAGCCTTAAGTGTGATAATTTTCTCACTTCTATTCTTCCGCATTGTTGCATTTTTAATCATAAAACTTCGCTTGAAACATTAAATTGAATTATATTCTGTGATCATGAAGAAATAAATTATTTATTATTAAAACAAAGCAATGACCGACTTTGTATTTAACTAACTTTGCACAAAAAACTGTGCCAGTTAAACTTTGTTTCTTTTCTTTTTACTTTTTATTTTGTTTGTTACTTCTCTTGGATTTCTATGTACACGACAATTCTCTTACTGTTGCATGCTTCAATAATAAGAATAATATTTAGCTAAGAGTTCAAAGAAAAGAAAAACCAGTTTCGTAGATGGTTTACTTAGGAGAGAGCTTTGCCAACTGGTGAGCGTAGCGAGTGAAACTTTATTTCCAACTCGAACGCACTAATCGCTCATTATTAATCTAGGCGCGCAATCGGAACCTCTCGTTTCGTACAGCAAGCGATAAGTCCAGTTTGTAGAATTTAGTCAGTCTTCAAATTATCAAGCATGAGTGAAGGAGAATTCCGATTTCGGCTCGTTATCAATTGAGTCGAAGTTTACGATAAGTTTACACACAGTAAAGGTCAAAGTCACTTAAATTTAGTTCTCGATCTCTTAAATAGCATGAGAAGTTATATTGTCAATGATTTTTTATTCAAATTGAATTTTATTTAAATCATAAAATATTTTTTGTTTTAATAAATATGAACAATTCACAATTTGATATAAGTTTCGAAAAGTTAAGCTATTGTGTAGGAGGATGTGTGATTGGTGATCGAAAATGTAAGTCAGTCAAATATTTAATAAGAAAATATCCTCAATTGTGATTTATAAAAATATTTTTCAGACAAAAAGATAATTTTAAATGAAATTAGTGGAGAATTTCGTGCATGTGAATTATCTGGAATTGTTGGTCAAAGTGGTAGTGGAAAGACTTCATTGTTAAATATCTTATCAGGATTTACGAAAGGAAGCGTGTCTGGTTCGATAAAAATCAATGGAAAAGATAGTAAAAATGGAAAGTTTAGAGAAATTTCAAAGTACATCATGCAAGATTTCTCATTGCATCGTTTCATCACTGTTGAAGAATCCATGAAGTTTGCAGCAAACTTAACACGATGCAATGAAAGTGAAGATTTTAAAAATCTGAAGGTTGTTATTTGATTAATATTTCTTTTCTTTTTTAATAATTTGTATTCCATTGACGTTTCTCAGATCACTTCAATTTTAAAAGAATTAAGTCTCGCAGACAAACACGATCACTACACATCAAACCTGAGTGGTGGCGAACAAAAGCGTCTCTCAATTGCTTTAGAATTGATTGACGATCCTTCAATATTGTATCTTGATGAACCAACGACAGGTCTGGATTCTTTATCATCTCTGCAATGTGTTCAATTGCTAAGAAAACTGGCTTATAAAGGAAAGACAATCATTTGCACAATTCACACACCATCAGCACTTCTTTTTGAAATGTTTGATTACATTTACGCTTTAGCTGATGGAAATTGTATTTATCAAGGGTCAAGCAAAAATCTTGTGCCGTTTTTGAAAGAACTTGACTTGATTTGTCCACCTTCGTACAATCCGATTGATTTTCTCTTAGAAATTTCAAATAACGATTATGGAGAACAAAACCAACGCTTAACTGATAAAATTGAGAATGGAATGAATTCTAATTATCGATCAAGGGATCTGCATACATCGAAGAAATACGAAGTTTTCAACATTTATCTTGACTCTCTTAATCCTGATCCAAATCCAATTTCAACTCGTTTAATGTCAAATTTTACAAATCAACTTGGACAACTTTTGATAAGAAATTTTTTGATTGCAACACGTGATAAAACTTTGACATTAATGAGACTGATAATTCATCTAACAATTGCGATTTTTATTGGCATCATGTACAATGGAATTGGTGATGACGCATCGAATATTTTCAATATTTACAAATTTCTATTCTTCAATATTTTTCTTCTTATGTTTACCGCTTTTAGTTCTCTTCAAACTTCATGTAAGTTTTGAGTTTCTTATCAGTTTAAGTAGCGCACGCTTATCAAAATTTCTTTTTCTTTATAATTATAGTTCCTCTTGAATTGGCAATCACGAGACGAGAACATTTCAATGGATGGTATTCAACAACCGCTTATTACTTGGCACTCTCAATCATTGACATTCCTATCATTATATCGACAAATATTATATACATTGTGATAACATATTTCATGACAAACCAACCGATGGAGTTAACTCGAATTTGTGCTTATTACTTGATAATTTTACTTTTAAGTTTCGCGGCCCAGGGACTTGGATTAATCGCCGGCTCGATTTTAAACGTGAAATTCACGCTTATTCTCGGCAGCTTTTTTCTCTGTCCATTTGTGTTATTTTCTAATTTTTTCGTTCAAATGAAAGACACACATGAGATGTGGCATTGGATATTTCAACTTTCATTTATTAAACATGCTTTAGATGGTTCACTTCAAGCAATATTCGGCTTCAATCGCGATAAAATGGATTGTAACGATACTTATTGTCACTACCGATGGCCTCATAAATTTTTGGAGTCTCTCGAAGTCACCGACAACTTTACAAATATTATAATCAAACTCACAGCTTTCGCTCTTGTTTTTCGCGTCATAGCATTTTACATCATGTGGCTTCGTCTCAGACACTAAAATAAAATTGAATTATTTTTACACACAATGTTTGCTTCGTATTCTCACTCTCAGTCTTTTCTCAGTTTCACTCAAATAGCTTGATAATGAAAAAAGGGAAAAAATATTTGTGTTGTTCTGTTTTTAAATGAGTTTTAGTCGTTTTAAAGATTTCGCTAGCGATGGTCGACGCATCGTTAAGTTTACAATTTAAAGATTTGTGTTATCATGTTGATGCTGGTCATTTTATTAAATCTGAAGAACGCACAAACATTTTAAAAAAGGTCAATGGAGAGTTTAGAAGTAGAGAATTGACAGCGATATGTGGGCCAAGTGGAAGTGGAAAAAGTTCTTTGTTGAATGCACTTTCTGGTTACAAAGTTAATAATGTAACGGGTGCGATATCATTAAACGCTGAGAATATTTCAACAAGACAAATTAGAAGATTTTCCTCTTACATTATGCAAGAGAATAAATTGCACGATCATCTGACTGTGTATGAGTCAATGATGTTCGCTGCTTGTTTTAAACTGAAAAACGCTGAAAATAAACAAAGAAAAGTTGATCGCATTTTAAAATCTTTAAACATGGAAGAAAAAATGGAAACATTTGTAAAAAAATTGAGTGGCGGTGAAAAGAAAAGATTGTCGATTGCTTTCGAACTTGTTGATGATCCGCTAATTATGTTTCTAGATGAACCCACAACCGGTTTAGATTCATCATCATCGACACAATGCATTAGAATTTTGAAACGACTTGCAAATGAAGGTAAAATGATCATTTGCACAATTCATTCACCGTCTCCACTGATTTTTGAAATGTTTGATCATGTTTACACGTTGGCTGACGGGTATTGCATTTATCAAGGTTCCAGTAAGAATCTATTGCCATTTCTGAAAGAGTTGAATCTCATTTGCCCTGACAACTACACACCTTCAGATTTTCTGCTTGAAATTGCGACTAATGATTATGGAAATGAAAATCATCGGCTAACGAATAAAATTAAGAACGGAATGAGTTCAATGTATCGCGAAACATCAACAACATGTCACCAAATTCTAAATAACAATCAGATTAACCTTACATCACCTTCAAACTCAATTTATCTACTTTCGCTGTTCCAACAAACTAAAAATTTACTTTACCGGAATTCACTGATCTCAGTTCGTGATAAAAGTCTAATTACGATGCGACTCTTCATTCATTTAATTACCGGAATTATTTTTGGAATTCTCTACAAAAATTCTGGCAGCGAAGCTTCAAAGTTCCTTGATAATTATCGTTATATTGTTACAACAATTGTTTTTCAACTATACACGTCATACTTCTCACTGCAAACAGCCAGTAAGTTAATTATTTAACTAAAATATTTAAGTCCGCTTGACGTACACAATTTTGAACATAAAAATAAAATTTAATTCATTCTATTTCAGTTCCATTAAATTTTCCTATTCTAAAACGCGAAAGGTTTAATCGATGGTACTCAGCTAGTGCATATTATTTTGCTTTTATTATTCATGACTTGCCGATAACATTTCTCTGTTCGATGACATATGTTTCGATCACTTATCTAATGACAGATCAACCTAGAGAACTGTTAAGATTTCTAGCATTTTTAAGTATATCTTTAACTTTAAGTTATGCATCGCAAGGCCTTGGATTTATGTGCAGCGCTTTATTTAATGCTAAGGTGATACACTAGACTATTATTAAGTTTACGTTTTCAATGTTTTTTTTTATCATATATCATTTTTAAAATTTATTTATTAGAGTTCTGTGATCTTCGGTGGAATGTTTCTTGCTCCATTTTTTATGTTCTCATCAGCTGTTATTCAAATGAAAGATGCCGCAAATTATTTCCATTGGTTATTTCATGCTAATTTCCTGGACAATGCTATTAAAGGAACCTTGAACGCAATTTATGGTTTAGACAGATCTAAAATTGAATGTGTCGACGACATTTATTGTCACTACAGTTATCCAAAAAAAGTCTTACAAGAATTCTCTATTTATATAAGCATTTGGCGTGTGCTTTTTGTGCTAACACTTTATGCAATATTCACAAGAATCTTAACGTTTATATTTATCAAATATAGATTAAAAAAGTGACGAAAATAGATTTTTTTTGGTTCTTTTCAAATATTTGATATTATTTGCTTACTTAAATTCTTCGGTACTTGAAAGTCAAGAAGATGCAAATTTATTTATAACTTGAGTTTGTTTTTTTTGCTAGTTTGAGTCTGTTATGAATTCTATTTGAACTTATCTTATGGAAGTTCCAGGAACTCGTAATAATGATTTATGCAAACTCTACATCGATTGTGGCCATTTAGAAGAATCAACAATAGTAAAAAAGATTTAGTAAAAAACACAAAAATATTTTTATTCCATTATTCTTTGAATCTTCCTCTACGACTTTGAAAAATCACCTCTGTTTAATAATTTATCAATGAGATATCTAAAGATCGGGACTAAGTGATTGATGGTGACCCTAAGGAACCATAAAAAAATAAAAGATTTGAATTAAAAATAGCAAATTTGTTATTTGTTATTTCATAATAGAAAATTCTTGAAAATGTTCTAAGTTTCGCATTAATATTCATTGTGATTAGTACTTTTTGTAAGCTTTTGTAAAACCATGGTAGGAATGATATAAATATAAAGCTCAATAAATCGAAGTCTTAAAATAAATTAATCAAAGTTTTTCATAAAAGGTGTCATCTATCTTTATAAATAAAAAAAACAATAAATTGACACAGCTAAGACTTAATTTTTTTACCAAAATTTTATACCTAAAAATGAAATAAAAATTGGTTAGTTACATCGCTGATATAAAACAAACCAAAATGTTTAATCATTGTTTTATATTCAAACTTTTCATATAACAATAATACAACTTATTTCAATGGACTTAGTTATTAAAAAATATTACCATGTATGAGTTTGGACATGATATGATGTCAATTATTTTAATTTAACTTTAATTACAATGTAGTCGCGTTTGAGATGACTTTTGAACCCAAAATATTTCGAAACATTTTAGCGCACAATTTGTGATTGAATCATTATGCCGTGACTATAGAATCATTTTAAAATTATATAATTAAGAGGTATCGGTCAATGTTCGGATGTGGCCTTGAGTTAAAAAGAATCTTCGCTTTTGTGTAGCCTAGACAGTTGTAAAGACACGAATGATTAATCAAAAACATCATTTCATTTCGTTACTTAAATATCATTCAGCACTGACGATCTTTATAAGCAGGTTTAGTCGTATTTCAATTTGTTCAACAATTTTTATGTTTTATATTTCTAAATTCATTAAATAATAAATGATGCTCCATGAATATCAGACATCACCAAATGTCTCGATCTTTACAAAGTATTTATCGACTACTTGTTAATTCATTTTTTGTTTGTAAACTTTGAATGCTTTCGTTGTTAAAATATTCAACAAACTTGAACATGTTTAAGTTCTATCTGATGATGAAAGTGCAAAAATACGCATTTAATTAATACATTTAAAAATGGTTCAATTCTTGTAGCAATTTAATTTGCAAGTTATTATTTTATACCCGTACGATGTGGAAGTTTTTAATTTACCTACTTGCCGCATTTTTTTTTGTTTACAAACAAATAAAAAAATGCGGCAAGTGAATTGAAATTTTAAAACCGTAATGTAATGAAAGCGAATCGCAAAAAAGTTTTCAAATAATTCGTTAAATTATTTAACTTAAAAGTTATATCTAACGTGTGAATTCTTGCGTTTCATTATCTTATTAAACATAATTTATCTTTTTGATTTTAATCGTTTTTATTGATAGCCAACATGTCTCGAGAAAAAATTTTTGAAGCAAATATGTATCTTCAAATCTTCTCAAAAAATATGAATACAAAATCGTAAAGGAAAAAAGAAATTAGGTAGCTAAATTAATATGGCTCAAAAATTATACATAAAGAGATAAGGTATTAACTATTTAGGTTGTCTATTGTATAATATTTAGTTTAATATTATTGTTTTACGGGTTGAGACGAACTCCATCAGAAGAATTTTTTCTTCCTTCTCTCATTTCTATTGGATAGGTTCCCAAGATAACTCTTGACACAGCTGGAGGGGATCGACAGCAGCGGCAACAACAAGTGCAACAACAAGCACAGAAAAGAATCAGAAGCAGTAAAAAAAAAATGGCTGGAAAGATAGCACAGAATGTTTCGGCTGCATTTCCTTTTGTTCTTAAAATTTCCAACATTTTATCCGGTTGAACAATGTTATGAATAGCTGTAACATCGTTTGTAGTCCCCATGAACTTCATTACATTAACAATGCAGGAAGCTTCAAAATTTGATTTCCCAGATTCCACTAAAACACTCTCTAAGACTGAATAGGCTCCATCTTCAATCAAAGATCCACATAATGCTGATGGCGAACATGTGACAAGCAAGATGATAAAAATGAATTTCCTGAAGATGAAAATTACAAGCAAGAATTACATTTAAAATCTTTAAGAATTCTTTTTCTATTACTTAAACATGTTTATTATTATTCAGGAATTTCAATTATCAGAAAGTTTTGTTAATTTTTTTGCAGATTTTTTTCAAATGACTTTTTATAAAGACGACAACTTTCAAACTGATGAGTATTATGAAAAATGACAAAAGGCAAAAGAAATTGTGAGCGACCATAAATGATGTAACTTATTATTAGATTCAATTAATGAAGATTTAATATTAGTTATATTTATTGTTTAAATTAACACTACTTACATAATTAAATTAATTGAATTTGATACAAAACTGTGCAAAACTCCTTTAATAAAAACAAAATAAGCGCAATGCTTATTCTTATTATGTCGACTACAAAGAATCAAATTTCTTTGTAAACATAAGAGTGATTCAAGTTCTCTAGAACTCTTGACGATTGTGTTGACGATCTCATGTTATACGAGATAAAACCGCAAAACAACAGAAGTGTTGCATGAATTTGAGAATCCATGCGATGCTTCAAATTGTTGTTACGTAGTTTTAAAATGAATCTTGCATTTTTATCAATGAATTGACCTCTAAGTATCCTACATGAGTGAAGTTTATATAACAATAAAATCCTTTTTGTTTTCATTGAAATGATGCAGTAAGAAGCCGTGAAATATCTGCATGACAGTTCCACAACTGCTGAAAAGGTACTTTAATTGTCTATTAATCATGCTTTCAATTCCATTAACAAGAAAAAATAAAAAGATGACTCGTTGTCATTTCTTATTGGTTGCAGTTCTATAAAACGATGACTGAACCGATTTCTTTTTGATAGTATAAAAATGAACAAAAGTTTGGCTAGGAAGTAAAACAATTCATTAAATGACAGAACAGAGAAACCAGTGAAGAATCCAAAGAAACTCCTATTTTGATGAGGATATCGATGAGTTGAAACTGCCGAAAGCTATGAAATGGAACGTTTTAACTTTCCGACAGTCTGAACGACAGAAATGATTCGTTCTAGAAAAAACAAATTTGTTGCATTTCAAACATTCTTTCAAACATGCAATGCTTTATCTTGTTTAAATATTTTCTCGACGATTTTAATATCGTAATCAATTAAATTGCATGTTTTTAAGCAGTTGCATATTTTCTTATAATCGTTTTCGTATTTAGTATTCTTTCGTAACTCTCGTTGATCTCTTACAACGTCAAATGGTACGCATTTACGAAAAATTTATTTCTTACTGTCTGTTTTCGAAAATCTTTGATTATACTTCAATTTGGGAGCGATTCTTGATGTTGTTGACAAATGTTGATACGTTTGACTAGGAAATCACTGTCGGTGTAGTTTATTTGCTTCCAAAAGTTTTTTATGATTAAACCATTGCATATCAAAGAAATAATCAGCACAGAAAACCAGAAAATTCTGAAAATCTTAAAAACAGAGATGGGCAAATGTTCCGTTCAACTCGATTGACTGACTGACTGACATGTCAATGTCTGTCAGTCAGTCAGTCAAATCCCAACTCTGCTTAAAAATGAACAGAGAAACTTTTTTATGAAGAAACTGTCAAGGTTTGCAACGAACGTGTTTCTTTCATTTGCAAGATATACAAATCCATGAAGATTAGAACTTCTTAAGTATTCGGTAATTCTCATTTGAATTTTCATTTTCTCACTTGAAGAACTTTCAGATTGAAACTAAGATTTAAAATGAACAAATGGCTAAAACATTCTCCAAACTTTCTCTTCTATTATTGCAAGCGTGCAGTTTGCATTTTAAAGTGTTTGTAAAAAATTATCTAACAAATCGACATTTGCTATATCATGATCAACGACAGAGTAACGCAAATTACAAGTTACTTGGCAAATTATAATTTCGATTGTAATTAACAAATTGAAACTGACTCCATAATTTCATTCATTTATTTTGCTGTTCTTGGTTGGAGCATCAGTATCAGTATCACCATTGATCGTCTCCATAAATTTCACAAGATATCAAAGTCAGATTATCCAAATTCCATTAGATTTATTTTGAACTATCAGAATCTGACAAGGAACATGCGACAATCACGAAGCAGATTTAAAGTGCACTTAACATTTAGTTCCATTACATGAGCATTTCCAAAAGAGTTTCTTTTGAATTCTTTTAAATTTAAATAATTCAGATGTAATCAAAAACCAAGCGTTGAATGTTTTCCTAAAAAGATCTTACGACATTTAATGCTACACAGCTTCAATTTGAGTAGCTGATTTTATTATTAGATTTTTCTCATTTCCATCATAAAAGCTTTTCAACATAAGAAATGTAAATAATAATAAATTGATAGATCTCGATAATTCAGAAATATCATTCATCGACACATGCGACCTTGTCTTTTGTGTATTGAACCATCGCTGCAATGAATTTCGCACGTTCAGCTTCCTTTTGTGTGTTCGTTATGCTTGATCCCTCCAACACCATAACCAATGCAATGTTGTCATAATATTTTCCTTTCTTGAATGCTGCTCGAATACAAATTATCTTGTCTTGTGAGAAACTTCTTTTTTTGTAGAAAGATTCTTCTGCCTGAATTCGGCTTTCATTGATTATGGGATCGCAAGAAATTTTCGATGTATCAAGACTTCTGGGGTTAAGTTTCAACTTGTAACTTTTATCGACTAAATTATTGTCCAAAACATATTTTCTCACACAGTAATCTTGTCTGGCGTCTTCTTCATCTGCAATATTTTCGGGATAAATAAGGTTAAACAAATGTTCAAAAGCTTGAGTGTCAACGCAGGACGAGACAGCATTTGTTGATTCTTCAATTGCTTGTTGTCTCACTCTTTCAATGTGCTTCGCTTTGTCAGCTTTATTGATATTACTTGCCGCAGCATAAGCATTGTTAAGGAACCAAAACTTTGGTACTTTGATATCTCTCAATGCCTTTTCAACACACTTTCCGTCAAAAGTCAATTTTTCATAATCACTGCGAACTTTTGACATTGTTGTGTCGATAACCGAAGTCAAAAGATCACATGACGTTGTTGGAGCGACAAAAGGAATATCAGCAGGCAGAAAGTTTCCATCTTTCAGATACTTAAGTTCACATTTCGATCGATCAAAAGTTGAATCAGTTTTTGCACATTCAACATTACTTGTCATCCATACTAACGATGATATCAAGAACCTTGAAAAGAGAAAAAATAAAAAGAAATGAAGGTTTCGCAAACGAATCTTATCTCACAAAGAATATTTCATAATTTATATTGAGACGCGACTGTCCAAGTAAAAATCAAAATATCAACTAAAGAGCGACTAACGAGACAAATATTTATGAGCAAAAATTGCTTCTTTGATTTTCCATAACGTAGATGGATTTGTTGTCTATTTATGGAATCTTGTTCTTATAAATATTTAAATTTATTCAATGTCTAGGCCGCATATTGTGATGGCCAAGGTTATGAATTGTTGTTTAGTATGAAATTCATGAAAACAATTTTATTTAAGGATGACTTTGAAGTTTTCATTTAAGTTTATCTTTGTTAATTAGTTTCCGATAATAACAACAATTGGCATTTTTATTTTGATAGCCGTTTATATCTCATAAAACTTCAATTGAATGTGATAAGATAAGAGTAATGAAAAATGACGGCGATACTTAAGAAGCTACTTGAAACGTAGAAATATGTGATGCTAGGTAATGGTCAAAGTCATAGTGATGATTTTCACTTTTTGAACTTTTTATTTAATTGACTTTCGACTCAGCTGTATTGAATTTATTATATAAACGGACAATAAAGAGGCAATGAAGAGAAAAAAAAACATACTTAGCTGACAGCTTCAATAAGCTTGAATAAAACTTCATTTCATTCTCCAAATCAAACTTTGAACTTTTTTTTAAAAAACTTTGAATCTTATCATTAATTACGCTTCTGAAACTTTATTTCATTTTCTTCTTAAGATAAATGTACAACAGGAATTGGAGGATATCGAGGATTGCTGCTGATGTTATGACTCGACTTTTAAGCTTGTGGTAATCGACATTCCTCTAAGTTTTGGTTAGTTTCTCTCATCTGAGTTATGTCAATATTAACATTTCTAAGAACTTCTTCATAGCGAGTTCTCGTCGCCTGACTAGCGTTTGGTACTCTTGCAAGCACCCACGAGTTTTCCCTCGATCTTCCACCTGGAAGTTCTAGACATGACCATACAACTGCGTAGTTCGCATAATCACTAGCCATGACCCAATATATGTCTGATCCTATTTAAATGAACAAAATTTGTAAATTGGAAATGTTCAGTTTAATAATTAAAAGTTAGATTTACTTCCGGGAAAGAAAACATTTAACTTTCCAAGCAAAGGAACGTCATTTGGTGAATCAAGTTCACCACGAACTTGCACTTCAGTGAACATTCCATTTGGAGTGTATCCAGAATTTTGAACATTAACTGAACCGTCTGCGTTTAAAGAATATCGAGCCATTACGCAATCCAAATCTATTTGATCGGTTGCGATACGTCTTTGTTCATACCATGGTCCCAGGTACTGTAAATGAATTATTTTATTTGAAGGAACTGATAGAAATATTAAAAGTTTAACTTACAGGAATAACTTGGAAATCTCGCTTCACGAGAGGCGACATTTCTGCTAATCGACATGGTCTGTCAAAATCAGTTGCAGTGACGACTCCAAAAATTGCTACGACAAGAATTATTAAATATTTCATTATCTGTGATGGTTTCTTCACTGTTCACTTCGTAATGTTCACTATGAATTGAGATTTTTTCACATCTCTCAGCCTCTTTAAAGTTCATTTCATTTTATGATCGATCCATCATTTGAATCTTAAATCGAGGGGATTCACAAGGTAAAATGAACTTTGAGATTTTAAATTTATTAGGTCTGTCAAATAATTTTTTACTCTTCGATTTTGGAAGTAATGCTTGCAAATAATTGATTACATACATTTGCAAAAAATTCATAAATATTGTATTATCGATGCATTCATTTCGATATTCTTATTCAACAAACTTGCAACTACTGGTTTCAAGTAGACTTACAAAAGCAAAAAATTATTTGACAGATCCAATAAATTTGTAATCTCAAAATTTATTTTATCTTATCAATCCCTTCGATTTAAGATTCAAATGATGGATCGATCATATAATAAAAAGAACCTTTAAAGAGGCTGAGAGATGTGAAAAAAGTAGCAGTCCACATTACGAAGTGAACAGTGAAGAAACCATCACAGAAAATGAAAAATTTAATAATTCTTGTCGTAGCAATTTTTGGAGTTGTCGTTGCAACTGATTTTGACAGACCATGTCGATTAGCAGAAATGTCGCCTCTAGTAAAGCGAGATTTCCAAGTTATTCCCGTAAGTTAAACTTTTAATATTTCTATGAGTTAATTCGAATGAAATAATTAATTTACAGTTCATGGGAACTTGGTATGAACAAAGACGAATCGCAACCGATCAACCAGACTTTGATTGCGTAATGGCTCGATATTCTTTAAATGCGGATAGTTCAGTTAATATTCAAAATACTGGATACACTGCAAATGGAATGTTCATTGACGTGAATGTTCGTGGTGAACTTGATTCACCAAATGACGTTCCTTTGCTTGGAAAGTTAAATGTTTTCTTTCCCGGAAGTAAATCTAACTTTTAATTATTAAACTGAACATTTCCAATTTACAAATTTTATTCATTTAAATAGGATCAGACATATATTGGGTCATGGCTAGTGATTATGCGAACTACGCAGTTGTATGGTCATGTCTAGAACTTCCAGGTGGAAGATCGAGGGAAAACTCGTGGGTGCTTGCAAGAGTACCAAACGCTAGTCAGGCGACGAGAACTCGCTATGAAGAAGTTCTTAGAAATGTTAATATTGACATAACTCAGATGAGAGAAACTAACCAAGACTTACAGGAATGTCGATTACCACAAGCTTAAAAGTCGAGTCATAACATCAGCAGCAATCCTCGATATCCTTCATTTCTTTTTGTACATTTAACTTAAGAAGAAAATGAAATAAAGTTTCAGAAGCGTAATTAATGATAAGATTCAAAGTTTTTTAAAAAAAAGTTCAAAGTTTGATTTGGAGAATGAAATGAAGTTTTATTCAAGCTTATTGAAGCAGTCAGCTGACTTAGTTTGTTTTCAAATTTCGATAATATTTTTATCACATTCAATACAAAGTGAAATGACATTCTCAGTTAGCTCAGACGTTTTTGTAAAACATTTTTCTAAGATGAAAAGTAATTTTATTTTACTAGCATTAATAATATTGGCTAATCATACTCATGCGGTTGAGTTTTTCGAGGGCGATGCAAACACTTTAAAACTTTCAAAAGAAAATGAAAATTTAGGAGTACGGAAGCTTAAAGCTATTCTTCTGCCTTGCGAGTCTCTTCATAAAGATGTCAAGTGTAAGACGAGAATTGATATTAAAGCATTGTTGAATCCATCGCAGAACAAAGAAAACACATTATTAGTGATCGATGAAGTTTACGACGTCAAAAAGCGCTTAAACTTTCCATTGTTACATCCATACATGATACAACTGGCACAATGGGAACGAACTTTGAAGTATCCTTTGCAACTGCACCAATCTGTCGATGTTTTATGTGACAACAACGAATCAGTGCAAAGAAAAGATTCTGATAGCATAAACACGTTAAAAAATAAAGGTACAAGTGAAGAATATTGCATCCAATTAATTTTACAACTTAAACTTAATTGAAAATTTCCTCCCGATGTTTCAGTTGACAAAGAGACTGTCGGAAATTTATGGAATGCTATTAAGATGAAGCAAGGTGATGCAATTAAAAGAGATTCCCTAGACTTACACTCATCTGACGTAACAGATGTGGATAAAAATGATTTATTGCTTTATTCTGATGAAGAAAACTTGTTGAGAAAGCATTCACCTCCTGTAAGTGATGACGCCTTTAAAATATTCGGGTGGCATAATAAATCTCTGGACAATACTTTAATTAAAAGCTTTAAACCATCGGTCAAAGAGTTCAATTCCTATCCCATGGATAACCAAAGCAAACCGCAAAATGAAAACGAATTGAATCAGATTCATCACCAGCAGTATCAGCAATTTCAAACACCACAAAATTTAACTGCACTCTTCTCAAATAATTTCAAATTTAATAGCTCACCAAAAGGATTTGAAATGAAAATTTCTGATTGGAATTCAACCAAGAAACAATTTCCCAATGGTGGCGACATCCATAATGACCAAAATCATAAAATTCATCATCAATCGGCTAAGAATTTCATTGGATTTCCCAGCATTTACATCAATGAATCTCAAACGAGAAAAGGCTTGGGAAGAAATAAAAACTTCGATTATGGTTTAACGAAAACACGGAGGAGAGTTGAGAATGACAATTTAATTCAAAAAAACTTAATTGAAAAAAAAATTCATAAAAAAGTTTCGAGAAATAAGGAAAACAGTTTGAAAAATGAAATTTACAACCACAACATGAATGAGAATGATAAAAACCTGAAACGCAACACGATGAAGAATCTTGAAATGGGTGAGAAAAATAAATCAACTTTCCTTCAAGCTTTTTAAGTTGTTGACAACACGTTTTATTCATTTACTACGTGCATGTCGTCCTTTGATTGTCTTCTTAAGCAACATGTTTAATGGTGAACATATTTATGATGTTTCATTCAAACAAAGTTTTACACAAAATTAAGTTTTAAAATTTTCTCAACTGTAATGAAATTTTCCTCAATTTCAATTGTTTTAGCTTTTAAGATTCAAAGTGAAGATACAAGCAGTGCAAAGTTTCCTTCTACCGAACGAAGACAATTCAATCAAAATAATCAAAGGCATTATGCAAAACTTCAAGAAAACTCAAACGAAGTGTCATCTTTTAACAACTATAAAAGAAATCCAATTGATTCATTTCCAATCAGTAAAGGAAGAATGAAGCAATGGAAAGATGTTTATGAGAATCATCACACGATGAACGTCGATAATAGTGAATCCTTTCAAGTTGGAAAAGATGCGGAAGATGAGAGTCGAATGAATGAAATGATTATTGAAAGTAATTTAGAGACACCACATGGTGTCATGAACCTTCCATGTTGAAGTCCTTTCAGTCTGCTGTTTCTTATAACAAAAACTCAATTTAAATCATTTGTAGATGATTTTTATGACGAATTTGTGCCGGATAAGGAAGACGATCCTAATTTGATGGTGGAAGAGGAAAGCTTTAAACCGAATCGGAATGCAAAGCAGGAAGTAAACTCAGAACAAACGGAAAAGCGTTTCAAGAGGTTTTTTCTCAACATTGATGACGGTGCAGCTTTAAGAACATCGAACAACTATAATCAAACAGATGGAAACTCTGAAGTTGAAATGAAACAAGAACCAATTAAAGGCAAAAGGTAAGCGAACATTCGTTCATCGAAATGGTAAATGAATTGTTTATTTTTGTTCTTTTCCAGGTTTTCCGTTTATCGCTTGGCTTCACCTTTTATTCATTTCTCACTGAGGGTTGAAGTGTTCCGCAAACATTTCGGAAAATGGCTTCGAATTTGTCCACAAATGATGTTAACAAAAGTTTTTAAATACAAAATTTCATTTTAATTTTTGTGTTTATTTTCAGCTTAACAAGCGAATCGGAAAATTTTTCTGATGGAGATTTTCACGTTGGTTTATCACCACGCAACACTTTCAATTATTTCCCTGATTTCGATGTCAACAAAACGTTTATATTGTTGTCGGAGGATGGAACATCAATTCAGAGTTTATTAACCCTCGACAATTCATCGTCGTTGAGCATCACAACTGCAATTAGACAATCAATTTGTCGATCAGAGATTGAAGCAGACACAGCAGCTCATAGTTCACTGCTTATGTTATCTGAAACGGTGTTAAATCATGAACAAGCAATCACGAAATGTTCACTGAACGATGATAAATTCTGTTTGGATCTCAAGGACGATGACGATACAAGTAAATAAAATTGATTTGGTCATTGAATGATTTTTATTTCCTCTTTTCTATTTATATTTAGCTTGGAAACTCAATCTTGATTTCCCATTTGGAGACAATGAAATTATCGATTCTCGTTCTACGAAGGTCAAGATTTCCAATATTTACATCGACACTATAGATCAAGTCAATCTGGAAGCAAGATTTGAAGTCATAAGTAATGACTACATCGTGAAGAAATTAAATCTGACATTGAACGGCTGTGAGATTCTAAGTCATGTGGAAATTTCTCAATCATTTCTCTTGCCACCGAATAAATTGGCGATAATCGACGTATCGATGACATTGCCTTTATATGCCATCTATAAAGAGCAGATTTGTGAAGGTAGGAAGAATTTGGTCAAATTTTATTTTAATAACAATGTTAACTGACAAGAAATTAAATGAGCTTAGTAAGCTTGTTTGTTCGTTTGTTTGATAAGACACAAAATTATTTCCTTGTCATTTTTCAATTTTCCATTTATTTTTCCATCATCAGCCAACATTGTGGATGAAGCCAAAAAAATTGTCGCTCGAAGGCAATTTATTCTTAATCCAAAAGGTGCTCGGTGTTTGTGTCTGTGGCATTGCGATTGTTATTGCTTTGATTCATTTCTCTCAAAAAACATCAACGATTTATGTCACGCTATGTCGCTGAAGGCGGAAATTGATGCGGGATTTTACGACGAGGATATTTTTCTAAAACTTGGTGAAGATATCGAGACATCGGAGAATATCAAAAGGAATTTCATGAAGATTATTCCGCTTCTGATTCCTACACTAGCTTTGTGTCTGGGGAGGTACATATATAAGCATTCAATTGGATTTTGATAAAAAAAAACACCAACAAAGAAAAGGAAACAAACGAGATGATTTTTTTTCATTTGTTTACTTGCTGATATGTAAAAATATTCATGAAGCTCACGAAATGTTCCAGACAACAATGTTTTTGGAATCATTGACGCGGAAAATATTTGTAAGCTTTTGTACTTTGCTTTCGTAGGGACGTGTAAACATCTAAAATTGATGTTGAACGATTTCTCAAGTTTTATTTCTTAGCACAAGTACTTTGTTTTCCTTATCTTGTTGGTTTCAATAATAATAAGAAAATTTTCATTCAATTTTCTCTCAAGGTCTTATCAAGGCAAGTTTGGGTTGTTGCTTTCTACGCGTAGGTGAACTAAAATACAATTATGTGTATCCATTTTTATCGTATCAAAAGTCAAGCAGGTAAACATAAAAGTTCACCTAGTTAAAAATTACCCAAAATTTCCTACAATGTTTTTCTCGTCGCAGATGTCGTAGGTTTGCAGTTAATCTATTCTTCTTCCTCCTACTGCCAATCGCGTGTTTGCGTAGCTTTCTTTGCTGTTTTCATAACGAAAAAGAAAAATCTGAAGATTCAGTTTACGGATTCAAAATGACTCGAAGGGAAATAGACTCAGATGATGAGTCTGATGAAGAAAATATGAAACTCATAAAACATTCGTCAACAACATCAAATTTTAGCTCAACGTATGAAAATTTTAAAAAATCTTCCGATACGATATTTGATGCTAGGAATTTTTATAGCGATGAAAACGAATTGGAAAAAGACACAGAATTTGTTGTGAGTTCAATAAAAGAAAGTCACGAATCACTTTCTAAACTTGTAAGTAAGTAAAACTTTAGTATAATTGAAGAAGGAAAATTAAAATTTGATTTTTAGGAAAACCATCGAAACAAAGAAAAGACTTTTGATGAGATTTTTGACGATACAAAAGAGAAGCCAGAAGAGATGCTTGTTAAACAATTTCTCAATGCTCGTGTTGTTTTTCGTACATTCACTGAACCAAAAGGAAGCGTGAAAGTTGTGGAAAATCAACCTTATTCTATTCGAGGTTACTTTATACCTGCACAGAACACCGGCTATCAGTTCATTACATATAATCCCATCAGACAATTTTATGGAATTTCACAGGTAACACTCAAAAGCTTAAAAACAAAAGCATTTTTAATTATTTTTTAAATCTCTCACTTCAGAACAACACATTAGTTTCCCTTACACCACAAAACTTACTGAATGCCAAAGCTTTTCGACGTTTCTATGCAAACAAAAAAGCAGTGCTGGAGGCAAATGATTTAAGTGTTCATCCAACACTCTCTGCACCATGTGTTAATGTTCTCGTTCAGGATCTCTCCATGTATCGCTGCGAGGTTTCTTGTGATGATAAAAATAAGTTGACTTTGTGATGGATGAACTTTATTTTGTTTTTTATTATAAGTTTGTCAAGAATAATTTTTATAAGCTCTTATTTTTATCGAAACATTTATCTTTGTTAGAGTGTTATGGTGTAGAACTGAGTGATTTATTTCATTAAATATTTTTTTTTTCTATGTTCAAATGATTGCAAAAAATTCAACTTAAAGTCAAAAAAATGTTTTTTCATAAATTTTCTCTTAAATCATTTCATTATTTTGTGTTTCAATTTTAATCCAGTATTTTAAAGGATAAATTCAAAGAGAAATCTGTTAGTCCAATTAAATTGTTGATAAGCTGCAGGTAGAGATTTTTAAACGTATTTTAATCCAATTAATGTTTCGTTCCAATGAACTTGTTTGCCATTTTTGCCCTACAAACTGCTCCATATGTTTGTCAAATATCTACTATTTGATGGTTTGTAACATTGAGAAAGGGAAAGAACTAAAATTTTATCATTCGAGTGCCACATATATCCGTAAATTATGTTTTACGCTCAAAGTGAACAGCATTTAAAGCGAACAATTTCCCGATTTCCTTTTGTTGTTGAAGCGTTGAAACAGCTTCCAACGAATTTCCGATACGGAGATGTTTTGTTTGCACAACTGAATTCATTGAATTTATTTGCTCGACTTCGGTTGTTGAAGAATGTTAAACAAATGTTTCCGAACGTTAGAACATCTTCATGCTTTTCCATTAAAAAATTGTTCAAACAAAATTTTGTATAGACAATTGATGATCTCGAATCAAAAGGTTTCAAGCGATATCAAGTTTCGTTTTTTTAAGAAAAACAAAAGAATATTTAAGGGTCGTTTTGTATCGTAATAATTTATGTTCAAAACATGATTACACACCATCGAAATCTTGAAAAGCATGGTTGGTTTTTGGATATCAATAAGTTTTTTCATTTATTTCGGGTATTATTAATTTTTGACAATTGATTTACACTTGATTTCACAATCTTACGTAATAATTGAATAACTTAAAATCGTTTTTAGTGATCAAGATCAAAGTTGCATTAATCTTTCTTAAATTTCTTCTTGGTTCTTTTTTTTCTTGTTTTTTTCCTCTCATTTCTTGGCTCATTTGCTATAAAGAGAGGAAAGAGAGTAAAAATTTAAAGTCGTGATCAGAGAAAAACAAGTTTCAGTTATGCGCGATCGTTCAAGTATTACGCATGTGCATCGTGTTTTAGTAAATTTCGCATTTTAGTATTAATGTTCTGTCTGTTTTTTGTTTAAATTCAAAGCAATTTAAATGTAATAGTATTGCGCAAAAAGAAGAAAAATAAATAAAATTAGTTCAACTTAATTTGCGGATATGAAAACAACTATTATAAAGTGTAAAATCGGAATTTTAATCGAATGTGAGTAGAATGATTTGTTGGCCAATATTAACTGTAGGTCATAAATATTTTGTTGAAAATTGAGTTCTTCAAAATATTGTAAATTCGAAATAAATGGATATTGGAACAATTTTTTGATTACGAAGCTTAAGTGAATAATTGTGTTGGACAAAAAAAATACAGAAAAAGTTCAATCGACCATCAGTTGATAAAAAAGATTAAAGAAGTGAAAATAAATCAAATGTTTCGATAATATTCGATGACGATTTACCAAACTCTCATCTGATGTCTGGAATTTTATTTCCATAAATCAATTTGTGACTGAAGTGAAGTTCATAGAGCAGAAGAATTTTTTTACTCGCCACTAAGTTAAAGTTGTTTTCGTTGTTGGCCAGAGAAGTGAAAATAAATTGATTTTCATAAAAACTTTGTGAGCTTTAATTTATGGCCAATGCAACGAGATGAAGTGCATTGTGCCAGTGAGAAACGAGAATATGTTGAATGTGGAATGAAATATTTTCTCGACTTGTGATTTAAAATCGAAACTGAACGGAATAAAGTTGAAAATTCCCGACAAATCCCTCAAGGGACGAGTGGGAAATCTACAGTTTATGATAGTTTAATTAAAAAGTTTAAAGGCAGATCGAAGATAAAAATAAAAAAAGAAATCGAAATTGAAAAGCCAACAGTTTTTATTGCTACAAAATATTTCAAATCTGTTGTTGTGGTGCAAATGAGAGCGAAAAGATTTTCACTCAACTTTCATTGAGCTTCATTTGCCAAGTTAAGTTTCTTTTCGCTTTCATCTTTATGATCAACTTTAAAACAAAAGCCGGCGAATTATACTCTGAATCGGATAGTTGGTGTAATTTGAAGCAGTAAATTGGATTAAGAAACAAAATATCTTCTTCAAATGGTGAGTTTTATTCTGTTGANATTCCACGAGGAAAAATCCCCGTTTCAAACACACAAATGCTTCAGCATGAAGTACTCGAGAAACCCATCGGGCAGAAGCAATGAAACGAAATTTGGTGAAATGACTTCCAGCAGCTTCGAACACGTTAATGTCATGGGAATGTATGAAAATCGTTTTTCTGACAATGATCTGAGAGTCAATGATGACGATTATGTTCAAAGTTTGCGTTTGGCAGCTGCAAGAATGCGACCACTTCCGGCACCGCCATCAATAAATAATCAACAACTTCAGGTACTTACATATGAACGAAAATAGAAATAACAAATCAAAGAAGCGCAAAATTTGTTTTTCTTTGAAGCTCAAAGATATTTCTTAGAATTTTCTTCTTTGTTATTAAAAATTCTTTACGAAATTGAAATGATTTCTGGGGAAAACGTCTTTGAAGTTGGAAAACTTCCTTTATGTCATCAGATCTTCTTTGAACATGATAAAGTTCTCATTTAAGTATGTCTATCTTAGGAATTCTTGTTTCCAAACTAAAATACTCAAATCTCTGTAACTAAGCAACAAGTCTAATAGATGAAAAATAAACTCAAAGTAAATACTGTTGCTAACATAACTCCGCCATATCAACAAACACTTATCCTTCTTATTTATGAAACTAAATTCTCTATTGAACAAAAGACTTCAATAAATTCACATTATATGGTTTATTAAACCATTTTCTTTCTTGTATCGTCTTGACTTTAATTTTCGTAATGGAAAATTTGCTACATGTAAAGTTTCCCTCTAAGATGATTTCTCAATGTTTTTCCTTCTCTTACTCTCTCGCACTCTGAGTTGGAATTTTGAATTTTCTCGCTCTGGAAGCTGTAAAGTTTGGTTAAAGTGTTAGTGCAAGGATATCAGACATCTCGTGCTTACAGTAAATGAAAATTTTGAGAGCTTTTCATCTCATTTCACTCTCGATTCTCGTAAACATATAAACGATGCTTTCGAATGATTTTGATCTCAGTTACGCGAAGGATTCACTGTTGTTAACACCAAAAAAATATTAGAAGCTCGTACATTCGGGTGGATAATTAAATCTGTAAATAGAAAAGGATTACTGTCATGGATAAATAAAAATTGTGTGAGATTGAAAATCATAAAATTTACTTGTTCAAATAAGTTGAAGTTAAAGTATCGTGCGAAGAAAAGGGAATCCTTTAAAATGGATTAAAAAATGTGTGACACTCCTAGTTTTTTTTCCTTTTTCCGTACGATGTTTTTGCTGTTAAAGCTTTCAAGAAGCTTTATATACAAAAATATTTAACATCGTCTGGCGAAGTGAAAAGAAGAAAACGTAGATACATGAAAAAGTAAAAGAATGTTTGCATGAAATTATAATCGTGACTCCAGATGGTGTCTGGTTGGAATTTAGCTCTTTGAAAATTATGTATCGAGAAAGCATTATCGATGCATTAAAGCTAAACATCGGTATCGGAGATGCTTGAAAAATTAATGAAACATTAAACTTGTGTTTTTTTTATTATTTTATGAGATGCTTAAGTGTAATCGTGAACTTTTAAGGAGAAAAATGGAAACTTTGTCAACCACTTTGGCTCCATCAAAACGACGATTCATTAAATCGACTACCCTTGGGTGAAATTAAAACTTTTCATGTAAACTGCACTGTAATAATCGTTTTATCGTGTAGCTCAAGATATTCATTCCGTTTGAACACTTCTGGTCGTTAGAGAAATTAATTCAGAATATTTTCTTCAGCATAAATTAAACTCTTTGAGAAGAAAATATTTCTTAAACTTTCCACGTCACTATTTGAATAATTCGCTGATAAAATTAAAAATTCACATCAAGAATAATAAAAAATGTTTTAAGCGAAAAGAAAGAGGCGAAGATTATCTTCAAGGATAATTAGCTTTAATTATCTTAATGGAACTTTTCTGTTGACATTTCTTTTCCTTTATTTAGCGTTGGGACGTGTTCTGTCGAATGAGAATCTTGCAATCAACCCAAAATTACTTTCTTCAAGGTTGGCTTAAGATATTAAGCTTCAGATATTTTCTCCATAATTGAAAAATTATTGATATTCTTTTTTCTCCTTGTTGCGAATATCTTTCATAACTTGGGATTAGATTTGGGATATTTGTTTTGCATCAACCTTCTGTAGCCAGCTGTTTACGTTCCTTTACCTCGTTAGATAATTTTAATAAAGTTTCTTAAATCCAAATTTACCTTCTGACTTAATCGTTCAGATTACTTTGTCTCTAAAAATTTTAATTAGATTCCTATCCGAATAATCAAAGTTTAAATGAAAGTAAAAATAAGAAAAATAAAATCATAAAAAGTGTAAAAGGAAGTGGTGGACATGAAAAGGTTGTTGGCAAGGATTATCTAAAAGTTTTTGAATGCCAAACTTCGTGTTCACTATTCATTGATACGAGTAAATATTCATTCATCTGAATTAAAATTTATTGCCCAGAAAAACTTTGATTATCTTTTGAAAGAGTCGATGTAAATATTAAGCTTAGGCCCCAAAGTTAAAGCTACTATCTAATGTGATTAATAAATAATTAATTGTTCAAATTTTCCATATTCATGCCCCAATGAGTCGGAAACTTATGGAAATTTAATTTCAAAATTAATGATTCGAAGGAAACTGTCGACTACCGGTCATTAATATTCAAAGTTCTTTTCTTTTTTTTTCACACTATCTGCATAAATATTCTCGTCTCTATGATCTACCGGATCTCAATTAATTTTAAACGTCATGGCAAATCGCCTAGGTCAAAGTGTTTCATTAATTCATGTTTGTAACCCGAGCATCAATGTCGACATGATAATGAATAAGAAAGTACGTCGTTTTTCATGTTTGTCGTGACTTGATTACAATTTTTTGTCTTTCTTCTTTTCTCTACGATGCGATCGTAAAAAAAATTTCAACTCGATTTTAATTAAAAAAGTTTATCACAAAAAATAACCGAAAATAGCGACAAAACAAAAAGAGAGAGAAAGAAAGAAAGGAAGTAAAATGTTATTTGGTAAATTTAAAATGTGATAGCGAAATAATAGCTGAAAGAAAAACTGAACTCGAAAGATAAATTAAAAAGTTTCAAATGACAAAAGTTGTTGATGGCGCAATAAAAGTGATAAGACAAAAGGGTTCAAGTGCAAGAAAAGATTTCTTCATTGTATCGCGAACTCTTTTAAGTGTTCAACCCAGAAATATCTGTGGTTGTGGATTATTGTATTGTACGTGAACGGGCAGAGATTCCATCATAGGTTGTCCACATTCAGTCTTGTGGTGTACTCGTGGATCGATTTCAACTCCACGACCACCAAAACCAGATAAGTGGCAACTGCCAGAACCTGAGCTCCCCTTAGAATCGCAATGGGTTGATGGGGCTGGTGATGGTTATTGGGATCAATGCGAGCAATGGGTAAGTTAATGATGTTCATTTGAAATCTTCCCAAATGCTATAACTTTGATTATCTTGTAATCAACGAAGCTAATTCAAATAAATATGAAGAAATCATCGTAATGACTCCATTAGACATCTTTGAATGAAGGAATTCAATTTGAGAAAAGATTTGAAACTCTTACACTCTATCTTAAGCTCACTTTAGTGTCTTACGCACGAATATAATCAACACATGTCAGAGAGTCATTAAATAAATTTTAATGGAAACTTTCGTAATGATTTTTGATGTTATTGAGGAATTCGTGTTCTCATTGAAGTGAGAAAATGCTAACATGAAACTTCGATGTTTTTTTGTTGCCTTCTTTCTCTTTTTAGTATGTTTAACTTTTTCTTACAACAATATCAAGAACATTTCCTCGACAAACACGATATAAAGAAAAAGAAAGAAAGTTTTTTAATAAGATATCATCTTTCACAACATAACTTCTTCTCTTGTGTCTTGCCTGTATCAAGAGGAAGCGTGAAAAAAGGAGAATAAGACAAACTTTTCTTTTTTCGATTCAAATACAAAGTGAGTTAATATTCGGGAAAGTGAAATATTTACTTGAGCCATTGTCGATGTTCACAAAAAGAAAAAAGAGAAAGGAAAAAAAAAACTTTTCCTGCATTGAAACTCATTGATGTTGTTAATGGAAGCGAAGAGATTATTGATTGAATATTCACAATGGTAACGAAAATGTTATGACTTCAAGGAAAGCGACTCAATAAAGCATCAGAAGAAGTTGATTGTGCATGAAATATGCTTCAAATATGAAGTAAGACGCACAGGAAATAATGGAATACAAATTTTCGAATGATTTATGGTGCTTCTCGCAGGCTTCAAGGGTTTGTTATGTTAAGAACGTAGATTTCCATTTTAACAACGTAAAACGAGAGTAAAAAGAAAGGAATAACAAACATTTGTTTTTCTTTAAACCAATCGGTGCCGACAGCTTTGCTACCGTTCAAGGCTAATAGAAAAAAGAATAAAAAATTCAATCAGATTAAATGCTCCATAAATCATTCTTTCTTTCACAATCTCCCATGTAGCAATGTCGACATTCTTGTATCGATTCATGAGATACAAGTACGAAATTTATTTCATTATTGGAAGGAAGTGAAGAAAAATATTAACGCGACTAACATTGAAACATATTTTAAGAGCTTATCATTTCATCAGGTGCTATTATTCGCACAAGATTTCTTTCCTTTTTTTCTCCTGGAAAACCGCTACGTGTTATCTCACATCTCACGTTAAAAAATGTCTGTCGCTTTAACATTTCATAATCGAGTTTGCATTCTACACATAGCGACATAAAAAAGCCGCTGCCACAATGTACGAAAATGAAATATTTTCACAGCAGAGTAAATCGTTTGATGCAAAGCCTTTTTATAAAAGAGAAAACCTTTGTCACAACAGTTTAAAGGTTGCGACGAAGGAAGCCTTGCAGGCAGATTGAGTTTGTACAAACTTTTGTGCTGATTCAAACACTTTTTATTCCAGAAAGAACATAAAACTTTAGCTCATGAAACAAGAGAGAAGAAAGGAAAAAAATATGGAAATTTAAGGAATAAAAAAAGCGAACATAAAAATTGCTTTTATCATGCGTTTTACGCTCGCTTCCTATCAAAATGTTATTCAATCTTCCACAACGTAAAACCCTCGAATTGAGTACAGAGGGCAACATTTTCCGCAATCCTAATTGCATTTACTTACCCAATGTAAATAAAATTTTCTATCAAATTTCCGATTCACAGCATTATCCTACAAAAACACCACCGAAACAATCGCAAGCGACCACACCATCTTCATATCGTACCGAAATCTCGGGTTCTTATGCATCACTTGATTGCCCATCGCCACCTGGCCCACCAATACTCTCAGATAAAACCAGAGATCCACAAGTGAGTTCTGTTTTTTCTCACGCCACCCACAAACTAGTTGCTGATAAAATATTTTCTTCTTCCTTTTGCGTTATTCACAATTTTATAGGCTAGGCTAGCGATTTACTTGAAAACTCTGTATATAGACCTGTCGCTTAAAGAACCAATTCTACCAACATGGGTACAACCCGTGGCACCTGGTGCTCTCTGTCCAGCTCGTCTGGAGCCGGAGCTACGTTTAAGTAGCTTATCACATGGCCTTAGCGAATGTATTTCGGTTGATCAAATTCTCACTGCTATTCATGTAAGTTTTTCATTATTTTTTAAATTTTTTATTAATAAGTAAGAATGGGATTATAAAGTTTCAACATGAAAAATTATGATAAATATTAAAACTTTACGATTCTGAAACAAAATGTTTTAAAATTTTAAACACAACAGTTTTGTTTTAAGCCACATTTGGAAATAAATTTTTTATTCACTTCATTTTTCATTTCACAATTTTTTAAATACAAGTCGGTAAATTATAATTTAACTTGAATTATTTTAATGCACGAACTATTATCTCAGCATATTATGTTGGGGAAAGCAAATTATCAACTGAAAAATTTATAAAATGTTGAAAGTTTTCAGGGAAAGGATTAAAACCTTTTTCGAAACTTTGTGGCTTTAAATGTTTTAGTAGAGAATTTTGCCATTACACAAAATATGTCGTTGTCACGACAATAATGTGACAATGACGAGGGTTTAGTAACTTTCACAAAATGTCTTACATGTCAAAGCATTTCAAATGTGATTGGAATTTTATATGAGGTTGAGCTTTCAAATGTGCAATTATTGATGTTTAAAACATTAATTTTTTATTTTGAACAGACCAAAGAAGGAACATTTCTTGAGGCACCACGACGAATACTTATCGAGTGCCCCTCATGGCTCTCGAAAAGTTCATTAGCATTAAGAATATTGCACTCGTGGGCACGCGATCCACCATGGCCACATCGTGGACAGCCTGTAGCTTTAGCACTTTTTGTACCACTAAGTGAATTAAAAGGAACGTTGCATAATTACATTAGTAAGGATTTGTTATCGAAAGGACCGGCAAATCCATTTTTATCTGGTTTTGGGTCATTCAACTCGGCATGGCATTCTTTAGAATTGTTGAAAGGAAAATTACTTTTCGTTCTTGACGGTTACGATGTTTCTCTAACGAGAGCACATTCCAAAGCTAGAAAAACAACAAAAAATTCACTAGACGATGTCATTGACTTATTGGAAGGAAAACTTTTTCCCGAATCACGAGTAATTTTAATCGGAGTGGCGTCTCAATGCATGGATTTATTACCATTCATGCAGCGTCACATAAAATACGAAGGTCTCACATGGGGTCGTTCAGCATCACTTCTAGGAGGAGGACAGTGGGGGGCACCGACTCGTCTTCTCGATATTGTTCAGAATTCACTTTACTTACGTAATGCAATTCGAACGCCTTTGGCATGTTTGGCACTTGCTGCCGTATATGAGACAAATGGCGGACAACTTCCGACAGAAGAAATTGATGTGATTGACGCGATAATCAATTGTGTTGCACCAAATGTCCCTCAATCACACATTGCCGAGCTTGGACGTTTGACACTTTTCTGTTTGAAGACCAAGAGATCAACTTTCTCAACACAAGAAATTCGAATGTATTGTTCGTCACCTGAATCGCCTGTCATTGGATGTTTTGAGAAGTCGTCGCTGTTTGGAAAGACAGCAAAGCGGAAAGGCGAGTTTCATTACACGCCAATATGTCAGGGAATCTTTGAGTTTTTAGCAGCAAATTATTTAGTGTCACTCGCTAATCGACCGGGCTTGCTTGCAGCTGAAATCACGGGATTATCACTCGCTGATGAGCTCGAAGCTGACATTCTGAAAGTTTTGAAATTTTCAATGACATTGTTGGGCAATCGAGCGCACGTATTGTTATCGAAACTGACAACATTGTGGTTGAGTCCACAAACTGTTTTCTCACTCGCATTGGCTGGCGGTGAGACAGAAGCAAATTTAAATGCACTTAGTGATATGTTAGGCATTTCGAAAGTTCCACCAATTTCGCCACTAGAAACGAATCCAATTTGGGTGTCAATCACATCATCAATAAATGAATTGCAGGGATGGGGATTGGCACTTAAATCACCGGTGTGCGCACTGAAAAATCTTGAATTAATGTATCAAGTCGAGAAGACAATTCAGCTTGAGTCACGTACTGCTATGGATATCTTCCTTGACGCTCTCTCACGGAATGAAAGCGTCACAACATTAAGAATTTCATCACTTATCGAAAACGATGTAAGAGAAAATGACATAAACCATCTTGCGACGTGTATTTCGAAAGCTTTATTGAAACCACGTTTAGAAAACTTTGAATTGATTCTCACACTTCTCGAAGAAGATCCGCCTGCGATGAAACTGCAATCAGTTGTTTCAGCATTATGTAAATCAATTCCGAGACAGACAAAACTGGTTTCCGTTCTACTCGATCTCGGTTTATGTACATCGCAGCTCGTTCAAATATGTGCAGCTTTAGAGAAATGTCCACATATTAATCGTCTGTCTTTGCCACATTTACGATGTGAACGAGGTGCTATCAGTGCATTAGCATCTTTGTTGAAGAATCGACCTCTCTCGTCGCTTGCATTGCCAGCATGTTGGGGTGCAAGGGATGATCCACCTTCATCAAGTGGCGTCAGCATGGGTTCAGGAAGTGCAAGCAGTAGTGGAAACTCGGGATTAATTAAACAAGGTTCATTGACCGGAGCACCATCGCCAAGAGCTTATCCTCCTGGTTTATTTTCATCGCTTCCAAGAGGTGTTCCACCCACATCAACGCTTGGTCGTTCACAAACATTACCAAGACAACTGCTTGAAGGGCCACCAGACAAACGAAGTCAAGATTCGGTGATTTCAAGAACTTGGTATCCGACACCAGCTTGTGATGGTGGACCACATAACTCTGGCACACTTCATGATCTACTTTATGCTGCTCGAGAACCTTACTCACGACTGCATGGTCTCGATTTAAGCAAGGCTCAACTTTCACTTGAAGATTCAATGTGCTTAGGTGAAACGGTTCGTGTATCGTCGACACTTCATTCAATCAAACTCGAAGGTGCTTCACGAATGAGTGAAATTCTTCCAACTGTTTTGGGTGCTGGCGAGTCACCAAGTTTGCAAATGTTGAGTTTAGGATCGCCACGACTGATACTGGAAGATACTGCGATAACAATGTCAGCAAGGGCACTTGGTAGCTGTATAACTTTAAGGCTTTTAAGCTTGGATGGATGGAGCTTTAAATTTGAGAACGTTTCGACTTTAGCACAAGTTCGAGGCTTCTTAGCGTTGACGTCAATACGAGAACTTGGATTATCAAATTGTCGAGTTTATCTTCCAATGTTCAGCAATGTGGTTCAATTAACACCCGAATCATATGATTGTCGATCCATTGTAGTATTAAAGCTTTCAGGAACGCAGGTATTTAGTGAAGTAAATGTTCAATCTCATGGGAAATTTATTTATTCAAATTTTCTTCATGCTTTTCACAGATTATTCTCGCAGATCAAACGCCACTTCGAGGTCCACAACTTCTTCCATATCTTGGTGGTTTTCAAAGCTTGAGAGAATTGGATTTATCAGCTCCAGCTCGTTCCGGGCTGGGGAGTTCAACATCCGCTCCACCGTTGATTCTAGACGACAAGAGCATTACAACTTTCTTCCAACATATAAACCAGAAGTTTGGGTAAATTATGAAAGTAGCAATTAAGTGAAGATACGAAGAAACTTTTTTATTTTGTTTCGTACATTCGCATCTTTTTCGAACAGTTGGAAACTTCAACTCCATTAGTTGTTTAATTAAACTAAATGAAAAAGAAAAGTTTATCGTTTTGAAAATTAATGAAAATTCTTCGTTTGGTTTCTTTCTATCTATCTAAGTTGATTTAGTAAATTATTATTCACCGTTTTATGCTTCACGATAACGAAACATGAATTAATGATCAAGTTCATTTATTTCATGGAAATTTATAAATTTAAATATTTAAAAATTTAAAATTCGAATTTAGATAGGAAAATTCAATTTTTTATCATATGCGACTTTATTTTAATTGAAATTGAAGATTCATTCTCGTCTATCGTTTTGTAGCACAGAAAAGAAGTTAAGATGGATATTTATGATGATAAATGAAAGTTGGATGAAAGTTTGATGATACTTATTATCTCACTTTCAAACAAGCATATGACTTGTAACTCTAATTAAAACTATTTTACATGTCATGATTTTCGCTTTGTCAGATTGGAAATTTTTCTCGTGTTTAACTTTTATAATTTTCATTCATTAACTTTGTTATAGAAATGCAAAAGTTTCTGTTTTAATTTGAATATTTTTTCATTCTCCGCACAGCCATCTTAACACTTTAAAAATCTGTAATTGGATAATTCATCTCGATGATGCAACCAAAACATTTAAATCCATTTCGAAGGCATTGAAATCGTCAACAATAAGCCACATCAAAATTGACGGCATATCAGTGCTTGACAGAAATAAGAAACATCGTGTGGAGCCGCAATTTTTACAAACGCTTCTATCATCCGTTCCAATGTTGAGATGGATTAGCGTGAGTCTTTCAGGCGTAAGCGAGGAGCAAATGTCTTTTATTGGAAATTCTATTGGAGACATTAAATCCAACGAGATTGACATAAGGTGAGTGATCCGCTTTTCCGAAATTGATTGACATTTTCTTTTTATTTTTAACTTTTAATCTAATTTCTTATATCTCGTCTCTTTTTCCTTCTTCTTCCTTCACACAGACTCAGCGACTCCACCATTGAAAATGTTCGTTTAATGACCCAATCATTGAGTCTCGACGGAAAATTCGATATTCGAGTTTCTACTTTTGGCACATCTTCAAATATCCTGGTACATGTTGAGAAAATCGGAGTTAAAAGCTTGTCACGTAAACACAAAGATTAAATTCACAAAAATCCTTTCATGGAAGGAAAAATCAGTCGTTTTGATGTCGAGAAAAGAAAAACTAAAATAAATTTATGCACATAGAAAATTGTTTTCTTTCTTACAAAACTTGAATTGTTTGGAGAAGAAAACTGATAAACTTTTTAAGAGAACATTGACGAGAAGAAGCTTCTGCTGTCATTGCATTTGTCTCGTTAGGAGTTTTCCTTTCTTTTCTACTGATAAGAATAAGATTCATTCAGATCTATGAAATTTTTCATTATTGTAAAAGTGTTAAGCTTTAGAGAATTTCACTTAACAGTTTTGTTGGATGAAAAGTTATAAACTTTTAGGTAAATCATTGTCATTTACATATTATACGGCTCCAAGTGCCAAGAATAAGAAGAAGAGAAAATTGTTGAATTTTTGAGTAGGAGATGAAAAAAAAAGTATTTTTCGCATCGTTAGTTCTTATCTTACGTCTCAAGACGAACTTAGAGACTTTTCTACCATTTTTCCAGCAACTATTTTGTTTTTGTTTCTGTGATTACACATTCTTTAGTCATTGTATGATTTAATTAAACTTGAGATGTTCACTGAACTCTTAATCATTATGGAAATGTGATGTTTAAACATCGCATAAAAATTTCTTAATGAGGTCGAAGAACATTTTTTTCTTACATTTATGGAATTACAACATTTATCGCATCTTTGAACATAATTATAATTGTCTACATAATCCTTTCGAATGGAGGAAACTTTTTTGCTACCGTCGCAGTTGTCAACTGTGAACTATCCATACTTATTAAAGTTAGACTGTGCATTTCATCTTGAGCATGTTGTCTTGGAACTTTGAAGTTGCCAGGAAGCAAATGGAGCCTATAGTGTTCATAGTAGAAAAGAATTGCTGAGAATGGCAGAGTTTGTATCAAAAAGAAAAAGTTATAATTAAGTACAATGTACTGCAAAATCTTTAAATTTTGTTTGAGGAAAATTACTTTTGAACTCAGCTAACTGAATTAATTTATTATTAACATGAAGAGATTTTCAGTTTATAAGAATAAGTTTCTTATCAAAGCTTTTAGTTTCTTAATTCTTTTCTACTCCATCTTCAAAGCATCACATTGATAAGATTGATTCGAAGATTTTTAGATACGCAAGAGATTGATGAAGCCCGAAATGATTGTCTGCAACTTGAAATTCTGACAACATACAACACCATGAAAAGGTGAAAAATTCAAATTTATTATTGATAAGTAGGAAAGCTATCTGTTTAGCATCTGAGAGTTTTTCTTACTGTTTGAGTCTGTCTTTTACCCACAACAACTTTACACAAATGCCCACAAGTTTACCCACATAAATTAAATGTTTTTATAGTTCGAAATTTATACCAAATGTCAATATCTCTTTATCTTTGTCCTCAGAATCTAAACTTGTTCTTGAATGAATAAATATTATAGTATGGCTGTGTATACTACAACTTGTAATGATATTTATTTTAAAACCAAATGAACAACATTTAATTTATTTAACCGAGTAATTTTAAACAGACATGTACCGTATGTTGTTATATGACATAGTAAGACGACAATATTTAGTAAATTATTTGTTATGTAAACGCTACACGATGTTCATTGATGAAGAAAAATTAAATGATATGAAGTCAGAATGGTATTTAAATTGAAAACCCATTTATGTTTCTGCTTGAAAGCATTTAGAGACTAAAAATAAATAAAATCAAGTTTTTACATTGCTAATGAACATAAAATTGATTATTGAATTGAAAGTTTCGTCATGCAAAAAAATAAAATAAAAAAAGAAGAAAAATGATGAAAAGAATTGTTGTTTTAAATTGAGATGAAAAAAATATTTACGATGTACTATTTAGTGTTTAAGACAAAATGATAAGATAAAAATGATGTTTAAAGTTTATTAGATAAATGTATAATGAAAGATCATAAAATTACAAATGAATAAACACGTAAAATATTGAGTTATGTTCTTGGTTTATTTTTTTCCATTTCAGATATGCTATAAACTATCACCCACCATTATATGACGATATCATTAAAACTTTTGCAATTTCATAAGCTTATTTTCAAGCTTCTCCATAAAACCATAAAATACGATACCATTTCAATGCTTTTCTGTTTCTCCATTAAGTCACGTTCGCGACATTTTTATGTTTGTCTATGCTTTTTTTTACTTCTCAGTCCTCATCTCACCCTCGGCAAATTTATTGACATAATCTTCTTTTTCTTTTCCTTTTTTTTGGCGGAAATTTCCTAAAAGAAAAATATTTTTCCAATATCATATTTAGAAGCATAAAATGCTTACAGAATATTGTAATTTGCCTTGTGAAGTTTGTCTTTGGAAATTATAATTTTTGGTTGCAACATCTTAATTTCTCGTTCGATGTGTTTTTAATCACGTTAAGAAGAATCATCAAAGCGCTTGAATTTCTCACTCTCATGTTAAATCTTTGAGGCATATGACTGAAGAATATTAAGTGACGATATTGTGTGATTTTGTTTTGCAAATCATCATGGGACAAGATGAAAATTGTTAAGTAACAAGGTTGAGGTGAGGTTTCAAAGTGTCGTGTTGTTACGCAAACGATGCCATTTATTAGTGATTTCATTTCTCATTCTATGAGTGTATTCTCTCGATTGGGTTTGGGAAAGAAAATTGTTTTTCAAAACAGAGAAGGAATGAATCGCAACGATTTATTTCGTAGGGAGAAAAACATTTCGTTTATCATGTCAAATATCAAAAGTTGGGATATAAATTTCAGAAAATTCGCTGTAGAGAATACAAGAAAAATGTTTAGTTACATTAATAAAGTATGAAATCTACTATTGTACCCATGTCAATGTCACATCGAAATATTCTCTCCCATTACGCAATTTCATTCGACGTTATGCTTTCAACCTTCGTTATTAATATAATAACAAACAAAAGGAGAAAACAAAACCACGCAAAACTTTTCTTAGATATCGTTTTGTTATGCTTTTTGTTTCAAAATATAAAATTTGAATGAAACTCTCGTTAAATTAATCTTCTGCTTGTTAAAAGATGATTGTTGGTGCTTCTTTTTATCTGCTATCAGACACTGTGGGAGACATTTTATTACGATGATGACTTAATCCCTCTCAAGGTAGACTGTAAATAAAAACAATCAACGCGTGGACAGCTTACAAAGGTGTCACCAGAAACCACCGTCATAACTTTTATTGGCTTAAACTCGTAATTCTCTGTTCGACTGAAATACTTTTTAGTTGCGTAGGTATTGTTGCATAAAATTAAGCAAGTTTGTATAGTATTTGAAGAAATAAATCAGAACGATTGTAAAGTTTCAAATTCAGGGTTTATGTCACGATCATCTGAATAATTCACAAATAAATTCTTAAATAGAAACGAATAATTTCAATTTACTAATGCGGTTGACTGCTTGATATCAAATCGAAGTAGGAAGTTTCAAATGATAAATGATACTCTAAGAGTTTACATAATTTTTAAAATTATTTTACGTTCAATAATAAATATTTATGCAAGGAAATGCTGTAAAGGGTTTCAGATCTGTGACTATCTTGTCTGCATTTATGTAGAGATTATTATCATCTTTTATGAAAAAATCTGAAAATAGTGAAACCTTAAATAACTAAATAAAGCCTCGTATAAAGAGAAATTGTTGAAAAGCCATAAAAAGCAAACATGAAGTTGACTTGACTAGATATAAAATATAAGCAACTGTATTGGAGTAAAGCTTTGGTATAACGAGAGGGAGAGAGAGAGATAGAAAAAAAGCATAAATGTGTAATATGCGATGACCTACATGTGTATGTATATCAAAAGCCAACGAGAGTTCATAGTTCAATGAACAATGGTTAAGGTTTATCTCTGCAATGTATTAAAAGCTAGAAAGATAAAAAATATTATAATTTTTAATGGTGTAATAAAATTTGCGTAGTGCAATGTTTAATATTCGGTGCATCGCTAAGTTTTTAATTTCCATCACGTAAAATCAATAATAAAGAGAATTCCGGGTTGATTTATAGTATTCGTCTATCCTCAATGCTTGTTATTCGCTAATAAATGTGTTGGAAACACAACAGAAAAAGGTAAAAAAAAAGATTTCACGTAAATAACACGTTTACTGTTGTCTGTTTATTTATTTGTGGATATTTTCTTCTTTCTTCCTCCTAACATAAAGAGAAATAATAATTTAAGAAAAGAAAAGTCTTTAACAATTCTCATAAGCTAAGCTTATAAACGGTAAAATGACATATAAATTCAGAGATACTTTAACAACAAATAAACAGTAGAATGGCAGAGTAGCAATAAAACAACAGGCAGCATAAATGGTCCATCTGTTGACTTATTCAATATGAAATCATTTCTTTGTATATTAATGTTCTGAATGTGCTTTGAAAACAAGAATGCAAACACGACAGACAAAACTTAATGCGCATGAGAACGAAAGAGAATACGAAATGCCAAGCGTCAGATTTTCAATAATATTTTTAATGAGTTTTATTGTAATCGACAGCGACACTCACCAATTGGATGCCATAATCCAGCATGAAATTGATGTTCCTCAATTTAACACAGAATATCTCAATTAGAATTCATGAGTTTCAATAGCGCACTGATTGCTTTTGTAATGGAATTATATTCTTAAACTGGAGGCTCATTTTACAATCACAATCAATTGAAGTTACTTAGTTTATCGTTCCGTTATTAAATTGAATAGCGTCCATCGGAAGAATCCTGTCTTTAACTTTTAAAGTAAACTAAGTAATTGCCAATAATCAATTTATTAATGTCAATTACGCTTCGTTCTTCCCTTCATTCTATTCAAGTATTAATTGCTAAATACATATTATCTCATCTTTAATCTTCAATTATGTAACCATTACCAAACATTCTTGCTTTGCTTATTAACATAATTTTTATTCAATTAAAGTGTTTTGAGAATATTTCCAGATTGTATAAAAAATTGTTTAAACTTTAATATTTCCAAACCTCAGAGACATTCAAGCACAGTTTATTTTATAAAAATGCAGACAACATGAAGATATCTCAGAGGAGAAATCATAAGTTTTAATGCAGTTGACAAAATAAGTTAGAACTTGCAGCTTTCATTCACATGCAAGAGCAACCGGATGAGTTAAGAATGGTTAAGCTTAGAATTTAGTTTACAACGCAAGATGCAGTGTTGACCTAAAAAAATAGATTTTCTTTTATGACACAAATAACATTGAATCTTCAATAAAACTAAGCAAACAGACAATTAAATATCAATGAAGCAATTTAATTGAATGAAAATCTTTGAGAAAGTCGGACAAGATTTGAGTTAAGGCGAAAGACTTTATAAGTTTAAACTCGTAAAAAACCAAACAATTTATTTGAGTAAACTTTAAGTATAAAAATCGTTGCTAAAGAAATCTTAATAAATATTTCATGTTAACAAAGTTTTATTAAACTTTCAAGTAGATACATTTTTTATACCGACTTTTACTTTTATTTTATGACTGTCGCTTGTCATTTCATAACAAATAAGAAATCGAGAGAGATTCCACTTAAACTTTGACAGATTTGAAGCAAACAAAACTTAAAATTTTATGTTTTGGACTTAACAACTTTGTCGCTCATTGAACCCACACCAACTTAGATCCATTCTAGTTGCTTCAGACAAATATCCTGTGGCGAACGATGATTACTTCTCGTGTGGTTTGTCAACTAATCGTAAGCGATGCTTCTGGTTTGCAACATATCAACCACAATGTATGTTCCCTTAGTGAAAAGTATTTAATGATTTTCCATCTGGTTTGATCGCTTTGAAGGATCGGAATGATGGTGATGACTTTAAGATATTGAATTCTTTTATATTTGTGGTCTAGCGACGACATGCGTTAAGAAATATTAAATAAACCTTCTCAAACTGCACTTTTCTTCTCCATCGTCTTATTCATTCCAACATTTTATGCTCACTTGAATTTTCATAGCATTTTGTTGTCGGTTTCTCTTTGCATTGATAAAGTCAGCATATCTGTATACACACATACGTATATTCATTTCATCATTTTATGAAAGTCATAAAGCGTAGCTGCTGAATTTATTACATAAATGTGAATTGATATGAAGAGAGGGCCGAAGAATAAGAAGAAATAAGAACTTCAATGCTTCTGAAATGTCTGTGCTTCTTTCACATACAGAATGTAATGAAATTCTTCAAATATCTTTCAATGAATTATGAATGGGATGGTTTGAAAAGAAACAAGGAATTCTTTCGTGAATTGTGCAGTTTCTTATAACTCTTTACTAAGTATATGACTTTTTTCCTTCTTTCTTTCAATGTCATTGTGGTTTGCTTTTATGGTTTTCGAAAAAAAATTACATACTTTTATTAAATCCATGATTTAGCATTGTAACAAGTCGAAGCGACGACAACGTGACAACCAATATGGATATTTATGTAGATATTTATGAAGAATCAGTCTCTGAACTCATGCCGAGCAGATTACCACATCACTATTCATTGTGACTTATTAATAGGTCTTGTCAAGCGCCGAATCTTTTAAAACAAATCTGATGAATCTCATTTGTGATAATAAATCATCAAATCAAATAGATACGCTGATGATGAAGAAGAACGAAAGAGGAAAGGAAGAATCTTTACAACGTGTGAGTCTTTGAAAACATGAATGAAGAATTATGATTGATGGGAACAAATGTGCAGAGAGAGAATTTTTGAATCATAAAAATTGTGGAAGTGACGTAGACGATTGTTGCAACATCAAAGAGAATTATCTACACGATCGTTTCCTTCTTGAATGAGAAAATCATTTCCACTCGTAAACATTAACTTCCGTCAAGCCACGAAATAACATTTAATAACAAAAATGGAAACAAACTCCGATTTATTGTTTAATGATTGTGTAATATATGACTCACTAGCAGTTACTGATATAAACAGAACATCAACTTGCTCTTATATTTAGCATCTAATTTTGGTGATGTAAACAATAACATTAAATAATTTTGACTTCCCACATCGTTCACAATCTTGTCGACTCATATTAAATTAATTTCCGAAACTATTTCAATAACATTGACTTGGCACTATACGAAAATGATCATATTTTACTGGTACTCTAATTAGAGTCTCAATCATGTCAGTTAACACTTAATGGTTAATGCAAATATGTATGTACACATCAAACAGAATCTAAATAAAGATCCATTGAAGCAAAAGTTATTTGATATTCGATACCGAAGAGGAAAATATTTGTACAGCTTAAAAAACTTATTTTAAAAGTTTTCCCTCAAAAAACATTTCAACATGAAAACGTTTTCAATTATCTCTTAAATAAATAATTTGTGTGCATCTAGAGAAATTCAAAACTCTCGTTTTATCGAATAGAAAAATATTTTATTTGAAAATTTTCTGATACCTGGAAAATTTAATGATTAACATCAAGTGCTTATTAAATTTTGAGATTGTTTACGTTCTTGCTTCAGTGAGCAAGCAAACAACTTCAAATAATATTCAGATATGAATTGTTGATTTCGCTTTTAAAGATGGAAAATATTTTTACATAAAAATCAAGCTCAATAATTCTTCGTTGGAAATTGTTTATTATCTATCAAATATAATTTTTTTCTGATGAAAATTCTATAACGAAGACAAGATAATTATCATTTATTTATATTTTCATGAATTCGTTCAACGATTTATGTGATAAATAATCAAATAAAATTCTTTTCAACAAAATAACAAAATAAAATGTGCAAACTATGAAAATGGCAACTTCTCATTGTGTTAATAACTTCGTAATGGAATCAGGGATGGAACAATAGTAGAAGAGGTAACGAACGGAGACTGGAGTCTCTACAATATTGAATTAATAAATTATGTTCAAAGCATAACAAAAGTGTTTACAATGGAGGGTTGGATAAGCAGATATTTTCTACTGTCACTCTCAGTTGGAGGTGGATGAAGATTTCTGTTATATAACATAAATTTTCTATAATAATTTACATGTTACTTGATAATAAATTTCACAAGTGAAAACAATCAAGCTTCGCTTTAACTGAAAGATAATAAATAAAGAGTTTGCATATCTTAAGGCATTGTGATGGATGAACATTTAACTTTCAATTACCTCGACTTTCTAATGAGCAATGTTTTGTCGGTTAAAAATTTGTGGTTTTCAACCATCACAGTCTGTGACATTATACGGGTTTGAAATTTCAACTTTTTATTTTCCTTTCTTTACTTTGGAAATTTGGAGAGTTAAATAAACGCTTGTTGATTAATTAAATTAAATATTTATCAGTATTCTTCGTGAAACAATTGATGTTTTCGGGAGGGTAAATTTTGTGCTTCTTCATTAAATATTATTTTTAGAGAGTCGGAAAATGTGGTAGCAACTTTGAATATTGGCTGATGTAAAGTGGGGCAACGAATTCCATGGTCTTCAATTTCACAAAGCACTTGTTACTTTTCCATTGCTTTCCCAAATAAATTATTTAAGGATCAATCATAGTATTTGTGTCTTAGTTTCAAATAAATGTTTAAAAATCGATTTTCACATAGTTTAAAAGTAGGATAAAAATTGAAAGAAGAACGGAAAATATGACGAAAAAATCATTAAAGGTTTTGTCGCTAAAGAGACAACATCAAAAAGAAAGTTTTTGAAAATTTTGAGATTATTTGAGTCAATTTATTCAGTTCGATAAAAATAATTCAATGAATCCATTAGAGAACTTTTATAAAGACTCAACGATTCTTATAACCGGTGGAAATGGTTTTCTTGTAAGTCTTAAAAAAATCAATTGACGAAGAAAGAAAGGAAATTCGATAAAAGAAAATTTCTTCCTTAAAGGGAAAAGTTCTCGTTGAAAAATTGTTGCGATGTTTTGATATCAGAAAAATTCATTTGCTGATAAGAGCTAAGAACAATGAAACTGTCAAAGAAAGGATACAAAATTTCGTTAACAATGCTGTAAGTTTCCATTCAGTGAATTTCAAGAAAAGCTTCTTTGTTTCTTGTTCCTTTAGATATTTGACTTCATTCGTAAGCAAAGTCCGGAGTTGCTAAATAAGCTTAATTTTATCGAAGTAAATTACAATTTAAGTAATTTGAGTATCAACGAAGAGACAATGTCTTGCATCAGTTCTGAAGTCGAGGTATACAAGAAACATTTTGTACATATTTACAAACTTGGGCACTCAACAAATATCAATTTCATTATGTAATCTTAGATAGTCTTCAATGTAGTTGCTTCTGTGAAATTTAATGAAAAGCTTCAAGATGCAATTGAAATAAATTTACTTGGAACGAAGAAAGTTGTTGACTTAGTTCTGAAATTGAAAAGGCTGAAGTCATTCATTCATGTTTCAACGTTATTTTCCAACTGCAATAGAAAGGACGTTGATGAGAAACTTTACGAACACATTTTAAGTTATCATCAATTGGCATCGCTGAAAGAATTTCTAAAAAATGTTGAAGGTATTCAACCAATTGAAGGTTTGCTATTGGGAAAACTTCCGAATACTTATACTTTAACGAAGCATTTCGCTGAAAAGTTGGTTTATCATCAAGCATTTTACATTCCCTGTGGAATATTTCGAGCTCCGGTTGTCATCTCGAACTATCGTGACTATCCTGGCTATACAGGCGAGTAGAATAAAAGGAAAATTTGAAATTGAAACGAGAATAATTGAATTATAATCGAATTCATTTCACATAAAGATAACTTGAATGGGCCTGCAGGCGTTGTCGCGTTAACGTTGAATGGGAAATGTCATTGCATCCTGGGAAATCCTCGTTCACGTTCAAATCTTGTTCCGGTTGATTTCTGTATTAATGCATTGATTGCATCGGCTTGGGATATTCATGAACGGTAAATTTCATTACTTTCCACTCATTTTTAACATCTTTTCTAATAACAAAGTTACAGTTTTCAGAACAGATCCGACACTTATGACAAAATTCAAATTTACAATTACATTTTCCATGACAACAATTTACAATGGAGAAGATATATGCAGCTTATAGCTTTAGGTTTACAAAGCAACTGGCAGAAGCTTTTGTGGTAGATATTCAGAGAAACTTTCAGAGCTTCAGTCAAAACTTATTTTAATCTCAATTTCAGGCGTTGCAACTACATTATAGTTTCTTCAAGATCCACATTTAAATTCCTTCATTTCATGTTTCATACTATCCCAGCTTATTTAACGGATGTCATAGCTTTCATTTTAGGAAAAAAGATAATGCATCGTAGAGCTTGCAAGCAAATGGAAAAAATCTTACTCATAATGTCGTATTTTGGGAGTCGCGAATGGAATTTTGAGAACACGAATGTTGAAAGACTTGTTAAGATGACGAAACATTTCAAATTTCAACGAGGCTATTTTGACTTTGACTTACGAAATGTTGATTGGAGCGAATATTTTAAGAGCTACGTGACTGGTATGAAACAATATGTGTTGAAGGAGAATTACGGAAAAGTTAAGAAGACGAACTGCTCGAATCATTTGTGAGAATGCTTTCAGGTCTTTTGAGTAATCTTTGCTGATTGAGTTTTTATTTCTTTAAGGATCAACCGTGTAAGGTACGTGTACTTAATATTAATAACCTTGGCAACGCTTCTCAACTTAAAGAGATTAAAACAACGACTTCAATTGTTTCTGAACTTCATAGTTAAGCTTTGTGTTAAATAAGTGAATTTATTTTGGAGGTTGGATGGTGCAAACTAATCACATTATAATTAAACTGAAGTTTCTGTTGATTAAACCATAAATTTGTTGCTTGCTAACTGTTGAAATATTACGATGAAGCATGTGTTTCCATAAAGTTTGTTGAGTGACATGCAATGACCATAGAGTAAATGAATAAATGTTTAACTTATCAAACATTTCGAATCAAAAAAGTTCACAAAATATAAAATTTGAAATTCTTATTTATTTGCAAAACTTCACCTCATATCTTTTCATTTTTTTCGTTAATTTATTCACATAATTATTTATTGTTATTGTAATCAAAATCAATATTTCTTTGGTTGAATTCTTATTCCAAATTTGGAATCGAATCAAAAATTCATCGAGCTAGCAAAAGAAAAAAAATCGAATTCAATGTGGCCGATAATGTAATTCTCTTGTGATTGCTTTCCATCTAGGGACAATCAAATTTGATTTTGCTTCGGTCGCGATTGTAATTCCTTTTTTGGGATCACTTGATAATGGAAAAGTCATGAAATTTAATATTCGTAGTCTGCTGATTCCGTGATGATAACATTCAATGCCATTTGTGGACATTTTATTTCTCTTTATGTGCTTTCACGTTTCGTTCTTATATTCTGGATGAAATTTCATAGTTCAACGACACTCAAATTAATTTACAGACAGCATTTTAATGGGCCATTGTAAAAGTTGAAATGATGGAATTTCGATGTGGATTTTGTTGATGGAATAAAATTTAATTATACAACGAATAAAGGGCGATATCTGCTCATGTTGTGTTTTAGAAATATTTTGTGCATTTCATGAACCTTCCGGAATTTTTCGCTCAGGTTGGTTCGCATAATTATGTCAGATATTTAGATATTATCATTGAGTGTAAACAAGACAATGACGTGAATCGCTTTTAGCCATGAAATATTTATCTGCAAATGGATGGGCAAAGCTAAGTATCTAAAATATTTTCAATAGCTGAAATCAATATTATCCTACAATTGCCAATTAATTTGAATCGAAAAGATATCGTAAAAGCCCTAAAGCTTTTCCGAGAATTAAACTGCAGAAATAAAAATAAAACATTTGATTGAAACAATTTAGAATGAACATAAACATTTTTTCACTTTTGTGAGCGGAAATGAAATTATGTAATCGAAGTTCAACAACGGTTTGAATCACTTTGGGACTTTGTTTATTTTCCTTCTTTAAAGTAAAACATTTCAGAAAATATTTTGAAATTTGACATGAAACAAGATACAAAAAGACATTTCCAATTATCGTTTACATACATTTTAGGGGGTAAAGATATCAAACATTACAAAAGCGAGTTGGGGATGGAAAACATGTTTTCCAGTGGCACTAGAATTTGTAAACCTAGTTGTCAGTTGACAATGCTCTCAAGGATGCAATAATTTTACTTTGAAATTTAATTCCATTCCTTCATGATCTTTATTATTTTCGAAAATTTTAGTCAGCAGAATGAGAAATCTGTCGTCATAAGCATTACTTCTTAATTCCATTAAAGATTCATGGTTCAATTTGCATGTTTTGACCCGAAATAAATCACAGAATGAAGTCAAATATTGAATACGAATAAAGTAATTTGTTAGCTTTTGCCTTCCATTAACGACCTAAAGGCGCGCGTTCCATTTATACTCTTCACAACCAGAAAAGGTTCATGAATTTATGCAAAATTTGTCTCCGCAAGTAATCAAACGCAATGGGACGTAAAATAAATTTGCAAATGGGAAAATTAATGGAGATAACGAGCAATGTTTTTTCAATTATCTACGTCGTAATATTTGTTTCACTTTAAACTTCATCATGTTATCTCAAATCATCAAATCTTTACATTTTACATGAGCACATAAATCTTGCATTCACATTCATTGTTTCAGGAGAATCATTCAGATTTTACCGTGAATTATGCGAAGAAAAAAAATCCGACTTAAGGGATTGCTTCTCTTTCCTTCATGTGAAAATGTTTGGTCTTAGTTTCATGTAAAATAATACGTGACTGCTTTTTGAATCCTAAAGATTCAAACGAAATGCTTTTTGGTTGATACTTTTTTCGATCCCTTGGGAAAATACAAAGACAACGAACTTTTTATAAAGAAACCATAATTTGTATGACAACGGAAATTTATTTAAAAAGTTTTATTTTTATAATCATCATGTTTAAGAATTTTTTTCTTCAATTCCTTTAAGCTTTATGACAAAAATATTCAGAGGAAAGTTTCATCAAAGATTCTCCATTTCATACAAAGTAATTTTCTTTCTTTTTTAAATAGCCGATTTATCGATCATTTCCCATCATTCATCGTTCTTTTATGATTTAATTTTATGCTGATGATGTTGCAAGATTAAACAGAAAAAAATATATAAGGGAAAGAAGTAACGAATAGAAAAGAAGCGAGCTCGGAGATAAATTAGTTTTATTCTGAGTTTTATGCTACATTACGTTCCATCTTCCGTCTCATAAGTATCCCTTAGTAGAATTTCATCTTCTTATCATGCAATGTCCTTGTGACTTGTGTGCGCTTTTTTTGCGGATTAAATGACCGTAAAATTTTATTGAATATCCTTATGCTCGACTCAATTCCGTTCTATCGTTAAACAGACAAATTTAGTTTTGCATTGGCAAGAAAAAGATGGAAGTAAAGCTTACATTATCATCTTGAACTTTTATGTGCATCGCTACACAACATAATTTATGTTTGACCCCTGAAGAAAATTTTTCTGTTTCTGTGCAAACACATTTCTATAAATCATTATTGTAGATGCCTGTGTTTGCAAAAAAAAAGGACTTTTTATACGGTCTGCGTGACCTGAAAATAATGAAAAATGGTTCAAGTCTGATTTCACTTTGTTTTGTTAATGCTTAACTGTGCTGATTTAGTCTTTCGTTCTTTTACGTTCTTTTTTGCACAAATGTATTTAGATAATACAGGATTGAGTACATGCTATTATTATGAAAAATGCAAAACTTTAATAAAATTCAAGCATGAAAAAGTGTAGCAGGATTGGATTCATTATCTTCATCCTTCCAGGAACTCTGTAAAGTTTCTTGATGCTTCACTCTCACGTCATTAAATACTTATGGCTTGAAGCTATCATTCGTGGTACTATAAAACCATTAAAAATATTAAACGAACTTGTAATAAAAACTATTCAACTGAAGAATAAAAAATATTAAAACTCTTTCAACTTATTCTACTTTTCATTACTTTATTTCAGGAAATAATTATGTGAAATTTTTCTCGTACAATGAATACTTATCTTGAAAAGAACAACTTCGGAATGAAAGTATCATCGCGGCAGTATACTCACTCACGTTAGGTTGCCATGTATGCCTCCATATAAAACCATAACGAGAAGATAAAAGAGAAAGGAAAAATCACAAAAAAGTATCGAGTTATTACATAAAAATTTGTCTGGAAACTTATCTGAAACAAGTCGTTCATCTTCGTCTCTAAAAGTTTTTATAAGAAAGTTTTGACGTCTGGAAAAAAGAGAAAGAAATTCAACATTAACAGTAAGCTTATCAAGAAAGTAATCGACCATAATTTGGTACTTTCAAAATTCAATCATCGTTCATAAAATGTATCTGATAAAAGCTTTGAATGAGCCATGAGGCATTTTTCTTTTATTATGAAGGGTAATTTATAAGCTATGATAAAGGAAATTGATTTTGTCGATGAGTGAGATTCATGGAAGCATTCAAATATTTAACTAACATTTAGAGGAACTCGTTTCATGTGTTGTGCACACTTTCAACAAACATTTTTAAATATTCTGCCTTTTGATGATTTAAATATTTGTTTATAACATTAAACTGTGCTTTTAAATAACATGAAAAGTTATGTTTGATTCTCATATGCACAATTTATAATGTGAAAGGAAAAACAACCGAACGAGGCATGAAAATATATTCCTACACACAAAAATAGCACACAAAAATATTTTCAAACTCAAAACCAAAGTTTTCCTCTCCCTTGATTCTCTTGTCCTGAGCTTTTACTCTCAATTTCAAGAGAGCTTTTAAAATTTCGCGAGAGTTGGCTCACCAACACATTCGCAGTTATTTGTTCAATGAAATAAAGAAAATGCAATTATTTCAAACTGGAAAAGCTCAAAGAAATTGTCAATTATTTTCATAAATATATTTGATGATATCAAGGCTTTTCCTTAGATCTTATAATTCAGGGTTTCAACTTGCTTTCAAATTATTAACGAACAGAAGAAAGCGTTAAATCGTCTCAAATCCCCGGTATCAATTTAAAACATAAAATGTGAAAGGTTCTAGCTAAAAACGAAAATACAAAATATCCTTGATTCTTTTTTGATCCTGTAAATTGTTTACATACCTACTTTAAATTAAACTTCAAAGAAAAACAAATTTTGTGCTTCTTTGATTTGTTATTTCTATTTTCGTTCATATGTAAGTACCTGAAGTTGTTGATTATTTATTGATGGCGGTGCCGGAAGTGGTCGCATTCTTGCAGCTGCCAAACGCAAACTTTGAACATAATCGTCATCATTGACTCTCAGATCATTGTCAGAAAAACGATTTTCATACATTCCCATGACATTAACGTGTTCGAAGCTGCTGGAAGTCATTTCACCAAATTTCGTTTCATTGCTTCTGCCCGATGGGTTTCTCGAGTACTTCATGCTGAAGCATTTGTGTGTTTGAAGCGGGGATTTTTCCTCGTGGAATTGATTTTGTTGACTTGAATGATGCTCGATGTAGTCATTGCTACGATATTTTTGGATAGGAATGAATTGATTGTCGTTCTCGTTACATGAACCAATTAAATCGCTTGACTTTCGACTGTTGAATGAATCAATGGAAGGATGAAATGCTTTTGAAGTTGGTGAAGTTTGTTGATTAAAGTTCTTCACTTTTCGTCTCTCATATGGACTCGCAGGTTTCGGCTTGGGACTAGTTTTAATGTAATACCAGTCGCTAAGCTGTTTCTGCTTGTTTACAGCTTGTTCATTATTATCATCTGCATTCACAACAGCTTCGTAATCGTCACTTTTATTACTTCGACGACTCATTGAATTGTTTTTATTGAAATCGTCATCGATTAAATTATTCAATACTTTGTAATTATTGTTAATTAACTCAAGTTGATTGACCAACGGTTTACGTTTAAGAGAATCCACGTTAATGATTTCACAACTCGAAATCCTAGTCATTGTACTGATGAGGTTTTGTTTCTGTTGGTGATAGTCTTCAGTCATCTTCAGTGTGTCTGATGTGCAATTAAATTTATCGAGCGATTCATAACTAGAAAGTGGAGCATGATAAGGAAGACGAACTGCATCCTCTGTCGATTGTGGATCTGAATTGAATGAATCGAATAAAGAAAGACATAAAAATATAAATGACTGTGAAGATTATTTCGGAATTGCGTGGGAGTTGCGCAAACATAAACTTCCAATTATGCCAACGAAGCAGACGAGGTAAGAAGAGAATTTATTGTGACAAGTCTTGGATTTAGTTTTGAATTATGCGAAGCCATTAAAATATTTGAGTCGACAAATTTATCAAATTAATCGCGCAACCTCTCAATTGAAAGTTCACAAGCGGCTCGTATTTTAAAATTTCATTCTAATTCACATCTTGTGAGTCACTCAATTAGATACAAACACAAACCTTGAAAACGGTGACTCCTCGTTGGTGACTGCGGACTATGCTGAGTCGAAAAGCTGCCTATGCTGACGTTGTCTAACAATCCATTAAGACTCATCGCATCTGTTGAACCGTTTGTTTGAGACACGACAATTGATGACGATGCAGCAGCAGATTTCTTCAATAAAGACTGGAAATGAATAAAAGTGAAAATTCTTTATTATTCAATAATAAAAATGATTCTTCTTCTCCTTTCTCAACAACGACAAGTCGCATTCAGCGAACGAGTTATTTATGATTTCATTTTATCTTTTGCTTGTTGATTGCAGCACTGAACCAACAATAGAAATCAATTTTTCTTCGCTTCATATCATATTTGTGTATGTCGCCAATGAAATTTCTGAGACGTGACTGAATGTCTCGTCGATTAGAAGAAAGTTGGAGTAACAGAAGCGAGTTCAATGTGATAAATTAGAAACATCTAAGGAAGAGATCTTACCTGCAAAGGTTCTTCGGACTCGTGAGACTCATCACTGCTGGAGAAACTTGACGACGAGTAATAACGATCGTAAAAGAATTTTGAACTTTTCTTATTTGGTCGTGACTTTGATGATGAGATCGGCTGGGGACTTGAACATCGTCTCTGAGGGATTCGAGCTCTGACAGGTATTCGTGATCGAAATGATGCCGACTTTTGGAGCTGTGACATGTTTCATGAACGGATGACGATGTTAATCGATGCATGAGAAGAAGATGAAGAAGCGATTTCATTTCCCTGAAATAAATATGAGAAGAATTGTCAGGCGAGAAATTTAAATTCGATCCCAACATCCAATTAAAAATTCACAAACTCCAAACATTAATGAAGATTGAAAACTCCACAAATCGAATCTCTGAAAAGTTTTCTCTTCATAAAAGTTTCATGTTCAAGATAACGACGGTTCAAATGATCATATCACTCTGTCAACTTGAAGCATTCGAGCCACTCGAGTCGTTGGAATCATGTGTGCGGTTGGAATCAATTTCAGCGTCAATCTCAGATTTCAGCTTCGTCAAAATGAAATAAATTTATAGAAAAAGGCTTTTCACTGCTTTAAATATCACGGGACAATTTCCAACACATATTTTATTCATTCTGCTTCAACCATTCTCTCATTTTCCAGATCCAACTTCTCGGCAATTTCAATTAAATAATCCCACGATGCTTTCTGCATTCAGAACTCATTTCAAGTTGATGTTAAAATCTATCAAACATTTCATGAAGAAACATTTTTTCTCAATTAAACATTTCCCAACATCTCAACTCAGACTCAGTTAAAAGACTCAAATTAACTTCCAAACATTCAAAAATGTGTGAAGATGAAAAGAAAGAAACAAAACTTTGTGATGTGTTCAGAAGTTTGTTTCAAATCTCGACTTCTGGGAATATCAAAAACGAAGAAGTTGCGACATCAGATGACGATTTGATTTCAAGAAACCAAGTCGTGTCGAACTTCTCGTACAGAACGAAATGTTTCTACTTTAAATTGTAAACTGTCATTGAGAAGCTTCAATGGAGCAGAAAATCAAGAGCTCGATTTAAATTTTTCGGCCATCTAATGATATTAAACTGTAATTCAATTACGTTCACTTCTCTCCTTCACTTTCCATCTGTCGACCAGAAACGCAACAATTTCAATTTCAATTCGAATCAATTTAATTGTTGGCAGTTGTCATCGACATACATTCATTACGATGAATAATTGCATCGTTTTTAAAGTGAAAATTTGCAAACGTCAATTGCCTTCTGTCGATTTATTAACGAGCTGAAAAGTTTTTTATTTTATTATTTTTAATGTCGTTTCCTACTTTCGAGTGGTAACATTTTAAGATTTAATTGATTGAAGACAATTTCAAATGAGTGGAAGTCGCAAAGGGAATCGAAAAATCTTCTTCCGCTTTAATGATTCATTCCGAGACCATCAACATCATTAATTTAGTTCGGTGATTTTTAACTCGAATAATTAACAAAAAACCGATGAAGAAAACCTTGAAGTAGCCGCAATCATCTTCTTGAAAATTCGTTTTTACGAGTTTTGGCGAAGTTTCATTATTCACAATCTGCGAGTTATTGAGTTTTCCCTTGACTCGAAAACATGTTCTATGAGAAATGAGAAAGCAATTTATGCCATGAATAAGTGAGCAACAACACTTGATTTGATATGAATTTCAATTCAGTAGTGCGAAGTGTTCTGTCTCACATCACAATTATTTCTTGTTGACCTTCATTTTATGTTGTTATAAAAGATTCAACAAGCGAAACTGGAATGACTCACCAACATCATCTGAGTGTTGAATAATTTTCGTTCTAACTTCTCTCGTTGACTTTGTTTATGTTTAAAACTGAAAAGTGCGACTTAAAGTCGAAAGCTGATATTCGATTTCCATTTATCAGACTTAAGTCGAAGGGAAAAGCAAATTGAACGTCAAAGAAGTCTTTTGGAAATTGAAAGACTCAGTAAGAAATAGAAATTCAATTAAGTTTGACAGTTGACGTAACATAAGTGAGACAAGCGAGTCAAAGGAGTTAAAAGATTCATCTGACACTCTACGATTGGCGCTATGGACGGAAATGAGTTGAACATTATGGTAACAACGTTGAACAATGAACAAAGAGAAGCTTCTGTATCTGTTGAATCATCAGTGAAGTTGCTAATAAAATGGGACGCAATCAGTGCCGCCAGACTTGAAAATCTTTTCTCATTTTGATTTTATTAGTTTTTGTTCTGTTCGCGGGTCGATGGCGGAATTAATGAAATGCTTACGATTAAAAGCAACCTGAATAACGAACGTGAACATGAAAGAAACTAGATTCGCTTTTTTCTGATCGAGATTCCTACACAAATGGCAATAACAACAAAAATCCAATTTTACAGCACGCTCGCTTGAGACAACGGATCGCTTGTAACTTTGTTTGTCGCTCGCGGAGTTTAATGAACTGATTTTCATGGTCACAACTCTCATGACTCTCATGACTTGACCAAAATTTCAAGCGATACTTTAATTGCTGCTTTCTTCGAGTCGCTTCATAAATTACTCACAAGTCGAAACCAAATCCCGTTACGTTCTCCAATCAACTTCAGCTTCATCTTCATCTACGAAGATTGAAAAATATTTTAGAAAATAAAACAATTTTCTAGTTCATCATAATTGAAGTTGTGCAAATGCCCAACATGAATGTTTGAATATTTAGAAGAGAACGAAGTAGAGATAATTGAGGGCAGAGCTCAACTACGACTCGTTCGTCGTTGGATATAATGAGTTGTGCATATCAGCACTGAAATGATAACAAGACGGAATAGTTGTTGATAAAACTGCATTTGTTTGGTTGTGTGAATGCGTCATACGAAAACTTCTTCGTTTATTTCTTATCAATGGAAACATGAATCATTTGTGTCGCTTGCGTTTTATCTTTGACTTCATTCTTCATTTCAAAGTACGATTTATGCTTCATTAAACAGGTGCCGATGACATCAATCCCACATGATTATAATTGAGGTTCACTGGCATTAAGATGTCGTCTCTTGTTTCATTCCCACTGACAAAGACGATTCAAGACAAAATGCAATCGACAAAAGCGACAAGTTTTCGTCATCAATTAAATTAGAAATGTTGTGGGCAATAAAATAAAATTTGTTAATGTCGAATTTATTCACTTAAGGAGTGAAGAAGCGATTGCAATAAATCCAACAAAGCCAAACGTTGGAAACGTGTCGGAAGCAACACAAAATCTATGCTCGAAATTAGAGAGTAATCATCACAATTTTGTAGTCACACTCAGAAGACAAACAAACAAACAAATGAAAGAATTCTTATCGAAACAAATTACATTCCTTCATTCTCCCCCACAAGCCACAACACGCGTTGCTTCCAACTAAATTAAATAATTAACATAAAAATGCTTCCCGTCTCATATTTATTCATTCATTCATTCGAACAACTCATCACAAGACAAGAGAGTTATAACATTTACTAGTTATTAATAGAATCGGAATCGAATCTGAAATCGAAGACGCACATTTGGAATTCCTTCTCAAGCGAATAAAAAACGAGAGAATTCTGTTCTTTCTTCAAGGGCCTTGAAGAATTTTGAATATTTTAATAATTGAAAGGAAAGGAAAGAGAAAAAAATTATTTATGTTTATGTTGTATGCTGTGTGAACATTCATCAGTGAGTATCGGGGATATTTATGTAAAATGAATTGAGAACATGGTTTACATCTATTGAGCGATGGAAATTGTCAATCCACAGAAATGGAAATGAATTGATTTCCTGTCCATTCAGATGAATTCGACTCTTGATTGTATAAACATTTGCAAAGTGAAGTCAAATAATTCAAATATCATACTCAAAACTATCGACAGTTGTAACAACCTGAATTCACTCGATTGTTTATTAGAAACAGAAGTGCTAAGTAATGATTGAGGTGCAGATTGAAATTCCGCTGAGATTCGTTGGAGAATGCGTTTCGATTGAAGTTCAATTTAAACTGTAAAATTAACGTGCGCGCTTCTAATTTCAATAATTAAACAAAACTCAGAAAATAAACGTTGAGAGAAATTCCAAAGCAAGCACTTTACCTACAACACTCGATGCGGGTTTCTCAATTTAATTTAATTAGACTTCTACTTTGCTTCTGCTTCTTCTTTCTCATACAACATAAACATCGAGCATTGGGAGTTGCAGAGGCAAAAACAGAAATCAACAGAATAAAACTCACCATTTGAAGAAGATATTTTGTTTCTTAATCCAATTTACTGCTTCAAATTACACCAACTATCCGATTCAGAGTATAATTCGCCGGCTTTTGTTTTAAAGTTGATCATAAAGATGAAAGCGAAAAGAAACTTAACTTGGCAAATGAAGCTCAATGAAAGTTGAGTGAAAATCTTTTCGCTCTCATTTGCACCACAACAACAGATTTGAAATATTTTGTAGCAATAAAAACTGTTGGCTTTTCAATTTCGATTTCTTTTTTTATTTTTATCTTCGATCTGCCTTTAAACTTTTTAATTAAACTATCATAAACTGTAGATTTCCCACTCGTCCCTTGAGGGATTTGTCGGGAATTTTCAACTTTATTCCGTTCAGTTTCGATTTTAAATCACAAGTCGAGAAAATATTTCATTCCACATTCAACATATTCTCGTTTCTCACTGGCACAATGCACTTCATCTCGTTGCATTGGCCATAAATTAAAGCTCACAAAGTTTTTATGAAAATCAATTTATTTTCACTTCTCTGGCCAACAACGAAAACAACTTTAACTTAGTGGCGAGTAAAAAAATTCTTCTGCTCTATGAACTTCACTTCAGTCACAAATTGATTTATGGAAATAAAATTCCAGACATCAGATGAGAGTTTGGTAAATCGTCATCGAATATTATCGAAACATTTGATTTATTTTCACTTCTTTAATCTTTTTTATCAACTGATGGTCGATTGAACTTTTTCTGTATTTTTTTTGTCCAACACAATTATTCACTTAAGCTTCGTAATCAAAAAATTGTTCCAATATCCATTTATTTCGAATTTACAATATTTTGAAGAACTCAATTTTCAGCAAAATATTTATGACCTACAGTTAATATTGGCCAACAAATCATTCTACTCACATTCGATTAAAATTCCGATTTTACACTTTATAATAGTTGTTTTCATATCCGCAAATTAAGTTGAGCTAATTTTGTTTATTTTTCTTCTTTTTGCACAATACTATTACATTTAAATTGCTTTGAATTTAAACAAAAAACAGACAACATGAACTGAATGCGCAATTTACTAAAACACGATGCACATGCGTAATACTTGAAAGATCGCGCACAACTGAAACTTATTTTTCTCTGATCACGACTTTAAATTTTTACTCTCTTTCCTCTCTTTATAGCAAATGAGCAAGAAATGAGAGAAGATAAAGAACAAGAAGAAGTTTAAGAAAGATTTATGCAACTTTGATCTTGATCATTGAAAACGATTTTTACTTATTTAATTAAATATTACGTAAGATTGTGAAATTAAATGTTAATCAATTGTAAAACATTTTAGTACCCGAAATAAATGAAAAAACTTATTGATATCCAAAAACCAACCATGCTTTTCAAGATTTCGATGGTGTGTAATCATGTTTTGAACATAAATTATTACGATACAAAACGACCCTTAAATATTCTTTTGTTTTTCTTAAAAAAACGAAACTTGATATCGCTTGAAACCTTTTGATTCGAGATCATCAATTGTCTATACAAAATTTTGTTTGAACAATTTTATAATGGAAAAGCATGAAGATGTTCTAACGTTCGGAAACATTTGTTTAACATTCTTCAACAACCGAAGTCGAGCAAATAAATTCAATGAATTCAGTTGTGCAAACAAAACATCTCCGTATCGGAAATTCGTTGGAAGCTGTTTCAACGCTACAACAACAAAAGGAAATCGGGAAATTGTTCGCTTTAAATGCTGTTCACTTTGAGCGTAAAACATAATTTACGGATATATGTGGCACTCGAATGATAAAATTTTAGTTCTTTCCCTTTCTCAATGTTACAAACCATCAAATAGTAGATATTTGACAAACATATGGAGCAGTTTGTAGGGCAAAAATGGCAAACAAGTTCATTGGAACGAAACATTAATTGGATTAAAATACGTTTAAAAATCTCTACCTGCAGCTTATCAACAATTTAATTGGACTAACAGATTTCTCTTTGAATTTATCCTTTAAAATACTGGATTAAAATTGAAACACAAAATAATGAAATGATTTAAGAGAAAATTTATGAAAAAACATTTTTTTGACTTTAAGTTGAATTTTTTGCAATCATTTGAACATAGAAAAAAAATATTTAATGAAATAAATCACTCAGTTCTACACCATAACACTCTAACAAAGATAAATGTTTCGATAAAAATAAGAGCTTATAAAAATTATTCTTGACAAACTTATAATAAAAAACAAAATAAAGTTCATCCATCACAAAGTCAACTTATTTTTATCATCACAAGAAACCTCGCAGCGATACATTGAGAGATCCTGAACGAGAACATTAACACATGGTGCAGAGAGTGTTGGATGAACACTTAAATCATTTGCCTCCAGCACTGCTTTTTTGTTTGCATAGAAACGTCGAAAAGCTTTGGCATTCAGTAAGTTTTGTGGTGTAAGGGAAACTAATGTGTTGTTCTGAAGTGAGAGATTTAAAAAATAATTAAAAATGCTTTTGTTTTTAAGCTTTTGAGTGTTACCTGTGAAATTCCATAAAATTGTCTGATGGGATTATATGTAATGAACTGATAGCCGGTGTTCTGTGCAGGTATAAAGTAACCTCGAATAGAATAAGGTTGATTTTCCACAACTTTCACGCTTCCTTTTGGTTCAGTGAATGTACGAAAAACAACACGAGCATTGAGAAATTGTTTAACAAGCATCTCTTCTGGCTTCTCTTTTGTATCGTCAAAAATCTCATCAAAAGTCTTTTCTTTGTTTCGATGGTTTTCCTAAAAATCAAATTTTAATTTTCCTTCTTCAATTATACTAAAGTTTTACTTACTTACAAGTTTAGAAAGTGATTCGTGACTTTCTNACTCAAAACTATCGACAGTTGTAACAACCTGAATTCACTCGATTGTTTATTAGAAACAGAAGTGCTAAGTAATGATTGAGGTGCAGATTGAAATTCCGCTGAGATTCATTTGGAAATGCATTTCGATTGAAGTTCAATTTAAACTGTAAAATTAACGTGCGCGCTTCTAATTTCAATAATTAAACAAAACTCAGAAAATAAACGTTGAGAGAAATTCCAAAGCAGGCACTTTATCCAAAATACTCGATGCGGGTTTCCCAATTTAATTTAATTAGACTTCTACTTTGCTTCTGCTTCTTCTTTCTCATACAACATAAACATCGAGCATTGGGAGTTGCAGAGGCAAAAACAGAAATCAACAGAATAAAACTCACCATTTGAAGAAGATATTTTGTTTCTTAATCCAATTTACTGCTTCAAATTACACCAACTATCCGATTCAGAGTATAATTCGCCGGCTTTTGTTTTAAAGTTGATCATAAAGATGAAAGCGAAAAGAAACTTAACTTGGCAAATGAAGCTCAATGAAAGTTGAGTGAAAATCTTTTCGCTCTCATTTGCACCACAACAACAGATTTGAAATATTTTGTAGCAATAAAAACTGTTGGCTTTTCAATTTCGATTTCTTTTTTTATTTTTATCTTCGATCTGCCTTTAAACTTTTTAATTAAACTATCATAAACTGTAGATTTCCCACTCGTCCCTTGAGGGATTTGTCGGGAATTTTCAACTTTATTCCGTTCAGTTTCGATTTTAAATCACAAGTCGAGAAAATATTTCATTCCACATTCAACATATTCTCGTTTCTCACTGGCACAATGCACTTCATCTCGTTGCATTGGCCATAAATTAAAGCTCACAAAGTTTTTATGAAAATCAATTTATTTTCACTTCTCTGGCCAACAACGAAAACAACTTTAACTTAGTGGCGAGTAAAAAAATTCTTCTGCTCTATGAACTTCACTTCAGTCACAAATTGATTTATGGAAATAAAATTCAAGACATCAGATGAGAGTTTGGTAAATCGTCATCAAATATTGAAAGCACATTCACATTTCTCTACCAAATGCTGTTGCCGCTGCTTTTGTAAACACAATAAGAGGTCGATTAAATTTTTTCTTCCTTATACTTTATTTATTATTCACAATCACTTCATTTGAACGCTCGTGATATCGATTCAACAATTAAATATTTGTTTTTGATCAAATTATTGAATTTAATCACGTCACGTATGAATTTTATAAGAAAAGTTTTTTGTTTATAAAGTTCATTAACGTCATATCCGCGATTAATTTTCGTGCTTCTTAACATTTTATTTGTTGAACTTGTTAAAACACATAAACATTCAAAGGTTATGAAATAAGATATTTATTTAAGACGAGATATTCGCATCAGACTTTAATTCAAGCAATGATGGCATGCGCGATGGTGTAACGATCATGAGCGACTGATTTCTCTTCTCACTGATCAAAATCAAGGGGCAGATCATGGTAGTGCTTCTGCCCGCTGCCTTCAAGTGATGCTTCGAAAATCACTAGTGCTTTTCAAGAAAAATGGCCTTTTTCCAAGAATTTGTTTACTTTTTCTTGGAATTTGTCTAGTGCTTCAATGCAGCAATAGTGCTTTTGCCCTCCAATTTTTTCCGATGATCTGCCCCTTGATCAAAATTTTAATTTTTTACTCTCTTTTCTCTCACGGAATTTTTATAGCAAATGAGAGAATTTTTTCATGATCTGCTTCTTGATCAGGATCAAGGGGTAAATCATCGGAAAAAATTGGAGGGCAAAAGCACTATTGCTGCATTGAAGCACTAGACAAATTCCAAAAAAAAGTAAACAAATTCTTGGAAAAAGGCCATTTTTCTTGAAAGGCACTAGTGATTTTCGAAGCATCACTTGGAGGCAGCGGGCAGAAGCAGTACGATGATTTCCCCCTTGATCAGGATGGATCGTGAATATCTGGTCTTGTATTGCAAACACATGTTCAATATTTGTTTAAGCTTGTTTATACATGCTGAATAATTTCTTTGGGAAGGAATCCAACAAATTCCTTCTCATTCATATTGGTCGACAAATCAAAATTAATTGAATATGAAAGGAAGTGAGGAAATGAAATTCATTCAATGACCAAATCAATTTTATTTACTTGTATCGTCATCGTCCTTGAGATCCAAACAGAATTTATCATCGTTCAGTGAACATTTCGTGATTGCTTGTTCATGATTTAACACCGTTTCAGATAACATAAGCAGTGAACTTTGAGCTGCTGTGTCTGCTCCAATCTCTGATCGACAAATTGATTGTCTAATTGCAGTTTTGATGTTCAACGACGATGAATTGTCGAGGGTTAATAAACTCTGAAGTGATGTTCCATCCTCCGACAACAATAGGAACGTTTTGTTGACATCGAAATCAGGGAAATAATTGGAAGTGTTGCGTGGTGATAAACCAACGTGAAAATCTCCATCAGAAATTTTTTCCGATTCACTTGTTAAGCTGAAAATAAACACAAAAATTAAAATGAAATTTTGTATTTAAAAACTTTTGTTAACATCATTTGTGGACAAATTCGAAGCCATTTTCCGAAATGTTTGCGGAACACTTCAACCCTCAGTGAGAAATGAATAAAAGGTGAAGCCAAGCGATAAACAGAAAACCTGGAAAAGAACAAAAATAAACAATTCATTTACCATTTCGTTGAACGAATGTTCGCTTACCTTTTGCCTTTAATTGGTTCTTGTTTCATTTCAACTTCAGAGTTTCCATCTGTTTGATTATAGTTGTTCGATGTTCTTAAAGCTGCATCGTCATCATTGATGAGATGAAATCTCTTGAAACGCTTTTCCGTTTGTTCTGAGTTTACTTCCTGCTTTGCATTCCGATTCGGTTTAAAGCTTTCCTCTTCCACCATCAAATTAGGATCGTCTTCCTTATCCGGCACAAATTCGTCATAAAAATCATCTACAAATGATTGAAATTGAGTTTTTGTTATAAGAAACAGCAGACTGAAAGGACTTCAACATGGAAGGTTCATGACACCATGTGGTGTCTCTAAATTACTTTCAATAATCATTTCATTCATTCGATTCTCATCTTCCGCATCTTTTTCAACTTGAAAGGATTCCATTACTCTATTATATGATGAATAAACATCATAGCGAAACTTTTCTATGTTTATGCTCTGAATATTCTTCATATTTTGTGCTCTACTTACAAGTCAATAAATGAAAATATTTCGAATCTTGTTTCTTTTGAAAATTTTATTTAGTTTCATGTCGGACGAAGTGGTGCAAGTGAATAATATTATCAAATATGTTTTCTCTTGTGTTTTCTTTACATTATGCAATGTTATTCAACAAGATGAATGGTACATTTGTAATGCAATCTTAACATATTTATATAAACAATTTTCTTTCCTTGTCATCATGTCTACCTTGTTTTATAAATACATACGATTTCCACTGAATATAGCATCATACAAGAGAAGCTTATTCATAAAATCTTTCCTCCCATATCATAAAATAAATTCTATAAAAGATAATAAAATTTAAAAGGACTGAAAAATGTTTCAATTTGTCTTTATAGCCATAAAATTTCATCACAATATTGTTTGAAAGTTTGCTATGTTTAGAAAGTTTATTTAATAGCTTTTAAAATGTCAATTTAATTTGAATAAATGTTTCCTATCCTCGTTTAATTAGATGTTGGGCTTAATTAACAATCAGAAAGTTAATTAACTTCAGAGTTTCAATGCCAACCGATACTAGTAGGATAATAAGAATCTGGACATGTTTGTGGCCTTTTTCATTCGTAATGCTTATCGATAAAATGTTCAATGTTCACGTCCATTGTTCAATAGAAGCGAGAGAGGTTGAAAGCTTGGAATTTAATCAAATTTCATTTCCACAACAACCAGAAAACATTACGCAGAACATAACAATACCATCGAAGTTATCTGATACCATTCGAGAAAAATAAGAGAAGCTAATTTACTTTTATGTGTTTCCCTGAGTTGTTTTTGTTTTTTTTGCTTTCATCATTTCCGTTTTCTATTTTTTTTTCTTATGCTTCCCCTACGTAACGACATGAAATCAAACTTTTTAAAAAGCTCTTGCAGAAAAGCTTCTCAAATTTCCATGAAAGCTAAATATAAAATTTTAAATATTTTTACAAAGATATCTTCGTTTAGCTTTAATTTCTGGAACGTGAATAAATGTTTTTCTCCAAATAAAAAGTAAAAAGCATAACAAAACGTCTTGCAAATGGCACAAGGGTTTTCAACAATCCCCATGAATTTATTACCACGGAAAAAGGAAGAAATATTTGCAAATGAAAACTTCAAGGATTCGTTTTGGTTTTATTTATCGATGTGTGAATTAAACGAATTGTAACAGCATACGGCAAGTGTTTCACATCAATTACATTCACTCGCAAACGCGAGTGTAACGAACTTCTTATTCGACTTTTCTACATCAACAGTTGAGATTGTTACACGAGAAAAAGAAAGAATTTTTCAGTCTTCAAAAAAGTGTAAAACAAAAAACAAATTTGAGCGTGATGGCACGTTTGGTGGATGCTTTAATGTAACATCAAAATATGATTTCATTGTAATGGAAAATGCTTTTACCATTCACTCACTTCGCTTCCCTTTCTCTTCTTGCGACTACTTACGTACGACTACGAGTTTTGTTTAGGGAACAATATTCTTTCTTCATGATATTTATTTCTCCTTATTTCTTGCTTGGAAGTGAAAGAATGTAATTGATGTTTTTAATTAAAATTAAAGACTCTTTATTAAGTAAAGGGAAACAGAAAGAGAGAGATAGAGAGATGATTTTTTAAAATGTGATTAACGTGTTAAAATGAAAGTCAAGATAAATGCCAAAGTGATGAAGTGCACATTAATAATTATGAAAGACGTAAAAGAAACTTCTGTCTTGAATGTTTAAAGATTTTCCTATTTTTTCTACAATCATCGATAGACATTCATAAATTCGAAGAAAAATTACAAAGAAATTCTTTAAAAATTCCAATCTTGATTGAGGAAGGAAGAAAATTTCATTAAAATATTTATGAATGTCTTCGAGAATATTGTCTCGGGATAAAAGGAAACTTCAAGACATTGACAAGAAAAGCCAAAGAAAACTATTCTGACAAAAAACTCAATTTTCCAGAAAGGAAAAAATAAATAAATATTTTCTACTGCCAAGACTAACACCAAGATTATAAATTAAAGTAATTTATTGACAAAGTTTTTTGGTAAGTTTTCCAAAAAAAATGACAAAAAATCGTTTTGTTAACCTCAAGTCTTATTTTTCCTAAACTGTAAGCAACAGTAAGTTGAGTTAATTTATGTTTTCCTCTTATCTCATCTCTTGTTTCACTCCCTCATTGGCTTTTTCTACTGAATGCTGAAGTTAACAATGGTTAGAAGAGTTCTGCTTTAAGATACTGAAATATTAATTAAGGAATATCTCCTTTGGATATTATTTAGGGTTTTCTACGTCTTCGTTAATTTTCATGCTTCAACCATCATAAACATTCGCAAAGAATTTCAAATTTCTAAACTGAGAGATGATTTAATTAGTAAAATGGAAAATTATGACTCAGAGGAAGATAATGTACCGCTGTTAAAAACTTTGGCAATAATTTTGTTTAATTGATGTTAGCGTCAAATAAATGAAGTGGAAAATATTGAGAGGGAGGGGGCGGCTGGTGGAAATGGAAGAAGCTTTCAAGAGTGTTTAGAAATTGCTTTGTTGTCAAAAACACCACTTTGAAGATATTGTGAGTGAATCTTGCTGGGATTGTTTTCAAGGCTTTCAAGTAGAGATATGAAAGCTTAAGGAGATATCCGAAAAAGCTACTCAATAAGAGAAAGCAAATATTTATAGTAGCATGATAACTGAAGAGAGAGGAATTCTTTCAACCACAAATCTATCCGACACCTGTCAACATCACGTCGAAGACAGACGAAAAACAAATGTGCGTATATATGAGTGCTATGGTTCAGAATATCCAATTACCCTTTTTTCCCTCCCAGTAATCCCCGCAAATTGATATTCAAATGGAAGAACTTTTCCTGCGTCTTATCTCCCCTGAAGCTTTTAATACAATTGTTCACTTAAATTGAATAAAGCTGCTGTTTTAAAACATTCTAGGGAGAAAAATGAAATCTTTATTTTACTGCCTTAAATTCTCACCTCGTTATTCACTTTAAAAAGCTTCTGTTTAGATGAATGTTAGGAACTTGAAAATCCTTTAAGTACGTCTAAGTCATGTTTTTTTACGGAAAATTCGACTTATAAGTTAAAACTCCATTTGGAAAAGTGTGTAAAATTCGTTTTATGATAGCATCAATAGCTGTTAAGCTAGTTAGAATCGATACAGTAGCTTAGTAACGACGTCTTATATATTGAGAGTAAGCGGAGTAAGCGAAGATACTGATAACGATGCTTAATGAAAATAGCAGACATTTTCGTCTTCGTCATCGTGAAAAGTCGTCAACAAGTTAATTTACATTCAAACTTCATCATAGTAAGTATATGAAACTGTTATCTCATTGTTCCCATATGATTTTATTATGCAAATTTTCAAGCCAGAGAGCATAACAATTTTTCAAAGTGTTAGACAAAGTCGTGGTATAATCTGGAAATGAGATATTCTCGGTGAAGTGAAATGAACTCAAACAGAATATTTCATATGCTTGATGAATTACTTTTCTTCCTTGTTGGAATTGTGTAATTGCAAAGTTAAAACTTGTAGGCGAACATTAAATAGAATTCTCTTAAAATTAATGTTCGCCTCAATGTTATGTAATTAGTCTAGCTGGTAATTTAATTATTATACAAATCTGTTTGCTCTTTCTGTTTTTTTTAATACTCACATCTGCTTTTCTATTATGACTTCACGATGAGTTATTCACCACATTAAGTGTGCCTTTTGAAGTTTGAAGAGATTAAAGAGATCTGGAAAATAACATGATGTAAAAAAATAATTCGACTTAACGGCAACGAGTGAATGAAAAGAATTCTCATCAGTTCTGTTTCTAAAGGATTTTCTGCTTTGCCATTTCATTTTTATTCATTCATAACAATTGTACAATATACTTTCTTTCAACAAGCTTGAACATCATAATATATAATATAAATCCTCTGACAACCGACATCTTTCATTTTTCATCTCTTTCAATTTATGCTTGCGTATCACAGAGACAACTAATTTAAACAGATCTCTTTCTTCGTAAAAGGTTTTTCAACTACGACAACAAATTTACTAAATAGATTCAAAATCTCTTCAAGACTAAAGGATTCTTTCTTGTTTTCTAACTCTGAGAAACTTCACTTGCCTAATTTAATTTTAACGACTCTGAAATTGTTAAATACTTAATACTGTTCTTTCTAGGTCTTTTGTTACTAACTTTCAAACAAAAAAAATTGAGATTTAAGTGTGAGAATTTCATTTTTCCCTCGGTTACGTGTATAGACCCTTGAGATGTCTCTTTCATCTTTTCCTCGCTTTAAACATTATTTTGCTTTCACTTGAGGAAAAATTGAACGAAATTCTCAAACATTTCGGACTTGGCAAACTTTGTTTTTGTTTTTCATCTTAGCTTGTTGTTGTTACCTTTCTTATCTTCATCAAAAGAAGAATTTTGTTTGTTTTTGTTTTTGATAAGGATGATGAGAAAAACAAATTTGAATCAGATATCTAATAGACGTTTTTAAAGTTTAATTTCATCTCTCATGTTGTCAATAATATCTATCAATATATCTTTCATGTGTCGAAACTTGTGAAAAGACTTCGGGACGTTTATGTCTATCTTTTTCGTTATCTTTTCCTTAAAATGACATTCCATACCAGGATTAACTTTTAGGAAGAAAAAAATCTTCTAGAAATTCAATTTCAAAGATAATCTAAAAAATTTTCCTTTCTTCTCTATCCAACTTTAGAAAGAAAAAAACATTTTCTTTTATTGCTTTTCATTTTATCACCATGAAGGAAGTGCTACAGTCTAAAGCGCATGGAAATTCGTATAAAGCTTGCTTAATGTTACATACATTCCATTATTTAAAGCATCACATTTCACTAGTAGTTTAAACGTTTAAAAATTATGCAAACAATGTGAGTTGAGGAATCTTTCATACACTCAGTTGGAAATATTTTAGCTTTTTTACAACAGCAACCAAACCCAAGATAAGAAGCTCTACAAACATCTATGTGAAAATCATGTAACAACCGGATGAGAAGGTAAAAGAACTGAAATTGCTTTCAACCAAAAAAAAAAAGAAAGAAAGAAGAACTTCAACAAACGAATGTGTTTCCAAAGCTTTTTTTAATGGTTGAAAGAGTGTCGAGAATTGGCCTTAAAAAAAGGCGCATCAGTTGATACGATGAAATGAGAGAAATTTAATGTCGAACATAAACATTAATCTCAATTTTCCTTTCAAACATGAGTAACAGAATTTTTTTGGGACTTTCAAACACTTTTTCTCTCATTGTACCATTATTAAAGGCTTTTTTTTGCTTTAACGCCTCTCGCTTTCCGTTATTCTGTTATCAGACAGCTTATTTTCACATACAAAATGTACAAAAATTCTGCCAACAAGCAAACAGTGAAACCTTTCTTCTTGTCTGCCATGCCATCCTTCAATTAAATATGTATTCGTGACTGGCATATCGCATACAAACGAACAGAGCATGAAGAAGTAGATATTTGCATGGTGTCAGATGGGAACAATATAAAAAAAAGGTTTTAGGATGAAGCTTCATGAGAAAGACTGATAAGCTATCTTAAGGGACACTTTCGTGCACAGTAGAGAACTGTTTTACATCTTCGATTTGAAGGTTTGACGTCTTTTGAGGCTTATCGCCATTGAGAATACTTTATTGATATTGGAACTAACCGAAGTTTTGTTATTTTTTCATCCGTGAAGTTGAACTTGATATTTCAAGGGATTTGTTGAGTTTTATTTATGTTTTGAAGAAACTATTGAATCTAAGTTACAATAACTACACATTTTTGGTCTCATTTAATCTTTCTCATGTGTCTGTTGGGGATTTTTTTTTGTTGCTTTCAGGAAGTTTTTTTATAGTGCAATAAAAATATTTTTTTCTTTATCTCTTTCACGTATTGCTATTAGCTTTAATTAATTGTAGATAAATTTTCTGCTATAAAAATATCTTTTTCAATTCATTTATTAGGTAAAACTCCACCCACACACAATTTTAATGCTTTTGTGAGTAAATATAAAATGAAGACGGATAATTTAATCCAAGATTTAATCCTATCAGCTTCTACTCTCTAAAGGACACTCAAAGTTTATAATGCCAGTAAATTCCCTAAATGGAGAACAATTTTCTACCACTTTTTAATGTCGTTTTACGTTTAAGGGACGAATTTTTATTTAATTTCATTGGGAAGTGTTTGGACAACCTTAAGATTAAGAAACTGACTGAGAGAGTTTTCTTCAAGTAGATTCCCGTCTGTGGGTTTACAAAGTTTCATTCTTTCTTTATTTCTCATCTAATGAATCCTTTCAATTGTTTCTTTTTCCGAATCTTAAATGCAGCAAACGACATCGTTGTTTACGTGAAATTATTAGATACTAAACCTTGTCGGGTCATAAACCTTTTCTTAATTGATAAATTCATCAATCAACATTAGACTTGTGTTCGTGTATATTGTCATTCTGTAAATTTATGAATTTTTTTTCCACTGTCTGCCTCGCTTCGTTGTTATAAGTACAAAGTTTTTTTAGCGCCATAAATTCTTATTTTCAGATCTTTTTTTTCTCGTGTTCATTATTTGGAAAATGCTTCACTTTATGCCACCGCAAATCTGTCATCAATCAAACATAAGCTGCTTTCACTCCCCTACCAGATTCCGCAATTTTGAATGAGACGGAATGTTGAACCATATTGACACTGGAAATGTTGACTCGCTGTGCCGCCTTGCGCTATTAGCCAGAACAATCTGTAAAGGTGCGAAAAGAATTTTATTACAATTTTTCTTTAAATATTTATTCGCTAATTTTGATGGATTTTGTTTGTTTTTATCTTTCTTTGCCTTACATATCATGAAAGTCTTCTGAGTCTGTTTTAATCCCTTCATATTGTGACTTTGAACACAACTCTTGAGCCGTCACGAGAAAGAAGATTTGAGTTGATGACAGATTCAACCCAGGCAGACGTTCCATAGCTTTGGAGCCACTCAATGTCAACATAGAATGATAAGCGATTTGCATACCACCCGATGTTATTAACAATTCCATTCGACTTGCGTTGGAGAAATGTGAGAAGACCTCAACAGCAGTTGGAACGCATCGCATCGCTTTATCTTCAAAAGCTTTCGTGACGCTTCGTAATATTTCCTTTGCAATGGATGTTCCAACTGTTGAATAATGTAAGTAAGGCGGAAGATGTGGATGGAAGTAAGGGACTAGAATTAATGATAATGGCACGACTGAAATGAGAAATAGAAAGAGAAGAAAATAAAAGAAGTTTCATTCCGATCAAAAAGCGAAGATGAGAGGGAAAAATAACAAGACACTTCATACCAATTTTATGGCTGAGTGGATCATAAAATGCTTTGGAAATGGTCGGATAAGCCCACGTTGTCTGACTATCGATCGTGATGTTCTCTACGGTGTATAAGCCGCGTTGATCGTAAATCCGCAAGACATTCTCAAACCAATTATCCGAAGTTATTTCCACCTATAAATCACCATCAAGATTGTTCTGGATTAATCAACATAAATGTGAGAAAATAAAAAAGAAAAATTTTCACCTCATCGAGCTTTGCAAGTGCTTCAGTTTTGTTGAGAATTAATGGCGGCCATGGCTCAGCTTGAAATTTCAGACTTGCTAGTCGCACTAGTGCTGCTCCTCGAAGCGATGGTGCACGTTTCAAATGTGCCTTTAGTAAATCAAACACAACACTTGACTGGAATATATAATCAAAAAATAAAGAAAGCTTTAATCATCTCACTTACAACATATCAAGCAATTATATTGGGATTTCTCTTCTTTCTCCCTCATGTACGCATCTCTGTCATCTCTCAGAGCAACTGAATCATTAGGAATGTTATCTTGAAGCAATTTACTAATTGAAATTCTAGCTTCCAATTGCAAGTATTCGTTTTAATTTAACAACAAAAAATACATAAAATTGAAAATCAAATTAAATGAAAAGTTGATTTAGATTCTTTTCTAATTTGAAATCTGAAGATTTGTTAAGAAGAAGTCATTGAGAATTCTCTTAATTAATTGCCTTCAAGACACAAAAGAAAATCAATTTAATTTTGTGCTTTTCATGGCTGGTAAAAATCTAGTACTACGCGAAGATTTCATACAACAATTAACCCCTCAATGTTGGTATCATCTCTTTGACAACCTTGAACAATTTTGTGTATGTTAAAGTTGTTTAACTTGTTGCTGTATATTTATTCCATTTAATTAAACGTGATATCAATGAACATAAAGATTTTCCAAAAGATTCAAAAGTAGACAAAGATACAAGGAATATATAATTCAACTAAAACTTGCCAAACCCAAAAGTTAACAAGAACTCCTTTGAAAAGGAAGAAAAAAAAACTTGTTTTAATTTCTTTCTATCCCGTTTCCTGAATAAATTATCATGTTAATGAAGAGTCGAGAATGAAATAAAATGAAAATGTAAATTCTCCGTTGATGTTTCTTCTGTATCTGGCAAAAGGGAAAAGTTTTTTGTCTTTTTTCTTTTCACTTCATAATTTTCCTATTGTTTTTGAAATTAGATATAAGAAAGACAAATGCTCTAGATTTAGTGAAACAACAGTTTGGAAATGGCAGCAAGTCTGTGAATGCCTTTTCTTTGTGGTTTTTCTGGCTTTCATGTCTCGAATGAATAATTTATGAAGTAAACTTCTTGCCAGATAATTTAACAAATTAAATGAACAAGAATCGCTTCTGTTGCTAGTGTTTGCATGATGATATTGTTCAAGAATTCTCTTGTCTCACTTTTATCCATGAAGTCATTGAAGGAAACAAGTTTGTTCAAACGAACGATAGATGGTGACAAGACATGAGAGAAGTTAGAAAGACTTTTAATTGTACTTCGTCCTTATTTGTTAATAACAGACATCATGCAACGCCTTTCGGCACACACACGCAATAATGAGATAATGAAAATAATTTATGCGAAATTGTTTGTGTCATATATCATGCTATAGCAAAAGTTTCCGAGACGAAAATCAAATGTAAAATTCATTAAAGAATGACATTCCCATCCAGTGCTTGAATTTTCCTTTTAGGCGTTGAAAAGCAAATGGATTGAAATTAATTTGAAGTCCATTTCTATTAGAAGTTATAACAAATCTACTCAACTCAATATGTGTCGGAATTGTGGTGGTTGCTTCTTCCTTCTGTCTCTCTCTTAATGCGATAAATGAACGTGATGAATGGCTTTTTGTCAGACGCTTGTGTGATCGAAATTTATTTGCTTTCTCTTATGGCATCTGATGTTCATAACAATGGAGATCAAATATATCATGGTAATATATCAAATATGATTACAAATCATTCGAACCTATCATTAATTGAATTGAACTTTTCCTTCTTCTCATTTCTGTTTTCTTTCGGCCTTCATGGCCGCCTTGTTTCAATTCTTGCTTATCGACTGAGATTTGGGGAATGAAACACAATCACTTACATGATGATACAACACTTTTGTGTGTAAAAACTTTCGACATCATACACCGTCGTTAATGCTTTTCTCTAATGTACCTTTCGCTTTATTCTCTTACTAACAATGGAACAAGAAAGTTCAGTTCACATTAATGGACGAGAAAAAAAGAAAAAGAAGGAAATTTTGCCATAACGTAAACATGTTTCTCACGTAGCATAACATTAAGAATATGATTAAACGCAAAAATATTTTCCAACACGCTACATTTAACTCTATCGTAAACGATAATTTTTTCAGTACACGTAAATATTCTCACCATGTTTCTTTGCTTTGAATATTTTACTAAAAAGACACAAAGGAATGGCAACAAAGAACATTTAAAAAAAGAATCCTATGATTGCCGCATGATATGTCCTTAAATATGTATACGAAAGGGTTTTGAATTCAAAAGGAAGTAGCTATTCAACTTCCTGTTAGTGCTGGAAAACATCTTGAGATTCAAAGTACCTTTAAATTTCATTATAACTAAGAGCTCTTAACCGGAAGCTTTTAAAAAGCACTGAACAACTTTTTTTCATGTTACACAGTTTGATTTAATGTTGTGTTGTTGCTTTGTATTTTATCGTTCCCTGAAGAACATTGTGAACATGTCGTCTGTTAAAAATTATGGTTGAAAGTTTTACCATTCGAAACATGTGAAATTACTAACATGGCAAAGCCTTTGATCATTTCAGATTAAGACTTTCAAATTTGTTGCTACATGAAAACTTCTGAGATGAAAGTTTCCACTGATTAATCAATTCTCAAATATTTTTTTCCTCAACATTTAATCTTCAACAACTTGAAACGAAAGAATATAAAGTGAAATGATATGAAAGCTGTTTGCTATCATTAATGTTCTCATTGTACTTAATGTCATTTATTACAAAAACAGAAGATTATTCGATATATTGCTCGGGTTATGGAACCTTTACCAAGGTTACAAAGACTGTTGTCCCGTTGAGTAAAAATCTTTTATTGTTGTATAATCTCTAAGAAGATTTCTTCTAGTGCAAGAATGTAATAAAAGCTATGAAGAAGCATAATTTTCGAAGATGAAACGTGCTCCATTCAACTTTATGATCCATAACAAATGTTCGAGCCCGTCAGTAGCAATAAAAAGCATCTCACAAGTTTCCTGTGCGCTTCGCTTGGGGAAAATTGTCATAAAAACAGAATAAACGAACTTGTGAGTGGGATAAGGCCAAGCAAGCAGGAAAAAGGAGAAAGAAGAAAAAAATAGCAACGTTTTCAATAAAATTAATAAATTTTTATGGTCCCTAAGGCTTCTAGCGTTGTTGTGTATTGAACTTGAAAACGATTCTCGTTCCATCAACAATTTATTTTACGCTTTAATTCGCTTTCATTTTATGATGACGCTTAACGCAATTCGATGGGAGTTATCGAGCATTTGCTAGCAACTGTTGATACTTTATAAGCATATTGTCATCTCATAAAGAAAGAGAATTTGATATGAAATTAAAGACTTCCAAAAATATTTTGAATGCAAAGGGTGAAATTTCGAATTGAACTTAGGAAAAGACGAAAGAATTGATGATTGATATTCAAGAAGAGATTTCATTTCTTCATCCTAAGCATACAACATCAGTTGAATAAACATATCGTCTGTGAGATTGGCAAACAGCTTTAATACTTTGAATGATTTTGCCTTGCTTTATGTTAAAGTTCAACGTGAATAGAATTAAACAAACTGTGAACTGTACTCACCCTTGCTATTGCATTACGTACAACGTCATCAGTAAATTGACTCATAAAGAGAGCTGAAGATGCCTCGGGCATGACAGCCATCTGATGTTAACGACAAGAATGGAACACAAAGCATTAATTAAAACTAATTTGTCTATTTGCAGTCTCATTGATGCTTACCGTAGCTTTTGTGCAAATTAACGGAGTTGGATGGGCAGGAGGGAGAACGTTTGAAGCAAACAGCAGAAGCAAAGAGTTGTGAATGACTCGGTTTGAATGCGACAACAATAAATCCCGCAGCGATCTCATGTAATTTGGACTGCGAACGACAATCGGTCCACTCCAATTGAGGGGTAAAAGTTCAAACCAATTAAGCTGAAATTTCAGACACTCCTTTAAATAAGAGCGTGGGAGTATTGATGATGATAAGAAGAATGGCAGATTGTGCAAGTTTATATGAGGATGAAATAGTTAGTCGATAGTGGAAGCGTTCATGCAGTTGAGTGAAATATACTCACGAATGGAAATGACTCAGCAAGTGCTGAAATGTTGTTAACAACATAACTGCTTGCAAAATCTCTATCGATATGATTTTTACGTATTTCGTTAAGTTCACGAACGAAACGATGAATTGAGTGTCGTTCAGACTCAAACTGTTCAACAGACAAGCCCATTGGAAGAAAATATTTAAGAAGCGGGTCTAAGAGGGTCGGAATACTGTCATCAATCTTAAATGGTGGAGGTTTTGGTGTCAGCCATCGAACGGTGTTCTGAATAAGTAATAAAAAATGAGAAGAGTTTCGAGATTAATAGAAAGGCCAAAGGAAGGAACTTACTTGAAGGATGTGATGGACATTCGTCGGGACGTCGATGATTAAGAGAATTTGCGGTTTTCTTCCATAACTTAAATCGTAGTAGATGTCAAGAAGTGGAAGCGGCGCTCCAATTTTCATAATCTCAACTAAAAGCGGAGTCATTGTTGACGGTCCCAAAGCATTTGATGGCAAATAACCGCCCAAAGTTTCAATTGCCATACGAATTGACGTTGAATTTAACTGTTGACGTAAGCAACTTTCGTATAAGCGACCCAACTTCCGGAACGACCCAGTCGTGGTGTTGAGCGACAATAATTCTGAAATGATATTTTCGATGATTGGAGTCGAAATTAAATTGGAAATTATTTTGGAAAGTCAATAAATAAAAAATGAATGCGATGGCAAACTGTTGATAGGCATCCGGGAATTATTTATTCAAGCCACTTCAATTTTCCCCATAAATTTCCGCACCAAATCAAATTCCGAAATATAAATTTTCATGAAAGGAAAATCAAATTTATCATACGCGTGTTGGTCGACCCTTGCTGGATTTTATTTATGCTTTCATTGCAAGAATTTTGATGATGACCTTCGCTTATGTAAAACGGTGGATACAAAAAATGTAGCGAATCATCATAATGTTGACTTTTATTGTGAATTAATAAAACGCAGATCATCAAACCAACCATCCCCACCCACAATACAATCTTAAATGTCTTCACTCTTAAACACAAAACCTAGGGATGAATGAAAGCATTTAAATTGTGGTAATAAATTTCATCGTTTCTCATGAAAGTTTGGATAATAAAATCAAAACATTTTATCGCTTCTCTCAGTGGAAAACGTGAAATTTGAAAGTCATTTAGGCGAGCAGCAAGGCAAAGGCGAAAGAAATGAAAGGAAAAGCTTAATAAATAAATAAAACAAGCAGAGTAAAAAAAAAGAAAAAAAAAGCTAAACTTGTGCCTGCGTGCAAAGCGTAATGAGATTACTCTCGGAAATATTGCCAGCCACCTCCTTGAAATACGGGATGCCCTACCAGACACTGAACGTGATATTCGCGAGGGAGAACGGAGGAAATTAATAATTCATGCACTAAAAGAACGTAGAAAAGTGAGATTTTAACTTCGGTAAATGTCTACATTAAATTAACATCATCATTTTGTCACAATAATTAAAATTTTCTTCAGGATATTCTTTAAGCTTGAACACGCCTGAAGTGTGGAAATTGCGCACCATAAAAAGGAAGGAAGAGAGAAATATTTCAAGGGTAGAACATGATTTATATTAACATTTAATTGAAGATTAAGAAGAAGGAAATTTCTTGAGCATGTCGCATTGTTTTGTTATTCAATTTTGGCGTGTTCTTGGTGATTAAATACCTGAAAGCTATAATTCTGTTGCTGAAAGCATTCACGCACTTAACATTGCTCCACTTCTTCCCTTCGTAGCTCATTTCAAATTTACACTCACAAACTTTTTTCTGTTTTTTCTTCTCAAACTTTTTGTGCTTCTCTCACTTAAATATCTCGTTAAGCGAAGTTTCAGCAGAGATTCTTTTTTTACTTTTTAAATTCTCATTTCGTTGCTTAAATATTTGAGTTGGAAATTAGCATGAGACACCACCTTTCGACAAGACGAAGGAAGATGATGAGAAAGAAAGTAGCAAATGATAATCATAGCACATCAAATATTGAATGAATGAAATTGAGATAAGCAAGGAGAGATGAAAAGGAAAAATGTGTAACAATGTCCTTTAATAGCTTGTCTGCTATTTGATCTCGTCGAGTTCATGAGTCACGTTCTAATCTTCTGTCATTTACTGATGTTCTGCCAAAGCATTTAAACGAACATTAAACTCACTCAAAACTAAATCAAAAAGTCAGACAAACTTCCAATAATGTTCGGGGGTTATTTAAAATTGTATTTGAATTAAAGTTGTCTTGTTGCTTACAAACTTTCCTTCTGTTTATACTTAACGAAAATCTTTTTAAGCTCTGAGATATCACAGGAATCTTAAACCACATTTAAAGAGTGAGAAAAGAACTCAAGTTGAAGTATGAAGATTCATTGGAATTTCGAAGAATGTTAAGACATTCGGAACGAGAAAAGCTTTTCTTATAAATTTTCCTCTACAAGTGAATATAAATGAAAGCACCCTGGCTCAACATAAACAAGAAGTAAAAACAGAAACAATAAATCAATTGAAGGAGAATAGGATTTTTCAAGCGGCATTACAGCCACGGATAAAACAGAGTAAGATTTCCAGTTCGGCTTATTCAAGTGCAGAAGAAGAAAAAAGAAAGGAAATTCCAAACAATGGAGAGCGAAATTAATGTTCTCATGTCAAGCAAACAATATGCTTTAAGGAGGTGGCAAAGAAGTGGGTGCGGGTAAGAATTGAGAACGACTGCGAATTCAAGTGGCGACTTAGGTGCGCTCAAAGCAGTCACATCGACTTCACCAATGAGTGGGCGGATATTGAAGCAATTTTCATGCCAACAACCATGAGACTTGATAAAGACAAATTGGATCTAATGAATGGGAAAATGAGAATGGAATAGGATGGAATAGAAAAGAAGCTTATGAAGGTTTGCTTACGTAACATTTGATGATCAGCAATTTCTTGCGGACTTTTCATAATGCGCAAACTGTTAGGATGCTTCGAGCAACTGAATGATTTGAAGTCTTTACAGACATCAATTTTCCAGTTGATTTTCGCTTGAATGCTTGCAGCAACATTTTTACAGATCGTCTCTTGACATTCAGGTGGTGGAAGGTTCGCAATGCAATCATCTTGCGCAACACAGCCATCTCGTTGTGGAATCGATGGTGCCGCTGAGATCAGAAATAAAATTGGCGAGGCGACAAGTAGTGATGTAACTAAAAGTGTCACTCCAGTTAATGTCATTTTATGAAACGTTGTTGATGTTTTCAAGAATTGAATGCATGGACCACAAAATAGTAAATTTATCAAACGTGTGCTGAGCTGAAAAAAGAAAGAAAAAATAAATTAAAATTCATTTCTAAAGCAATAATCATTGTCACTGCATTTTGATGTGGTTGACGAAATCCACGTGAATTTTTATTCAGATTCATAAAAGCTGAGAACTTAAATAGAATTAAGAATTTTTTTCGCTTCGTTTCCATCGTTTAAACATTCGCCATCATACAGCATGTTGAAGTAAAGTGACTATAAATATTTAACGACCGGATTACGAGTAATGAAATGCATCATTGCTTCTCCTTTCACCCACACCCAGCATTGCTTTATTTAAAGCATCGTAAAATACTTTTTTCTAAGCTATTTTAGGAACAGAACTGAAGTTGAGAGAAGAAAGTTTTTTATTATGTTAAATCCTTTAGGATCGGAAATTGTCGACCATAATAAATTCATGGATTTTATTCCCTTAGAAACAATTTTGAAATCAGTGTGCCAATGAAAAGCGTTATAATGTTGTAAAACTGTTTCCAAGCTCCGGACATTGTGCAAATATTTATTTGTGAAAGAGAACAAAAAGAGGATCAAGAGCTTAGAATTTCACGTTTTCCATTGGCAGATAAAAGTCCTGCGTTTGTTCCCAGTGTAAATCGGATTTATGTGTATCCTTAACAGAGACAAAGGTTGTCGACAACTCTTTTGTTGCGATGTTAAATTATGATGTTTTACCAGCAGTTTTTCATATTCAAGAATTGCATTGTTTGCTCAGCTTGATGGATTTTAATTAAACAAAATTCAATTAAGAGCTGAGAATGAAATAAAGAAAGAAAGAAAAAAACTTTTTCATGTTATTTATAAATAAAATTGTGGTAAAGCAGAAAGAAGATTGAAAAAAGTTTTTATTTCCATTCACTTTTCAAAACGAGGGAAAAAATTCTGCAACGTTTTTTTGTTGTCGAGATTCAATTACATTTTAACATTGAACATGATTTAAATGGCAATGTCAGAGCTTTCTCCAATGATTGAAATGTTTACACAAATCAAATTCTTTCAATATTTTAAAAATAAATTCTGCAGGATTGTAGTTGCAATTTTAATTATAATATGCAAAAATAAACTTGCTGAAAAGTTCAAAGCAGAAGTTGTAAAATTTATAAAAGCTTTTGATGCATTCAAGCTTTGCTAATCCAAACACTTTTAAAAGCTTAAATATTAAAGTCACAAGCAAATTTCCTTATTGTTCATTCTTAATAAAAGATCTAAGCAAATAGAATTGAAAAGAGAATCGCGTGACAAAACAAATGAAAGTTGTTTGTTCTTCCGCATGTTTGCAATTCAATCTAAATGCCATAAAACTCACTTACATTCAACACAGTGAGCTGATGATCAACAAAAATTTCTGAAGCCATTAAATGTAAATTGATCAAACGCTTTTTGTATCTGTCTTGTATACATAAATGTCCAAATGAAATTTCTTTTTTTTTACGATCGATTTATTACTCTTTTGATGTTTTCCATTTGCATCATCTTGAAACGTGTATCGATTTCAATGTAAACACGTGATTTTTAATTCAAGTTCATTTTCTGTGTTTCTTTTTCTTTCTTTAGGTATTTAATTTCATTACAAGTCGTCCTCCGAATGTGACTGTATTCAAGGAAAAGTTAATCCATTTCAGTATTCAACACCCGGAGGAAAATTTCGCTTTCAGCACTTTCTTAATGGAGTATGAGTAAGTGAGACATGACTGAGTTTCATCGTGATTCGTTAAGAAAACGATTTTCACTAATCCCATTATCAATACAAGAGATGAAAACATCTCTTAATTACAGATTCTGTTCAATAATGGGTGGCACACGCGGGATGAATTACATTAAGCTTTATTTATTAATGAAAGAAAAACGTTTTTTACCCGCCTGTCCAACCGTTCCCCTTTTGATGCTTAATTTATTTGCCCATTAGCCATTCCGCAAATGGCCTTTCACAGCAAGAAATAACATAGCGATGAGAAAACTCATGATGATGGATGAGAGATTTATTGGAAGTTTTCTTTTTCAGTCTCTTCGACTATCGCGCCATGTGAACAAAATCATTACATTGCCTGTGAGAAACTTCAACGATTCAACCTCGCAAAAACGAAAAAATATCAGAGGAAAATTCTTCACTGGAACGATTTGTTTGCACAGACTTTATTTTCTTCATAAACAGATTGAATTTATTTTGTCTTGACAACGTTTTATAAGGAAGTTGAAGATCATGTCAAAAGACAACAAAGTAAAGGAAAGGATTAAAAGTAATCAAGACGAGTTTGTCACGTTAGAGAATTAAAGAAGATTTATTATTTGACTCATTCTGAGAATCACCTAACGCCCTTCCTGTTTCTCTCTCCTTCTCTCTTTCCTTCGTTCAACGAGTTTTCCTTTCCATTTCTATTTTTCCATTGCGTGTGGGTTTTATTCTAGACTTCAACTCAAACTACAAAGCATCATCCTTTAATGGAAGGAGTGTGAGAAAATGGGTCATCAAGATGGGAAAATCATCTTCAAGGATGAACAAATGTGAAGGAAAAATCTATAAATTTTCCCATTCTCGCATTATAAAAGTCGTTTGTTTTCTTTCTTTTTCGATTCTTCTTTAACGCGAAATTCGTAAGCCCGGGAGTTTCGTAACAGCAATAAAACTCAATTCTAAATATGAGCGTGTCATAACTTGGCGTCAGATTGTCTCTTTTGTTCTTGAAAATAAAGCTTAAAATCACTAACCTTGCTGATAGCTGAAGAAGTTGTCGTTCCTTGTTCGTTTAGCTGGACTTCAATTTTGTCTGTTTCGAATTGATGAACTGTACGTTTTTGGACATTTTGTTGCTTAGAGGATCCACTAATTGTATGAATATTCGCTCCACTAATGCTACTAATTGTCGTGCTTGTTTCAGTTGTCATCTGCGTACTTTCAACTTTTAATTGTTTGCTTTACCAGCTTTTAAAAGCACTTAGAACATTTTATTTGCTTTGTTTCACTTCAATCATTCAAATTAAAATTATCACCACCATTAATTAGATTAAAACTTAATTCTTGTGAAAGTTTTCCACGAAACAAACACATTACGGTTAAAGGCAAATGAAAACTAAACAACTCAAGCAAAAATATCTTGTTTCTGCTTTATTTTTCAACTCTTTTCTTCTTACACAACAATTTCTTTTTTATTTTCCTGGTGCAGACTCAACAACAAAAAGAACAAATAAAATGAGAACAGCAACGATGAAAATTGAATGGAAAACTGAACTTGAAAAATCGAACTACATGGTGAATTTCCCAAGGAAAAACTTAGTCAGGCAGGAAAGTGTATTCTCTCTCAATGACGGCTCGTAAATTTTTATATTGGGGAATAACTTCATTGAAATCGTTTGGTCGCTGGAAATTTATCATGCGGTTTCGACGAAAATGCGCAAAATCACCAAAGCTTCAATTTTTTTTGAGCTTTTAGCCGAGACACAATTCAAAGCTCAGCTTTCCAATGAAAGCTTCCCGAACCATCATCAGCTGATAAAATAAGTTTCAAGGCCAACAGATGTTTTACTATGGTAATGAAGTTAAATCTTTCGAATCTACCGCATCGCTTGTTTACTTAAATAATTTATGTTTACTTTATGTTGTTCTCGAGTGTTACGGTCTCATTTTCAATAGCTTTTTAAGGGGATTTACTAAGAATGTAAATTTATTCGACTTCACAAAAAAACTTTTATTTCTTTCTCAAAACTTTTAAAAGATTATAATAAAATTTTTGTTATTCATCTTCAACAAACTCAGGAGCTTCATGAGCTACAATATCAATTGGACCTGTTGGAGTGTCTTGGAATCTTGGTCCATGATGACATTCTAAAGTTGTGCATTGATATCGAACGTTGTCAATACAAGTGCAAGTGTTACAATCTTCATAATAAATTTCTCCATTTGGACACCCAAATGTCTGACGTTTACGATGACCAATGGATTGGATTATAGAATCACGCCATTGTCGAGCTCTTTGTGGTGATGGAATAGCAGCTAATTTAAATTATTTTGTTATTATTGAATGTTGGATTGAATTTTTTTGCTTTAAACTTACAACAAACTGCAACAAATCCCAATATTGCGATGATTGCCAATGTTTTCATGATACTTTAAGATTCTTTACTTCTGTCTTACACAAGATCCAATTTAAAACTAAGCTTTAATATTGTTTTGCGCTGCTTAATAAATGGTTGGAAATGATAACAAATATTTGTAGAATCACTTAAACAATCTAAGAATTGTTGAAATTCTAAGAACAATCCACTTAAGTAGTCGAATGTTTTTGCAGGAATTACCAGACGTTTACTTCTGACGCTTCTTCCATTAAACTCGGCGTACACAAAACAAATGAATCTAAATGATTTTTATTGAATGTTTTTCATCTTAAAATGTTGAACAATATTTCAAGAAAAAGAAGCAAAAGCTGATGAATCATCACAACTTCATGAAATAATTTTATTCCGAGATTTTAAGTTTTAAACTTTCATTTTCAAGATTTAAACTTTTAATTTTATCTTTAAACTTTTTAATGATTTCTTGATAGTCAGCGTGAATTTCTTCTTTCTCTCTCGTTGCTTCTTTGAACTTCTCACGAGCAACACTTGGATGAACTTTCGATAGTCCAATAATTGATTTCCATTGAATGTTTTCTTTCTTATTAACGTCTAATTCCTTTTTGAGACGATTAAGTTCTGACATCATTGAAACATTGTCTTTAAGAAGCTTTTCATATTTGGTCTCGTCACATTTTTTAGCTTTTAATTCTGCTGATTTTCTTTTTAATAAATTTTCGTAATAATTTCGTTGTCTTGCAAATTCATTTTGAACATCAATGTCATTTGCAACCATTTTATTCAAGTCATATTCACCACCATAACGTTGAAGGAATGATTTGACGCTTTCTTTCATTTTCTGAGGGGAGCAGTGAATGGCAGTCGTAAGATTATGAATATCTAAGTAAACTTTCTTCAAACGATCATAAGTTGCATTCGATTTGACTTGCTCTGAATTGAAGTCTTTAGTTTTTCCTAATAGTTTATCATTTAATTCAGACATTTTCAATTCATTTTCTACTTTTTCACGTTGGTAAACATCCAAATCACGTTGCAACTCAATGATGGTTTCTTTGCGAAGTTGAATTTCAGCTTCTCGTGTTTCAATGACTTTTCTTAAATCTTCCGTTTTGTATGTGAGAAATTCTTTATATTTCTCTAATTCAATAATTCTTTTATTCATTTCCATCATTTCTTCTTCTTTTACTCGAATTTCTTCATCACGTTCATCAAGGTCGCGTTTCATATCATCAAATTTTCTTTGAGTCGATTTGACGACTTCTTTAAGATGCGTTTTTTGTTCTTTAAGAAGTTCATTTTCTTTCTTCAGTTCATTAGAATCTCGAGAAAGAATGATGTTCTCTTGCTTCAAGATGCCTGCATTTCCACGCCACTCATTGTAATTTTCATCACATTCCTTAAGACGTTTCTCGTAATCTGATTTGATATTTACAATATTTCGCTCGTCTGGAAAAATTAAATCGACAACATATTAGAAGCAATTTTTGTTTTTATATTTTTAACATACAATCGCTTTCAGTTTGTTGACGATATTCTTGAAATTCTTTTTCCTTATCGTCAAGTTCATTCAAAAGTCGGTTAATGTATGTTTGTCTCTCGTCTAATTGCTTCTTAAAGTTCTCTTCCAATGATGCTGTCATGAAAATTAATTACATTTAACATTTATATTGAATTGAACAGAATTTAAGTTAAAAACCTATCGTTTCATGCAGACAATTGCTTGACTTTCTTAACTTTTCTTCAGTTTCCATCTTCAAGTCTTCCATTTGTTGCGTCAAATTCTCCCGAACTTCATGCTCTTGAATGATTCTTTCATTAAATTGAAATTCCAAGTCTTCCACCATTTTTTCATGTTCCTGATCAGTTTTCTCTTTTGTTTTACTTAACTCATTGAGTTGCTCGTTATGAACTGCTTTAAGAATTTCATTTTGTTCTTTCAAACCTTCAATTGCGTTGCAATAATTTTGATGAATTTCTTGCATTTTCTCACTTTGAAAAATGTCATCGGGTGGCTTTTGATTGTTAATCAAAGTTTCAAGCAAAGTAATGAGATTGTTTTTCTCATATAACTCACGACGTGATATCAAGACATCTTCACAATTTCCAATATCTGAGTCAAGAGAAATGTCTGTGCTTGTTCTTTTGTTATCTCTGATTATCCAAAAAACTAATGTTCCATCATCTTCAGCACTTATCAACATATTTTCATCATAAGACATGGAAAGTCGAGTGATTGATTTACGATGAAATCGATTATTAATAAATAATTCAACTCTAGATTCAGATAATGGCAAAGAAACGTTGTACAAGTTTCCATCATCATTCGCTGTGAACAAAACTTGTCTTGATTGTGAAACTACCAGCGATGTTAATGGTGAATTGTCTTTAGGAGCTTTGAATTCGTGAACCATCTGTGATTGAGTGATTTCACAGAGTTGAGATGATTGTGTGACTGCTAAGATATGATTTTGATCCGAGGAAGAAACAGCAATTGAATTGAAAAGTGTTCCTTTCTGAATTAGTTCATTGACTCTCTGACCACCATTGCTGATGTCCCATTCATACACAGAACCTTCTTTACCTGATTAAAAAGTAAAATTGTCAATAATGAATTATTTAATGATAAATCATTTCACCTGATGACACTAAAAATCGATCATCCTTCGACCATTCAAGACTCAAAATGCCAATATGACCTTTCAATATCATCAAAGTTTCAAAAGTAAACACAGAAATAATTGCGACAACTTTCTCACAACCAACTGCTAACAAATGGCCTTGATTGGAGAATTTCAGAACGGAGCACATTTGAAACTTGAAAGATTTTGTCGTTTTCAAATCTTTCAACTGAATCTGAACTAAATGAAGAGCGTTTGTAAATCCAATTGCTGCAAACATTCCCGATGGATGAAGTGAAATGACGAAAATTTCAATCAAAAATTTCTTAAGCAATTCAACTTTCATTGTGTTGTAATTCCAAATTCTTACAGTGCGATCTTTCGAAGCTGTCATTACGATCGACTTCCAACAACAAACAGATAAATCAATAATTGAATCGATGTGGAGTGGCTCACTGAAGATTTCGAAATTAATTCTCGTCAGTCCAAGAGAGTCGCCGTCGAATAATTTCCCAAAATATATTTGACTATGTTCAGTTGCAGCGATAATTTTATCTTGTTGGTCATTAATTGAAATGTTTTTAATGACATAAAGTTCTTCATCGTAGGTGGTCACAGGAATGACCAGCAATGTCACTTTACGAAATTTGTAAGGCGATAAACGTCTGAAAACATGACAACAATTGTTGGTGGTGAAGGAAAAGCCCGTAGGGAAATTCGTTACGCATTTAATGGGAAAGATTTTCTTAGTTGACGAGACATCAACACACGAATCTGAGTCTGATTCATCAGAATCTTGTGGATCTTCCAAATCAATGAATTCGAGGTCACTTATGTCATATTTTCCTCTTAATTCTCCACTTTCAGCAAAGTAAAGTTTCATATCATTGGAACCAGCAACAATTATCTCGCCATTTAACCAGGCAAGTGATGTCATGATGATGTCGTCTCCTTTAATCGCTGCTACTTGAACGAGACTCTTCCCAGTTTTACTCATAACTTTCAACATGTTTGCTCCACCAACTGCAACGACTGAGATGTCACTTGGATTACAGTGGATTAAAGTTGCACGACCAGGATATTTAATAGTCGAAACTCTCTCAGTTACAACGCTATCATTTTTATCGAAATTATAAATTGTCAGAAAGGCATCTGGTTCTTTTGATAGCACAGCGATACCTTTGGAATCATTTGTAAAGCACAAGTTGCCAACACTTTTAGTTACGAAATCTGATGAAAGTTTTAACGATTTTAACTTTTTCAATGTTTCAGAATCGTAAACGTTGACTAAAGTTCTGTTAAGATAAGAAAAGATTGCATGAAGAAGGAAAAATCATTTGGAAACTTGAACAACGCTTACAATCCATTAGAAAAATTAAATTCCGCAATTGCTATAAGTTTGCGATTGTTGCTGACAGCGATGACTTCTGGTTCAACATTTTCATTAAATCTGAAAGGTTTTCTCACAGAAAATTCTTCAATTTCTTAACATTCATCTTCTTACCTCAAATATCTCTGAGTATTTGCAACAAAATCTTCAACAACTAATACACCAGCTGCGGGATAAATTATGATTTGGTCAGATGTGAATTGAACATTTCCTTTAACATTTGTTCGTAGACCAAAAACATGTTTTGGAAATATTTCAACAATTTCACTCATTGCAGATGAAATTATTTTTTTGAATCGAATTTTTGGTTTTCAATTTTCAAAGTTTGCTTAGTTGAAAATTTTCATAAGAAAGGAATTATAAATCAATCAATGTTTCAAGAATTCTTTTTATTTGTTTATGTAGTTCTTCGTTAAATTCTTCATGATTTATTACAAAAAAAGTTTCATACATCATCGAATAATAAAATAAAATTTATTTAGGAAACTCTTTTGCTTTGAAAATATTCCCTAAATCTTTAATCAAATTTCAATGTTGCTATGAAGGTTTATAACGTCTTCACACATTCTTCCGATTCTGTTTCTTGTAATGTGATTATTTTTGAATCGGCCATAAAATATTCTTACTGAAAAAAGTTGAAAAAGGAAGAAATTAAAATCGATTTGTTAAAATTTATGAGCTTTTATTGAACTTTTACATACGAAAAATTGCCATTGAAGTTAAGAAGATTCAGGGAATTTACCACGCTTTTGGATGTATCAACAATTTTTTTTATGTGTCTCAGTTAACAAACATTTCCCAACTTTCTTTCTCACCTTTTATATAACTTAAGAATTTTGAAATATTGTTTAATTAGGTTTATCAAGAAAATTGGGGGCGTTGATTAAATTTTTCCTATGGTTTTATTGCCTGCTACTTTAATTGATTATTGTAATCATGATCATGATGTATTTAATACTGACACAATTTTCAATTAACAATAATTTACTTTTGTGTATTCAAACATTGAAATAGCTCATGAAATAAGAGGGGAATATTAAATTTTCATAAAAGCACATCATCGAATCCTTAAAAAGTTTTTCATTGGGTTACAAAATGCGTTTCAATATCAAGTTTTAGTTTCAAATCTCAAAAAAGCTTTTCTTTATAAAAATATTTCTTTTATTATGTTCCTTTGTATATAATAAATATTAATGATTAAATATGTTTGCTAATTTTCATTGTGCTCGAGCAAAGCTTTTGATATTTCTTTATTATTTGATAAAACTTTAACTATTTTCATTTAATTCATAAAATTGTATTAAAAGTTGCAAAAATAATTCTCAAAATGCTAGAAATGACTCAAATTGGCTTGTGCGATTTAAGATTTAAATTTAATTACAAATCTTCATAACATTATTCCTTATGTAAAGATTAAAATAGAAAACAACATAATTAATAAAAAAAAGAAAGAATCTACATTGATTAAAGTTTCTATAAATTTTCTTTGGCAGGATCTTTATGTAAGTAGCGTTTCGAAGTACTTTCAATCATCAATCAACCAGAAAGAATCAATCATTCAGGAAATGACAAAGGCATATTATTCTTAATCTTTTATTTATTAAATCTGAAAGTTATTTTTAAATATGTCATTTGTTTGAATGAGTAAATCGTGGATATAATGCAAATGAATAAAAATTTATTTCCCTTTGTGTGAAAACCACAAAAAAGAATTCACCAAAAAGCATTCAAGTCACGTGAACAAAATAAGCGACATTCGTAAGCCTGATTTTCCAAACATAAAATTGAATTATCGTTGATCTAGCCAACATTCTGTTGCTCTATTTTTCTATTGTCGTTTTCCTTTTCGAAGTGATATTTTCGTATATTTCCTTATGTTTATGAGATTCAAGCACGAAATATGTAAAAGTTTATCGAATCTAGTCTCGTACTTTTCCCTAAACTAAAGCAACTGCGGATTATTTTACGAGACGGAATATTGAATGAGAAAAGTGTGCAACAACTTACTGGTTAAACTAGGTTAAAGAAAACAATTTAAGGAGCTTTTCGCGACTAGCTTTTTCACACTTTGCTTAGCTGATTTATTCATGCTGATGCAAGCTATTAGAGACACTAACATTTGTCGTGAAATGTGAACATAACCGCCAAGTATTTGTTACCATCTTTTGTTACACAATTCAATCAACAAGCTTCGAAATATTATTCCATAAATAAAACCAAAAGATGCTTCACGCCTGTCAAAGTCTCTCATAACTCAAAATAAAAAATATTTATTAAATATATCAGAAATTAAGGAAGAAAAATGATTTGAATAAAACTTCTTTTAATTATAAAATTAGCGAAATCATTTCAACATTTCATCTCTAATTAACATGTCGTCTGATTAAATAAATAAATAAATAAATGTTAATTCGCAACACGAGCTTAAGTTTAACTTTTCAATCTCCTTACTAACTTTTTTCTGGGCGTCGTCATCACATGTCAACATTGTCAACGATGTCGCTTTTATCTTTTTGTATTTCTCTAATTTTGACGCATCACATGCCGACAACGCCCTTCTTTGACTCGAACATTTTGGGCGCGTTTATAATTACAATCTTTATCACAAAATAGAAACAACACATATTTATATGGCCATTATTTCCATTTTCTTTAAAAGGCAGTTTATGATGATCATCGTTATCATCATCATCATCATCATCATTGTCATTAATCTTTCTCTTCTAATGAAGTACAACATACACGGGCACTTTATGATCATATTTTTGATTAAACTTAAAACTTTATAATTGTGCGAAGCTTGTGACTCAATTGTAGAGCCAACCAGAGCGATCACGATCCTTCAGCTTATTATTTCCGGTGTAAAGTGAAACTTTCTTCTTGATTGGTGAAGACTTACCGGATTTTTCCGTTTTCTTCGCGTGATGAACTTTCGTTTGTTGCTTATCAACTTTACTCAAGTCAGGTCGCCAAACTTCACGGATATGTGAACCAGGAGCCATGCAAGGCAGTGACTTGAGGAAACCATGAGCTCCAACAGGGATTGGTGGTGCTGCTGGGATGCTAGGACTGCAGCCATTGTACAAGAAAGGCATTTGTTGTGTGACATTCGTATGAAGTGTTAAAATCGATTCAATATCAAGTTCTTGTGCGTGGGCGAGGAAATCATCGAAAAGTTTAATCGGAATCATTCCCATTCGATCGAAGTTGTCAATATATCCTTCCGTGTCTTTATTATAAAGATGAAGATAATCACCCAAGAGTTTAGCTACCATTGCGCCACGTTCTTTCGATAAAATACGATTGTGATTCACATTTCGAATAAAAAACGGTTGTCGCATATAAATTGCAATGCGATGAAGGAACTTCATGACGTGCTCTTCATGACTAAGTTTGCCATCAACTGATAATCGCTTCAAAACATGCTCCAAATAAAGTGAAAATGCTTTTCGAGCTTGCAACACTGACAATTCATCGCCATTCTCTATCAACTTTCTGATCTGTTGCTTCATCTTTCGTGTCTCATCTTGACATTTTGTATTTGAACTTTTAGGACCGATAACAATCGGCAAAGATCGATCCAATGTTCTCTCATACTTTTCAATTCTATCGAGAATTGTATTTCCAGAATCATTGCCATTGGCAAACAATTGATTGAACAGCATTTGGTTGTAGTTATGAGGGATGATCATAAGGTAAGTTCCATTACCTGATGATGTCGATGCAGCTGTTGGGATTCCAGTTACGGGGTCAAGGAACATTCCATATTTCTGCATGCAGTCAGCAGTTGGAAATATTCGCACGAAACCACCACGTCGCTCCATTTGTCCTTTGGCTGCTCTAATAATCTTCAATTCTTCAGCGGTCAGCGTTGATAAAGCCGCCTTTTTTCCTTGCGAAGGATTATGAACAAAATCAGCTGAATTAACACGACGACTACTTGATAATGATCGAATTTTCACACCTTTGTTATCATAAGAAGCTTTCATCAATGGACTTATCGCTGGGACGCCAACAAGTGTAAGAAGATCCGTCAACAGACTTGCTTTCACTTTCGTATCAAGTGGCGTATCACAACCGAGAGATGGCGAAAGATTTACTTCAATAAGCCATGGCTTTAATGTATCATCAATGAGAATATCAAAGCCAAAAAGTTCAAAACAATTGGTAACATTTGGAACAAACATTCGACATGCGCTAACAATTGGTTGCGTGCAAGCGAAAATTGCTTTTGTGATAATATCTTCGATATTCAACATAAGTTGTTCAGTATTACAACCTTGGTTTCTTAAATGTCTTAACAACGCACTGAGTGTCCATTTGTGACCCACATCTTCATCACCAGCATTGTTCGATTTAATGTAGTCGGTGTGGTATTTGTTGATGCTGTAATTACATAAATGCATGCAGGGATTCCAAAGATTCTCAGCGTTATTATCATAACGAACAGTTGCAATCCTAACTAAACCTTCTTCATAAACATAGATAATAAGCGGATCAAAGGAAGTTACAGCTACATAAATTCTGATATCGCATTTGTGGCCATCAATGCAAAGCGGATCAGCGATGTAACGTGCAACAACAACTTGTTCATCACTTGCAATATGCGATTGAATTTCGTCGGGAGTTTTAGCAAGGAAAATTCCACGACCACGCGATGATGCAACTGGTTTTACAATCCAAGGTCCTTTAATCTTATTGTGTGCGAAAGTCAACTCCTTGTAGTCGGCAGGTAGAAGAAAGGTTTGAGGAACTATATCGAAATGCTTGAAGCCACGGAAATGTTGCATTCGTTCAATGTTCTTGTACAAGCGATCTTTGCGAGTTAATTCACTTGATCTGTTCATGAGAAGAGAAATTTAATTCTAAGTTCTAACATGATTTGTTTATTTCATTTACCTTGGAAAATGATTAATTCTTTGATATTGTGATAAATTCCTTAGCATATCCGGTTTCAATTGATTTCCTGTCCAAAGGAGATTAAAATCTGTTGCGTCATGACTAATTTCCGACAATCCATGACCATTGAGAATCTTTCTTAAAAGTCTTGTTTCAGTGTTTAGAAATTTATAAGTTATGTTCAAGACTGCTGCTGGCATTTCTTCTTTTTCAAGTGGAACGATGATGATGTTTTCTTTATTCTCATTATCGGAAACTTTTATGATAGCAGAAGCAACTTCAGCATTATTTTCGACCTGACTTTCTGTTATTGAATTGTTGCTGTTTAAAGAGGAAGAAGAAGACATCGACGAAGAAGATTCAAGCGAACGTTTCTTTGTTTTCTTTTCCGTGAAATTGAAAGTTTCTGTGTCGATTTTCCGTTCACCATTAAGACTCTGAGGCAACGACATTGCAGCTACGTAAGCTTTCTCACTTCCTGCTTTAGACAGTTCGGCACATGTGGAAGAAGCTGACGGCGTTTCTGGATAAAGATCGGGATGATCAAAGGCATGATTCGAAGGAGCAGCAGATGCTGCTAAAACACTAGTCCTGAACACAAGAACAGCATCCTTGGAGCCTAAATTTCCACTAGTAATCCATGGATTTGATTGGTTTTGTTGTGTTGACTTTTCTGTCTTTTTAGCTCTGTTTTGAAACAATGAGAATAGAGATGAAAATCATAAGATTAAGAATACATTGCCAAGTCAAAATCGGTTTTATTATCCATTTTGTTGGGTTCATTCAATTTAAGAAAAAACCATTCCAAAATTTCAACAAAAATTATCAATGCCAGCATTTTTCTTAATTGTTACTTTCTGCATCTACTTCATGAAAAAAAATTACAATGCTTCAATACAAATATTATTAACAGCACTTAAAAGTTAACTTTTGACATAATAAAGTCAACAAATAATTGTGCAAGTATCAACATAACAAAACGTTCAGAAAAATTCCGAAAAGCGAAAATTATAAGAAGAAGAATGAAAAGTTATTCCAAACATTATCCACAATTTTGATGATGAATAATTCGATTTCTTTACTTTTATATTTTCCACACGTTAATTCCTTTCAATAGTAAAAGTTTTATCAATTGAATGTCAACATAATTAAAAATAAATAAAGTATGCCTACAAAAGCGTAATCAAACAAAGCGTTGTTGCAACGATAGAACGTAAATTTCAAAATATTTTCAATATCAACTCGCTTGAATTGCATCAGCTGAATAAAAATTCAATTTTAACTCATGTACATTTATATGTGTTGTTTCGGTTATTAAATTTTGATGTGGCATGAAATATGTGGATAAAACAAGTGAATGAAATTAACATGGATATTGAAGTAGGTCTTTGATATTTCTCATTATTTTTGGGTAGTGATGTAATTAATTCTACAGCCCTGGATGGAAAGAACTAAAAACTGAAACTAATCATGTTAGTCGCTTAATATTTCATACCGAGCACAGTGATTAAATTATAAAATGAGTCTCAATTTTAATTGACTTATAAATATTACATAACTTTTCATAAATTAGTTATTATGATTAAATTATTAATGTTCAACTCCAGAAGAGTTAACTAAAAACTTTCATCTTCACTTCTTTTGAAAATATTCTTCAATTTCTTTTAAAGATTTTCCTTTCGTTTCAGGTAAACAAAAAATTGTGAAAAGTATTCCTAGAAATGAGATTAAAGTGTAAAACGAAAAAACCGAAACATTTCCAAATATCTCGAAAACACCTTGGAAAGTTTTGATGTTAATGAAGCTTATGAAAAATGCTAGTCCCATAGTGATGCCGGCAGCAAATCCACGAATGTTTTGAGGGTACATTTCAGCAAGCATAGCGAATGGAAGCGTCAACAATCCGAAAGTTCCAGTAAAAATAAAAATGTAAAGAAATGTTGCTGATAACCAGCTATAGCTTCCATCTTTAACAGAAAAAGCTGTGCAGATTGTTAGTCCTAACATGCTGATAAACATGCCAATTGTTGATGACAACGCAATTTGTTTTCGACCAAACTTATCAGAAATAAACGCAACAAGAACTGTTGTGAGTAATCTGATAACACCGATGATGACAGTACTAAGAAAAGCATCAACACCAACCCCTGCTTCAATCGAAAATTGAGCTGCGAAGACAAAAATCACAAAGATTCCCGAAAACTGTTGAATGGCGAAAAACGAGACCATGATAAGAAAAGGTTTGTAGAGTTTTGGTTTCTTAAATTCCTTCCAATTCCCAAAAAACGTTTGTTTCTCATTCGATGTATTTTTCATTGCTTTGAGATCTTCAAGTTCTGCGTTGATTTTCAAATCATATTTGTCTGCGAACATTTTTAAATCGACATTAAAAAATTTCACGCCATAAATGTTGTTAATCTGGCTTTAAATTTAATCGGGATTTATTTAATCCGAATTATGTTAATTTAAATCGAGATTAATGATTAAATGAAATTTCGCTCACAAAGATTTTTTATCAAAGCCAATGAATCTCTTGCTTTGTCTATTTGGTTTTTACTAACTAAATATGCAGGAGTTTCAGGGAGTAAGAACAAAGTCACAAGTGTCACGACTGAGATTCCAGCAGATATCAAAGCGACAAGTCTAAAATTTGTCTGTTTTTAGAAAGAATTCGATCAAAAATTAATCTCATAAACTTTAAAGAAATTCTTACAGGTATTAAATAGCCAAGAAGATATGAAAGCAGCACACCAAAAGCTACCGAGAACGGTGTCGATAATATTGTCAATTTCCCTCTCATACTTGGATGAACAACTTCTGCAGTATAAATAGCAGCTGGTGTTGTTTTCATGCCATTCGCCACGCCTATTAAAAATCTCCCAATCATCAATTCAACGAAAAAAGTTTCTTCATTAATTCGACTGGAGAATCCGATAATAAACCATGACGCTACTGCGACAATGTTGACAATTATGAGCGTGTTTCGTCTACCAAACTTGTCTGATAAAAAACCTGATAACGGGCCACCAATGGGACAAGAAATTATAGCAATAGAAGCAAACCATGACACTTGCGATGGTGATAATGTGATGTCATTATCATTGTTTAACAACAGTTGAGAAGTTATCGCGGGATAACCAACACCAATACCTGCTGACACAACAGAAAAGCTTGCCAGTGACGAAACGATGATCTGTGGGAATTTTACGAGAAATATTCAAATTTGTCATGAGAACATTTCAAAATTTACTTGAATCGCTGCTGCTTTTGTTGACAACTCTTTTACTGATTCACCAAATTCGTATTTTCCCGATGATTTTCCACGACACAAAATTGAATTTAAATTTATTTTCCTCATTTTTCTTTATTAAGTGGCTTCTCTTTAAATTGTACAACATGAATTAAATCTATGTAGTGTTTGAGTCTAAGTCTTATCGTTTCTTATCGTTGGTGTTTGAGAAAAAGAATAAATCACTGTCAAAGACAGAGCAAACAGATGAAAAAAGATTTTCACATCTGAATTTCATTTCTTTCGAAAATGTTCTTCAATTTCATTTAAAGTTTTTCCTTTTGTTTCAGGAAGGATGAAAATGGCAAAAAGTATTCCGAGGAATGATATGAAAGTGTAGAAAGAAAAGACCGAAACATTCCCAAAGATCTCGAAAACACTTTGGAAAGTTTTAATGTTGGCAAAGCTCATGAGAAATGCGAGACTCATTGTAATGCCAGCAGCGAATCCACGAGTTCTTTGTGGATACATTTCAGCGACCATAGCGAATGGAAGCGTCAAAATACCGAAAGTTCCAGTAAATATAAAAATGTATAAAAATGCTGCAGGCAACCAGCTTAAATTTCCTTCATTTAAAGAAAACGCAACTGAAATCGTTAGCCCCAACATACTGCAAAACATTCCAACTCCAGAAAATAATGTCAGAGGTTTTCTTCCATAGAAATCCGAGACAAAAGCAACCAGAATAGTTGTTAATACTCTGACAACGCCAATAATTACAGCGCTTAGAAAAGCATCTAAGTTTATTCCAGCTTCAATAGAAAATTGTGCTGCATAAACAAAAATCACGAAAATTCCAGAAAATTGTTGAAGGAAGAAGAATGCAACCATAATCAAAAATGGTTTGTAAAGTTCAGGTTTCCCAAACTCCTTCCAAAGTGCAAAGAACGAAGTTTTCTCTTTAGAACTCGATTGGCTTTCTTTGAATTTTACTATTTCAGCTTCAACTTTTTCATCATTTTCATCTGAAAGAGAAACTTTCCATCTTAGAAATGAAATTAAAAAGTTGAATAAAATTCTTACTAAGATTTCTAATCTTTTTCAAAGCATTTCTGGCTTTGTCAAGCTTGTTCTTTGCAACCAAATATGCTGGAGATTCAGGAATAGCAAAGAGAAGCAAGAACGTGACTACTGTGATAGCAGCAGAAATTAAAGCAACAAGTCTGAAGTTTGTCTGAAGAAAAAGTTCATCAAATAATTTTTCTTGTTTATGTTTTTGAATAACTTACGGGAATTAAATACCCAAGCAGATAAGAAACAAGTGTTCCTAAAGCTACAAAGAATGGAGTTGACATGACCGTCATTTTCCCTCTTAAGCTTGAATGAACAACTTCAGAGGTGTACATTATAGCTGGAGTTGTAATCATTCCGATTAAAACTCCCATAACGAACCTCCCGATCATAAGTTGAATGAAGAATAAATCTTTGTTTTCTCTGCTTGAGAATCCAATGATAAGCCAAGACAATACCGCAACAACGGTGATAAGCATTAGAGTATTTCGTCTGCCAATTTTTTCAGATAAGAAACCTGATATGGGACCGCCAATTGGGCATGCAATTGCTGTGATCGATGCGAACCACGACACTTGTGAAGGTGATAAAGTAATGTCGTTCTCATTGTCTAATAACAGCTGCGAAGTAATCGCGGGATAACCAAGACCAATTCCAGTTGAAAGTACTGAGAGACTTGCTAGTGACGAGTACACAATCTGATTAAAATGTTTTAAATTTCAATAAAAATTCTATCTTTCGAAAAGACAAACAAAAAGTTATTTACTTGAACTGTTGCAGCTTTCAGTGATAAATCTTTTGGTGGTTTATTGAACTCTTGATTTACGATCTCTTCACGACTAAGAACAGAAGATAAAACAACCTTGACCATACTTAATAAAAACTTTAATAAACCAAATAACTTCACATTTCTATCTACTGAATTCTGAAAGCTAAATGAATGTTTTGCGCTCTTATTTTCAAGCTGGATTTACATTTTCTTATCTTATCAAAAACAGAATTGCCTTGAGAAATGATTAAAGAGAAACTTTTTATTTGAGAGTTTTTTATATTTTTATTTATGACTTGCGGAAAATATTTTCGATATCTTTAAGTGATTTGCCTTTTGTTTCAGGCAAAACAAAGATTGCAAAAACAATTCCAATCAAAGCGACAACCGCGTAAAATGTAAAAATAAGAAAGCTTCCAAATGTTTCGAAAACAAGCGAGAATGTTTTAATGTTTATAAAGCTCAAAGCGTAAGCAATGGCTATTGTTAAGCCAACAGCAAAACCTCGAGACTTTTGTGGAAACACCTCGGCGACCATGGCAAAAGGAAGCGTTAAAATACCGAAAGTTCCTGTGAAAATAAAAGCATAAAGGAAGACTGCAGGGAGCCAATTGAAGGCAGTGTTTTTGAGTGGAAAAGCTGCACAACTCGCCAATCCAACCATACTGAGAAACATTCCAATTCCCGACGCCAAAGCCAGAGGCTTCCTTCCAAATTTATCAGAAGCAAAAGCAATGAATATTGTTGTGACGCTACGAATGACGCCGATGATGACTGCACTGAGAAAATCATTGACTGCAACTCCAGCCTCGATGGAGAATTGAGAGGCATAAATAAATATCACAAAAATCCCAGAAAATTGTTGAATTGTAAAGAACGACACCATGACAAGGAAAGGTTTGTAAAGTTCAGGCTTTCGGAGATCTTTCCAGTTATCAAACATTGATTGCTTTTCAGTAACAATTCTCTTATTTAATCTTATTTGCTCAATTTCTTGATCAATTAATTCATCAGTTTGTTCTATAAAAAAGTTCAAGTGAAATCGTTTTAATCACACGATAAATTGAAAAAAACTTACGAAGATTTCTTAACAATGCTAAAGCTTTTCTCGCTTTCTCAAGTTTGTTTTGTGTGACTAAGAAAACTGGCGACTCAGGAAGAATAATGCAAACAATAAGCGCCATTAATGTTATGCCACCAGCAATCAAACTTACTAAACGGAAATCATTCTAAGATGTGGAAAATTATTTTCTTTTTGTCTTTCTAATTAAATTCTGTTAATTGATGAACTCACGGGTATCATAAAACCAAGAAAGTAAATGACAAGAAGTCCAGTAGCGGTGAAAAATGGCGATGACATTAAAGTCATTCTTCCTCTAAGATTTGGATGACAAACTTCAGAAACGTACATGACAATTGGTGCTGTTGTCATGCCAATTTGAATCCCAATGATCGCTCTTGCTATCATCAGTTGAGTGAAGAGAATATCAACATTTACCCGACTTGAGAATCCCATTAGAAGCCATGACACAATCGCGATAACGCTCAACGCCAAAAGCGTGCTTCGTCTTCCTATTTTATCACACAAATAACCCGAGAGTGGAGCTCCAAAGGGACATGCGATTGCCGTGATGGATGCAAACCATGACACTTGAGATGATGATAAAGCAACGTCACCTTGTGTAAGAAGCTGTGATGTTATCGAAGGATAACCCAAACCCATTCCCGAAGCAAGCACAGATAAACTTCCAAGTAACGAAATTATAATCTAAGAAAGCATAAATAAATTGTTGAATTCTCTAGATGGAGATTAGAAAGCTTATTCACTTGAGTTAAGGCTACACGATATGAAAGTCCATCGTTTGATTTTCCTTCTAAGTTGTAGCTTTTTGATTTATCGATGCAACAAAAGATTGATTTTGACATCATTTTACTAAAAAAAAACTCTTCAATGTTCACTGAGTATCAAATGAGAACTAAACGGAAAACAATTCACGACTCCTCAGATGTTTTTATCTCTTTAAGAGACAAGTAAACAATTTTCGAAAATTCTCTTGCGATATTTAATTAAGAAAAGAGAAAATCAAAGAATTTTCATTGAGAATATGAAGAAAATGTTTTCAATCAATGTGAAACTTTTCATAGTTAATTAAACTTACTTTTATTGGAAATAAAACTTTTATAAACAATTATGAACTTTGCAATTGATGTCATGTCGTTATCTTAGCTATAAAACAAACACGCGATTGAGAATTGTTTAAGTTTCTGCTAAAGTGACGCTTGGAAGTGTTTAAAGAATGAATTTGTCACCATAAAGACGTTAAAGTCGTCACTGATTCCTCAAATTTCCATCTGACGTAACATGCAAAAGAATTAAATTTTCTCTTTTTTATTTTGGCACAAACACAAAAAAGCTTCAAATGCCAGATTAATGACGCAACAGAATAGAAGATGTTAATGATTTTGACTTGGCTTCGACAAACGTTTTATAAAACGTAGAAAATGTAAAATTGAATTACTCACTCTACATACTGCTCATTCTTCTCAGCTGTCTTTGAAATGGGCATCATCAAGATGTTGGGTATGAGTGGATATTCTGTTATGTCTTGACTTCGTTGCTGAAGAAGCTTCTTTTTACTGTAATGAAAATGACGTGAAAGGAAATCAAATTAAAATAAAGAATGAGCATAGAAATCAGATTTAATGTTGAAAAGTGCGAACACTCGATAAAAGTCTTCATCACGGCGCAGACACAAAGTGCCAATCATAATCCATTATCGACGCTATGAAACACAACATAGCGGAAGTTATTTTGAAGAGATAATAATAAATTCAATATTTTTCACCTCGTCAGAATTTGCATAATGAATGGATGAAGCACGACGATAAACATCGTCGCAAATTGGACGCTATGATTATAATGATAATGACGAGTCTTCGTGTCTGATATGCTTGTTAAGTTGTTAGTGTTATTTTGATGCTCTCTCAGATTTTATTGCTATGTGAATTATGCCAAAAATAGCGCAAGAAATTGGCCAAATAAAGAATTGAAAAAAGTTTCATGCACGCTTCAGCGTTTTTAACGAAATCATCAACAATTTAAAAGAGAATCGTTTTACTTTATTTACGATCTTCGGTTTCTAAATAAAGTCAAAAATTTTACACTTTTCTCGAGTTCAAATCAATTCGACTTGCGAGCTTAAAAAGACAAAATTTATTACCGACATTAAGGTAATTGTTTCCGAAAGCTATTCTCGTTAATTTTCTTGTTGATTTGCGAAAAAAATTCTTCTTTTTACTATGCTAAGTGATTCAGCAGACGTCTAAGAAGCGAAACAGTGAACGGAAATTGATAAAATTTCCTTTCATCATCGTTGATGATTCATCAGAAATTTCACAAAACAGAAGCAAATCTTCAGATAAGTTTAGCACGAGAATCGTCAGTCGTATTAAAGTGAAACTTTAATTTTAGCACTTGTCAATGATAGGCAATTGAGAGCAAGCGACACGAGTCGACACGAGTTTTCAATAAACCCAAATTAAGACCAAGTAGAAGCAAATGAAACTTTTTAATGAACTCATGAAGCATTCCTTATTTAAACCAAGTCCCCAAGGATCACGTTTGCTTATTCGCAAAATGTCTTTCACAGCGACTGGAATTCTTTTTATTTTTCTCTTGAAAAATGTAGAATCGGGTTTTCGATTTCAAATCATCCATGGCTACGACACTGCCATCAAAAATCATCCACATCAAGCATCTTATCATTCACAAAATGTGTTTGTTTGTGGAGCATCAGTTTTGTCTGAGAAATACGTTTTAACTGCTGGTAAGAAACGAAGAAATTCTAATGACAATTCAAGACAATTAATCTGCTTTTCCAGCTCATTGCACTGAACAATATAGGAGAGATGTCACAGTAAGAGTCGGTTCATCATTTTACAACAAAGACGGAGTGGTCATTGCTGTTGCTGAAATTTTTCAGCATCCCGGCTTTGATTTAATATCTTACAATAATGATTTTTCAGTACTTTTACTTGAACAAGAATTAGCCTTCAGTGACAGCATCAAACCTGTTTATCTTCCAAATGACAATGAAATTATTCCGACTGGAACTGAGTGCAAAATATCGGGATTCGGTGTGAAAGCCGAAAACTCTATGACAGCTTCGGAACAACTTCAAGCAACTGATGTAATCGTAGTTGATCATGCAAAATGCGCTGAAAGCTATATCGCATCTCCTTTGTTTTTCGAAATTACGGAACAAATGATTTGTGCTGCTGATGCAGATCCTGAAAGTTCAAAAGATAACCGAGACAGCTGTTCAGGCGATTCAGTAAGTTTCCTAAAAACCAATAAGACGTTTTTCTTAAACATTTTGCTTTTCAGGGTGGCGCAATTATTTGTTCAGGATATCAAGTTGGAGTAATTTCAGCTGGGAATGGTTGCGGACGTGAAAATTTTCCAGGAATTTATGCAAGTGTTGCACAAGGTCGAGGTTGGATTAGAGATATTACTGGTATTTAAATTGCTAACCAGTAAGTTTGTTCAATAAAGAAATCTTCGCAATTGTTCTTTTTCTCTTCAATCATCATTTATCAATCTTCAGTCAAATATTTGATAGAAAATTTATGTTTATCGCTTCATTTGTATTTATAAAATGTTTATGAAATTCTGCAAGAGTTTTCTTCATCACAATCGATCTTATGCTTAACATTATTAATGCTGACTCTTTGATCAGCATGCAACAATGGAATATTATCAATTATTCTTTGGATCGATTGTCAAGGCGCCACAAAAAAAAGCAACAACAATCAACGATTTGCGACACCATTCAAGAAGAAATCAACAAATGTTTGTTTTCGTAAACTACTCACAAAGATTTCTATGACAATCAGAAGACAAATAAATAAAAGTTTGTGTCGAATTCCTTTTCGATGAATGTTTATTTGTTGTCGCTCGTGATTGTTGTCATGAATGGTGTAGAATATTTATTTAAGCCCTTAAATGACGATTTATCTTCACTCGAAAATGAAATATTAGAATTCCAGAAATCATCAAGTTTCTGTTGGAAATTCTAAAAATAAATTGCATAAAACTACATAAATTTCAAACATATGTTGGCAATAAACTATTTCAAACGAAGCTTATGCGAATCGTAAAAATATCGCAAAACTAAATGCTTAAAAAAACATAAAAGTTATTTTCTGTCATAAAAAAGAAATTATTCGTGTATTTATAGAAATTTGAGAAAAGTTTTCCACAATGCTCGTATTTAAGTATATAAAACAAATTACTTATACAAACTCAGGCGTTGAAAATTGTTCAAGTTCTTGTTTGTAAAAATCATTTTTCTCGGTCTTGTTCTGCTTTTTTCTTTTCCTCTTTATTTTTTTGGGTATATTGTCAAGTTACGACACTTATTTCCTTCTATCATCGTCTATGCCACTAATCTTTATTATGACATGAATTGCAATTCATTTCATCGCTGCAAACTGTCGCTTATGGTTTACACGAACTTCTAACATCATAAAGACAAGCACGACAATTTCCCTTTTATGGTGATTTCTACAACAACTTGTTTTCGATGCTTCTCTCCGTTTTCAGTATAAACTTGTAGCATTTACATTGCAAATTTTCCAGGTCACGACGATCAATCTTTGGTCTAAACATATTAAACACTATGCTGGTCCACTTTTCACCCGCAAAATAAACACAAAATCTACAATTCATAATCGATTGCTTTTAGTACTTCCGTTTGACGTTAAACAAATGAACAGGTGAATAAGCAAAGCATTCTTTTACTCTTTAAAAGCTTCAATCAACATCATATCACGCAAACTTCATCGCGAAGTTTCTCTTCCTTCCAAAATCCAAAACCGAAGTAAACGTTTCACGAAACCAAAAATATTCTTCGTTTCCTGGATCCAACCGTTCGTTTATTGAAAAAACAAAATTCAATGAACTCTGCATTCAGTTAGCACTCGAAAAAAAACATTATAAAAAGATATCAAAAAAGTTTTCCACACTTTAATCGAAACATTCACAAAGAAATTATTCTCGCCTGGGAGCAAGGAAATTAAAACGTCTTGCAATTAATTAATGAAGTTGAAAGTATCTTTGGTTAGTACTTTGACGAAATTACAATAAAACACGAATTTTGCAACGTCAACAGCAACGTGCAAGAGCTGACTGAAAACAAAACAGCCTTTCAAAAAAATTTCCCTTTTTCACCGAATCGAAACCCAGAACGGAAAAACATAAACATTTCGATTTTTCTATGTCGGTATCGAAGCATATTTGACCTAAAAACTGCAATTATGCTAAGAGCTTCTTCCCTTTTTCCTTCGTTCCCGTTTGCAACGACACAATGCGAGTATAAATGAAACATTGAAGGGAATAGAAATCAAATCATTGTTTGTTCCTTTGACATGATTCATTAAGCGGAAAATGGTTATGGAGCTTAATGTGAACATTTACAACAATATAAACTCCCGTTCGTGGCTTCCTAAATTTAAATACTTCAATATTACAAGAGAATAAAGCTTTATGATTAACTTTTTTCCCTTCAAGTTCTTTTATTCATTGGACGAACGTTCATCGTTCTATGTACAGCGAATGTAAGTACAAAAAGAAAAAGTTCAACAAACTATTCGTTTATGGGCAGAAATTATGTTGTTAGGTAAATAATTAAATGAACAACAAAAGATTCATTTTTATCACAAGATGATTTTAATGGAAGCCGAACGAATTGATTTAAGACAAAAAATAATTAAATTCATTAAAGTTTGGTTTTGTGTCTGCAATAAATCTGACCTGAACATCTGCTACTTAAAAACATTTTATTGTGTACTTGACGAGCACTAACACGAGAGAGGCCGGTCGATAATGAAATGAAGTAATAAAAAGAGTTACGAAATAAGTTATGTTTGCGACCTCCAAACTTACTGACCGTCCCGCTATTTTTTTATGGTAATAATTTATGCCTATACTAAGTTTTGTATTCGACAAAATATGCAGGGGCGTTGGATGGTAAAACTTGTTTATTTATCAACCGCTTACACCTCACAAAAAGTGTTACATTCACGTGGTGTCAAATCTTTATTCCCCAAACATTGACAATACAAACCAATTTGTTATTTATCTACTTCTTTCGCAAATTAAACTTCACAACACGCAGTTGATTTGTTTTGACATGTCACTGAGTAGTAAAAGTTTAATTTTAATTTACTTCACAAATTGTTGCTGTCATTCTTAGTATGTTGATGGGAATTTGATTTAAGCCGCAAAAAGGCCGCAATTAAAATATTCATGATTACTTCTTTGCATGTACTTAATTCATATTATTATGTTCAGTTCATTTAATCACAATTGAGTTAAAGATATGTGTAGAGATGTATCAAGTTAGAAGATTTGCGTAGAGATTTCATTACCAAAATTTAAAATCGCAAAATTTCTTTGATTGGCATTTCCGTTTCCAAAAATCTATGAATTTAGATCGTGAAACTTAAAACTTTGTTTACAATAACAAATTGAAGATTTTCTTTTTTTAAAAACAATTCTCACTTTCTATTTTCTTTTTCTGATGTTGAGTTTATCTTTGAAATTTTCCACAATTAAAACTTCTTAACAATTTTTATTTAAGACTTCATCACTGCTCAACGCATCAACATTGACTGAATGAAATAAAAAACATGTTTGAACGATGCCCATGTTAACACAATCCGCGAACGCGAATAAAGAAAAAAAAAGGTAAATAAGAGAAACAAATAATCGAATATTTATGTATAAGAACGTCTGAATGACTGCAAATGCTTTTTGTGTCATTTCCCCACATTATTCTCCGTCTTATTTATTATCAATCAATTTTCATATGCCATTTGAAAACTCCATTTAATATTTTTTCTACCTTGATTCTTACTTTGATTCAAATGTTTTTTTTTTCAATCACTGAGACCCTCAACTACCTAGCAAGAAATCAGCGTCATAGTAACATGAACAGCTAAAAACAATAAATGCGTATTAAAGGTTGAAGGGAGCATGAATATTGCTTGAATAAATTAACTAAATAGTTTAGGATTGGGGATGAATTGAAGTCGATAAAGACGATTGTTTTAATGATTATCATGTGCGTAGTTTCAAAGATTGAATCGCTCAAAATCAATTTACTTCATGTGAATTTCGAAAACATCAATAAACATCATCAAAATTGTTCAACTGCACTTCGAAGTAATGTTATTTGCTTCATAATTTACGCTCACTCCGAGAATGGAATTATCAGCGCAATTTTATGTTTATTATTTAATATTTATTGCCTTTCAAACTCTTTCTTTTGTTCTTCTTTTTCGATTGTCTTGCCAATCATTTTGAATTAATTCTCAAAGAATATTTTGTTTGATAATCAATTTAAGTCAATGGAACGAAGATTTAATGTCTAACAATCAATGAATAAATTTTATTATAAATATTGCCACGATAAATTAGAATTTTAAATTTCTCTTCCACATAATTCAATGATTTCAATGGTAGGCATTTAAAATGTCATAAATTTCTCAAGTGAACTTCTCATACCCCCATCAGGTGCTGTAAATTACATTCTAAAGGTACCAAGAAACTAATTTGTAATAAACATTTTTTTATTTCTTTTACAAACTTAATTTCCGTTCGATAAGAAAGTTAAAAGCATTTTCCAAGCGTTTGCTTCCTTAACCTAATTATAAAAAACCGCATGATGTGTTGGAGTGTAAAGCGAATAAAATTTCTTATCCCAAAAGCATTTTAATTTGACTTCACAATTTTTCTCATTATTTTTGTAAAACTTTTCTTCATTTATTAAATTACAAATGGGGATGTGTAACGCGCACATTACATCACTATCATAATTAATGTTGTGCTATGAAATAACAGCAACCACAGACATGAAAGCTTTTGATGATATGAGACACGAATTACTCAAGTACGTAAAAAAAGCGAATTAAATTAATTTCTGTAAAAACTTCTGTTGCAAATTCAATCACTGGAGCGTGGTGTTTCCATAGCCTGCGTCGTTCATTTACAAATGAACTAAGCAGATTTAGAGCATGAAATTATCTTTAATGACTCAAATGAAATTTGCACTATAATTTTTATGATTTCAATCTTAATTGCTTAGGAAATGAATGACTTTCAATACGATAAACTTTTATGAGTTATGTTATGATTCTAGACTACATTTTTGAAGCTTTTTCTCAATGCTTATAAATTTTAATTATGCCTTTGTTGTTTTCTTTTAAAAGCTTTACCGATTTTCCATTTAAAAGTCATATGAAAGTTTATCCTGCAGAAAATTGAAAGCGATGCAGTTAAAAATGTCAATTTCTCATTACAGAAAGTTAATTAAGCTGTCGACTTACATCCGAATGCTATTTAAATGTTTTAAGTGAAAAATTTATCGCTTTCGTTCATGCACAATTAAGCAACGGTGTTGCGGATCAATAAAGTTTAAAACTCATCGACGACTGATTCATTTAAAACGGGTGACGAAGAGAGAATAAAGTTTGCGACTTCAAGCTCAATTAATCAATGAAACAAACAACGTAAATACACAAATTTCCTTAATCGTTTAATATCGAATAAAAATGCACTTTCCGGTTGAATGAACAAAACAATTTTGGCGTCGTATAAACGTAAACAAGCGGCAATTGTCATACTTTGTGTTTCCTTTTTTAAGCAATGGGGATTAAGTTTCCGATTTTGTATTTTTTGGAATTATTTTATTGTGATGTCAACAAACTTATTAACTCACTCATCGTGCTTTCCGATATGGAATTAAGAGGTAAGGTTTGCAATTAATGAAAGACTTTGATAAGTTTCTTAAGGTGAGGTGATTGTCATCATAAAACATTCATTAGTGTTGACCCATCCCTATGAAGACATCCCACAGAATTATTCACCGAAAAAGTGTCAAAACTAATCTAAATTAATACGCTACTTCCGGTGATATTGTTAAGGTTTTATTGAAAATCAATTAATTATTACAAACTAATCTGAATCTTAATTAAGCACGCTGATTGAATCGTCATTAATTATTTTTCATCCATTTGTAAACGAATTGCGTCAGTTTCTTTAACATTGCCCTAAAATTCCACTTCAAATATCGTACTCGACGACACAATATTTGTTTATGGTCAAAAAAGTAATTTCGACAAATATGAATAATTCATGGACATTTCTAGGGTTTTATTTGTTCACTTCTTTGCCGATTTGATTCATGTTTATCGATCACTTGTCNGTAAACGAATTGCGTCAGTTTCTTTAACATTGCCCTAAAATTCCACTTCAAATATCGTACTCGACGACACAATATTTAAAATTATTTTGTCGAGAGAACGTAAAAAGTAATATATCACAAAACACAATCACGGAAAGTGTGATTCGCGTTCGTATTCCGTGATTGTGTTTTGTGAGACACAATATTTGTTTATGGTCAAAAAAGTAATTTCGACAAATATGAATAATTCATGGACATTTCTAGGGTTTTATTTGTTCACTTCTTTGCCGGTTTGATTCATGTTTATCGATCACTTGATTCACGCTGGTCATGGCTACTTCACTTATGGGTGTTTTCCATCATTAAAGCGTCTACCATTGCGTGTTGATTTAGTAATTAGACTGAGTTAGTTAACGTGACATCAGCACGAACTTTTCGAGATTAATTTTTTCTTTAATCGCAAATTTTCTTTCCTTTTGTTAGCTTTTAACTTTAATTAAAGCAAGTTACGATGTTAGCACTTATTTTGACTTTCAATCGATGTTATTAAAGCATTAATTGAATGCAATTTCAAGTCATTGTTTATAATTGGTTTGTGAAGAGACTTATGTAATCTTCATAAGCAGATCGCAAATGCTGATAACAAAGCTTCATGAATGAATAAACTGGATCAAGTTCAAATGCATGCAGTTCTAGAAAATATGCGGGGGACATCGATGCAGTTCAGACTGAAAATATCGATCGGAAGCAGTAAAGAAATAATGAAATAAAATGAGTGGGAAAAGTGCAGTTACTTGATTCATGTTGGCTGTTTGTAGACATCATAAAGCGTTTTTATTTATTATTAGACTGCATTTTCGATCATTGAACTGCATTCAAGCAATTAAACTAAATGATGTCTGAAGAGATTTAAATTAAATCCAACCAACCTTATTTGAACGAGCAAGTTCATGTTTATTGATGTTTGTCTGCGATTGAAGCTTCATTTTTGAGGCGTTGTCCTCGCTTTCAGCTTAATTCAGACAAGGATAAAGTTCAAAATGCTTTCAAAAGTCACACCAATCGCTTTATTATTTTCTATTTCGGAAAATTGGAAATATTAAACTTTCTAGACGAAACGATTCTTTTATTCAACATGCAATTGATTTTTTCACGATATTAAAGCTGGCAATGAGAATAACGAAGCATTTTTTCATTTGTCATGTTTTCGAACATTAAATCAAAACGTCACCGCTTAAATTCTCGATTTGACGCTCAAACTTTTCTCCCCGTTACATTTTTATATCAAAATAAATTTAAATAAATGAACGAACATTGAAGTCGAAAGTGAATTAAGCCGATGATTTATGATTTCGGGTTTAGTTTAGTACCCGATAGGCATCAATGGACTTGAAATCAATAACTTTCATTCCACAATTGAAAAAGAAAAAGATTTTTCACTGAATTTGTTACAATCTTGACCTTGTTTTGGCTCATGGGATTCCGTTGATATTAAAATAGCGATCGGTATTTTCAAGAAAAATTTCTGTGCGAAACTCATTAACACGCTGCCTTAAAACATTGTGAATTGAACGCAGCACATTCAATGAATCTATTTTTAGTTCAAATTCGCATTGGCTTTTAAATGTCGTGTCTAATTTTCTGATCTTTTCATTTCGTGTTTCATCACATTTTGAATTTGATTTTTCAGCCATTTTCATCAGAACTTGAAAAACTGTTGGAAAATATGTTGCAAATTGTAATGACATTTTCATCAGAACATTAAAACATTTTCATAAAATGGAATTCCGTGCTAAGAGGATCTTAGGAAAGTTTTCGTGACATTTTCATTTCTTAAAACTTGATTATCAGCTAGTGAAGTTCATTGAAACTTTGATAAATGTTCTAATTTAAAAGTTGTTTGTTTTGAGGGGAAATGTTATCGACAATGTAAACTTAAAATTTTCTTATTCCTCGATAAACTTTTATGAGTTTTCCATGCTATCAGTTGTAAAAAGTTGTTCTGTAACCTTGAGGATATTCACTGATAAATCTTTTAATGATTATTACGACAGCAAATATTCAATAGAAGCGTGCAGCAGTTGCTTGTCAATATTCTAACAAAACGTTGTATGAAATCACATAATCAATGCTATTATTATACTCAAATTAATGTTAATAATCTATGAACATCGATTAAATTCATCTCAATGACTATTCAGCACGATTCTCCAATATTATTTCTTGCCACATACATAACGAATTAAATACACTAAAGAAGATGGAAAAGTAAATATTTAGCTGGAGTTCCAAGCACTGTGTAAAAAGAAGAAAATTCCTCTTTGGTTGCATCATGACATAGACCTTGAAAATCGATAAAACAAGGGAAGTGTCTTCTGTTTTTGTCTCTGCATTCAAAGTTCCATCTGTATATGCATTCGACAAGAAAGTTTTGCTATGATTGAATGAAACAATGATTCATCTTAGTAGACAATAAACCGGCGCGACATATTTAAATCCAGACATAAACAAAACTCCGTTTGTTTTCTAACTTTTAATTAAAAGGTGATAAAAATGTGGTTTATAATGTAACAGATTAATTAGTCTGTTTCTTAAAAAGTCAATTAAGTTGCACGACCACGCCAGACAACAGCACGAAGTGGCAAGATAGAAAAATCAATAAAAAAATAATTTTTTTTCGCACTTGTATCTTCTTCACAAAAGTTTTTAAAGATTGGCCAAAGTTTACTCACCTAAATATCTTTGAACACTTAATTGAGGATTCTTCATTAAATGATTAACACTTGAATTAATTTATTTACTTTTATTACGAGGTTTATCAAGCACACTAAAATTTAGACATCACTTAAAATTATCAACCTTATTCGTTGCCCGATAAAACACAAATGCAAGCATTTCTCTTTAAAAAAACACATGGGAAACAAATCCAGAGAGAAAAATGAGAGCGAAAGAGAAATATTTTTGCGAGCAAGTTGTTTTCAAGATCAAGATCAAATATTTTCATCTACTTAATTAAAATTACGAAAATTAGAATCTTAAGACTCTAAATTCTTATTGACCTACTTATGTACATATAAAAAATATTCTAAAAAAAATACCTAGATAAAAGAAAAAAATTTTATAACGAACTAAAATTTGAATTACAAAGTCTGTTCAGAAAACTCAATCAGTTTTATGTTTGCATATTTTGATTGCCGGCTCTCAAGGTAATTAAGTTAAATTCATTTTTCTGAAAGGAATGCTTCGTATAAGAAAACCAAGAGGTTGGTCCTTTACTACCATTGCATTCGTTACAGTTATTGGAGTGTTCGGTGGACTTTATATTTATTATCCACTGCTGATTCCACAGAGTTTAGAGAAAAGAGAAGAAAATCTTATACAAAATACTGAAGAAAAGAAAATACCAAAGTGAGGAAAAAAGTTTACTAATTGTTTTATTCATTTATTCTGTTGTATTCTCGTAGATGACAAAAATAGATGCAAAACTAGCAAATACATTAGGACTGATGATTGTTGGATTAGGAATATTATCCACTTCAGTAGTAGTTTGGAAATGGAATCTTGGACCTTATTTTAAAAAACAAAAAGCGATCGAGGCAGAAGAATGGGCAAATTACATTTATGAGCAAGAACAGAGAAGAAATCTAGAGACGTATGAAAACCGAAAGTTCGAATAGTAAATATCTGTCAAATAAGTAGAAAAAAAAATGTTGAAATTGGGAAACTGGAATAAAAGTTGAAAAATTTACTGAACATGCTCATTTGTTTACAAAAGGCTTGCAAAAAGTGCGAAGAAAATCTCGAATTGATTTTTTTTTAATCTGTAGTACAAATAATCCTAAGAATTTGTTCTTCAAAAATATAAACAAGTCACTGCCTTTCTCCTCGACAAAGATTCAAAATGTATCAATTCGTAGAAACACGTGCTGCATCGACATCAGCAAATGCTTTGATTTTGTTGCAAAATAACAGATCAAAAGTTGGAAAAAGTGTTTTAGATTTTCCATTAAATAGGAAACGGCTGAAATTGTTAAATGAAGCTAAACAATTCAGTGAAAGAAGTACAGGAATAGCTTATTGGATGTCACGTAACCAACGTGTTCAGGACAATTGGGCTCTTTTGTATGCCCAAGAACTGGGACTGAGAAGTTCACTGCCAATTCATGTCATTTTCTGTTTAGCTGAATCATTTCTTGAAGCAACCATTCGCCACTTCAAATTTATGATTGAAGGATTAAAAGAAGTTCAAAATGATTGTGAGAATCTCAATATAAATTTTCATCTTTTAAGAGGCAACGCTGGAGATGAAGTTCCGAAGTTTGTAAAAGATCACAACATTGGTACGTTAATTTGTGACATGAGTCCACTGAGAATTCATCGCCAATGGGTTGAAGATATCAAAAAAAATATTTCACCTGATGTTCCATTCGTACAAATCGATGCGTAATAACTTTTAAATCTTACAAATGACTGAAGATAAAATAATATATTTAATTATTTTCAGATATAATGTTGTCCCTGTTTGGGTAACATCTGACAAAGAAGAACCAGCTGCATACGCTTTGCGTAATAAACTCATGCCAAAACTTAAAGAATTTCTTACTGAATTCCCTCCACTAATACGACATCCACATAAAGCAAAGTCACCAGCAGCTTCAATTGATTGGAATCGTGTAATCAGTTCTTTAAAAGTTGATCGTTTAGTTCCAGAAGTAACATGGATAAAGCCTGGTTATAAAGCAGCAGTTTCAATGCTTGATACTTTCATAAAAGAAAGATTAAGAAATTATGCGAAACTTCGCAACGATCCCGTTCAATGTCATAAAGCAGTTTCCAATTTATCTCCTTATTTCCACTTCGGGCAGTTATCACCTCAACGTGCTATGATCGAAGTTGAAAAAAGTAGAGAAAAGAGTAAGGAAAATGTCGAATCTTTCTTCAATGAAGCTGTTATTTGGAGAGAGCTGGCTGAGAATCTTTGTTATTACAACAAAGATTATGACAACTTCAATGGTGCCAAAGATTGGGCAAAAGCGACTTTAAGAAGTCACTTGAAAGATAAAAGAGAGTACATTTATAGTTTAAAAGAGTTTGAAGATGGAAAAACTCATGACAACATGTGGAATGCAGCTCAACTTGAGATGAAAGTAACAGGAAAGATGGCTGGCTACATGAGAATGTATTGGGCAAAGAAAATTCTTGAATGGAGTGAAACACCCGAAGATGCAATTAAAACAACAGTTTACCTCAATGATCGTTACAGTCTAGATGGAAGAGATCCAAATGGTTATTTGGGGATCATGTGGAGTATCGCTGGAATTAACGATCGACCATTTACCGAAAGAAATGTTATCGGAAAGATTCGCTACATGTCGTATCATGCCTGCTTTCAAAAGTTTGATGGAAAAGCTTATGTTGCAAAACATTGCGGGGGTGCAGTTTATAAGAAAATGTAAATCTGAATTAAGTATGAAACTATAATTCATAAAAAAATATTTTTCTAATGAATTTTGAAGTGAAGTGAACGCAATAAACTGAAAAAGTACCAAATTCGTCATTTTTGTTGTTTCTTATATTAACAAGACCAGCTGTTGTTTATTTGTTGAAGGAATTTTTATCTCGTGAATCTTAAGACCTTCAGACGCTTATCATTGATGAAGTCATTTCATCTTTTCCAGGAACAACATTTGATGATGACAAATTTTATTTTATTTCATATAAAAACAGTTTCCATATTAGATTAATGATTCAGTTTGTAAAAGAAACGATAAGATGAATTATCAAGATAAAGTGAAAGAAATTATTGAAAGGAAGAATCTTGATCAAGACGATGATGCATTTTTCATTTATAATGTTAATAATGTGATCAAACAACAGCAAATGTGGGTCCAGCAGATTCCCAGAGTGACGCCTTATTTCGCTGTTAAATGTAATAATAGAAAAGCAGTTCTTTCAACAATGGCATTACTTGGTAATGGTTTTGATTGTGCCAGCAAGTTAGAAATAAATAAAATACTTAAACTCGGTGTTCAACCTGATAAAATAATTTTCGCAAATCCAATCAAGCAAATTTCACATATAAAATTTGCAAGGAAAGTTAAAGTCAACAAAATGACTTTTGACTGTTATGAAGAACTGTTGAAGATCAAAGAACATCATCCAAAAGCTGAAGTTATTTTAAGAATTCGTTTTGATGCAGAGAAATGTTTAATTTCATACGGAAGGAAATTTGGTTGTGATCCAATCAAAGAAGCGCCAGATCTCATATTAAAGTGCAAATATTTGAAACTTAATCTCATTGGAATTGCATTTCATGCTGGCTCAAACTGTGATGATTTCAAAGTCTTTCAAAAGGCTCTTGCAGTGATTAGAAAGCTTTTTGATTATTCAATGGAGATTGGAATTCGAATGAATTTTATTGACATTGGTGGAGGTTTTGTTGGAGATGATTTACAACTGATGGAGAAGTATTCTGATGACATCAATACAGGAATTGATAAATATTTTAATGACGATAATTACACGATAATCTCAGAGCCTGGAAGATATTTTGTATCATCAGCTTTCACATTATTTTGTAAAGTAATCGCAAAGAAAGACAGAAAAGATTCAATGGGTCATCTTACTTCAATCGATTATTACATCAACGACGGAATATTTGGATCGTTTCTAGGAAAATTTCTTGGGAAAACATTGAACAATCAAATGTTTGAAGTCTTTCAATCTTCTAAAGAACATGAAAATGTTTACAAATCTACAATCTGGGGTCAAACCTGTGACATAATTGATGTTGTAGCTGATCGAATTTATCTTCCACTTCTTACTGTCGGTGACTGGTTAATGATCAAAAACATGGGAAGTTACACAATGTGCACTTTTGTTGGCTTTAATGGATTCGAAAAAAGAAAGATTTTTCTTATTGTTATTTAAAATGTTCCATAAATAAATTAATTAACATGCTCAAAATTGGGACGACTTTAAACCTCTTTAAAGGACCCCGAATTATAAAATATGACTGGAACTTGATATTTTATTGAAATTAATATCTTTAAAGAAGAAATCTTTGAAAACAAATCGCATAAAATTCACATTTAATAAAAAAAAGTTCAAGTACAGTTAAACTTCGATAAGCTGCTACTTCTATAATCAGATATCCTTGATAAGCGGATATTTTTTGGCACACACTCGAATTTGTGTGAAGAATTGCCCCGATTATCAGATATCCTCGATTAACTGATGCCCCGATAAACGGTGGTGAAATTCATATGAGAAACTGACCTCAATAAGCTGATAAACTGAAAAATTTAAAATCGGGGGTCTTCAGTTACTCAGTTGCTCAAAATTCGAATTTAACGATTGTTTTATTTAAATTCATATGATTTGTACAAAGTGAACACATTCAGACCAAAAGTGATTTTTTATTTTTAAAAATGTTAGCATCATATAAAAAAGTAAAGCACCAGGCTAGAACTTATAAGCAAAAAATGCTTATTATTAATAAAGTCAAGAATGATGGTGAATCAATTTCAAATGTCATGAAACAATTCAACATCAAGCAGTCAACAATCTCCGCAATTATAAAATCTTCGCAAACAATTGAATCAACAATTATTTATTTTGCGATAACAGTTAATTTAACGGATTTTTAAATTTTAAACCCGAAATAATTCTAATGAATACCCTCAAATCCTTGATAACCAGATATCCTCGATTAACAGATATTTTTTTGCGTCCCTTGAAATATCTGTTAATCGAAGTTTAACTGTATAAAAATTTTCTGAGTTGTCAGTTTGGAGAAATTTCCATCCACATATGATGTCTGATTATAATTCATTTTTTTTAAATGTCTGTAAGACTAATTTCTTTCTACATAGGTCATTATGCATCCACTGTTTCTTCCATAATTTTTCGATAATTGAGCTGTTCGTCAAGCATTCTCAGGAACACTTTATATTTTCTTGAATGAAACAATTCCGATGATTGGTCGGGAAATATTTGAGAGCAATCATTACTCAATTCTTCTGCAGCAGATTTAAGGTCTTTGTACACACCACTACCAGTTGCAGCTAACATAGCTGATCCCAACAGAACGCTTTCTTGTTCATTTGAAATTAAAATAGGAATTCCACATATATCCGCATGAGTTTGAAGGAATAATCTATTCTTGCTTAAGCCTCCGCAAATCAAAATTGATTTAAATTTTTTTCTGCCTGATTTGTACAACGATTCTATGATATGTTTTGTACTGTAAGCCAACGATTGAATTGTAGCAAGATATGTCACTAAAATTGAATCGTGCATTGTGCAACCACAAATCATCCCTTTAAGAGTATTGTCACCTAAAGGTGAACGATTTCCATGGAAATCAGGATAAATGTGATAATGTTTTGTAAGCTCATGGAATGAAGAAAGATTTTGTTCTGATGCCAGCTTTGCAATTTCATTGTTAAGATGTTCATAAATATTTTCATCGTTTTGCAGTTCATCTTTAATCTTCTGAAAGTCGGGATGAGTTTTTAAAACGTGTTCAATAAGAATTCCGCTAGCTGATTGCCCAGCTTCAATAAGAAAATAGTCTGGCAATAGTGCATGTTTGTAAGGACCCCAGATTCCAGGAGAGAAAATGCAGTTATCAGTTATAGACATGTGACATGTGGAAGTTCCTGCAATCAGGATTAATTTTGAAGTTATGTCATTATCACTGATGTCACTCCTAGACGCTATCAAACCTAATGCGCCGGCATGTGCATCGATCATTGAAGATGCAACAATTGTTGAAGTTTCCAATCCCAATTCTCTTGCAGCTCTTTCACTTAATTTGCCAACAGGGTCACCAGGGAATAAAACTTTATTTCCTATCTTTAAGAAATTATCTGAAGTCAACTCTTTCAGTCCTATAAGATTAAAAAAATCTTCCGGCCATTTACAATTAAATGCATCGTAATTCCATTTACATGTCAATGAACAAATTGATCTCGTCATAATGTCAGTCGCTCGCCATGTCAAAAAGTCAGGCAAGTCAAAAGCCAAATGAATTTTTTCGAAGCATTTGTTCTTCATATTTTTTTTAAGCCATAACAATTTGGGAATTTCCATTTCAAGAGAAACTTTTCCACCGACAAATCGTAAAATTTCATGATTTGTAGCGTTAATTTCATCTGCTTCTTGTTTCGCACGATGATCAAGCCACATGATAATGTTTTGTTCATTGATTCCATTTGGACTTACAGTTAAAGGTTTCAAATCTTTATCGAAAAGTACTAACGAACAAGTTGCGTCAAAGCCTATTCCAGCAATTTCATATTTTGGAACGATGTGTGTCACTTCTCTCACACATTCACAAACCTTATTCCACACATCATCAGACGATTGCTCAAAGAAATTTGCTTTTGGCTTAAAAATTGTTATCTCTTCAGAATGATATTTTATAATTTTGCTTCCATTTTCTGTCTTCTGTACAAGACCAGCCCTTACTGATGACGTTCCAACATCAACCTGCATTCAATGAAGAAAGAAATGTTTACAGATTTTAATTATGATTGCACTTTTAAAACTCACTCCAACAAAGTACGACATATCTCTTCGAACGCGAAAGCTTATTTGAAAAAGTTTTATTGTACACTATCGATGTGGTCTTAAAGTGTTTGTGAATATTTCGTCACGTTGATTTTATTTGAGATATTCGCTGAGTATTTTATGTTTATTTCCAGTATATGTAGATAATTTGCGTTTATTTGATTGGTTTATTGAGAGCATATCTAATTATGTAGAAAAATAAACTTTATGAAGTTATTCAAAAAACTTTTTTTTTTACTTTCCCTAAAACATTTAAACTTTTAAGCTTTCGATGTGTCTACAGTGTGCACATTTTGCTTGGCCGTTTACTTACTTTTTTTTCGATTCGTAAACGCATTTTATGTTCAATGGAAAAAGTCAAAAGCAATCATCATCATCGTTAGAACAAAATTGAGCTTTAAGTACAGCTGAAAAGCTACTGGGCCCAGGAGTTTGACTCGTTTGAATCTTCCAATTCGGTACAAAACAAGCAAATCAAATCGGTAATAAGAAAAACAATCGAGCCGAGTTGGGATTCTAGCCTAATCAATGAAAAATGGTGACTGGTTAATGGGTAATGATCAAAAACATGGGAAGTTACACAACAAATTGTACACTTTTGTTGGTTTTAATGAATTCGATAAAAAGATTTTCTTTTTGTTACCGAAAATTTAAATTCATTAATTTTTTATTAAAGTATTGAGTCTTTAACTACAATTCATTGATGACTTCAAATATTAATTCCCAAATCTTTTGCAACAGTGTAAGCACAAACTTTCATCATTTGATCTTTGACTTTTAAGAAGTTTGCAATTGCCAAAGGCTTTCCAACTGTCCATTCGCCAAGATCGCGATAAATTGGACGAACAAATTTCATTCGGAAATTACTGTTGGCAAAAGCAAAGATTTCATCGAAGCGATCAGTCAAACGTGCTTTGATTATCAACCGCATTAGCCGAAAACGAATCTCAGAGTTCTTAGTGTTATCAAAACCATAAGTTTCAGCCATCAAAACAATTTTCGCTTCATTCAAATCACGAATTTCACTCTTATCCAACAATTGTGACAAGAATTCAATTTTTTGGATACTTGAAAGTTCCTCTCGGATGACGGGAGAGATTTTGATGTCAGCTGTTGTTGCAATCGACCATAAATCTGCGTGCTTTTTGCATGTGTCGTACACAGTTGTATCATAACTAACAGAAAGTAAAATTTGTTAACATCTTACTCTGAAATTACTTAATTTAACTCTTTTACTTACTTTGGAATAACAACTGGCATTCCTTCACTGTAAAGCCATTTATCCCAATCAACTTCTTCCAATCGTTCAGGAATCTTCTCGTTGAAATATTCGTAAACATATTTCTTGAAATCTTTCGTTAATATCGATTGATATTTGAACTGATCCAAATACTTCTTAAGAAAAAGTTCGAATATTGTAGGACCGCCAAACAAATCTTCCATGTAACGTAAGAATGTCGATCCTTTCATATATGGAACTGAACTGAAAGCATCGTCGGGTCCAACATTTGATAAATCAACAACCAGTTTAGTGAGTTCAGGTTCGTTTTTCAATTGATTCTTGAATGTATCTTTCAACTCTGACAATCCATGAAGGGCGTGAAAATCGCGATATTGACTTCCACGTAGTCGTCCGATAATTTTCTGCTCAACAAAAACCGTGAAACCTTCATTCAGCCAAAAGTGCTCAAAGTTTGCGTTCGTGACCAAATTTCCCGTCCATGAATGAGAAATTTCGTGAGCAACAACATCAACCAGAGATTTGTCACCTGCAATGACTGTTGGGGTGACGAAAGTCAAGCAAGGATTTTCCATTCCACCAAATGGAAATGATGGCGGCATGACGAGTAAATCGTAAACTTTCCACAAATATGGTCCACAAATTTCTTCTGCTGTTTGAATGAAAGTTTCGGTGTCACTAAACTCAGCTGCAGCTTCATCAACGACATTTTTCTCAGCCCAAACATGAGAACGCGGACCAACTTGCTTTGAGTAAAGATCACCAACAGCTATTGCCAATAAATAAGAAGGAATTGGAACCTTTTGTTCAAACTTGGTGATTCCAGTTTGATTTCCAACACGAATTGCACTCATTAATGCAACAAGTTCTGGTGGATGATGAACAGTGGCACTGTAAGTGAATTTTATTGAAGGAGAATCTTGACAAGGGACGATCGAACGAGCATGAATGGCTTGGCATTGACTGAACATGAAAGGATGATTTTTGTTCGACGTTTGTTCCGCATCGAGCCATTGAAGTGCGCTAGCATTGGGAGAAGTTTTGTAGTAAATAACAAGAATTAATTCGCCATCAGTTTTTGTTGGTAAATCGATTGTTAATTTCGATCCGATATCGGGAACAGTGTCAGAGATTTGAAATTTCAAAGGAACCTCGCAGTCGTTTGCTTTGACGTTTACCGATTCAATGTTAATGTCGCTGACATCTAAAAGCTGTATCGGAAAACAAAGAAAATCATTAAAAGTCTTCCAATTTCATGAGATTTTACTTACAATTTCTTCAACAAACTTTGCGATGATTATAAATTTTATGGTTGCAGATCCGGTCAAAATACTTTCACCGAAATTTACATTCCAATCAAGATCAATATGTTGAATTTTCACTAAATCTGGCTGAGAGTATGAAGATGGATCAGGTCCGAGTCGCATGATGATGATGACAATTTAAATTTAACTTTCTGAAAATAGCGGTAGGCATGCAACACCTTATTAAGAATCATACAATTAAAACAACAATTTGAATTGTTGAAAGCACAAAAAAAATCAAAAACTACTTGAACAACTGTTGTTTTGATTGATTGTGGTTTCTTATCGTATTAAGTAATTCAATTTACCTACGATTGTGAAATTTATTCTCAACGAAATATTTAGGAGAAGCGATAAAATTATTATAAAATGCCAACAGATTGTACCGATACTTGTCGACTCACTGATATGAATAAGATTACAGTTGAGTATCTTGAATACCTATTTACTAAATGTCGGATACAGTGGAAATCCTTTTCGTGTTGAAAATTTGAAAATTTCACCACAAACGTTGTGACTGGAAACGAAACGAAAATATTTACTGAACGACACAAATGTTTACAAAATTAAATAAAAGTTCAGAATTTCAAGAAAAATTTAACATCCTCAGGCTGAATGTCGATTCTTAAAAAGTCTTTTATCCCTATTGGATTTATAGCTGCCGCTGCTTTGATATCGCATTTTTTACCATCAGCTGTTAAGCCGAAAAAGGAAAGTCAAGACCTTCTACCAGAAACACAAGCTTGGAAGAAATAAAAAGATTGAAATAAAATCGAAAAGAATGGATGATCAAAAAGCTCGTAGAAGAAAGATTTTGCAAAAGTACGTGGAAAATAAATCGAAACCACTTTCAATGTTTGCTAAGGAAATGGATTTTCCACTAACAACTGTTCGAAGAGTCATAAAAAGTTTCATAGACTCAGGAACTGTCGACAGAAAAGCAGGAAGCGGTAGAAAAAAAGGAACAGGTGATAAAACTTTGGCTCAGAAGTTAAATCAAGCACTGTTGACAAATCCTAACAGAACCTTGCGTGATTTGGCTTCTGAATTTCAAACGTCTCATACAAATGTCAGGAAAATTAAAAAAAAATTGGACTATGATAAACGCAAGGTTAAAAAAAAGCCAAACCGGACAGATAACCAGAATGTAAATGCAAAATCTAGAGCTTCAAGATTAAGAAAAAAAATTGAGATTAAGAATAAAAAATAGTAAATTAAAGTTGAAAATTATTTTCCATAGAAATTTTTTGGTCTAAATTATTATATAAGCAGTCGAAGATAATGATGTCTTAAAGTGTTTTCGAATGACTGAACGAAATTTTCGAGTTTTGTTATCAAAAATAATTTAAACAAAATCTATCTACCGCAACATGGTAAAAACTTTCTTCTACCTTTTCATTTTGTCCTGTTGTTGATTGTAAGTATTTTTGCAGATACCAGCGGAAACAAGGCTAAATGTAGGTTTTCCATTATATACTCCGGATGTTTCCATCCTAACACACGATTGCACTTTAAAAAGCTAATTAATTTTATACTTATGTTGTAAAATTGCGTGATGAATTTTATTAAATATACTCAGTAAATATTTTTGTTTCTGTTATTAAAATTTAATTTAAATGCATAAATATTTGATCAAAAGATATCAGGAACATTAGCCAAACAAAAGAAATTTAAGGCACATTAATTAGGATAGAATCCACCCATTACCCATTAAAATCTTATAAATTCTAAATATTGTGATTATCAAGTTGATGTCGCTTCGACCATGTACATTCCGGATTTTCTTTCCATTGAGAAGATCCTTCGCCGTCTTTTTCCTTATAAAATTCTTTTTTCCACACTGGAACTGACTTTTTGAGTTCATCGAGGGCAAACGGAAGCGCCTCAAGACTAGTTTTACGATGCGGAGAACTAATTGCGATGATGACACTCGCCTCTTTTACTGGTACTAAGCCTAATCTGTGATGCATTGCAATATGCTTAACATCAGGCCATCGTTGTCTTATTTCATAACAAATGCTTGCCATCTCTTTCTTTGCCATCTCATTATATGCCTTATATTCAAGTGAAACGACCTTGAGTACATAAAAAAATTAAAAATCATTCTATTAGATCATCGATGCGTGTTCCATACCTCTTTTCCTTCAAAATTGTCACGCGTGGTACCTGCAAACATTGCAAGAGCGCCACAACTTTCATGTGTAACTAACTCACTTATTTCAGTGGGATCGAGCTTGTCAAATGTGAGTTTAAGAAAATCCATTTTAACCTGCTGACAGTGGAGGAATGACTGCAATTTCGTCGTTGTTTTTGAGAACCAAGTCACCTTCTTCACAATAGTCTTGATTTACTGCAAGAATGATGTTTTGCTTAATGATTTCCAGTCCAAAGGTATCACAAATAAATTGCTTCAATTCGGTGTATGAAATTTTCGATTGTAACTTAATTTCTGCTTCAGTTTTTTCCGAAATCTCTTTAGCAACGGCAAAGAAAAGAACTTTTACAGTAACAAGTTCCATTTAACAATTGATCATGTCAAATTCGTTTAATATTATTAATTGCAAATACACAATTATGTCGACTGGTAAGAATGAAAACAAACGACAGACTGACAAAATAATGTAAACGGCAATCTCCAACTTATTCATAAATCTCAGAGGTGAAAAGTGAAATATGAGTAGGACTAGCGTGGTGAATAGCAAAAAAGAATAAGAGTAGCGATTGAAGTTTTTCATGTAGGTATTTTAAATTTCTATTCAATGATTTAAGTATTGTAAAATTTAAATAAGAAGTAAATGATTTCATGATAATTTTGTTTCGAATAATTGAATTTCTTTTATAACATGAACATTTATTATCAATTTTCGATGTTTTGCTGAAAATATATTACAGCATGGTTTGGCCAAATGTATTTAATTTTTATTCCGAAATATTGAAAGCAACACTTCTAATTATTTCTTCATCTTTAACAATTGTGGTGCTGATATTTTAACTTTTCCGGGAATATTTCTAGCGAGAACTTCATCTTTAACTGACTTGAGTAAATCTTTTTCCCTGCTTGTACAAGTTTTATCTTTTAAGAACATAGCGACTGCTGTCTTCGCTGCCTTTCCACGTTTTCCAGTTCCTGGCGTTAGTTTAACTTTAAATCTGAAAGAAAACATTTTTTTATTTCACAAACTATAAATCAAATGGAAGTCTTCAACTTACTTATAATTATGTAGTGTCTGATAAGGAGCAACAACGGGGATAGCAAACAACAATTCATCTTCATCGACAGGAATGCCAGTTAATGAGTCCAACATATCAACTTCGTCAGCTGCAGGTGTGTCATCCATTTCTTCTCCAGTCTTTTGCTTCGGTTGAGGTCTTCTTGCAGCTGATTTCTTATAATTCTCTTCTTCTTCCTGTTTCTTCGTCTTTCGACTATCTTTTCCAGATCCAGATGGCTTAAGAATTTCCATAATCATAGCACGATCTTCTTCATCTTGATCCTTGTATTTTTCTTTGATTTTCTTTAACTTTCCTTTCTGACCACGTTTCGGTTGATTCTTTCCATCGTCTTTCTCTTGTTGTTTCTGTTGTGGTTGCTCGACTGGTTGCTTTTTCTTTTGTTGCTTCAACTTCTTCTCATAAGCTTTAACTTTTAAAGGAGCGGCTTGAATTAGTGTTGCCTCTTCTTGATTCTCTTCTGATAATAAACGTTCAAGTTTAGGATCAGGTTTAATATCAACTTGCCCTGTTGTGTGTTCAACTTTAATGTGAGTATCGGGAAAGTTTTTCTCGCCACCATCATCACTATCGGATTCTGAAACTTCAATCTTCAAGTTCTCAACATTTTCAGTTGGAATTTCATCCTCGGCACTATCATCGTCTCCATCAGATACAACGGGAATTTCTTCTTCATTAATCGACTCAAGTTGCTCGTTTTCAGTCATAACACTTGAAGCATCATCGTCGAATTTTCTCACTTTTCTTTCTCCACGATGTCGCTCAACTGAACCATCTTCCAACTTAAATAAGAAACTTAATCCCAGAATCAAATGACATGGAGGTAAGAAATTCTTCTTTCCTCGAATCATGAAACTTCCCGTTGATAAATATTCTCCAGTTGGTGCTGTTTTACTAACTTGTTCAGCTTTCACCCAATATGCGCTTGTAACAACTTTTGCTTCCCATGAAACGCTGTAGGAGATTGCCATAGTTCCAGCTTCAAGCAACGTTTTTGGTGGAATTTCACCACCGCTTGGATTTTTAATAACAACTGAAGAAGCTCCTTGAATTTCTGCATGCACGTAAACATCCGTTTGACGTAAATATCGTTTAACAATTAATTCATTTTGTTGCTGATCACGTCCACCAATCACAAGATAATTCTCTGACGATATAAACCAATAAAATTTTTCAAACCAAAAAGTTTTCCTTGCTTTCGAAATCGTTGTTTGAATTCTCACATCTTTTAAGGTTTGTTGTGTTTTCTTTTCAGCTGATTTTAAAGCTTTTCCACTCGCTTCTATAGTCTTTTGTTCTTTCTTTGCAGCACCACGCTTTTGGTCGTAATATCTTGTTGCATTTGAGTAAGCACTAAGTCCAAGATCGATATCAACTTCCATGTCATCAAGTTTATGTTCATCTTCTTCACGTTGGTCATCATCATCCTCATCCTCTTCATCATCTAAATTAGCAAACGGGTCTGAGAGTTTTAAAGTGATTTGATTTGTCTCAAGTTTCAATCGTTTAATAAGAGAACAAATTCGATCGTTTTGTTCTTGACGTTCTTTTATCAAATCTTTTATATCAAGCCATGAAAGTTGTTTTGCCAATAAAGCACGCATGGCATAGATTACACTGTCGACAAGAACTTGATTTCTCGTAATGAGCTCAGCTTTCTTTCTATCAATTTGTTGAACCTTTGCCAACTCTTCCAATCTTTGTGCGTGATCTTGACGAACATTTGAAAGCTTTTTAAGCGCTTCACGTTCTTGTTGGAAGGCTTTCAAATCAATTTTCTGACTTTCAACATTTGAGTAAAACTCATCAACAGCTTGAAGAAATGATGGAAATTCTCTTATTGGTTCCTTCATGTTTTGACTGAACAGAAACGGATGATACTCGATATTTGTGTAGTAGAAGTCTTCAGGTCCATCTTGAGTTGGTTTCGTTTCTTTCTTCTGAATTATAAAGCCTGATGATGGTTCTTCCATTGCTTTCTGCATCATCGTGTACATGTCGTTAATTGAATTCATAAGAATAGGAAAATCTTGGTCCATAATGAATTCACGCATTGCTTGCTCTTTGTTTCGATTCTTTTTCTTTTTCTTCTTTTTATCTTCGCCAGTCGCTTCTTCTTCAGGCTTCTCACCTCCGATTTTAACATCATTAAGATGGTTTTCAATCAAAGCATGATCAATTAATGCTGCACCAAAAGGAAGAATTGGATTGAGAATTGTTTTTAAACTGTCACCAGGACGTGCTTCTTTAATTTTTTCTTTAACAAAAGTCATCGATGGCGGTCCATCATTAGCTCGAGCTCTTGATAAAGGATATTTCTCACGAACAGCAAATCGAATTTCTTCACCTTCGACATGTGGTCTGAGGACGTTCAAAATGATGTATTCGTAGTCGCAAAGAATAATATTTCCTCGATCGTATAACTCTAAAATAACGTGATAACAAGCTTCGCCAGTCCCAAACTGTAAGTCGATAATTCGATCGATTCCAAGTTGATTAATTGCTTCCAGTCTCTTATTCTTCAAATGCTTTCTCATCTTCATCGTAAATCCAGATGGTGAAACATTTTTTGGCCATTCAAATGCTGTCGTGTGAATTCTGTTTCCGCTTTCCAACAACAAAACAGTTTTCTCGTCATTTCCTTGGAGTCTGATCAGGTATGTCTTGTTATCGATGTCATAAATTTGATTTACACGAAATCCAACAAATCTGAAGTGATAAGGATTTTATATTATTGAAAGGAATTTCACAATTTTTTTAAATTCATTTTTTCTTTTGAGCATTCGTAAGCAATTGGAATGCAAATGTAAACAATAAGTTTAACAATGAAAAACTCTACTCCCACTTTGAGATTTAACATACCTTTTTAACTCTGTTAAAGCACAAACAATATCAACTGTATTGAACCTTGTTTTCATGATTATAACTCTTCGAAATTTGATAGATTAAAAATTATAAAAATCTTCTTGAATTTTATTCTCCCCCAGCAGGTTCTTAAAACAGGGGCGTTAAACTATGCTAGAAAACGAAGTGCTGTGTATACCCCTTGTGAAGTGAGATTCTCAAACCTCAGCATGCTTCATATCAATTTAATTCATTGCCTAGAAATTTCGACACGGTTATCAAAACTAAGTAATAAGCCAGAGTTAATTTAAAATCCTACATGTTCAGCTTTTTGAAAATCAAAACAGTTAAATTGAGAACTTGTGCCATCTATGTAGACAGATTCGTTGCAATCTTAGTTGATTTTGTCTAGCAGATGGTACTACTTGACAATTTTTATTTGCCCTGTTTTATGAAACTTTAAAACTTCCTGCACTTTATTTTTCCTATAAACCATTCACTTTACTTTCCTTCTTTAAATAAATTATTACACAGCACAAGCATAATAAATTATAAAATATGTTCATTCCCACAATGTTTCAAAGCATTCTTAAGCTCATTTAATCCTACATCAGGGTACATCATACTTATGCATATGTTCGACAAATCGATGAGTTGAATATTCTGCATTTTATTTAAAGTCTCAAGATGAAAGTTTTCTCGTAAGTTATTTCGCATAAGAATCGCTTTGACATTTGAAATTCTGGATAAAATGTCTTGGTTCATTACCTTGATTTGATTTCCATTTAATTTATGTTCTCGAGACTCTTGAAACCATCTGAAGGATTGTGTTCAACTATTATATTTCTGATTTGATTATATGAAAGATCCAATTTTTAAGGAATTTTATGTTTGCAAAAACTTCCATGGAAATGTCTCGGATTTTGTTAAACGAAAGATTAGGAATTCTTAAAGCATTTAAATCCTAAAAGTTTTTTTTCGTTGACCTTTATCGAGCCTGAATTGCAGATAAAAAATTTTTCAAGCCTCTGTAGAAATTCAGTTATGCCCAAAGGTAGAAAATGTTTCCGTTGATTGAGTGCGATAAGCTCAAGAATAATTTTCTTTGAATATTTTGAACCGTCTTTGTTTTTGATTGCGATAATGTTTTGTTTTGAATGTTTTACGATGAAATCCATAGCATTGCAAGATAAGACACCATTCCAGTTCGTAATGTCAATTAATATCTCTAGAGTAGAAATAATATTTAAATCACTGTTAGCCAAAGTCATTGCATTTACATTTGAACAATAATCTAACAGATCTGCATCTTTCTCTTGCATCAACTTCTTGCTTTCAATTTCTAGTTTATAGTTGATTGATGGTGTTATTTTTGTTTGTAGTTTAATTTTCTGAATGATATTTTGATTTACTTCTTTAAAACTTTCAATCAGAAAAATAAGTGGGTTGAAAAAGAATGCTGAACGGTCTTTCTCATTATTTTGTGGAGGTGAACATGAAACCAACATCAATTTTAAGACTTCAATGACATATTAATGCACAAGTTATTTTCGAACCAAGCAAATTTAAGATTTGTCAGATTATTAACAATGTTTTTCCCTATCAAAATAATTTTATTTTTATTAAAGTTAATGTAACGAAGTTCTCCATTAAGTTCAAAGGCATCATTATCCAGATGTTTGATTTCATTATTTTTCATTATTGCTGATGAATTTTGGAAATGGTTGTAGATCTTTCTTTGTAAATGTTTCTTATTTTGTTTTTTGTAAATTTTAATTCTAAAAGGTTTCCGAAAGGACTCAAAAATTAATTATTTGAAGAAGTTGAACGTCTTCGTTTGTTTAATTGTTTTGTTGCTTTACCTATTATGATTGTCTCATTTTATTTTATAATCTCCTTCGTTAAAGTAAATGTGTTGTGCATGAGAATTTACATGTCAAAGAAATGTTTTCCTAAGTCAATAAACAAACTAAAATTTGAAAGAGAAATTTAAAATTTCTGCATTCTAAAATTTAAATGAAATAAATTTTGAGTTCTTTGAGAGCATTGCAATCTTATTTTATGATAATTGACAAAATTAACTGCGTCAAGTTTAATACACATAACGTAAATGGAATTGGAAATTAAAATTAATCTATGAGAGCGCAAAATTATTCGCTACTTAAACATTTCTCATATTTATTAACTTAACTCCCACGAAAGCAACGTTTTGTCGTCAAGACATAAATTTTCATACTCATTTATTTATGATAGCAACATGAAGTAAAGTCAAATTAATCAAGTCAAATATAATTCGTATACACAAATCCGCATGCACTTAGAAGAGATTACTGAAAGGAAAGAACCATAAACTCTAATTGCAAAATGAGGTGAACAATAAAGAAGCTTTAGAAAGTGCTTTCTTAAGTATTTTCTCTGATGCAGCGGAAAATCCTCAACGATTTAAGACTGAAGATTGAAACCTCAAACTGTGGTGTTCTTGTAATGAAAAATCAAATCCAAGCAAATGCAATTTGTGTATTGTACAGCAAAAAAATAGAGAATGGAAAACTATTAAGCAATCACTTAAAGAGTTATTTCAAGTCATTAAATAAATGACGACGACTCTTTGTAGCAGTTTAACAGTACAGAAAGGAGGAGGAAAAGATTGCAATAAAATTTTCCAATCGCCATCTATCAAAGTGTTTCCTCAGAGACCTGAAAACGGGGAAAAAATGGCCCGCAAAGCATAAGCCAATCCCTTTAAATGAAAAATTGAAGACACATTATTGATGATCTGGAATAAAATTGAAAATCGTTTAGATTTTTCACTTACGTTTTCACCCTTTTTTCCCACCTCCACAAAAAAAAAAGATTGTGGAAATCTAAATTGCATTTGCTTACTTTTTCTCTCTGCTATTTCCTTCTTTTTGTTTTCCTTAGTTTCATCAGTAACAAATAGAACTTTTTTTTAAATTGAAATTCCACTTCCTTCCTTTCCTAATACAGATTCGGTCGTATGTGCCCGTCAGTACATCTCGAGTATAAAAACTTTGAAATATGAGTTTTTAAAAAATGAAACATCCACTGTTGAATCTGAAAAATAAAGAAGTTAAATAAATAAAAAAAAACCAAACATAAGGGAAAGCTCTACAAAGTTTGTTCAACAAACTAAGCAACAAAATTTAATTAAATTTCTTTTAACATCAAGTTTCTGCTTTTCACGTTCATGTTCTGCTCTCTAATCTGGATGAATGATAACTAACATCAAATAAATTAAGATCATAATGTTGGATAGTCAAGATGGTCGTTCGTAGATTTTTTTCCTTCGTTTTAATTTTTATTCGGTGCACTTATGCGATAAATTGAATTAAGGATGAGACACTCAGACAAAAACTTGCCATGAATACCAAAAGATGAGTGCAAACGAGAAATGATTTGATGACTGGGAACAAAGGAATGAACGAAAGCTTCATACATTTTTTTCTATTACGCTAACAAATACGAGTTATGGCGTAAATTTTATATTTATTACGAAATTGTCTGAAATATTTGATGATGATAGCTGAGAAAGAATTTTGTGTATCTATCTAGGTATGTATATTGTATTTAGGTGGATACAATTTGTAAGATCGAAATCTAATTCCAAGAATATCATTGGAGAAGTTTTATTGTGCGTGGGTGTTTTAATCAGTATTCCATCTTTTGCGATTACTAATTGTGGATCTATGTAATTAAGAATATCTGTTGACAGCTTCCACGTATCATTAATCAAAGGTATTTGATAAAATTAAAAGAAAATTATCTACAACGAATTTGATAAGAACTTAAATTTCAGCGAGATCTTAAATTTCTGCTATCTTTAGTTTCAATCTTTTCATTAAACTGTGTTTGATAACATTGTTTGTTGTTTATTCAAATAAAAATTTTAATTTGTCTATTCAAGTGTGTCAATTCAGGAAAAAGTGATGGAATAGAGAACATCAAAGTTTCATTCTTTTATCAAGAAGACAAAACTTATTTCCGATCGAATAGTGATGAACATTACCATGAACATCAGAAGATGAGTGGATACGAATAATGATTTGATGATTGCGAACAATGAAATAAAGGAAAGTTTCAAGTGCAATCTTTGCTTGCCTTCTTATTTTAAACTTTTGTTGCTGATATTTTTCAGCCAAAGAATTTTCATTCTTCAATCTCTCAAGTGCAGAGTTGTTGATGATTTTACAGTTGAAGAACTTTTACAACTACTGAAAAATAAAATTGGAATATTGTTAATATAAAGTTGTAGATACTTTAAAATGTTTGCGAAAACTTTTTTACATGAGACATGACTAACTTTTTTTTGAGGAGCATTTTTTATTTGTTGTAAGCAGAATTGCTTGAATTGTATGATTCATAACTTTTGCATTTTACGCTTCAGATCAATTTCCCAGAAGTCTTGTTAACGTCAACTCAAATAAGGTTGTGTAGCGTTTTGCATGTTACACATTTCTCTGTATTTTACTTTTATTCATAGAGTTTCCCCAAGCGATAATGAAACTTATTTTCGTAATGATATTCAACGTCATGAAAACATTTTTTACCGGCTTAGAACATGCAAGAAAAATCAAACAATACAACTCGGTTAATTTGAAAAGTTTTAACTCATTGAAGTATCTGCGCATTTGTGTTCTTTACGATACAAGTATTGTATCATGTTGAGATTAAAAAACTTGATTTGCATGTAGCGTAATAAATATATCCATGGAAGCAGCGTTTTTCTTTGTCTGAGTTTCTTTTTTATCTCATGTAAATATGCATCAACGACAACAGCTTGCTATTGCTTTACCATTCAAACTCACTTGAATGGAAACAAGTAAGAGAGTTTAAATAAAAGAACTTGATAAGTGTGGGAAAAGCTCACATTGCATATTGAGTGCAGGAAACTTAAACGCTTGATTATCACTGAAATTGGATCAGGAATTCTTTAGATGGAAACAAAAATTCTTTTCATCTTTTTACTGGGGAAATAAATAATAAAAGCTTTTCCCTTCATCATTGTTTCTCTCAATAATATTAAATTATAGATTCATAATTTATGGACATTGCAAAGCTAAAAAGCTTCTTAAATGAAACAGAATAATGAAGAGTCGATGGCTATGAGAATATAAAATGAAAAAATGCGAACAAATAAGGCCGTTTGGAAATTTATGATGTGAAATGATGACAATGGCGTCGACTGGAGAAGCATAAAAAGTATTCAAGTCTATGAAGTGCTCTCATATTTTATGTGTGAGGAAAAAAGCTTTTTAAGTTAGAAAGCTTTCAAATGCAGTGATGTAAGACATTGGTTAGAAATGTCTTTCTTTAAAAATTGCAGAAACTTTAAAAGTCTCCCGCTCGGTTAAGTTTGTTGAAAGCAAAGTTGACATTTTAAATAAATTGTTCACCTGCACTAACAGCATATATCAATGAAAAATTCTTCGTCATCATCCAATGCTTCCATTATTCATGACTGAAGGAAACTGTTTCCACACATCAATCAGTTTGACACTTCATAGCACTGTTTGCATCAACTTCAGCGCTTCAGTCGTGTTCGACTTAGACTTACAAAAAAATAGTAATATTCCTGGTTGAAATAATAAATTTTTCATCGCACTTAAAGTATTCATAAACAAAATTTATGTTTGCGAATATTTGATAAACATTTTACAATTTTCCACCATCATAAGTTTTTCTTTTTCGAACTCCTGGGAATTTTCTGATGTGCATAAATATTCTCGTTTCCATCAATCTTTCCCACCCTCACCTTACATTTTTTAATAGGAAATTGTGACAATCGCTGTATAAACCCCATTTGTCATGCATCACACAACACAAGAGAGCTTTTTTCATATCAAAGTTTTCAAAATATTTATCATTCTTCGAAGCGAAGCTTTGTTGTTTGAAGTTAAATCAAAAGTGATCGATAAATATTCGATAAACAGAAATCCCAGGGAAAATCCAATTAGTTTGGTACTCTCGATATTTATATGCACATTTCGAAAACCACCAATACCCAATAAATTTGCGTTCGCGTATTCTGTGTTAATCACATTTATTAATAATTAAACATAAAATTTATGGCTTCATATGAATGCTACGAGCAATTTTCAACGGAACAGTAAAGTGAACGAATATTTAATGTCTTATACACAGTTGTCAATTTGATTCTCTAATTGGTATGCATGATGAGGCTTTAAATGAAAGTTTGAAATCATTGGAATGAAAATTTTATCGAATCAAATGTCAATTATATTATTTCTGATACATGATGTAAATGTAGTTGAGCTTATGAAAATAACTTTCATAAAACATTGTGAATATTTCATTTCAAGGACCTTCTATCGAACACCCACATACTTGTATACATAATTAAAGAAATGATATTAACACAATCACAAATACATCATCAATATTTGCTTCTATTTCCTTGCTTTAGCATGGTGAATGTAGTTGAAAAGATTTCATTTAGTAACAAAAATAGAAGGGCAAAGGCAACAGTCGAGGTTATCAAAAAATCTGTCATTTTGGCATAATTAACTTCTATAATTACAACGTATTTCCATTGAAAGCTCGTTTTCATTTCCGTACAAGTTAAACTAACGACAAAACCTTCAACAGCTATGCAAACATCGATTTGTGACTTTTCTTCCGATTTATATTTGGAATAGCGTTTACTTTATTCACATCCAGTGAACTCTACACCCTTAAGTTCATTTTTTCCTCGATTTTCTCTTCTTTTCATAGCAAAGCATTTACAACTGCTCCAATTATTTATTTATTTATGAGTTCACGAATGTATGCTTTGTTATTGTAAACAAGCTGAATAAATTTTTTGACTAGGAGTGGAGTCAATGGCTTTGAGCGTAGGGTGGGTCGACACACATACAGAGCGAAGCGAAGGCTGAATATACTTAAGTAGAAACAAATGATATAACTTCGCCCGCGAAACAGATGGAAAATTGCCATAAGTTCAAGTGTCATCAGCAAAATGCGACACCAAATCTCTCTTTTAATACATGGCACAAAAGCAATAACAGAAAAGAGAGATGAATAATTAGAAAAGTTTTCGCGTTGTGTTTGGATTTTCATGTTGATTCTTTCAAGAGTGACATGCAGTGCTTTACAAAACTCGAACAAACTTTTACGAATTAAGCATGGAAATGGAAACGATCAAAATTTTAGAAGCGTCAGTGGATGATTAAAAATGAAATTAAGTTTACATAGGGTAAAGTTGATTTTTATTTTATAGATTTTAGTTTATTTTTATGTAAAATAGTGAAACTTTACTGGCAACTTTTCAATGATTTCTCTCGAATAGTCTTCAATTAAACCAGGAATTAATCTTGAATTTAAACTCGCAAAGAAAGGAATCAAACTTCCATCTTTAAATGGCTAAATTATTTTTCCATTAACTCGAACTTTTCTTCTTTAAGCCTCCAATAATTTGAATATTCGACGGAACTTTTGAGTCATGAAAAACTTTCAATTTGGCTCTTTTTCTTCCTTTATTTTCACATTTTTATTTGTTTCCATCCAGCATCACATTAAACGAAGACTTCCCTTTTTCCATCCCTTTAAGTTTTATTGGCCTCCAGCAAATGTAAATAATCATCAGCTCAGAAGCAGAGTAATTAAGTCTCTTTCTCCCTTCTCATTCTTTACACAATGGCAACAATAAAATCGTAAATTGTTGGGATATATCGAAGGCGTAACAGTAAACTATGAAACTAGAAAAATAAAATAAAAGCCTTCATGAGAAGAAGAAGAAGACGAATGAAAATGAGACAGCAAATTTGCTTCTGCAATCGATTTGCTTTTGTCTGTTCTCAAAATAATCTCGAGAATCTGCCATCCGAAAAGCAAAAAGGAAAAATATTCTAGGAAAATTGAATGAATAGGACAAATAAAGCAAAAAAGAAGGAATTCAACCATAATTCAGAGAAAAATTTAAGTGTTGAATCAGAAAAGCTCTTTAAATGATGTCATAATTACCTTTCAGTAACATTGCGGCTTGTTGAAGTGAGACTGAGACCTTACATTAAACATCAACCATGAAAATAAATTGTTACGACAAAAGCTTCCATCGGAAGTTCCCTTGATGCTACATCACCTTTTTTATTCCAGTAACCCATATAACGGTGATGAATATATTTAGTAACAAACGAGTAAAAAATATTTAATATGATTAAAATTTATTTCCAAGCTTTTAGTTGAAATTTTAACGAATCCAATTACGTCGGGTTAGGCGCCGAAAGCGGAGACGACTACGACGACAACGACGACAAGAAAGCAATGAAAAGATTTTTTTTATTCGTTTATGTATCAAACACATACACACATCATAAATTATTCATAGAAAATATAACTTTTTTTTTTCAACATGAATCAGATTGCGAATTCATTATAAATGTGATCTTTCTTATGATTTTCTCACAATCTAAGCCTTTCAAAAAATCCTTTCATGTGCTTTAATACTTCAATATCCTTCTGGTTAAACTGAAATGCAAATGCTGTGAATTCCCACGAATATCTGAACTTGTGACTGAACATTTTTCATCATGATTGATTTATAGAAATTCTCGTGATATCATCGTAATGTCTCTAACATAGAAACTTCAAAAATTTCTCATCATTAGATGCGTTGTTTATCTTTCCCTAAGTTTGTTATGTCTTTTCATTCTCTAGCAACATGAACCTTTTCTCAATGTTTGTTATGTTGCCGATTTATCCTTCTGAAGACTAAAAGATACAATGACAACGAAGTCATCGGTCTCAATCTCACAATGTAACATGAAGGGAAAAAGGGATTCAGTTGTTCCTATGTTTCGCATCATCATGATACAAAAAACATAAAACTGTTCACGAGAAATCATTATAAAAGCGAAATTGCTCTGCGATAACAATACCCGTTCACCGATTATTCTTTAATGTTAATTTCTACTCCAACGCTTCACGTAAGCTTCTTTCCATTGTCGTCATTTTCGAAAATCGTTTCTAATAAGAAGAATATGGAGAAAGAGAAGATGTGAAGGGAGAGACCTTGTAACCTATATACAGAAGCAGTTTGGGTTTATATGCTACTAAAGAATACTTATGTTGTATCATTATTAAAATTGAGAAATTTTCATCTCATCCGATATGTCATAATATTTTTCATTTCATCCTAATGTGTGGTTCGTAATAAATTTCCTCTTGAGACTTGACTGGCTTTAAAGCAAGCATGAACTTTGTGTCCAATAAATAGAAAGCGTTATGAATTGCTGATATTTTCCCTCACAATTTGTGTTGAAAACCGCTTGACTTTTCCGACTTTCCATCATATTTTTCGTCACCCTCAAAAGGATTCTTGCCGAAGCCAATTTCTTTTGGCATCACAATGCTTTTGTAAAAGCTTCACATGAATTTGCAAAAAGATGTTTTGTGTAAATCCATTCCAAGGAAATAAATGATGAGCTGAAGACACAGCCAAAATCCGAAAACTTGTTACTGTTAAATTAATTTTGCATATTAAAGCCAAAAATTTTAAATCTCCGATCCCGAAAATGGAAAGCAAAAGTTAAATCATGTGATGCTTTTGTGGCATCTTATCAAGTTGAAATGCCTGTTCAATGAACACAGTTCATGTGAAAGCTTCGAATTAGGGAAGATGAAATAAAATTTAAAAAGTTTGATGTGAAATTCATTTCCTAAACGGCAACACACTTATTGATTCAATCGAACGCACATTCTCAAATCTCCAGACTATTATATGAACTTAAACATAGAGAAAAAGGCATTAAAAGAGTTATTTATGCGAATTGAAAACAAACCATTCATGACTCCAAGTCATTCAGTTTTTGCTTGTCTCAATGAAACGAAGAAATAATTTATTTAAAAAACACACAATAGAGTAAAACTCATGAAAATTGTATTCAAAGTATAATTACAATGTCCATTACATACACTGCACAATCCTAAAGGCTTCTTTCAAACAACATGAAAGTTTCAATAATTCACCAAACACAATGGTCGTAATTGAGAGAGCAGAAGAAGAAAACTGTTTAGTTTTTTATTAGATATCACTTGAGGCGAAACAAGAAACGATGTTCAAATTGTATGTTATTACTATTAGCATTTAATTTTAGTACATGTAATTTAAAATAAAGCTTGTTTATTTAAAAAGTCATTGTGAGGATGAAATAATTTAAAAATAAGAGAATCAAATTTTGATCTCAGATAGCAATTTAACGAGTAAATTGAAAGCTGCTTCTAAAATTGTTGGATTGAGTGCTAGATATCATGTATTGAAACTTTCATGTATTACTTTACATCTGTCTGTAATGTCTGTCGATCCTTTATTTTCTATCATTGTTCAAAAAGCTTCAACTTTTGTATGTATGTCGACGACTTTTGACATCAATGGCAATACTTTTCATTAGTGAAAGCAAGTAACCTAACAATGTTCACAACATCATCATTGTTCATCTTGATATACGACAACAAACTTCCGCTTTTTTTCACATCTCAATTCGAACAACGATGGTGCAAATTTTATTGTCATTTAATGTAATTTTGGCACTGACAAACTCTCTACTCAATTTCCTTAATAAAATTTCTCAAACAACCACGTCCAAGAATTATATTAATGTTGAATAGAAGTTTCCATTTCCCTTTGCCCAACAAAGCTCCGAAATCTGAAAATTGAAATAAATTTATCTGCAAGTTGACATTCACTTTGTGAAAACCAAAAAAAGAAAAAACCAGAGGGACAGTTTTTGTGCGGTTTTGAAAGTTATTTGTTTGGAATTGCTAAATAAATGCTTTGCATCATCAGTTCAGTGAGTTCAAACATAAAAGCTCCTCTCACACCGCAACAGAATTTAATTTTTTTTCTCTCACTTGAAATGATTTCAGAACTTGTAAGATGAGTTGAAAATATTTCTGGAATTTTGAAATTGATTTGCATATCAGAAAAGTAATATAAAATGAAATGCAAAAGATTCCAGCTTCTGATTCAACAATAACTTCATAATATCTTGTGAATGTTATCCTTTTCAAGTTGAGATTCTGAACGACTTTCTCATAGAAAACTGCAAGCAATACTTAAATAAAGAAACTTAAGAAAGAAACTGACAAGAGGGAAAAATATTAAGAATCTTGAAAATCACTCCTTAAAAGCTTTTCAAAATTGTTGCGTGTTTCATGTCAAATGAAATTATACAATGGAAATTTTCAGCAATTTAATATTTTACCCATCCATCATTCTGAATTATTCATCTAAATATCTACTTCATTTCAGAATATAAAAGCATTTCATTGTTCTACTCATTCTACGGTATTTCTCGTCATGTTACAAATGTGATTAATTCCATTACGTTAGCATTTATTTTTCCATGATGTAGGAAACGAAAACAAATGCAAAAATTAATGAAATTGAAAAAAAAATTATTTTTAAATTATTTTTTCTGTTCAAGTTGAAAACAATCATTTAGATTATAATAAAACTTGAAACATCAGCTCAAACATATCTATGTACTTAAAATATATTTAAATTATGCATAAATTAATTGAAAATATGAGTTAATCAGATATTCATGAGGAAAACATAATTTTGATGATTAAACAAAACTTTTTTTTTAATAAAAGAACTTTTCATCGCTTTCAATAAATAATCAAACATCGTTCATCAAATCAATGTTTGTTGTTCGAAAACAATTGACGACATCAAACTTTTTTAAGCAAGAGACAATATTTTAAGCTTTTGAATCTAATTTTAAACTTATCATATGAGATACATGGATATCTAGCACAAAAAACGAAACAAGTCAGCAAAGATCATCGCAGCCATGTAATCATATTAAATGAAAATCATGTGATGCAAAATGAAAACTGTCGCATAAATAGAAGCTTAACTCTTATGTTCACTGCTCAAGCTTCTTATACAGTGAACAAGGTGGCACAGTATTGGATGAATTCAAAACCAGTTAAGAACAAACTTGAATAACGAGTTATAAAGTCTCTCATGATGGCAAAGAAGAAGAATATATAAAGAATAGAAGAAAAACTAAAATCTCTTGCATCACGTCGTGATCATACTTTTTTTATAAGTTTTCTCCTTCTACAGCCACTTCTTTCCCTCCTTGTGAGAAATGCATAATTTTTCCTTTTCACGTTCCTTTCTCTCTTCCTCCACATTATTTTTTCATTTGGCACTCTACGCGGGAGTACCTTATAAATTTATCATCACTGTACGACTTCTTATGTACACATCATGGTTTACTGTTGTTTAAAAAATGTGGAAAAAAATTATGAACGTCTGTGTGTGTCATAATTTTCCACGTTTCTTTCAGTTCAAATCACTCTGTTGAAGATGTTTTTTTTTTAGATCACAGCTTGACGTTTGTTTTTTACTTTTTTTGTTAACCGAACGTATCAGCAATTTTTCATTTATTTCGAGAAGATAGTAGAAAGAAAAAAGAAGTTCACTGAATTAATGAGACTCCTTATTTTATCTACGAATAACTTTGTCACGCCTCGTTCAAAATCTTTTATGGAGAACTCGTTTATTTTTCTATGAAATGATCAAGTTTCTTCGTCTCAATTGAAGGTAATTTAGAAAGAAAAGGAACTAGGAAGGAAATATCCATCTTAGAGAAATAAAGAAGAAAAGAAGTTTCAAAGTTTCACCAGAGATATCTAAACGAATACCCAAATACGAAGCGAAAGAATTCTGTTATCAAACACCAAGGTACATAGCCCAATATGTATGGATATCTCTGAGAAATAAATCAACAGAAATTCTTAGCATCTTCTTTAAGGCTGAAAGAGCATAAAAAGTTTCCCCAGGGAAGAAATGGAAAAGTTTTAATACAAGATGCAAAAGTATCAAAGCCTTTTACTTATTTATAAATTGAGATAAAGAAACTTTTGTAAATGGTGACAAAACATGAGAATATTATTCTTGGAAGGCATATGACTAAAGTTTTATTTATATAAAAAAAAGGGAGATTGCAGAGTAGAAAAATAAGTCAAGAGAATGAAACATAACGTATGGATCACGTTTGTAAGTTGAGTAGTAACCCTGCAAAAGAAATGAATCTTCCTTCGTGTAAATAAGCATAAATTTCATCTTGGTTGATGTGGTGCTGATGAAAAAGGCAGAAGAAATAAATTTGTACGAACACGAAATTTAACCAAACATCATAATGATGATTAGAATTAGAAATATCTACATGGAACATTTTCATGAAAATTACGAGAAGGGGAAAGAAAAAAATGATGGAAATTGAGAGTAAAAAAGGTTCATTGTTGATGGTATCTGATACATACTCATAGAATATGTGTGGGCGTAAAAGTGATAACCAAAATAACAGAAAAAGTAATGTTCATTCAAGGCAAAACGTTTAGAAGAAAATGGAAGCAAAGAAAAACGACACCAACGTAATTGCATTTTGTTGGAATGTTAGATTGAATCAAGAAAGAATCAGAAGAGAGTTTAATGTTTATACAATGGCTTTGTTTTTTGATATAATTTAATACAAAAAATAGAATAACTTGAGAATATTAGTTTCATGATTTATTTTAAGAATTCGTTTAACGAATTAGCAACAAAATTTAGACTTCAATCCTTAAACATCAATTAGCAATGAAAACAATACCAAAGTGAAATTTAATACTTTTTGAAGCTTCCCGGAAAACTCAATAATGCTGAAGTATTTCAGCCTGCCAAATGTACCTGTAATTGAATCCTTCAGTTTACCCTTGAATTTCATTTTTAAATAAAGAAGTAAAATTCAAATATTTTCTTAAATGTAAATTTCAAACATTAAAATGAATGCCAATTTCAGTGAATGGAAAGAAATGAAATCTGGAACTAAAACTTCAATGACTAAAGCTGTAAAAAAAGTAAAATCAAAAAGCTAAATTTTGTTGAAAAATTTTTATTTACTCGTTTTCTCTTTTCATTTTTTAAAATAGTTTTTCACCTTTTCATCTGAAGTTTTCTCTCATTTCATGGTTAATTAATCAAGAATATTTATTTATCTTTTGTGTTGTGTTCATTAAATTGAGAAAGAAATTAAATCATGACTTAATCATTCCTTATCATAGTTATTCATAATAATATGTTTTATCGATTCAATAATCCTTTTTTTGTATGATGTTGGAATCGTTCATTCATTTTAGTCAAATTACATTTTCCTCTTATTAAATTTCATTTTTTTTTGTTTGCTACCTTAATTAATGATTCAAATGCTTTTCTCATTGATCGCGATTTTATTTTTATTACACTTTTTAATGAGTTTCTGATGTAATCACAATGGTACATAAAAATGTTTTTCATGTCGACGAGAGTGGAAATTGGTTATAAAATTTCAACAAAAGTCTATTAATGACTAAGTAGATAAAAAATGAACTCTGGGGATCACTTTGAGAATATTTTACATATTTAATTACGCTAATTTGCGCAATACTGATTGATATAAAAACAAAACATAAACACATTTTATCAACAGATCACAATGAATTCGATTCATAAAAATACATGAAATAAAAACACTCGCGTAAGTGTAAGCACGAAAAATATTCAACAAAAGTTTTTTTAATTTTAAATTGATATCACGAGAATACATAAATATTTATATCCTAGGGAATTTATAACTTTTTTCTCTACATACATAAAAAGAAAATATAAATTAACATCCAGGGATTTCATTTAATATATTCAGCTCCAGGATTTTTGCTCTCATTTTAGTTCGCAATCATTTCAAACACGTTTTCATTTTTAAATTTTACACCATAATAATGATGATCAAAACAACAAAATAATGTCAAAACCCTGATTATCAAATTAAATTTATGATAATTCTTGGAATCGTGGCTCGATGTTTATCATTCACCCTCAAAACAGAAGTTTGATGGTACGAAATTCTCGACATTAAACTTAATTTAAATATATGTAAGAAAAATATATCAATCTATCTTCCACTATTTCAGGCCCAATCCGAAACATTTTTCTAAGCCGACAGAAGAATTTTTTGGCCATATTTTCCTGACATCTAAATTGCGGTTGGAAACTTTTTTTACAGGCAAATGAACAAACGAAGGAAAGCAAAAACAGAGACAAATCTTACTTGTAAGTTTAGGGGAAAAAAAGAAAACAAAAATTTTCTTTCTGTTGGAAGAATGTTCTGTTCGTTTTTAAAGTTGGTCAACTCTCAAACATTAAGCGGCTTATGAGAAAAATTGTTATTTCCTTTCCGACAATACTCTGAGCCTCAAGCTGATTTTTTCAAGGCAGTTAGCCCCGACCTACGCATAACCATTGACAGTTATGGATAACTGAAGAAGGAATTGCCCCAGAAATTCAAATAAATTAATTATTCTTTGAACGTTTCTTCCATGACTTGTCACAAGTAGAAACAAGTAGGAATGTCCATGATGCCATGGGCGAAGTAAGAAATTGAAAAACTTTCCACATAAAAAAACTCCCCATAAATTATGTCATCATTTTCATGATACCTCGAGAAAGCTTTCTACCTTTAAACAACACAAAAATAAAATTTTCTTCTTCTTATCTTCTATCTAAACAAAAAATTAATTTTTTCTCATCATACATTGTAATGACATAATTTACAAAGATATTCTATCATCTTACACACATGTGCAATGGAAGGATGTTGTTAACGAGTCGCTTCGTTTTGCTTCAAAAAAAAAATTATATCACAGGGTGGGAAATGAAAGAATAAAAAAGTTGTCTTAGTCGTATCAAAATCGAATTTAATCCGAAATTAATGTCGTTTCGCATGGCAGATTTGTCTTTATGATGAATAAAAACATAACTCGTGGGAATAAGGATAAGAATGTCGTATGTACGTGAGAGAAATTCCTTCATCAATGTTATTTCATATTTTATGTGTTTTGTTTTCTTTTTTACTTTTCCAGTATAAAATTTTTTGACATAATTTCACCGAAAAATGAATTTCTCGCTTTAATTCTATGAGTTTTCAATATTTATAAGTATTTACATTCGTCATTCTATCGTTGAGGATGTGTGAATGTGTGTGGAAGTATATTTTGTTGCTGTATCCATCGGTGGAATGATCCTTCTAAATTACAACCATTATCAGTTGAATCTCGCTTATTTTTCCGTTGGTGTAATTTATACAACGATGAAGCAGAGGAGCTTCTCAACTTTTTTCCTTGTCCAGAATTTTCAAAAGCTTTCAATGTCAATCAAGAATTGAGTTCATGGAATGTTATTCATCGAATAAAACCATTGAAGATTGAATTTTGAAAGCCATTAAAGTTCACAACTCAAAAGTTGAGCAAGCCTGCTTTATATCGGAGAATGTTTTGCTGCTCTCATTTTGGCATGATTAATTTTTTCCTTTCTGCCTCATCTTCCCTCAATGTACATAATTTATATTCCTACTCCCAGCGATGCTTTTTCTCCACTTCGCACATCCAAACACACATCCAGGAAAATGTTAAACACACACATACGAACATAAAGACGAGCAGTGCTTGAATTTTAATGATTTATGTACAAAGTTTATAGTTTAAGGAGTTTTCTTTAAGGTTTTATGTTTATTTTTTCCCTCATTCGTTGTGGCAATGGTGGAAAAAGCACAACTTGACTCGTCTTGCTATTAAAATCTTTTTCTTTCTATTTTTCATTTCTTTCATTGATTTTTTATAACCAAATTAATGACTCTTACTTAGTTAAAGTTTAAAGGGAATTTGAGTTTTTTCTTCAACACGGAATTTAATTGTTTTTTCATAAGGAAGGCAATGTTTTTTTTTCTTCTTTGGTTTACACTGATGGAAAAAAGAGTTGAAAGACTTAACAATGCCATATTTTATAAGATATTCGATTAAACAGAGGAATAATATATTTAATAAAAACTGCAAGATTTAAGATTGATTTTCTTCTGACAGTGTCGTTTAAAACCGTTTTGAAAAGCAGCAGTTGTTGAACAATAAATAATAATTTTATGCCTTCTCCTTGCCTTTATATACCATGATCGTAAAGCTCAATGGAAAAAGCTTTGGTTAGAATTAAATTAATATAATGTTATTTTTTTGATTAATTATGCTTTTATATTATGATGAATTGAAAAGAAAATTTGTTATGGTTATAATGTTTCATTAGCATTTTGAGTGAAGAATAAGAGAAATATTTATGAAGCTTGCTTGCTTTTCATTCCGAACACTTTAGAATAGCTTCAATCAATACTTTTTTTTCTTACATCTTCCAAGGTTCTCTTTAAATGAAATCATCAAAAATGATAATTAAATGTTAATAGCTTATTGATAGTGAGCCCATTTGTCCTATACAGCGTCCTTCATCATCGAATGTGGCGAGTGTTAGTCGAGACAGCTTGTTACTTAATACACCCAATCCGTTGTTTTGAATTGGATTTGGTTCTGAGAAACGAAAAAGAAAGCAGGAAAATAAAAGTATATGAGAAAAAGTTACGAGACTTTGGCATAAACTTCAGACAGCAATTATAATAATTTTGAGTTGTCGTTTTCGCCACAGGAAGAAAACAAAACTTTCTATAACATAAAAGCAATAAAGACACTCACCATCGTCTGCAACATTGTCGACAGCTTCACCGTCTTTCCGACGTCGCATTTGATCGGCAAAATGTGAAATTAAGGCGTCCATCATTGCTGCTTGTCTCGAAAAAATTTGCATCAGCTTTGTAACAGTGATTCCATTTTCAACAGCACCAAACTAAATGCACAGATGTGTGGGCGGTGAAAAAGGGATGGAACGAAAGAGAAAATAAAATGATGTGAACAAATGACATTTCAAAAATAATTACAATACCAGCTGTATGATAAAATTCTTTTTATAGAACTGTCTTTTGGCATTATCTATTTCTTTTAAATTGTCTTACACAAACCTGTATAAATAAACAAGGCAAACACTCGGGATCATCATTGACATTCGGCGGTTTACCAAAATCCCATGATAAATCTTCATATTTCAGTCCAAGTAGGAGAGTCTAACAAGCAAAGAAAAACATCGTTTCAAAATACGTAATAAATATAAGCGAACAAGTGTCGCGTCCACTTGCGTGGGTGGAATAATTCATCAAAATAAAGGAACATTTTTTACTCACACATTCGACGTGATCGATTACATAAATTCCTTTCTCATTAATTGCTATCAGAACGGGAATGTCTTTTTGTTGAAACAGACTCATAAGACCTCGAACTGGTTGCTCCACTTGGCCGTGGAAGAAGGCAGCACTGAATGTTACATCATTTATGATGAATATAAACGAGGAGGCGTAAAATGACAAGAGACATTTTTTTATTATTAATGATTCTTTCATTTCGTTTAGAATTAAATTTTCTCGTCAACGTTCAGCTATTTACTCGTAGGATTATTTCTCAAAGAAGAAAACAAAGCAAACATAAAAAAATTTGAATGTTTTCATTACCCGTAAAATGGAAGTGCCCAACAAAATTCCAAATATTTGCGCATCAATTTTCTTGTCGTTGCTGTTGTTGGTACACGTTTAAATTGTTCTAACAGTCTTACTTCAGCTGATGTTTGTCTACTGTAAGGAAGCCATGACAAGCTCGTGCTTCTCGCCACATGCGCTGGTAGAAATCTAAATTGATTCTCTCTGTAAATGGCAAAGTTCGGGTTTCAACGTATTAATTAGATGTGTGTGGGAACTTCTAGAAGTTATAAATAGTTACCTAAAGTAACTAACGGTGTGTGTATGAACATTGTATGGTCCTAATTCAATGCGCGCTTGGATACCACCAAGCATAATTGAATGTGCTGGCTCCATAATGTATCTTCCAAGAAGAACATTGTGCCTTGCTTCTTCATATAAAAGCTCTAATATCCGAGGATCCCTGATGAGAAAAGATGTTCGCAGGGGTTGATGATAAGTAGCAAGAAGAAAAAAAAGCAAGATTTTATGTTAATCTCTCGTCATATTTCATTCAGTTCATTAAATAGAATTTTCTTGTACATAAATAAGAATGTATAAGCGAGTTCTTATGCATCATCTGCATTTTCATTATAATAAAATTATCTGTAGTCTTCTCGGTAACATTGGCAGTTAAATTCTTACATGTTCAGCAAAACAGCCGTTGAGGGGGGAAAGAGAATGCAGATAAATTTGTGTGCACAATCTGTTTCATATTGCAGACATATGAGCTTCAAAGTAGGGGGAGTGGACGAGATACGACAAGAGCTTATAAATTAAATTCTATCTTGGGTTGTGTAGGAAAGAGTGTTATTGAGAAGACTCTTCTTAAGTAGGAAAAGGTTTTTGTTTGTTATTCTTATTCTTCGCTTTGATGTCGTCATGAAAACGGCTTCGGAGTGGAAGATTTTTTTTGTGTTCCTTCCTTTTTTTAGGTCAAATATTAAAAATTGAAGTACTGAAAAGGATTATTTAAACTTTTCTTGCTTATCGGTTTAAGAAAAACATTTTTTTTTGTCATATAAAATATTAAGCAGATGTCGACGATAATAATGTTTCTACGGTAACTTTTTTTCAAGTTAACCTTTTCATAAGATAAAAATGAATAAGAAAATGATTTAGAAACCCCCCAGATTACTTCTTTTTAATAAATAATAAAGATTTTCAGCGTTTTTAACGACGCGTTTTTTTCCTCTAAAGTTTTTATGAGAATTTAATCTCAAATCTTTAATTATCTCTTCGCTTCTATAATTCCTTTTTAAGTCGTGAAATCAAATTTAATTTGATAAATGCGACTGACAAGTTCAATAGAAGTTTATTTCCGCAGTTTCGTTTAATTTCATATAAATGTCAAAGGATCTGTCTTGTCTTGTTATCACCGCCCAAAATCCAGATTAAATTTTCTTTTAAGCTTTTCTTTTTAATCCTGGAGCATCTTCTTAAAGTTCTGATCCACTTTGAACATCATTGAAAATTAAACAATGAGGTTTGAATCTAAGCAGCAAAGACAACTTTACTGGCAATTTTCCAGAGGAAAATTTTCATTTTCTTACTTTATTTTTTCCTCGTCACGTCGAGTATAGAAAACATTTCGTCTCAGTGTCGTCATCGGTTCATCAGAACATTTTTCGAGCTCGTTTCCATGAGTGTGCTTCTCAAGTAGATTTGGCCAAGCTATACGCACTGCATATGGCCGATGGTGTGGCTTCAATTGAATTTCTAAAAGTGGACTTGACATCCACAGCCCGAATACGCTTTGTGCTAACAATTTATTTGATATTCCTAATTCTTCACAGCCTAGTGCTGCAGCCAACATGACTTGGGATGGACATTGAGCCGTGCCCTCGATTTCCATGTGAACAGCGATTCGTGACATGAGATAAACTACTGTCGGTATCACCTGGAAGGAAGACATTAAAAAAGATTATACAAATGATAATGATGATGATGATTGTGATAATATTCATGATACGCATCTCCGGTCAAATCATTGACCTTTTCTTACGCATTATTAATTTCAATTTCATCTTCTTTTTCTGTGGTTTCATTTACCTTTTGCATTGGTCGGGGAATCGATTGACTATTGGCACTGGCGCCATAGTGACTCGATGACGTTGGCGCTGCTGCTGATGTTGAAGTGTTACCGTAGCTTCCATAATTATTGTTACTAATAAGATTATTATTACTATTTGATATATTTGCTGATTGTTGATGCATTAGATGTTGTGTTTGTGGCTGTTGTTGTTGCTGTTGTGTGTCCTGATTATTAACTAACTGGGATGTCTGCTGATAATTATTATTTGTACTTGTGCTTGGACCTGGAAGAAACAAGAAGAAGAAGGCAAAAACCTCATAAATCAAATCCTTAAACATTGTAAACACTGACGGGAAAGAGAAAATAAAATAAAATAAAATAATGTATTTTCTTCGAGGTGGGTAAAGCTTTTCATGATGTTTAATTATGTTTGCTATGTCGTAGGTTTGCTTTGTGAAGCAAATAAAAAGAAACTTTAGCCGTCATTGTTGTTAAGTAACAGTTTTTCTTCTTCTTTTTCTGTTACTTTCTTACAGCTTCTGACCCAACCGAAGAAAATTTCTTTTCAAAGTGCTTTTCTTCGTTTGCTTTTCATGAATAATGATGGAATAACCTTGACAAGGATAACTTGTAAGAAGAAATCTCGCTTTGGCATGTTCAAATAATAAATGTTAGATTTTCCTTCTTCTATCAAAGAGACAAATCGTTGTTAAACAAATATGTATGTAGATGAGACTTTCCTTTTGAAATTCAAAACTCAGATCATCCTTGTTAATTTAAAGTAAAAAGAACCTCAACAATTGTGCTTAAAAGCAAAATGAAATGGAAAGGGATAAAATTTGCTGAAAGAAGCTTAAAAGAAAAACAGAAAAAAGATCGCAAAAAATCCCAAACAAAAGTAGGAGAAGAAGAAGACTTTTTTTCTCTTTTTTTTCAGCTTCTTTAACAACTCATCAAATTGAACAAAAAAAAGAGGAAAATGGAACTTTTGGAGAGTAAAAATTTTCTTATGAAAAAGAAGAAATGAAAATTTTTCATCAAAAGAAATTATTGTGAAATTTTTTCGTTACTTCTCCAAAGAGAAACTAAAAATAAATAATTTTTGATGTTTTTTTTTGCGTTTATTGTCTCCGTTCTCTGTTTAAAGTTTTAATTTTATTTGTTTGTAAATTAATCGAAGCAGTACGAGAGTCATGCCAAACTTTAACAATAAATCCTTTCGTTTCACCCCGGGGAGAGTTTGAGCACAGAAGCTGATGCTGTTTTTATGTCAAGCTTATTTGAAACATGTTAGAAGATAGTTAACCAAGTCTCCAATGAAAAGATCCTTTGCTTAATTAAACGTAAAATTTTATTTACATGAGAATGAAAAAGTCTTTTTTTTTCGAGAAATTTGTTTGATATTTCCTCAAGATATCATTTTCAATTTCAAAACACATTGAAAAATATATTTAAGACGAAGGCATTATTTCAGAATCGATGTTTTTTTCAACATCCTGAACGAAATCTACGTTTTAAGGATTGTTATCCTTCCAAGTATATAACGCAATTAATATCAATTTGTACACGTAAAGGTTCAATTTTATTCAAGCGGAATTCATGTTGTACCTATAAGGTTGGTTTGCTTTATTTCAGTCCATGTTTGCTCATTAATTTATTCCAGGAAATGGCAATGGAGAAAATAAAAAAAAATTGTTTTTTCTCTCCAGCAAATACCGCAATGATGAAAATCAGATCACACCAGATGACATGTTTCAGAGGTTTTCCACACAACAATCAGTTCACTTGAAAACGGAATCAATTAAAAATGTATTGGGAATGCTTTATCGATGTTTGGTAAGCTTTACTATTGTGACATTGCATCGTAACTAGAATATTCAAATGACCGATGAATGCTCAAAGACCAGGCTAAGTTTTCATTTCACATGCGCCAGATGTGACATCTGAGTTTTGTTTTCTTTCACAACATCATGTCGTATTAATGTAAAAGGTGAACAAGAGGATGAAAGGAAAACAACAGCATATTTGGAAACTTCCCAAAAATAAGTAGAGCATTAAAATGTTTAAAGGTTTCCTTGAAAGAGATTTATACGTAAATGCAGAAAAATATTCAAAAGCTTTACATTGTTCGCATTTTAAAACTGTTACAAGACATCATATTTCAGTCCTCAAGACTTTTGAAGTGAAATAAGTTCATACGAACACGAAGCCTTTGCAATTAACTTTCTTTGCAAGTATTTAACTTAACAAAATTAAGTAAAGTTCATTTCAAAGTTGAAATTATGAAACTTCCACTCAACTTTGCAAATTTCTTAAAAGGATTTTAACTACTTAACTTTTTTTCATACTGAAAATCATGCACAAAAAGGCAAATGTTGGATAAATAAGTAATTATACAAGAAGTGGAAAACGCTCATCTGAAATGAAATTTGCTCGAAAATCTTCATTTTCGTTAAAAACTTTTAAATATCTTCCGGGAAGATTTCAGTGAAGAAAGTTTTGTCGTAAGTTTTTATGCTTTCTTCCTAGAGGATTTAACAACAAAATTGGCATTTTAGTTGTGATTTTATATGTGAGCAATCAAAATGTTGCTTGTTATTTCCAAAAAGAGTGTTGAAGCTGATTTGTGTACAAAACTTCGCTTTAAATTTCGACACTTTAATGCTTGAGGCAGACAAATGTTTCACCAACGCATTATTTTGCCAAATTTTCCTTTAAATTCCGAAAATGCCTTGTTGAATATCCAATCAATTGAGACATTGATATTTTTCTTCATTTCCATTCAATCAAATTATTTTTTTCTTTGTGCAATTTGAAATCAATCTTTTTTCATCATCAGATTAACAAAAAGGAAACTAAAGTAAGTAAAAACATTCAATATAAATAAATTGCAGATACCAAGAAATCTAATCTGTTACAAAATAAGAATTTTTCAATTTTGATTCACTGAATCAGAAAATAAAATATTTGATCTGAAATGTTTTTATTTACTGTTTCTCGTTTGCGACTCCCCCACACCCACATCTATTTGTACGAAATTTATTTTGATGAGCTAATATTTGAAATGAAATTTCGCTATAAGCTAAAACAGTTGTCAGTTTTCTCATTGGATTCAAAATTCAGCAATTTTAAACATTCAGGATCGAAAATGTCGATAACTAAATTATTAAAATTACACATTCATCTATTTACAAATTGTAGAGAAGAATTTTGTTAGAATAAGTAAATAATAATTGACAAAATTTTCTTTTATTCACGTTATGTACACCATTCATGTGGGAATTCAACAATTTTGGAGGATAAAAGAATTATAAAAATGGAATTTTCTCAATCAGAGATTAAGATTCTTTCATCAAAAAGCATTTGACCATTTCTACATTCAGTCTTAGTTTAAGTTTAAATGTTTACTTAAAAATTATAAAATCAATAATACATTTGAGATAATTCTAGGAAGTTAGATATAGGAATATTGATTTTATTATTCGACACATATCACGGAGCAGTTAAGCGCCGAGAGGAAATTTCATTTTCATATTCACATCACGTTTTGTCATATTCGAGAGTCTCAATCACAGCTTTCCTTTCATTCTGCATTGATATTTCCATAAAGCAACGCTTTTCATCATCTCACTCTTCGTAACTTTGAAAATTTGTTATGTGTGTGTGTGGCTATGTGTAGAAAAATTAGCTAAACCTCAATCTTAGAACCATCAAAGTTTCACTAAAGGCATTGAAAATGTTTATTCAACAGTCTATGAGGTCAACACATCGTATGGTTAGATTTGCCGATTTCAAAGTTCAATTTATTAAATAATTGAGTTTCAATCAATATCAAGCTTCATTTTCAATCCATCGATCACCATTAAACACTTTCTCGTGCCTTTGCATTATTGAAGAAATGAAAACTTAGAAATTAAAACTTTGATCAAATATTACACACTCGGTTTCTGATTCCAGTCCCAGCTTTGTGTAAACCCTCATCAACTCAAGAATTAAATGAAAAATTCTTACGACAGAAACTTAAGCTTCTGAATAATTTAATTTTGTTCTTTTCTTTGTTTCTAATCCTGTAATCACATTTAGTTCAATAAAAAAAATTACTACCAAATATTTTATTTACCTACAAATTTAAAACTTTATTCGTAAAGTTTCGAATTTAAGGAGCTTGTTTGTATTCTTGTAAAATCTCACGATTTTTTCTAAATATTTTGTGTCAAAATTTTTATTTCTTCAACAAGAAAATGAGAAAAACAGCATAGATGTGTGAAGAAAATCAATATAGACTGTGCATGTCTGCTTAACTTGAATGAAACTGAAGTGGTTTTCCGCCTTGAAACAATTTGCTTGATTACATTTAAATCCTTTTTATCATTTTTCAATTTGTGGTTTCTGAAAAGGACTGCAATAAGCTTTCGCCAGCAAAGTTTAGATAGACTCAAAGTTCGCTTTACATTTTAATGTTAAGCCTTATTCATGGCAAATTATTTAAATTGAGTTTTCATGATAACTTTGTTAGGTAATGAATGCTATTCAAACTTTTTGCTGTTCTCTTTTAATAAAAGCTACTTTCCGCTTCAAACGAAGCGTTTTAATTTACAACGTTAATAGTTTTACATGAAACTTTGTTAACAGTAAAAATCTCAATCATTTATAAGTCATGATTGTGATGCTTCAACGTTTTATGTCTGTTTTTGACGGGAAACTTTTTTTTATGATATTTTAACTTTTATGCATATTTGTCATGTGAATTTGTTTTGCATGAGTTTTAACTGAAAAGTAAAATATAAAAGCAGAGCTTTTATGAGTCGAGGTAAATTTTAAAAACATTTATGTAGATCCAGGTTATAAGTGAAAAAAGGGAAGAAGACTGTGAGGGATAAATATAAAATATTCATAGCTCTTGTTGAGTTTGACAGTGAGAAAAGAAACAAATGCATTTAGACGTGTTTATATGTATAAGTAAAAAATTTTATGCTGTCGCATTGTTTAAAGTTGAAGTGTTTGCTCGAGATTTCACTTGAACCTCATGGCTTTCATTCCGAATACTTATTTTGAAGATCTTCACTGAAGATACTTCTTAAAAATTGTTCTATATTTAGTTTGTGATAAATTGAACACTTCTCTTTGAAGCAATCAAGATTATATTGAGCGACTCTGTTGAAAATGCCATGAAGTATCCTTGAAGTTTTTTTTTTTTGAAGATAGACGAAAAATAATTTTACTTGATAGCAATCGATGATTGAGAAGTTTGTTTTCTATTTCTTGTTGAGAATTGAAGTCCCAAAGAAGTTGCTTCTTTTTGTATGTGCTTGAATGTCTAAAAATGTAATGAAAGCCTTGTGATTGAATAAAATTAGATCTAAATAATTTTTAAGAGCACATGAAGCTTTCATTCCTTTCCCACATCATTTTGTTCCAAAATCTTCTCCCTCGATTTATATTTTAAGACAATGAAACAGAGAAAGTTTTAAGAATTTCTATGTATGCCAAGTTATTCCAATTTAGACAAACTCCTAAATATTTTAGAATTAATAGTTACTTTGTGATATTTGATTAAATATTTATCAAAACAGTTTTATTAGTTTCGATTTCTGTGGAATTTAATAATTTTCATGCCTAACTATATTAGTAACTTCAGAGCTTTTGATGTAGATCTTGCTGGAAACAATTTCCATAGTGACATCAAACAGCCTGAAGCTATGAAAAAGATGCACACTTCTAACTGAATATAAATAAAACAAAAGTTTTGTTTTCCAACCAAAGTTTTATACACACAAAAATGCCTTTGTATAATAAAACTTTGTTTTCTATTTAACTTTGCCATATTTCAACTTTAATATTTCCAAATGTAAATTTCATTAAATTGATACTTATTAAATGCAAAATTCATTAAAATTATCTTTTGCCACATATCTAATCGAGAACTTTTCGAAACAAATCGAGTTTTGTTAGTTTACATAGCTTAAATATATAATAAAACCAAATATTTGAGAATTCAAGTGGCAAACCAATCTACCTAGTTCAATGATTATTTATTCTTGTTTTCACAATCATATTGAATTGGGAATTCATCAATAAAATTCAATTGTTTGTCGCTATGCGTTCTCCTAGGAATTCAATAAAAAATATTTCAATTGGTGGCAAACTTGGCCGGGTTACTAATAGTAACGAACAAAAGCTTTGTGGTTGTTGAATGTTGAAATTAATCCATTGAAATGCGCCAATGGTAATTAATCAACAATAATAAGACAGAAAATTGTAAAAAATTGCTACCGTTCAGAAGATCAAATGAAGTAACTTTTTGACTTGCCCAACAAACTTCTGCTGCAAATTTTTTTATAATTTCACGAACCCACATAACTCTAACAATGATTAATTGAAAAACTTCTTCCTTTTTCCAAAATACTTTTTCATTTTCTTCACACAATGAACGACAACAAACCAAGGCACACAATTATGAAACTAGTTTATTAAAGTCTTAGTAAAAGAATGAATTGTTAGAAATGATTACAAAAAGTTCTTTTAAAACTTTTCCGTTTCCTGTTCAAGATAGCATCGGCAAAACAAGAACTCAAATTGCAAAAAATGATTATGATTTCTTCAACTTATCCTGCAGTTAAAAATTTTAACTGTTTTGTAAAATAATTTTAAGCTTTTACGAGACTGCTTATTTCTGTTGAAATTCTTCGTTCAAACTTTGTTTTTTATATTTAGGTATTTCTTACTTTCAAAGACATTTCCGAACAAACAGAAAGTTTTCTAAGAATTATTCAACAATAAAGAAGTAGAAACTTAATATTATTGTTCATAAACTTTTATACAAGTTTTTCAACTGTGTTTTATTTCCTTGATAATTAAACAGAAGTCGTTGCCATTTATTTTTTATTTCTCTTAATATATCTACGTAAGTAAAGACTGATTGAAGATTGACTTTAATAAAGAAATAGAAAGAAGCGAAAATTGCTTTTTCCTTCAATTCCCTTTGAGCTTTCTAATACACAAGCTCGAAACGTTTCTCATCTAAAATCAGGAAGCTTTATTCTTCAGATATTTCCAGAAATCCATTACCAAGAGAGGCTGAAAGATACTGTTTGGTATTATCGCAAATATTTCTCACATGTGCTTCTTATGAATATTTACTGCGCGTTTGAAACTCACACAGAATTTTAATATTTTTCATTCTTTTTTTTATTCGAGAGGCATAAAGAAAATCAGGACATGTATAGAACGAAAGGTTAGATATTCTCAAAGCAATAATGATGTTGTTGCTACAGGAATTATTTAATTTTAAGTATATAGAGCGTGAACAGTATGATTTGCTCCAAAAACCTAAAACAATTTCCTTTTATCCCTTCGCTTTGCTTTGCTGATGAATCCGTGGCTTTAACTTTCGATTTCCCAGGAGTTTCTCGCACATATAAATATGACATCACGCACGTATGAACGAATTAGCCTGAGCGTAGTGTAGAGGTAAATTAAAATATATTAGATGCTCTCAACAATATTCAACTGAAAAAAGTTTTCATCGAGGAAAAAAGGGAGGAAAATAAAGGAAAAAATATAATCAAGATAACATGAGCTTCATTCTAGCGCCAAGATTTATGTGTAATGCTCTCATTATCCTGTTCGCTCCAAAAATTAATGCCTAGGATTTTATGAAAACGTGGAAAATATATCCATGTAGATATGTCTAGGTTGAATTCAAAATATTTTCTAGAGGAAACTTATGAAAAGTCAGAAAAAGCGTGAAACAACATAAAATATCATAATGTTCGTCATAAAAGCAGTGGAAAAGCTTGGGGAAAAAAAAGTAATAAATTTTTCAATTCATTTTTCCATTCTCGCTCTGCAAAAAAAGGAAACTAAACTCTCTAGAGAGACATGTAAAATCAGCAAAGTACTAAAAGCTATTAATTACTTTATATGTGAAAAGCTTTTTATGTGATATATTTTATTTCTCTTTTCCTAGCCATTTAAATTAAATGAATGACGTGTGAGTCAAAAGTTATGCATAACGTCAACTTGCTTCCTTTAGAGTTTTAAATTGTGCAATAAAAATTAACTATTAACACCGAGAACGTTTTTTAATTAAATTGCACATATTTACTTAAACGATCTAACTGAAATATTTACCTAAACTGACTGCCAAATATTTGATATTCAAACTACAACAGGTCCAATAAAGAGTTATTTAACTACAATTAATAATTAATATTAAACAACACGTTGTCTATCTGTTGCCAACATGATATCATCATTCAGACTTTTAAGCTTTATTTCCAAGCTTAATAATAATAATGAAAAGCTTTTACATGCAAACAATTGAATCATGCAATGAATCGCTTAACTTGTATTGATTTCAATTCATTGAAAAGTAATAAATATTGAAGAAAAGCGTAACATTAAAGAGTTGAAAGTATCGCAATGCTCAAAACAATTGACTTATTCAGATATCGTATCTGATTTTATCTTTTGTTTCATACCTCATTGTAGTGAAAGAAATCAGTTTTCAGACATTTTTCAATATCAAGACTCGTACTGAAATTCTTCTTTATTCATCGATTCTACGCAACAATTCTCGAAGATATTTTATTAATGAAATTTTCCTCTTTTTCCACCTTACATAAAATGAATAAAACAAGCAATCATTATAAAATCAACCTTTCTCAACAATTGATGTGATGTATCGTTAAGTTTCTTTTTTAACCTTCACTCAACGTCTCCCTTTACACATTCAAGTCTAAGCAATGTGTCGCACCTGTGTAAGTTTATTCGGTTTTTCCTGTTTTATTTTCTACCCAATTTTCCATCCATTTAATGTTATTTCGTGTGAGCCGATGGCCTTAAATCGACATGGATTGATAATAGCATTTATTCTTCATCTACATTTTATGTCCCAAGTTTTATGTTAACGTACACGCTATACATCAACATTTTGGGACTGTAGTAGGGAGTCGAAAAAAAGAGAAAATCATAACAGTTTTCCCTTCGAAGACAAGAAAGTTTTTTTCTTTTTCTTTTCACTCGAAAACCAGATAAATTATTTTCGCATTAAGAAGGTTGCGGGTGAAGCTTCCACGTACACATCATCGTATAATAAAAAGGAAAAAAAGGAAGAAACCTTTAATGGTTTTTTTTTCTACAGAAAACAGTTTCAAACCACGAACACTGGCTATGCGGCACTTGCCGATTTTTATGCCCTAGGATAATTACTCCGATAATTATAGTTAATAACGTGTAAGATGAATTGGGGGTAGGAACGTGAATTAGGAGATATAAAAAAAGAGAGACTCACCATTATTATTCGGTAATCCACAATCTGTTTCATTACGTGCAATGACGCTTGTTAGGCTCGTAGCATTTGAATTATTTCCGTAATTAGATGGCATTTGTTGTAGTTGAGTTGTAGAAACAACTCGCTGCACCGTGTACAAAACGGATGGTGTAATGGTCTGCTGTTGTTGATTCGACGTTGCTGATGATGTTGATGATGATGTTTGAGATGATGGATGCAATTGGAGTGATGATGGAGGTGAAATAACCAGGCTATTGTTGTTGTTATTATTATTATTACTACTATTATTGTTATTATTATTATTCAGCTGTTCCTCATCAGTTGTAGATGTTGCGACTGATTGTTGCTGCTGATGATGATGATGGTGCGATGATGATTGCGTTTGTGGTATTGAATAAAATGAATTGTTCATATCCTCCCGACATCTATCACGCACATAATCACCGAAATATATTCGTGATCTAAAATTGAGAAATCGTAAACGACATTAAGGTAGCTATCATAGGAAATTTTAATTAAATAAAATATCAAAACATCTACGCATTCAACTCTAGCAACCCACATCAAAATATGAAATCTATCGCATCATAAAATATTTTCTTCGTTCACAAGAAATCAATTTCTCTTCAATTTAAATTGAAATTGAAATCTATATTGATGGAATAAAAAATGAAATAAATTTTTAATGTATTATTCATTCATATTCGTTGAAGTAAAAATATGTATTAAAGTTAAATATTTGAATGTTAGAAATTGATATTGAAAATTCTAAGGATCGTTAAATTATTTTCTTTATAGCTTTAAACGTATAAAAATACTTGTAAGAATAAAGAAATTTCGATTTGGACGTGTAAAAGTTTTAATAATGCATAAAGTACGAAAACGAGACTTTGGACATGTTTTCTCTTGCTTGTTAGAAAGCGTGAGAATCCAATTAAAGTGAAATTAGTCATCACGAACTATTTAATACTTGACAAAGGACATCAAAGTAGGTCAGTACACCACATCGGGATTGCAATATCATAAGAATTGCCTCTTGATGTGTGTTAGATGATTCGTAAATGATGATTAATTGAGGCCAACCATCAGATTACTCACACGGAAAATTTCTAAGACATTCCAAATATCCTAACAGCAGTGAAAGATTTCGTGAATGAAAGGACGAAAAACTTTCGTATTCGTTATGGATTTGATTCACTTCCTTGGAAACACCAAAAAGACGAAGAAGAACAATTCTTAATGCTATGTTAATGTATTCGATTCGGAAAGGAAGAAAACGAAAGCACTTAAGAATCAGCAATGTCATTACGTAAATAAAATTTATGGAAGCCGAGAATTATCTTGCAGAAAATGGAATTGATATGAAATTGAATAAATGTTTCACACGATGATTCATCCCATTTTTAAAATGTTTAAAATTTCATGAATTTAGAAATTGCGATGAATTTGTCCCACTTGTACACATATTCTTCGAGCATATATTTATGTTCTTATTTCCTAAAAATTATTCGTCCCAGTTTTTTTGTTTTCTGTTTTTTCTTCATCAAAACAGGAAATTCGGACGAATGAGTTTCAAAATGGTTTTCCCTGCTCATCCTATAAATAAACCAAGTTTTTATGATCTTATTCAATGCGAAAAGCATCACGTTCAAGAATCAACAATTTAAAGTTTAAAAGAGTAAAAGTTTAATAAGAAAAGAGTTTTTTTAAGTTGGACGTTGGACTGAAAAGTTTTCTCTTGAATTATTTGTATCATAAACTCGGGCCAAGTTTTTTTCTCGTTTCATGTCATTTATTTTCGCTTTTGACGTTCATATATTTAACACCTTTGAACGTTTGAAAATTTTCAATAAACCAATTTTAATGTTTCTCAATTTTTATGTTGTCATGGAAGAAAAACTTTTACCTCAAAGTACATCAAAGTCAAAGAACCAAATTAAGAGCGTTTTGGAGTTAAATTGAGTTAAGTACTCTTCCTTAAGAAATTTTAATGTCACTTACAACGAAGTTGCATTATGAAGGTGTTTAAATTGAATCGTAAAAGAAAAAAGAACAAAAAATCGAGAGAATCAGCAGAAATGTCTGCAGTATAATTCATCCTTACGAAAGAGCTTCGAACAGAGACGTAACAGAAGAAATTCATATTTTATTAAAAAGCTTTTAAAAAATTTATAGAAAGAAAAGTTTTTTGCCCGTTCAACTGTAGTATGATCAATCCACAGTCAGTATCTTCTCGACAATTGAATAGGGTACTTGCTCAATGATTATACTAGAAATACTGTCAAGATTTTAACCATCGTAAAGGTGACATTAATTTGGATTCATTCCCAACTTTCTTCTTCGCTTTCATTCTTACATTCTGCGATATTTAAAATTTAAACAGCACAAAATAATTTTTCCGGCATCCGTTTCAGGATGAAGGAAAATTCTTCAAAAATGGTTCGAAGCTATTTAAAGATTGGCGAAGAAGAGGGAAAAAAATGACATTAAGAATGTTTCTAAATGGCGCACAAATTATCAAAGAGAAAAAATTTAGAGAGAATAATGTAATAAGTAACAATAAAAGTGGAGACGTTCAACGGGAGATAAAATCCTTCCCATGTCAGATATCGTTTTTGTGCCGCTCATAATTCATATTCTCGCAATATATCTTCCGACATCACGTCATGGTCGTATTTTTGATATTTTATTTCTCATGCTTCGCCCTTTGTTGTTCAAGATGATGAAATGAAAAGATACAAATATTTTATTGATGTTCATTTCTTTTCAATACATTTTCCTTTTTCTATTTCCTTGCAAGCAAAAATATGCATGAGAATGAGGATTGCTTAGAATAACGAAGTTTTTGTTCATCGTAATACTTTTATTCTTACATTCAAACAGATTAGGAGATCATCACATTAAGTCAAGCATAAAAAGAATCTTTCTTCGTTTTTTGAAGAATTAAAATCGATGAGACGAAAGAATAAACGTTTTTGGTAATATTTAAGGAGATGTGTGTGGGCGCGACAATGTTTCATCTCATTTTCTTAATTGCTCATTTTTATTGCAACCGAAGCTTTTATTACATCAACGTTAGCTTTTATGACAAAAGAAAAAGAAAAGAAAAAGATGACACGAAGTCTGGAAAATCCACTCAAGAAAATAATTGCCATGTATTCATAAATTCATTTCTCAACAATGTCATTTATCTTTTTATTAATATTCTTTTTTTGTTTTCACAAATTTTGCTTTACTCAACATAAGATGAATTGTCCTTGAGAAGAGACGTCCCAGTGTGAATTAAATAACATGTCAAAAAACAAAATTGATAACTTAGGGTAAAAGTTTTGTTTCGCTTTTAGAAATCAAGTCAGAATTTGAAACAAAAGACAGAAGAAAAAATGTCTGCTGAAGATGTGGAAGTTGGTTATAGAAGAGCTTCTTGAAAATTCTATCAAATAAAGTCACTGAAAAAGGTTGCTTTTGACATAATGACATCAAGGTAAAGTAATCATTGCATGGTATGAATGGAAATTTCTTAATCTTCCATTGAATAATATCAAATTGACATGGTGACGAACACAACAGTAGAAAATATGATATCAGAGGTGAAGAAGGTTAAAAGATAACAAAATTACGGAAAGACAATTTACTGCTCGACTTCAAATGAGTTCTTCCGGAAATTCAATTACGACAAAGAAATAAAAATGAAAAGAGAATCAATGTTTGTTTGTAGGTATTAAGAAAATATATCAAAATATGAAACTTACTGGTAGTCGGATGTCATTTGAGGTGGAGGATATTTCCTACTTCGATGATGGTATTGTACACCTGAATTAACAACAGCCATTGGCACGACATTAATGTAATTTCCTGAGTTTAATTGTGCCTTTGACTTGGGGCCCGTTGATGCAGATTGCACCATCATATCGGGCGCTGCACAATATTGTTGCTGCTGTTTCGGATCCATTCTGATGATCGTCGTGAAACGCGCGAATCCAAAAACAATTTCATAAAGCGTTCGTCATGTTTTGGTTGTTTAATGTCACTAGCTTATCCATTTATAATATTATATATCGTTCGGTCACGAAGATTTAATTTCAACTTATTATTCCTAAGTCCTATTTACACTTTTCGCATAATTTATTCCATATACAAACATATACACACGCATTTAGACACATGAACTCTTATACTGTTATAACAAATATCAAATCCTTTAATTTTACATAATGATAGTTGTTGAAGTTTCACTTTCTTTATACTTATAACTCACGATATAAATTTTCTTTCTTGATCCTTCCGATTTATCCACGAAGAAAACTTTATTTCATTTAATATCCTAATTCTTTTTCACTTGCGAACACTTTTTGGAGATATTTATTTTACCCCTGATGGCTACCAATTTTATTTTCTGAGAGTGTTTTGAATCTTGCTTAGAATAATATTAAAATATTTTCTTCCTTTTCTCTCTCTTTTGCTTTATGTTGTGCGACACTGTGCGGAAGTCAGAACTTTTTTTTTCCTTTTTCCTGCCCTTCCGCAATCTTATTTCTTGAATTCCAAGGAAACACTTTTCTTTCTCATACGCATTTTCGTCATTATTTTTCATGTATTCACTCCCGAAGATTATTCATTTGCTGCTTCACTCTGCCGCGCGAAGCGAAATATGAGATGTAGAAAACCTATAAAGAAGAATGAAATTTTCAGGAAGAGCTTTTATAGAAACAAAAATAATCCTTCAAAATCTTTTGTAAAATGACGACAAAATATTTTCTTGTTATTCCCGGAAGAAAGAACACTTGCAACCATTTCTTTTTATCGCAATTTCGTTTTCTTTCTTTTTTCATTTATTTGATTTCTCAAGCGAGAAATGCGAGTGATGGAAAATGCGAACAAATTAGAAAGAAAGAAGAAAAAACAGCGGAAAAATCAATACTTTGCTGTATGGGTGAGGGAGTAAGAAAGCTTGACATTTTCGTGATGGAATTTTGCTCTTTTTCGCCCTTCGCGATAACAATTGAATAATTCGAGAAAATATAAATGAATTCATTTCGGCAATTTACAGAAGTCAGGGATTTTCCTGTTTTCATTAATGGATGAACGGAATTATATGGGAAATTCCTGTTTGTAATATTTCATCCACCTTGAAAAATAAATCGAAGCTTTTAATATTTAATATCATTTGAAATTTTTCGTATCGAATTCAATTTTCACGAAATTTTCTAATTCGTTTTCCACGCCTTACAGTCAATTTATATCATTTGTTCATCACTGAGATATTTTACAATTTCACTTCTTTTTTTTACCCACCCAGAAAAAAATTATGGCAGACCCACTTTACTTTTCACCGAATGAAAACTTTCAATTTTTCACTTGAAATTCTTTTAACTGGCAATTTATCCGCACGTTTCTGGCTTTGATATTGTTCTGTTAATCATAAAACACTACATTAATTCCATTTTGATGTTTTTTCAACAAACAAAACTTGATACAAGAAAAATTGTTTTCAAAAGCAGAAACTGGTAGCCATTTCAATCATCACAATTGGAAAATCGGGAAAATTATGAGAAGAGAAAAAGGAAAATGTGAAAAGTTTCATCTGATTTTAGGCATTAATGTGAGTGGAATTTCGAAAAGGATTTTCCTTTCGAACATCTTGGAAAATTTTGATAAATTTTAGGGAATTTATTTGAGTAAGAAATTAATGAAAAATTTTCTTAAGTTTCGATAATTTCTTCATAAAAAAAATCACTTAAATTGAGATAAAAATTATTTAAATTTTCCTAGAATTTTCTATAAACACCCAAAAATTACTAACAGTTGTTCGAAATACCCAAACAATTTCAATCAAAACAACTTTTCCTCGCTTTCCAAGCGCATGCGCTGTTACGACAGCTGGAAGTCCAATCCATTTCTAAATCATCAAGGAAATGTTTTTCTATTACTTCTCTTCTTCTTCATTATTTTTTCTTAAAGATATTTTTCTGTGATGATATCAGAACTTAATGCTCAATTTATTAAAGCAGGAAAAATATTTTCAAACTCATCTGAAATGTCAAAACGCAATGTTTATGATTTTTTATTTCTCAGTAATTTCCATTAAATTTATGATGTTTTCATATTGAAGGTCACGTCAATTAGATTTCATCGTTATCTTTTGGAATTTCCGCCCACGCGCAAAATGCTTAAATGCTTTTATAAGTTCAAAACACGTTAAATGAACTTTTTTCCTCGAATACCAGATTAAATATGAAAATCAAGCAAAATATTTTTCTGTTGGTTTTCCAAACAGATTGAAATTTAAGAGGAAAAAAATATTTGGAAGTCATAATTTATTTTTATAACTTTCAAGGAACAAACATATAATCCCCAATCAAGTTTTAAGCGTCATACACAAAGGCACATAGCGATCATAAAACAGCACGATTTTAATTAAATTTTATTGATTTCTAGTCGACTAATAAAAGCGGTGAAAATAAAACAAATTGAAATCTCAGTACCATGAAACAACCCCAAATATCTTTTTGATTTTCTCATGAGAAATCTGTTGAAGCACATTCTCATCAACTAAGCTTCAACTGTGTTTTAATTATCCCCTGAACCTCAGAAAAATTTGCTTTCTCTTACTAAGCGTGATGAGAGAATGGAAAACTTAACAAAATAAATTTTAATTATGCTTTAATTGCTATTTTAGAAAATCGTGCTGTTCGAGAAGTGGAGGAAATGTTGAACGTGGAAAACCTTGATATTACTTTTAAGTATAGAACCCTCTTCAATCTCACATGCTCGTACTTTCGCGATGTGAGTTAGCTGATGACTTACTTAACTTGTTTATTTTGTAATCACAGCTAATCTATTGCAAAAAGCTGAAGCAAAAGTTTGACGTTTCAACGCAACTTTCGTTGAAAGCTTTCATTACTCATCGCTAATGAGTTGATTTTATACCAGAAAATGGAAATTTCGTGTTAAAACGATAGCGAAGCATTTTCCTTGTTTTCAAACATCTTTTGGGAATAAAACAATTCACTCAAAATAAAGATTGCATTCATGTTTGTTAACAAAGCTGACTTGTTATCGTCCGAGAACAAAACAGATGCTTTTTCTACATAAAATTATGTAAATTGTGTTTGATTAAAACTTTAAGTATTTCTGAAAAAAAAAGAAAAATGAAACCTTTCTCTTCTCCTTTTTCCTTCATTTTCTTTTTTGTAGGTCAAAACTTTGTTTGAAAATTGCAAAAGTTTTTTTGTTTTTTTCATTTCCTATCCTCCCTTTACAAAGCTTTGTTGAACTTTAGTATGTGGGCATGTTTTGTAATAAAGAAGAAAAAATCTTCTTACATTCAGTTTATCTGATAGTCTACTTTCATGGTCCTTTACTCTTGTCCATTGCATAAATAATTCATTTAAAGAAGTGAAAAGAAAGAATAAAATATTCATACAACACTTGTGCCAGGTGTTCTCTACAATCTCATCAAGCTGATCATGTTCATAATCCAATTACGAAATATGTATAAGTTCTGGCAGTAACATCTTTCACCTTATTCTGAAATAAAAGAAGAATTTTCAACATAATAAAAATTGAAAACGCGAATATTTTGTGTCGTGTAAGTGCAAATGTCTCCAAAGCTTAAATGTCTTCTCAATCATCTCAGTCATGCAGAAAATGAAGAAAATAGTTTTGCTCTAACAATTGCATAAACAACAAGGAGAGAAAAACATGTTTGAAACAAATATTTTTTGTGTTAAGTGACCTGTGAAAATTTTTGCTTTTCTTCTTGCACAATAAGGAATAATTTATTCAGAAAAGCATACAAAGACACGTTTAGAAGTGACATTGTTTTAAATCTTGTCTTGAAAAATAAACTTTGTCAGCTTACATTATGTTGAAACTTGTTTTCGCTTTTTCAATTCGATTGACTTCACGTTTCCAATAATGAAACGTAAACAATGTTCCGAAATACATGCAAATTGTCTTTCGAGATATTTATTATGGAATTGTAACGACACAGAAAAAGTTGCACATTTTCATAAGATTTGAAACTCATTCATCTCGTCATAAAACTTCATTCTAAGAAACAAAATCGCTTCAATGGAGCTGAAACTTCATTTACATTCCTTTTGTTCAATTCTCTCAAAACATTTATCAATATTCATTATAATTTGATTCAGTTTTGAGTCCTAATAATTTATGATTGCACATACATGTGAATACTCAAAATGTTGATTTTAAACTTCAAAGTAAATGCAATAAATTAATCTTGCAATTAAATTTTAATTAAGTATTACAACATTTACTATTGTTGCACAATTTTGATTGACAAAATTTTTGTTGAATTTGCTTCTGAAATTATGAATTATGAACAAGATTTTTTCATTTAGATATGTACGCGAATCTCATTCACACTTTATTCATAATAACTTTTTCCAGTATCTTACAGTCATAAGCCTAACTGTCAACTTAAATTGTCAATTATCTTTCATGAAAATTTAAATCTTTTGATGGCAATTAAAAGAACTTTTGAGGTTTGCAGTTTTAATGAACTTACGTGATTTATTGCGGCCTTTTTTCACAAAGTAAATAATAAAAGAACTTTGAGGTGCAAGAAGGTTTTTACTCCTCAAGAATAATAAAACTTTTAATTAAAAAAAATCCTCAATTTATGGAGTCGAAGGAAATTGTAAAAAGAACAATTAAAGTTACGCGAAAAGCTCAACCCCATCAAGAATATCTAAAAAGATGGTGAAGATGTTCGCAAAACGAAATGAATTCAGAATGGTTCATTAACATTTCCAATGCTCTAACGAACAAAAGTTATGCTAAATGGATTTTAATTAAGTTCTGTTGTGCGTTTATCTGCTTTTTCAAGTTACTTGATTGAAAATCTCAACACCATGACAACGTTAATTAACAAGCAAGAAAATGAAATCAGGAAATTTTAATGATCAAATCATTATTTTCCAAGATAATCTTACAATGCTATCGTGTTTCCTTTAGTCTCACCGACATTCAACAATGTGCGAAATGAATAAAAAAATAGTTTTAAAAATAGATTTCACCTGCTTCTATTTATCTTACAGATTATTACTCGTTTATTTACTTAATACAAGTGAAGACAACTTGTGTGGGTGACCATTCTTTTTTTTTCATAAAACGTTTATCTATTAAACTTATGTCAGACTTTATTTTATCAACGTTTTGAATCGAAGTTTAGTTAACGAATATAAACACAGTCAAAGCGATTGAGTTGTCAATGAAAATTAGTCAGTCTGGGAGAAGTTTTTCGCGTACTTGCACGTTTTTTTCAAGTGTCTGAAGAATATTTAGAAATTAATCTTATTGCAAAATCTTAAAAATTAATGAGGAAAATGTGGAAGAAATTTCATGTGTGGGTGTGTCATGAGAAAGAAAACAAATTAAATTGAATCAAAAAAACGAAAATTCTTGCTAAAGTGGAATGAAAAGTAAACTTCTGTTATCATAAATCACACAAGTGATTCATTCATGCGACTTCGACATAACTGTAGAGTGACAAAATTTGTTAAATTCTGATGCTTTATCGATAATCGATACAGACTTCTGTGAAATTACAAAGTCAATTGATGAAGTTAAATTCAAGAAGTTGAATAAATGTTTTCTTTTTCACTTTGATGTGATTTCGAAGAACGAATTTACATAAGAATAAACAGAGAAAAGAAACTCATGAATAAACAATTTAAAATTTATTTAAAGTTTCAAGTATCGAGAATAAGAAAGCTAAAATCAACAACTCATCAAGCTGATAATGTCGCAGACACTATGGAGCAAAAATGCATAGAGAGTTCGAAGAACTTTCTGACAAATTTTCATAAATTCTTAAAGTCTTGGAACTTACAACAAATAAAAAACTTTTTTCAATTCTTAATAAACTTTTTACTCTGTCAGACTTTCCGGAATTAATGCCCTTAGAAATTTTATGATTTTAAGGGGAACTTTGATAATCCGAATAAGAATTGAAAAGGATTGAAAACAAACTTTTTTGGGGTAAGGTAACTGAAAGTTTCTAATTTTCCTTTTCCACATTTCAATTGAAACTTTTATTTTTGCAGTCAATCAACATCGACTTTGTGAACTTCCATCAATCAGTCGCTTTAATTACTTTGTTAAAATGGATTACTTCGAAGAAGAGTCAACCACAAACTTATATTTCGAAGATGAAAGAGTGACACATTCTACAGCTCTTCGTCTCTACGACATTTTCATTCCTCTCTTCGGGGTGTTTATAATTTTATTTAATTTATTGGTTGTCATATCAAGCGGATTACTGCTGAAGAAACGTAAGTTTTTGTTACGCTTCTGCTTTTCTATGTCACCATTCATCTATTTGTTGTAAATAACTTGTAAATAAACAGATTAAGAACATGTGTACATAGAATGAGATTCTACGAGTGAGTCCAATAAAAAGGAATAAATAAAAGCTTTTCCAGGGCTTTTTCTCCCACTCACGAGGATGCAAACTTAAAAGCTATGCTTTACTCAACATCATAACATCTCCATGTTTTTCTGATTTCATTTCTAGGTCAAGAACCACGTACCACATACTTTTTCCTGGGAAATGTCGGCTTATCGGATCTCCTAACCGGTTTTGCTGTTCTTTTTGGACATCTTTATCCAAGGGAACGTCGAAGTGATGTTCAATGCGCTGTCCACATGGGTAAGCTTTTAGTGATTTTTATGTATTTTATTTAACATTCGATGGAAAGAAAGAAAACAAAAGAAATTCTCTTTACGTGCGTGATCAGAAATCTTTTAATTTTGATTCATTGCATTGAATGCTTTATAATATTTCAATCATAGAATTTGTTTTTATTTCGTGACCTTTATCTTAATCTCCAATATTCAAGTCATTTATTCAGTAGATATTTAACGTGAATGAAAGAAAGATAATAATGTTATCGCGTGTTGGAAGGAAGCATTCCATTTAAATTCACATGATGATATCTTCACAGGAAAAAACTTCTTTGTAAACTTTGAACTTTCAAGATATTTGTAAAGCTCTGAAACGATACTAATTAATAAGAATTGATTATCAAAGAGATTCAAAATTATTCCTCATCAAAGCTTTAAGCAATTTTGCAATCATAGCAGATTCTTTGATGAAAGTTTTCTCAATAATTACTGAGTAACATCAGCGACAAGAGAGTTTGTCAAGTTGATGAACTTTTCTTCTTATGAATCAAATTTCCCTCTTAATGAGCTATGAAAAAAATCATGTCGTAAGTTACGACTTGTAAATATTTCTCACAATGAAATTATGAATTATATTTACAAGAATTTTTATCACATTACAATTTGTGAATAAAATGTTGCTAATATTTCATTGGAAATTCGTGTTTAAATGGTAACAAATTTGAAATTACCATTCAACAATATAAAATGAAATTTACCATGAAGACGATGATTCGCGTGAGAGTTTATTGCAATTGCTTCATATGCAATGCATGTCTGCATTGTTAAGATAGTGAGATTGAGATGTTCAAATATCTATTGACGTTATTGCAAACACAAATCGATACACGTTTTGAATACTCTAAACAATTTGATATCAAAAATTTAAAGCTGTTGTCTCCTTCAAGAGAAAATAAAGAAAAGTTTCCATTCAAAACTTTCTTTTGTCAGCTTTATTACTTCAAATATAGCGACATGATTCCAATCCATCGTTGACAAATTGAAATCAATTGACGTGCATGTTAACAATAAACTCGTTTATAAAAAGCATTTTTTCAACAGGGATGATTGTTTCGTCGACGCTCGTTTCAATTTTATCAGTTGTGTTTGTAGCAATTGACAGATTTCTTTATATATTGCATGGTATGAGATACCAGCAATATATCTTCCCGAATCGTGCCAGGATTTTGATTGTGACAACATGGATTTTTGGTGAGTTAGTTATTGTTATTCTCATACCCTTCTGTTTCTCAAGTCTTTAACTTTCTTTAACATAATTATTAGAAAATAGTTTTGAATAATGTGCTAAGAGGTTTTTGTAATTAAAAATGACGCAACTATTCTGTTGATATAAAAACTTTCTCATTGCTTTACTTTCCATTGTACATTGCAGAGACGAATAATTTCTTTTCAGCTGATGAGGGAAAAAAAGAAGCTTTTCCATTTGAAATTTATAAGAGTTAGGAATTTTCTTTGTGAGAATCTGTTAATGGAGAGCTATAAAGTTGCTGTTTTATTTGCTTTTCCTTCTACTTTATTGTTGTGAGTAGTTTTCAAATGGCGTTGAGAGCTTCTTGGATGAAAAGTGTTAGCGCACAACGGAAACATTTCATCAAATAGTGAAATGTTCATTTTGGCCGAGATTTCAATTTTCAACTCACTTTTGTTACAGATTCAAATTGAATCATAGAGCTTTACTTCCCCTCCATTATTTTACATGCTTTAAAGTTCAAACAACTGCGAGCGATAAAAACAAATAAATAAAGAACAAAAAAACAATAGCGATGGAAGTTGTGCAGCGATGTAAACGGATTGCATTGTTACAATTTTTGCTTCTGATTTCGAATTTCAATTACTTTTTGATATCAACAAACGGGAATTGCCATATGCTATAACTTTTTGTATTGTTCACTAACCAATCGCCAAACTCAACTGCAACATCCATGAAAAACTGCGAGTAAATTTTGCCATATTGTTGTAACTAACCAAACAGAAAAATTTATGTCTGGTGCTATGCTCGTTTTTTATATTTTTAAAGTTTAATCAATAAGTTTATTGTTGCACATTGCTAAATATGTTTAAAAAGCTTTCACATATTTTTGCGGAGTATTTAAGTGGAAACATGAAGAAAATATTTTCACGAAAATGCTTTGCAACATTTTATTAAGCAGGAAAAAATTATTTTTTTGTCATTTTCCTTCTCTTCGCCATTCTTTTCTTGGTAATCTCGTGAAGATTTCTAAAAGGATATCGAAGTACAATGTATAATGCAAAAGAAAAAGTTGAAAGAAATTTGTCGGTGCAATTTCTTTTATTCGATAATCTGAGATTAAACCTCACAGACATGCTAACTGTGCAACTAATCTCAGAAAGAAATGAAAGTATAACCACTCACAGCTTGAACTGTGGATGATGCTTACTGTAACCTAAGGTGATAAGAAATTCAAGTTAAGAGGGTAGACGATGAGATAAGAAATGACATTTTAATTTAGTTGAGATGAAAAGGAGTCAAATAAACCTTCTTGTTCATTCCATCAAGTTTTTTATAATGCACTTATCTCTTTACTAAAAGCTTTTTGCTTCAATCAAATATAATCTACAATTTTTTCAAGTAACTTCAAAGCTCAAATCAAGCATCGCCCGCAAATATTGCGATGGTTTGAAAAGAAAAAACAAATCATTTCCCTACGAATCCAATTTATTGCAAGCAGGTATTTATTTAAAACTTTTTCTCTCTTTGCCATTGCATTGAGAATTCAATAAGAAAAATTTTGAACGAATTTTTTCTTTACTGAAAACTCTAAAAACATTCCATCGTTTTTCAACCTTATTTTTCTGAAGATCGACCTACATAGTTTTTGTGAGATTTATCAGTAATCTTTAATCTTATTTTCAGGTGTTATCGTCGGTTTCCTTCCGGCAATGGTTCCGTTTCTACGTGGAGGAATGAGTCATTCACAATGTTGGTTCATTCTATTGAATCCTGAGTATGTTTTCGCAGTGGCACTGCACAGTGGAAACTTTTCTTTCAGAGAGCGGTCTTTATTAGATAACTTCTTATAGGACCATCGAATGTCATGGTCATGTATAAAACAAATGTTCCTAAGAAGAATACCCGTCAAGGTGCATCATTTTTAATTCGGCCCAGCCCCTTCAGATGGCGTAATGAGGGTTTATATATTTAAAACTAATTTTTTATATAGAAGACGTCACTTTATCTGTATANTGGTTCCGTTTCTACGTGGAGGAATGAGTCATTCACAATGTTGGTTTATTCTATTGAATCCTGAGTATGTTTTAGCAGTGGCACTGATTGGAATCATCTCAATTATTATCGTGTTCATTCTTTACGGTATTATCCTTTTTAAAGCTCTCAGAAAAGTTAGCGAGCTTAGAAAGGCAACAAGTGCTTCGGGTACACAAGCGGCAAATAATCTTCGATATTTTCGAGGCAGTGCAGTAAATTTAAATCAATTACATCTACAAGAAACATCAGTGCCATTACGCAATGAAACGGCGAAAGATTCAGGATGTTGTTGTTGGAAAAAATCTTCTTCAGATGATGTAACAATGCCAAATAATCAGCGAACACAAAATAAACAGCCTAGCAAGTGGAAGGCGATAAAGATTGTAATGTTGACAACAGGCGCATTTTTAATCACTTGGGTGCCCTATTTCGTTGCTGCAACGATGTTTGTTTATTGTGACATGAAAAGCCATCCAGAGTTTTGTAATTCATTGAAAGTGTGGGTGGCATCTCCACTTGCTATCCTCGGCTTTTTCAATTCCCTTTTGAATCCTTTAATCTACGCATGGTGGCATACTGGATTTAGAACTAATTCCCTTCGTATTTTCTCAAAACGATTTGCATGTTGTCGTCAATGCTTGGATAAGCCAAGAGAAAGCACAGGATCACCAAGAACTACAAACTTATCGTCGACAACAAATTTATCTTCATCATCGCAAATTGCGACTTCCTCGACTGTAAATTTTAATAATATTGAAACGACAACGTCAACTAATGGGACTGATTTTCAAGTAAATCGCATCAACTGATTTGAAATTGCAACAAAATTCACAAGTGAAAAAAAAACTTAATAAATATGAAACTAAATAGATGAATTTGGTTTTCAAAAAGCCTGACAACTTCAAATATCATCCACCAGTTTATCTCTAATTTCATAAAAGCAGCAGTTAGTGTTTCGAATTCAAATATTTTATTTAAATTTCAAAAATAAAATTTACGATTGCAATATCTAACTTTTTATTTAAGCAACTTAATTAAGATGTTTTTGTTTCTTTCATCAGTTTTTTGATGCATGTCATGCATAGAATATTTGTAAATGTTAAAACTTGCATTTATTTTAAATTGAAATAAAAACAAAGTTATACTGGCAACAATTTTGTAGCTTCCTGAAATTATTTTAATTTGATGTAGATATTTAAGTGGCACTTACTGTAATTAGAAAAATATGTTCAACATGATTAAAAAGTTAAAACTTTGCTATCATCACAGCTACTGTTAATCAAAACTACATTTATGAAAATCAAATGTTTATTCAAAACTCATTTTTGAAAGTTTTAACATTTACGCTTCAACTTAGTGAAAGTTTAAAACTCTGTCATTCAAGGATAACGCAAAATTATCTGAAAAAATATATTTTAAAATTAAAGCTTATAAGAAAGCTTTTGCTATAATGCTAAGTATAAAAAACTGACTTTTGCTATAATGTTTAAATTTAAATTTAATATAACCGGTAAAATCAAAGAAAATCAAATTTTCGTCTTTTGGCCTTGGAATTTTCCTTCTACCTTCTTTTATTTCCATTTACCTTCTTGTATTTCCTAGTTTAGAGTCATTGACGAAACTTCGAACTCATAAGTCTTGGAATTTTTGTAGTTTATGAAGAACTTCAATTGTAGTGAACCGGCGTTCTCTTAAGCATCAAATGTGATTATTGTAAAGAAACAAAAATAAGACAATTCGTATCGATAACAACACATAGAGTAACAAGCGAGAGAATATCTTATCAAATATTTAGATTAAGAGAAAAAAGTTTCGTGTTTTGTATCAATGTACTTAATAATAACTTCACTAACACTCGCACATTTCTGGATTCTTATTATAAAACTGACAGCTCCCGGTAACAAAATTGTTATTCAGTTTCGTTTAGAACTTCATTCTACTTGCTTTGCAGCTTCATTTTCTTCCACACAAAACTTCATTTTTTTCTTCTCACAATGGCAAATCCAAATCAAGAAATCAAGTACACCAAGGTTAGTGCAATAAATGTATCGAATTATTTGTGTTAAGAAAGTTTCATTAAATATACATTTTTTTATAATATTTTTTTGACTTCTGTTATCATAAATAAACTTTCCACAAGCAATTAAAATTTTTAATTCATATTTTATAATTTTACTCTCAAAATGAATGTAACGATGACTGTCCATTTCTTATCTTTTTTAAGTATGATTGTAAAGCTGAAGATTTAATTACTTATTAGATACTTTCATTTATATACACGTAGAAGTTTCCAGTTGATTTTTCTATTCACTATTTAGTCTCGATAAACAAGACTATCAACTTGATAAGCTCTATCAATATAATATTTTTATCTCTTCAAAGCTTTTCATAAACAATGAATTTGTCGATGCTAAAAGTAAGAAAACTTTCGTCACCATCAACCCAGCGACAGGCAAGAAAATCGCTGACATTGCTGAAGGAGACAAAGCAGATGTTGACTTAGCAGTTGAAGCTGCAAAGAAAGCATTCGCTCGAGGTTCTGAATGGCGTAACATGGATGCTACAACACGTACAAGGTTGATGAATAAACTTGCAGATTTGATCGATCGCGATTCTAATATAATGGCAAACCTGGAAGCATTAGACAACGGCAAAACTTATGTAGCAGCGAAAGTAAGAATTTTATAATTAAAAGGAATGCTCGATTATCTAATAATTATTTTTATTTCTCTCACAGGGAGACGTTTACTTCACAGCAAAACTCTTCCGTTATTACGCTGGTTATGCTGATAAAATTCATGGCAACACAATTCCAGTTGATGGAAATTTCTTCAGCTTCACTCGTAAAGAACCAATCGGTGTTGTTGGTCAAATTCTTCCATGGAATTATCCAGCATTGATGGCCGCTTTTAAATGGGCTCCAGTTCTTGCTACTGGTTGCGTGTCGGTTTTGAAACCAGCTGAACAGACGCCATTGACAGCATTATACATTGCAGCATTATCAAAGGAAGCTGGTTTCCCACCAGGAGTTTTGAATGTTGTCACTGGATTTGGTCCAACTGCTGGTGGCGCAATTTCTTCACATCCTGATATTCGTAAAGTTGCATTCACAGGATCAACTGAAGTTGGAAAATTAATCATGGAGGCGGCAGCTAAATCCAACTTGAAGAAGGTTTCGCTTGAACTTGGTGGAAAGAGTCCACTTGTTGTATTTGATGATGTTGATTTAGATGAAGCTGTGCCACTTGCACAAGAAGCTGTTTTTACCAATCATGGTCAGATATGTTGCGCTGGTAGCCGAACATTTGTTCAAGAGAAGATTTATGATGAGTTTGTTAAAAGATCAGTTGCACTTGCTAAACAACGTAAAGTTGGTAATCAATTTAATGCCGATACTAAACAAGGACCACAAGTCGATAAAGATACCTTTGATAAGATTATCACATACATTGATTATGGCAAGAAAGATGGAGCAAAGTTAGAAGTTGGAGGTAAACGTGTTGGAACCGAAGGATTCTTTGTTGAACCAACTGTTTTTTCTAATGTCACTGACGACATGAGAATTGCAAAAGATGAAATCTTCGGGCCAGTCCAATCCATCATAAAGTTCAAGACTATCGATGAGGTCATTGAAAGATCTAATAATACAAATTATGGACTTGCTTCTGGTGTTTTAACAAAGAACATTGACAATGCCTTGACATTTGCTAATGCGGTCGAAGCTGGAACTGTTTGGGTCAATTGCTTTAATGCTACAGCTGTTAACACTCCATTTGGCGGTTACAAAGAGTCTGGATTTGGTCGTGAATTGGGTGAAGAAGGATTGAGTTCTTATTTGGAAACTAAATCAGTTTCAATTAAACTTCCATGCAGAAATTAAACCGAGATTTGAAAACATGTTTTTGCAGTTCAGTTAATCATATTTTTTGAATAAAATTTCAATTTTTTATTTTTAAAAACAAATCATCTCATTAATATTTCTTTTGTTTCATAATATTTGCTATCAAGTTTGGGTGACTCAGCATGGGCCCACAGAAATGTTTTTGTTATTGCGCAAATAAGACATACAATTTTGTGAAATTTTGTTGGAGTCGATACTATTCATCTTCATTGATCTTTTATTTACTGAAGTTATTCTATTTTCAACTAAACTTTTAATGTCTCCTGCCATTGATTCTATTTACATCTGCTTTAAGTAAAATTATTATCTTTGTAAAGAAAGTTCAGTTCATATTATAAATACATTGAAAATAAGAATTCTTCTGAAAATAACTACACCAGGTCAGGGGTTAAGATTACTGATATGTTTTTTTTATATCGAGTTGTCATTGTTCATTTCAAAGTTCTTATTATGTTAGGAAGCGGTTTGGGAAGAGCTGAAAATATTTCTCGCTACAATTTTATGAAATAATTTTTCTCGCCTTTTTTAAAGATTTAGGTATATTAAATAGAAAGTTGTTGATTTAAATGTTAAAGTTTGCATAAAAGAATTTGCCTGAGGGTGTGATCAAATATGGATAGATACGTGATTTACGTACAGATCAAAGATGCATTGTATAAAAGAAATACTGGATTCATATGAATGTTATCCTTACCAACAACTATCCAAACGGCGCTGCAGAACTTAAATCTCAAGTTGATTTTTATGATTGATGAACATAATTCGATCAACACAAATACAAAAAGGAACATTTTCGTACGACACTTTCCATCTTTTCCGTAACAATATTGAAGATTGAAATAAAGCTGATCATGAAATTTTCTTTTCTTTTGGATGAATTTTGTTCAAAGTCAAAAGCCTCAAATAAATGTATTTTACTAAATTTACCATGATTTTATTCATATGAATAATTTCTTATTTACATGGATATCAACCATCTAATCAAGTTCGCTTATTTCTTCTTCAAAATCATCTGGAGGTATTCCAAGTTCAGCATTTGTCCACTTTGAAGGATCTGGATAATCGAATTCTCCCTGCAAATTACATTTCATAGCGATTCTTTTGAATTAATGGTAATTAAACTTACGATAATATGTTCAGGTTCATGCCAAAGATGCCACATGACCCACCACCACATAATACCACTAATTACATTTGCTGCAATCAAAACCGACTTTGGGTGATCAGTTTTTATCGTTCGGTAAAACCATCTGAAGTAAACAAATGATTTATATTACATAATGAAAATAAATCAAACAACTTTTTTTAAAATATTTCAAATAATATTTCGAAATGATGATCATTAAATGTAAATCCATAAGATATCCTTTCAAAATCAAAAGGTGGATCTCATTTTGGTAGATCAGAAAATAAATTTTTAAAATTATTTACACAATTTGAATTTTCGCAATTTTTCTTACCCACTACTATGTCTGACAATTTGTTTATTATGAACGCCTAAAGATTTCATTCTCAAGCCATTTGCAATAACTCGACCCAGTATTACTGCTCTAGAAGTGAGCATTTTGTATAATTACAATTTTTTGTGGTCGATAAAACTGAATTCGGTCTGCTCGGTCGCCTAGAAAAACACTGAGTGCGTTTAAGTTTCTCCTACAGTGAGTTTTCTAAACTTGCGTTCGATTTCATTCAAACTCATTCCAAACTTTATCTGAAAATTTGTGCAAATTACTTTAAATATGATTTGACATAACTATCTATAGATGAGCAAAGGAAAAACAGATAACAAAAAACTGATGAGATTCATTTTAAACAGAACTTTTATTTTTGCTTAGTTTTCTTGCTACTTTCGCCTTCGGCTGACGAACTGCTTCGTGATTTTTGCCAATTTAATGGTTTCTTACGATACAGTGGATAAGGCGGAATGGTAATGATTAATGCCAAAGCAAATCCAGCAGCCAAAATGTAAATCGTCTGAGAAAATTGTTGAATTACGGCTCCGAAAATCAGCCCAACGAAACCAAAAACTGTGATGATTGCTCTTGATATTTTTTCGGCTCTTGCTTGGCCTTCATAATCCTAAAATTCCTAGAGTAAGCGGTGGAACATTATATCTGGATTTTAATCACAACTTACCATATGAGTTTGAATGTTCAACATTATTTTTAAATAATTTTACAAATTTCTTTCCGATTGTTGATGTGTCTATATCTTGTGTTTAGAAATCAAGAGTACGTTTAGAGTAATGATTCAATTTCGCATCTAAAGATACGGAAAACTGAAAGAAGCAAACTTTGAGCGCGAAAGATTGATGCAAACTGAAAAATTAGAAAATAAATAAAAGTCGTAAAAAAATTAAAAATGCATTTGAGACGTGAATAAAATTAAATAAACATGTTTGTGCAGGACTTAAGGCAAGAGTTCTATAACTTGCTTATTGGAAAACGTGTGATAATAATAGCAAACTCTGATGTTGACTCGATCGTGGCTTCGAAAATTCTTCAGTCACTTTTTAGAAATGAACAGATAATTTTTACGTTTGTTCCAATAATGGGTGTAAAAGGCCTTAAAAGAACTTTTGATGACAACAAAAATGACTGCAACATATTTTTACTCATAAACTGTGGAGGTTGTCTTGATTTAATTGACCTTTTAGCACCAGAGGAAAATATTTTCTTTTTTGTTTGTGATTCTCACCGTCCATTGGATTTGTGTAATATTTACAGCGATTCACAGGTAATAAACAATAAAGATAAATAAAACAATAAAGAACTAACTTAAGAAATCTTAATATTATTTCTTTGAAGGTTCGAATACTTGGTGATCCAAAAGATGAAGAAGAAATTCCTCAATTTGACGAGATATTTCAAGAATCAGAAAACGAAGACAGTGAAGACGATGAAAACTCAGACATTTTCGATGGTGATGATCCGGAATCACGGCCATCAACAAATATTGAAAAATTTGAAAAACGTATGAAGAAAAATCGCGAGAAACGAGAGTGGGAAAAGAAACGAGATCGAATCTTATTCAACTATTCACAAAACAGTTACTACACACGTAGTTCAGCTCTTGTATTTTTTGAACTCGCTTGGCAGATGTCAAAAGACTCTCTTGATTTATTATGGTGGGCTATTGTTGGAGTCACTGAGCAGCTTCTTATGGGGAAAAGAGAAAGTTCAACTTATACTTTAGAAACACAAAAAATTCAATCGCATGTCACTCGACTAAACACAAAGATGAATGGAGGTGGATCAACACATACATCGATTAGAATCACTTATGAAAATGATCTTTATCTAGCGTTATATCGACATTGGTCAATTAGAGAATCTATACAGAATTCAGTTTACTCAGCATGTAAGATGAAACTTTGGACTCTCAATGGAAAGAAGAAGCTGAATGAGCTTCTTGTTGAAATGGGACTTCCACTTTCTCAAGCAAATCAACAGTTCAATTCAATGGACCTCTTACTAAAAAACGATTTCTATCAAATGATTGAAAAAACTTCAGAGAAATATAACATGAACGAGATCATTTATGGTTCATTTACATTACAATATGGTTACAAGAATCGATTTTCAGCAGCCGATTACGTTTATGCAATGATCGCTCTTATGGAACAAATTGAATACAATAGAACAGCTGAAAGTTGTTTTCTTGAAGCACTTGAGTCAGTTTCTAGGAACAAGAAAATGCTTTTAGAAACTGGGATTGAGAAAGCAAAAGTTTTACTTGATGCAGTCTTTAAGCAAGTCAAAACATCACTAGAGATGCAACAAGTCTTCTCAGCTGGTCCATTTCTTTATTTGATACTTCAGGAGGAAAATATTCTCTTTTCATCACCGTACGGACTTTCAATGCTTGCTAAATTCATTCTCAATGGATATATTGCTACATCAAGAAAACGTCGTGTACGTGAATTGCCTTTGATTGTTGCAATTCCTGTAGATTCATCACGTGAAATCAATCTCATGGTAGGAATTCCTCCAATAGGTGATGATGTTAAAAATCTATTTGGCAAAGCTTTTGAAACAGCTGCCATTAAAAGTAATTCTGCTGTATCACAAGACTTTTTTGACACTAATGTTATCCAAATTAAGCAAGCCGATTGTCCAAAATTTATTGACGCTCTTACAGTTATTATGTTAAGATAATCTTTATGTTTAATTCAATTCTTAAAAGAATGCTCTAGATAAATAATAATTGAATAACCATTTGTTTTACATATTTAAAATTAATCATTGTTCATTCATGGTGTTGTTGATTAAACATTTTTCTATTAAAAAGAAAAGAAAACAAACTTGTACGTATATTCAGCTCTAAACAATATTTAACGGCATTTTTGAAAATAAACAACAATTAACTGACAACAGCATTCAATTGAGTTCTTATTTATCCGACTGACATTGTTTGATCGTGAAAAATGCTTTTATTTGGTGTCATTTTCTAACTTGAAGCTGATGATACACAATACAATTTTTTTGTAATTAAATTAAAAGTTTCTTCATTAAATTGAGCTGTAATCAAGCCGAAAATGAATCTTCACGATTCACCATATAACAACGGACTGTTGTTTGTTAATTTTAATCAAGATTTCGGTATGTAGCGATGATTTAAGCATAGAAAAAGTTTGTCTTTGTTGCCTATCTATCAGAGAAAGTGATAAGCAGGAAAAAACAAAAACCAGAAAAAGAAAATAAAGTTGCTGATAAAAAATTTGTAAACATATTCGCAGGTTGTTTTGCGTGTGGAACAAATGATGGTTTCAGAGTTTTCAATACGGATCCATTAAAAGAAAAAGAAAGACAAGTGCTTGATGGTGGAATTGACAATGTTGAGATGCTTTTCAGATGCAACTATTTAGCATTAGTTGGAGGTGGACACAAGCCTTTCCTGGCGCCAAATAAACTTCTCGTATGGGACGATTTGAAAAAGCTTCCCGCTATATCTTTAGACTTTAATAGCCCAATAAAAGCAATTCGTCTTAGAAGGGACAGAATTGTTGTTGTTTTAGGTGAATATTTTAATGACACCACGTATTTCCGTTTTTGCTAACACAATTTTTTTCTACTTAGAGGGTATAATTAAAGTCTACACATTTACACAAACGCCTCAGCAATTGCTTGTATTTGAAACAAATCAAAACCCAAATGGATTGTGTGTGCTATGTCCAAATTCTAACAAATCTCTACTTGCTTTTCCTGCACGACGTTCAGGAAACGTTCTCGTTGTTGATTTGGCAAATACTGAAAAAGCGCCATTGGAAATAAGTGCACATGATTCAAAGATTCAATGTTTGTCGCTTAATCTCCAAGGAACACGTCTGGCAACTGCAAGTGAACGAGGAACCTTAGTAAGAATTTTTGACACAACAAGTGGTCAAAAGGTTGCCGAACTTCGACGTGGATCGAATCAAGCAAAGATTTACTGCATAAATTTCAATCACCAGTCAACAGCCGTTGTTGTCGCAAGTGATCATGGAACAATTCATGTTTTTAATCTCGAAGAAGAAGCTTCGCGTGAGAAAAACATATCACAAATTTTGCCAAAATATTTTTCCAGTAATTGGTCGTTTTGTAAGTTTTCAATCCCAGCTGGTCCTTCAATTCATTGTATTTGTGCTTTCGGGGCTGATCCCAACTCAATCATCGTTATTTCGGCTGATGGAAATTACTATAAATTCTTATTCAATAACAAAGGCGAAATAAGCCGCGAAGTATGTACGCAGTTTTTAGATCTTTCAGAAACCTAAAAATCGTGAGATTATCGAAATGAATATATTTAACATTTTTTATATTTAATTATTATATTAGTTGCTGTTTCTTTATTAGTTTGATAAGAGAGTTTAGAACATTTATTACTGCATGTTTCTAAATGATTACAAAGAGTTCTTTGGGAAATGTTAAGCGTCACAAGTCATAAGTAAAAATTTACTTCAATAAAGTTCAAAATTAGTCTAATCTCGATGCATAAATTTATCAAATCAAAGAAAACAAAATTATATTGTTGTGGACCTTAATAAAATTAATTACTTGTGACGTTGACAAAGAACAACCAATTTTTGATATATTTTGTGTCTACCCCGTCTTAATTTTCTTTTTTGTTATTTCTGCTAAGAAAATAAAAAAGAAAACAAATAAATAAACTTAAAGTAATCAAATAATTCCTCATGATCAAAAAAGAAAATTAAAAATAAATGTATACAAATGCAAAAAATCTGCAACATACATATTTATGCACTCATCACACGAGTCTGTGTGATCTGATCTTCCTTTTTCTTTCAGAGAGAGTATGAGCGTTTGAAATTAAATAAAATTAATTAATTCTTTCTTTTTGTTTCTCAAAGCGAAAGGAAACAAGAAGATTCATGAACGTGCAGCAAGTCGATTCCTTCTCAGTCTCTTTGAAATTCTCGAACCTGAAACAACGTGAAAGGAAAAAAAAGTATCGTGTGTCGCTTCGTTTAAAAAGTGACTTTAATGAGACCCCAGTAAATAACTATTTTCGTACATTTTTCTAGTTACAAGTCAAAGTTTTCTTCTCAAGCAATTTTCTTTCTTCTTTCTAAGTGCGGTTTGTAATTAACGGAAGTGAGATTACCATTTTGGAAAGAAATTTTCTTCTAAATAAATTATCTCATGCTCGAAGGTGAAACCGTTGAATGACAATTTAGTGTGTGCCAAAATCAGATATAAAAAAATATTAAAAATTAAAGTCTCATAATTAACAATCAACTGTGTCTCAGAAAGATTAAAATGTGAGTTAAAGTTTTTTTTATTAATTTGAATTGAATTTCCATTGACAAGATGAAACAAGAAAAATGACAAGAATTTAATTTTCTGATGAAAACAAAAGCGACGAAAAGAAAAAGACATAATCGTTGCTATAAATATCACACAAATGTTAAACAATTAAAGCGAAAGGAAACACCGATTCAAATTTCTCACATTTCTTGTTTAATGTTTAGACTTACCAGACAATAATGACAGGAATAGGAGTGATGGTTTTCTCTCAACTCGCGATTTCGCGTGGTTTCATTTCATTTCTCTTTTCGCTTAAAGATTATTTACAAATTCCAATCAATTTTCATATTCAAATGAATTCTGTTTATATCCGAGATATTTCTTGCGAGTTAGCTTAAACACTATAAGCTGTAAACAGATCGTTGATCATAAATTTAACGATCATAATTATTCCTGCAACTAAACAAGTAACAACAAACACTTTAATTAACTTTTTTTCTCAAGGTTGGGATTAAATTTATTTTTAATAAAAATTATATTCGACTTGCTTCAAAGGATATCTCATAAGCTTATGTGGAAGTGTTAAAAAATAATATTTTGTGAAAATGATATTAGAAATAGAAATAAAAATAAAAATAATAATCATGACGATAAGTGAAGAAAGAAAAAAGAAATTTTAAATCGTATAAATCGTATCATTTCCTGCATCATCGAGAGTGCTCTTTAAATTTTATGTTTTCGTAAATTTTATGTCATCGGCTCACTTTAAGCGTCGTTGTGCTCGTCGTAATTTCGAACAAGAGCGTAGCCTACGATCGGAGAGAACAGGCTCATTGCGTTGACTAATACGCGGTTTCTTATTGTTGTTTACTATGAGAGAAAAAAAAATCGTTAGTATGACAAGATTTAAAAGTTAATGAATGAAGAATAACTTACCAGGTGTTTGTGATAATTCGTAAGATTTAACAATTTTATTCGTTTCACGTAACTTCTTCACTAGCATGTCATTCTTCTGACGCTCTATATTTAATTCATGCAACAGTTGGGCTTTTGATTTGTTCACAGCGGGACATAAGACGGAATGATTGAAGATTGATGTTGACGACGGCCGTTCTTGTGGATTGGGATGCGTCATAATTTTAATGAGGTCGTTGAATTCGCGACTTATGCCAGGCAAATCGGGAACTTCACCGTCTCTTAAGCGATGCCATTCGGGACCATTCTTTGGCAACGGGCCACCACCTCCGGCCTCATAAATTGTTATTCCAAGAGCAAATATATCAGCTTTTGGTAGATTCGAAAAGTCTTCATCGAGAATTTCTTTTGGCAGGTACCGGCAATCGCCTTCTTCAACTCGTGGTTCACTGACTGAAGTAACATGACCAAGGTCGCCAATCTTGTATGTTACAGCTTGATAATTGTCCAACTGATCGTAATTCTCCTCGAACCCATCATCACTTTGTTGTTGACGTGCGATTGGTTTTGTAAGGAAGATGTTTCCTGCTTTTATGTCCATGTGAACGAGACCATGAGAATGAATGTATTTTAAGCCTTCAGCAATATGTAACAAGAGAATTTTTAGCTCGGCTTCATTTAAGACACGTTTCTGTAGCAGGGTTTGGAGACTTCCCCCATTACAATATTCGTTTTGAATCAGCATGTGATTGTTTTCAGCCCATGCTGAATAGTAGCGGACGACATTATCATGTTTGCCAAGCACTGCGTGTGCATAAACTTCGTTTAATGATGTTTTCTCAAAGGCACTTCCAGCAACAGGTTTGATACTACGCTTGATGGCATAGATGCATCCATCTAATCGATTCAGGCACTGATAAACTAAACCAAACTCTCCTTCACCCAAAAGTTTTAGTTCTACGAACTCTTTTTCATATCGAGTTATGTTAGATTCCTGTAAAGCCAGACGCTTTGGCGCCTGTCGAAATTCATTCAGCTCTTCATCATAGCAGAGCTCAAATGAATCACATACTGTTGAAGTTGTTGTCATGAGACTTCCTTTTAAAGGCTGATTCCATTTCAAGATGCCTTTGTTGTTCATGAGCAAAGGCATTGAAGAGTTGAGGTAATCTCCACCGATATCAAAACGTGTTCTCTTCTTTCGAAGTGAGATTCCAGGAGGAGTAAACGGATTCACATTAGCACCTGTCATGAGAAGAAAAAATGTTTTCTTTTTTGTTTCAACTGAAATTGTTATTGTTATTATTATTACTCACACAAATTATCGTGAAGTCGATTGTAGAGCGGAAAAGGCTTTGGCTTGTTGATGTTATTGTTATTGTTGTTATTATTTAGTAACAATGGCGCAGAAATTTCATGTATTGGATTTGCTAATACGTCATAGTTTTCATCTTGATTCGTGTTATGCTGATTCTTGAATCTTGTTGAAACAAGAAGAGTTTTTGGCGTTCGTGGTGAATCAAACAGTCTGTAATTATTACAAAACTCATTAATTATCCACAATGACTTTGATTTTTTCTCATATACTTGCCTTAATGCTTTGATTCGGTTGATATCAGGAGAAAATGTTTTGTGAGGCGACTTTGGAAAGTTTTGTGTTTCAGGCGAATCAGAAAATTTTAATTTACGCGGTTGTACTATTCGTTCTGGCGATGATTGACGTTCGACACTTGAATTCATGTCTGGTGAATCAAAATCACTACTTTCTGTATCCATTTCTTCTAGTTTACTTCATGAAAAAAAATATGAAATATTTGTCTCTGTTTATAACAAAAATAGCGATGCTGTCTGGCGTACCCCTGTTTTAACGGTCATTATTGCTTCTCGAAGAATCTTGGAAGCGAAAGAATTTGAAAATTTTCCGTTATTTTTTCAATTGATATTTTTTTAACGAAAATTATGAATGAAAGGGATTAGAAAGTTATTTATTGCCAATATTCTTCAGAAAGATTATACTAATTATGTTATAGGTATAATAATTTCTAAGAATTATATGAAATAGATGTTAATGAAATGTTTTGATTTTTTTTTTTCGAAGATGGAAGGGTTCACGTTAAATGATATTCAAGCTTTATCAATTAATCGAGATGATGCGACAGATGGAAGTTTCCGTAGAAAGAAAGAATTAGTAAGTATTAAAATATAAATAATCGGTGGATAATTATTTTATAATTGGGTTTTACCATAAAAAAATATTTGTTTTTAAATTTTCGGATGAATTTTTATTGCCTACCTTACTACTTAAGCTTAGAAATATTTGTACTAAATATATTAAATAAATGATCATCTGTTTCCAACAAGGTTTCCAAACAATCTCAAATTGTTGAATGAATTTTCTCTCTCACTAATTTTCAAAGAAAAAAAACTTTTCGTGATTACTAACGCACTCAGAATCTCAAAATAAAATTCTAAAAATAAACCTTAGAGAGTAGAGAAATTGAAAAAGAAATCAGTTTTGGAAAATTCTTTCTGGGAAACAGTCAAGCATTGAGATAATTTTCTATTCAGAAATTTTTTTTGATAAGGAAAAAGTAAAAAATTTTAATCATGGATAGATTTATGGAACAAGTTGCTATTGAAGCATCTCAGATGTACGTCACAGAATCAGGAAAATCCCCGTTTGCTAGTACTGTAGGTGTTGTGAACACTCTTGAGAAAATAAGATCATTCAGTGGTTTTAAAATTAATTTTAGGTTTCACCCCCTAAATAAATTTTAATTTCTTTTCTAGACAATCGAAAAGCTGCCTGACAAGGTGATATTGAGCATATTTTCTTACCTGTCTCATTTGGAAATATGTCGAATGGGTAAAGTGAATAAAGTTATTTGAATATCCTTGAATAAATGTCACAAAAGTTATTTTTCATCTCTTTAATTTTATTTTTCTTAGCTCAAGTTTGTCGTCGGTGGCGTCAGATTGCATATGATACAAAATTGTGGAAAAATGTTTCACTTCGTCCGGAAATTTCAGGTAGGTTTTGAAATTGGTAATTAAAAGATTTTATTGATTAATTTTTTATATTTTTCCAGGTCTTCATGTTGGGTCACTCGAATCATTGCTTGCATTAATTTCAGTTCGATTTGGACCATCACTTCGTTACATCGAACTTCCTATTGAGTTGATAACTCACACAGTGTTTCATGAATTAGCTGGAAAATGTCCAAACTTAACTCACATGCTTCTTGATTTCTCAACAGGTAATTAAATACAAATTGGTTCTACTTATTTGAAATACTTTTCAATCAAAATTTTTCTTTTAGCTATGCAACTTCACGATTTCAGTGAATTGCAAGCATTTCCTGCAAAACTCCGCTATCTTTGCATCTGTTTATCCGAAGTCATCTTTATGGAAGGTTTCATGAGAAAAATTTATAACTTCATTAATGGTCTTGAAGTTCTCCATCTTGTTGGTACTTACGAGAAAATTGAACAAGAAGAAGAAGAAATTTATGTAAGTAACAAATGTTATTAAAAAACAATGAAATGAATTTTAAATTCACTTTCAGGAAGTCATCAATGTTCACAAGTTAAAAGCAGCGACTCCAAATCTTCGTGTCATCAATCTGTATGGAATAAATTTCATTGATGATTCGCATATTGATGCTTTCAGCTCAAATTGCATTCAACTTGAATGCTTAGCTGTCAACTTTTGTAATAAAGTTACAGGATCGACTTTAAAGACACTTTTTCAACGTTCAAAGAGATTAAAATGCTTGTTAATGAATGGCACAAATTTGCAGTCAGAATATGTGATGACAGTTGACTGGGACAAGACGTAAGATGCGATCAATATGAATGAACGCTTTACATTTATTAATGAAGATTTTATTTCTAGTATTATACAAGAACTTGACATATCTGCAACTGATTTATCAACTGAATGTCTCATCGACATGTTGACTCGCATACCTGGATTGAAATTTCTCAGTGCAGGTCAAATAAACGGATTCAATGATTCCGTGTTGAAAGCTTGGATGGAATCGGGAACTTGTCGTTCACTTTTGGCTTTAGACTTAGATTCATCTGATAATTTATCGGATGAGAGTTTGAATAAATTTATCACACGTCATGGAAGTCAATTGCAATCATGCGTTTTAAGTGGAATGGCGCATATCACTGATCAATTATGGATGTCAATTCTTCCCCTTCTGTCATCAGCTAAAATTCTCGTTATGGGAACTCATGAACGACTGTCAGTCAACATTCATGTTGATCAATTGATGGACGCAATTGCAACAAATTGTCCTAAACTTGAAAGACTTGAATTGAGGTGAGAACTTCGAAATTTCCATTTCAATACTAAAAATTAAAATTTCACAGATGGGATCCAGAAAATCTTCGATTCTCAGATAAAAGTCAAAAAGCCATTGACTTGTTGCGAGTTAAATGTTTGAAATTACGATGCATGGTTCTTAGCGATGGTCGTTACTACGAATTAGTGAAAGCAAACTTTGAACGAGCTGATCGAATGACAGTTGTCAGGAACACAACTTGCTGCAGAGTGTCAGCATATCACATGCTTCAAAACTATAACGATTTGGTGTTTAATTAAACTTAAAGTCCGCTGTTTATATCAAAATTTTATTTCTTTTAAGAGATATCAATAAATTTATGTGAAAAGTTATTGAAAGAATTTAACACAATTCTAAAGTGTTGCGAAGAACCAAAGATTCGTCTTCAATTCTCATTACTTCGTTACCTAAACAATCGTGAATTTCAAACGGAATTGTGCTTCTTAAATCGTTAAAAGCTTGGATGTGTGAAGATAATTCAGGAATGACTTCGTAATTGAATCTTGTGGACAATTCGTCAAGTTGATTTGCAGCAAAGTTTGTTATGTTTCCTTGATTTGTCACAGGATTTACCTGAAACATCACGTAAAGTTTTATTTATAAAAATATCTCAAGAAATCTCTTCAAACTTACTTCACTGAGAGCATTCAAAATAATGTTTTGTATTTCAAATGATTTCTCAAATTCCCTTATTGTAAGCATGTCAAATGAAGATATTTCAACAATTATTGGTGTAACTGAATTTTCAACGCATAAACCAAAGCTCGAATCAGCATTTGACAATTGATTGTTCCAACCATCAATTGCAACTTGTAGACATTCGTCACTCCCAGTCGCATTTTCGATGAATTCTTGTGCTACTAATTGAATTCCTTCAATTGTATTCAATGCTAAAATTTATAACTTTTTAAATTACTTTTTAATAATTCTTGATAATCTTTTTCGTCAACCTTCGGTCACTTCCAACATAGCAGCTGAACTTAAGAATCTTATATGTTCATGAATTTCAGTTCTTGCATCAAAAACTGTAAGTTGCATTGAATCATAATTTCCTTGTGAAGCGAATTGTAGTTGAAGTAAATATTCGACAAATTCTGTTGACTGTGGCTGTGCAATTAAATTTTAATTCTGCTCAAAGAATATCAAATGACATGATAATTATTACTTACTGTCACAGAGGATGTAAGCATAAATGTAATGAAAATTACCGAAAACTTCATTTTTTGATTACTCAACTAACTTTATGAACGATCAAAAGTGTTTTGAATTATTTTGTGTATCAATCATGACATTATCCAACCGGAAAAACCAAAGATTAGATAAAGAATGAACAACTTCTTCAAGTACTTTCAGGGGATTCGATAAAACGTTTCTTATTTTAATCTCACTACAACTTTTGAGATGGCATTTGAAAACATTTAAATGCAAATTTAATGAAACTTTTGACAATAAAAAGCATGGCCAAAAATTGTTTGTTAAATTTCAAGTTTTATTTTTTTTTTCAAGTTTGATGCTTTGAAAATTTAAGTACAAGCTCTCGCTAATGCCAGGTCTTCTCTTGCTTCGTTTGCACTTGCCGCTGCAATCGCTCGATCACACTGAAAATATTATCAAAATGAGATTAAAAGCAATAAATTGAAAACCATGATGACCAACCTCAGTTAATTGTCTGATAATCTCTTCTTCGTTATTGACAACGGATGCGCGGAATTCTTCAAATGTTTCAAAATATAGATCGGACCTAGCAAGGAGCTCAACCAATCGTTCGTTTATTCCAGTACTCAATAAATTGCTTCCAACGTATCCTTCAAGATCAGCTAATTCAGCAACACCAGCATTTGCAAATTGATTGGTTGTGCCTTGGGCAGATACATGAAGATTATTAACGAACTCACTCCAGGCATTCACTTCAGCCACAGAATTCAATAAACATTCACTCAGCCTGTTACCAAAACGATGAACTTGTAAATTCCATCTTGCCCTAACAGTGTCAATGCAGGGACTCGATTCAAATTCAGTGTTGAAGATTTCTGTCGTTTCGCTTTAAATTAATTAATCAATAAATAATTTTGAAATTTTTAATTAAGCAAAGAATGTGGAATATTTAACTGACTCAACAAGCATATGAATTTCGGAATAAGTGTCCATAAAACTGTCCAACAATTGCTGCTCCACAATTGCAATGTAAGATGAAATAATGTTTCGGTTGATTTGATATTCCGATTCTGCTCTTTCGTGTGCACTTGTTAATTCCCTTTGAGCATTCAATAAATCGGTTGTTGTGTCAGTAACGTCGTCACCTGTCACCTATTCAGACATAATTTAAGTTCAAATTAAGATTCAAGGTCATTTAATTATTAATTATACCATTGCGATAATCGCAAACCACAACAAAACTGCCTTCATGATCACGAGGATTGAAATCAACGAGAACTTGTCATAGACTAAACTTTCTCCACGAAACAATTCGATTTTTAAGCAGCTTTGTTATCTTATCAATTATTGGTGATAAATACTTAAGTAAGTTTATAACTCAGTTAAGAGCCTTAGTCATTTCACGGATTTATAATTGAGCAAAACAATCAACAAAAATTCGCTTTTGAAATTTTTTGAAATAAAATTCTGTGATCATGTCGAGATTAAATTGTTTCACTGCATTTTAAAATTCAAACTTTGAATAGTTTGTGTTCATATATCAAAGACCGTCGTACTTTATTCGATAAGCGTAAACTTACCTACAATTAAGTTTGTTGATGATTTCTAAACTTAAAGAGCGCATCACAATTCATGCTGTAGATAAATTTACATCTTCAAGATATAAAAAAACTTTCTGAAAGTAATAAAGTTGATGTGAACATTTTAATGCCACTTAAATGAAAAATATAATTTTGACTTTTGCAAATAGTAGTTCTTTATTTAGATTCTTGAAATAATATTTGTAACTACAAAACGAACTTCAATATAAATGTTTTGATACTTTTATAATACGCTTTGTTGTTGCTTCTTCTTCATGCATCATTAAATGTATAAAAATAATAATTATAAGTTTAAGATAAAATTAAAAAAATTATAACTAGCAACATATCATAAATGTCTATGCAATCGTAATGGGAATATATTGCACGACATAAACTTAATTGTTCTTTAGAAATAATTTTTATGCTTTGGTATTCTAGCTTTAGAGCGTTCAAATGTACAAGATCAAATATATTTACTTAACTAACCCAAGTACTTAAGTTGAAAATAATTCTTTTCCCTTGAAATTTTATATCATTATTTTTTATGTTATCGTTGTGTCTTGAAACCTGTTGGATTACCTACATTTGTTTTAGGAAACATTTTAACATTTTACTTATTTTTTTCTTTGTTTCGTTTATGAGTTTTTGGCATCATTTTCATGAACTATATTTAAGATTCTTAACTATGAAACTAAAATTATAAACTTTCCTCAATTATTGTCTGATTTATTTTCTTTTTTTCATAAACTGGCTTTGAGAGCTGTTCACAAGTGACGTTTTGATTTTAGCAAAAATTGTAAATATTTATATTCAACAATATTTATGAGATTTATTTTTGACTATAAATATTTGGACTGTAAAGTAAATTCAGACTCAAGACCCAACTTATGAACATTCCCTAGTTTTTATACATAATGTTGTTTACTTTATAGAAGAAATATTATCAAGAGTAAAGTTAAGTTTTAACAAAACATTTCATTTCATTGTCGAAAGCTTTATAAACATGTTTTATAATTTTATTTTCTTAAGTTTAGAAAGCTTTATAAAAAGCTTTCCTTTTATTTTCTACTAATTTTCATATTTTCCTTGGAATGATTAACATGAAGTTTTTCTTTATTATTTTTGATTTGAAAGAAAGAAGAAAAGAATTTAAATTGCCGAAGCTTTTTTCTTTTAATTAATGTTTCCAAAAGTTTAAGATGTGAAATCAATTTATAGAATTTTTGATGATGGCGATTATAAGATTTTCAAAAAGTATATATGATTGGATGTCATTAGTTATAGTTTTTCTTTTTATCATATTGTCTTTTTCGATTGATGGTCCATATCTCAATATTGAACTTTTACATTTATAGATCATAAAAGAAAGAACTTTGAATTTAAACATAACTAACTCATCACCAAATCTTTCGTGGCGAGGCCTTTCAAAAATGTGCTGTCAAGACTTAAAAACTTATTTTAATTTAATTTCTTTTGTTTTCGATTCTTAATTGCCGTAAACCCAGCCTTAAACTACTAACTATTACTTAAATTTTTAATAAGTAAACTTAATTGTCACTTTAAACTTATGGTCATAAACTTTCATAGTTTCATATCAATAATCTCTTTAATTTCGTGGCACATTGAATTCACTTCGAGTTGAAAACATAAAATTAATTAAGCATTTTGTTGTTAAATTTTAATTTAAGTTTTTATGTTTTGCAATCGCTTCCATTTTCATCTAAAGTAATTGAGTATTTTTACAGGTACCTTTAATTATTGTAACATTATGAACTAACTTTAACTTTTAATTATGTACAAGCAATTACGAATCAGAAAGAAAATTATTTCTGAACAATTTTTATTACTTTCTTTTTCTTCTCGTTCGTTTCTCTGGGAATGTAAAGACTTGTCACGAAGATAGTTATTTTAATTATTATTATTATTATTATTATTTGTGGTTATAGTTTTGAAAAATACAATGAACAGTTAATTAGATGTAAGAATTATGATGAAGATGCTTTGACTTCTTTTTCTTCTTTGCTTTTCTTGTTCTCAATGATTTAAGTACGAAAAATTATTATTTCGACTGGGACAATGTGAGGTGGATGAACAAGGGATGCTTGAGCTTTATTTATGTTTAACAAATTTTTTAACTAAACTTTATGGAAATGGAATTTCATTTCATCAACTTTGTGATTATTTTAATATCTAGTCGCGTTGTATGTCTTTCTTTAAAACGGCGGCAAAATTTGATTGAATTTCAGTTGTTCATGATGCTTTTGCCAGCGTTGCATCATTAACTAATCTCGATAAGGTTTGCAATAACTATACCTGTGGTTCATGTGCTGACTGTATGAGCCGGAATGAGAGAATCGTTTTAAGCATTTGCCGCATTGGAAAGGCTTTTCACCTGAGTGTAAACGTTTGTGTTCAGTCTAAATAAATGAAATGAAATGAATAAATAAATAATGAGAATTGAAAACATGTTGATGAACTTACAAGGTGATGACGATGCTTAAAGGCTTTGGGGCACTCGGTGCATTTGAATGGTCGCTGACCTAGGAAATTATTAAAATGAATGTTTAATTAAGTTCACTTCATAAAAAATTATTAAACAAATAGAACTCACCAGAATGTTCATATTTATGACGAGCCAATGAACTCTGCTTTCGAAAAGCCTTATCACAAAGATCACAAACGAAATTGAATTCATCAGAATCGGGTGGAATTTCCGATTTCATTTTAGGCATTCGGCGTTGTGTTTGATAATGTTGGTGTGATTGATTCAAGGCTTCGTCGAAAGAACGACTTTCTTCATCTTTCCATGAACGCTTTTCAGAACTTCCGGGACTCAAACTATTTCCACGTTGATCTTGTTTCATCATAATCATTTCTGGTGTAAATTGAAGCAGACGTTCGAGTGGTAAGCCAAGTGGCAAATGGTACCCGTTGCGAATGTTTGTCATTCGAGGCACAGCCTCGTTTGGTGATGGAATTTGTCGCGTCAAGAAATCAGCGTTGTAAGTTGGTTGGAAGATTGGTGAGAATGGCGTCATTTTACGACTCAAATTAAGAACTTGATCATCTTCGGAAGAATGTTGATGAGGAACAATTCCGTAACGTGGTGAAGTTGTTGGCGTTTCCGTTTTCATCTCTTTCTTCATCGATAAATCTAAAGGCTGTTCATCACTCACTTTAAACTGACAATCGCGATTTCCATTCTGTTTTCTTTCACGCGATCGATTGTTTTGAAACCAAACCTGAACAACACGTGGATCCAACATCAATCGTTGTGCAATGTTCCTGAAATCATCACGATTTGGTCGTGCATTAATCGCATAGAATTCTTTCAAAATTGCTTGCTGTTCATCGGAAATTGCTGTCCGAACTCGAACTTTACGATCAGATTCTGTGGAAATTTTTGAGTCACGATCATCGTTATCATCTTCACTGCAACCATTATTATTTGATGAATTCAGTGACTCATTCATATGAGCCATGATTCCTTCATGATTTTTCATCAACATCGCATTACACAAAATCTTCTCATGTTGCAAATGTTCAGCCGGATGATTGAAAACTTTATCACAATGCTGACAGCGTAGTGAGTCGTTCCCCGAATCATCAAAATTTTGATGTTCTTGTTTAATAATCGGTGATTGAGATTTTTCACGTGATTCATGTGTTAATAAAGTTTCTTCATTATTCATCGGATCATCATTGTCTTCATCATCATTTCCATCATCAAACTTTTCTCTTTGAATCTTCGCAATTTTTTCTTCTTCGTCCTTTAAATCCATGACAAGTTTAGATTCGTCATTCTCATTCACTTCTTCAATTAAATCTTCGGGATTAGAATGTTGATTTGGACTTTTATGTTCTTCATTTGTCTTCTCTTCATCCATCGGTGGATTAAGATTGTGAACACCGGTGAGTTTGAGTAAGTTTTGAATGTGATAAGGATTAAGATTTGGATTTAATCCCATTGAGTAGAATGGATGCGAAAGCGTTGCAAGAAATGCTGCATTCATCACATCGTAACCCTCATATTTTGGGATGTTTGGAAGCATTGGAAGAAAAGAATTTGAATTGCTTAAGAACTTTCCTGCATTCGACAAATGTGATTGATTTAATGTCGATGCCATCGAAAGTTGTTGTTTCTTTTCTGATTTCATTTTCGAACCATTCATCATAATGTTGTTACCATTTGGCGCCATTCCTGCACCACCGTTCATTTTTAATCCCATACTGATGCATTTCTTAGAGGTCATGTGACTGGAATATGATCCCGAATGTGAGAATCGTTTGCCACAATTTGGACATCCAAAAGGTTTCTCTCCGCTGTGAATACGAAGATGTTCCTAAAAGAGTCAACAATTTATTTAATTGCAATTAATTCACATAAGTTTTCTCATGTCGACATACCTTTAAATGATGCTTAAACTTGAAAGCCTTATCACAATCGGTGCATTTAAATTTCCTTAATAACGCTGATTCATCATGTGAAATCATATGACGTTGTAGTCGATAAACATTTGCAAATGTTTTGTGACACAATCGACAACACTGAAAATAAAAGTATTAATAATAATCATGAAATGTATTTAATATGTCGTCAAATTACGAGAATTGATGGCAATTCAAAGTTTTGCTTCTACATAATTTCGCGGTAATTTTGACAAGTCTTCTCATAAATATTTGCCATTTATTTTCCCTGAACATTCCGACATTAAACGAACGTTCGTCAAGGAAGTGAAAGAACATAAAAAGATTTGTCGATATAACTCAAGTGTTGATGTGAAGTAATTAAAATTTCTGATTTGACAAACAACAAAATAAATGCGACCGCGACGTAACCGGGAATTTCGGTATGCGACGCAAATTAATCGGTTAATTGCTTTAACGAGACGGTCATATGATATCAAAGTTAGAGTAAATTGTAAATAATTTATTCGATAATATCAGGGAGCATTTTATTTATCTCATTGTTACATCGTAAGTGGAATAGATTTTCCCTTCAAAGTATTTGTGTTGGCGGCGCTTGAGAAAATATTTCAGAAATTTATTTTCTAAGATCTTTACATGTGACGATTCATTGATTGTCACTACATAAAATGTACAAAGTAATAAATTTAATATTTTTTTCATACATTTTCGAGAATTGTTATTTTTATGAATGATTCATTCACATTAAAAAAATCATGCACAACAATTTCTAGGTGAGATGAAAGAAAATTCTCGATAAGACTTAATTAAAGATTATTGCGAAAATAAATTGCCGTCGCGTCGGACATCGCTCTGTGATTCTTTTTCTTTTCACCTTTAAATATTTACTGCTCTCAATAAATATACAGTAAAGAAATATGATCATTGAAACGCTGAACACCTGTCTTGATCGTAAGTATTTTCCCTCAACTGATTTCAGATGAAAGTTGGAGGTAAACAGTTGAAAGGAAAATATTTTCAAACATCTTCACATCTTACAAGATTCTTTCTACAATATTTAAGCCTTTAATTACTCATTTTAAATTTGTATAAATTTATTGAATGAGGTTTCTGGATTTGTTTACATCTACACCTTCATTCGTCCACAGGTTTGACGCCAAGGAAGCCACTCAACTCACTTTTCTCTACGCATATTCGTCTCGCAAAATCTTTTCAAAGAATCTTCACGATTCACTCTAAGCTGTTGATTGATTCATGAAAGGTGATGTTCCATAGACCTTCCGCATGGAAATGACACGAATCATCAAGAATCACAAACAAGAGTCGTTAAATGTGACGTTGAATCACATTAATTTGAACTTTTATTGAATAATAAATTTGGTTTTAGGTTTGCTTTCTAACACCAGATAGACAAAATGTAAGATAGAAGCTAACAAGCGGTAAGTATATAAAAATGCTATAAATAAAGGTGTGCCATTTTAAAGGAAAAAAAAAGTGAGAAGAAAAATGTCTCAAATCTGAGTTATGGATGTTGTGATGTTTGTGATCTGAAAATTGCTTAAAGTATTGATCATTAGTTATTTGTTAGGAGGAAATTTATTGAAGTTGTCATGTGAGTGGTGTTATTGAGATCGCTTGAAATATGATTATGTGTGTTAATGAATTAAACATTAGGCACAGTTGACACGATATTTTATACTTAGAATTCAACATCATTGAAATATTTCGAAAAAGAAATTCAAGAAATTTTTGTTGATTTGAGAAATTGTATTGAATTATGTTGTTCGTTTGTTTTGTCATCTTACAAAGTTTGCAAGGATATCTTAAATAGCTTTAAATGAAGTTGATTAAGATATTAATTTATTGCTATTTCCTTTGCTAAAATCTTTTAAGAAATTTTTGACTTTATCACTTGAAGATTCTTTTTCATTATTTATGAATCTACAAAAGCTTCATGGATTTTTAAAGGCTTGACCGTTCAACTGATTACAGTGATGTATGTTCTGAAACGTTTCATCTTAATTCTCCTCTCGAGTGAAATGTACTGTTTTATACCAAAAAATCTACTCACATTTGCTTTTGATTGATTAACACGCCTCCCAAATTTTTACCGCAACTTTAAAAATTGCTTAGGCTCAATTTATGAAGCTTTTGAGTGATTTTTTATTTCATTTTCTTCTTTTCTTCTAATTTTAAAAAGAAGACTGAATCAATTTTGTCTATCATGATTCTTATAAATCATTTTGGATATTATTTTGTTTTAATACATTGTGCTTCTATTCTAGCACACAAAAAAGACCTCAAATTCATTAGACGATGATATCATTCGCGGCGTCCATTTTCTACCCAAGTGGATTTTTTTTCTTTCTTTAAATTAATCGAACTGGAGAAACCTTGAACATGTCAGCTTCTCATTTTTTTTGTTGCTTGGTTGAATGTTTAACAGAAACAAAACTCAACTTCAGGTTGAGACATTTTGAAGATCTTTTAAGATCATCTTTAAGCCGAGAAGAAAAAAAAATAAAATAAGAAATTATTTTGAATTTCTGTTTCGCACATGCTCCCAATTTTTTCTGCTGTTCTAAGGAATTCTGTCTTAGATTGAAAGCAGAAATATCGCACAAACACAAGACGAAACTCTAACATAAGTAATTTTGCCAATCAAGAGCCTCAAAGGAAGCACATAAATTTATTCAACCTATCGCCGTCAGTTTTCTCAATAAATTTCACGGAAAGATGCTATACAAAAATATGTTGTAAACGAATTTTTTTTTTCTTATTTTAAATGATTTTACGTGTATAGGAAATTGAGGTTGAATCTGAAATGAATGCTTATCTAAAAGCTAACCAGACTCTCATAAACAACAAGCGTATGTGAAATACGTCAATACTGTGTGTCTATCCATCGCTCTAGAGATGAGCAAGCCAAGAGGAAACTGCTGGTAATAAATTTATATTTTTTGTGTGTGCTTCATGAATGAGTGTTTTGCGATAAGAACCTTAAAAGTAGAACAAAATGAAATGACCATGTTCAGTGATAAGGTATAGTTAGTTCCTTTGTATTACGACTTAAAAACTTTATTTGTTTCATCATGAAAAGTACGCGTTTTTACTAACGAATGATTGTTGTTGATGTTCACGAAAATATAAAAAAAAAATTATTTCAATCGGATTTCCGACATGATTTTTGTTCATGCATCTTTAAATCTATTTTCAAGTTAAAAAAATATTTCTCTCTAAATAAATAGTCTGGTGAAGAAGAAGAATGAAACAACTGCTGGCTTGACTTTGCTTTTGCTTTCTTTTCCATCACTTTTTTACTTTCTTTTTTAAAATCAATTATTTTTCAATTAACTTATGGATATTGCAACATTTACAAAACGGCAATTATAGACCTCACACACGCACTAGTCTAATCCATTGTCTCTTGGCAATTTGTTTGCACCACACAAAACATTTTTATGAACGACGAGTCGACATGTCAAATTTTGACTGCTCGTCGTGATCTTTTCTTTTCTTTTCTCTCTTTTTTTTTGTCAAAATATTTTCATTGAATAACGATGTGAAGTGATTTTCTCGCCTGCTTTTCTCTTGTATTGTCAAATTTGTTTTTCCTGGCACCGGAGCGCAACGTAGTCGAAGAAAAGCGGAAAATAGTATTTTCGTGCTTGACATTTGTGAGAATGAAAAATATTTCCAACATTCATAATTTAACATCATTGATGTGTTATACGGCAAGGTGAATTTTCCGTCGTTTTTCAAAAAAAAAAATTTTTTTATTTAGCGTTTTTTAAATGAGTCGGACGTTTTATCAAAGAAAGTATTATGAATGATGATATTTTGACTTGAAGAAATGATATTTTGATATGTATGATGTTAAATTATGATGTATGCTTGATCGTAATATTTCCCTGCAACATTAAATATTTTGGTAATTTTACTTCTCTAAAGGAAAACGAATGACGTAACTCTCAGACAAATACATTAAACAATCATTAAAAAATTAAAGAAAGAACTCATAAAAAGAGTGATCTTAAAATAACATAGGCGATTAGCTATTAATGATCGAAACTTAATACGCGTTCATGAGATCACTCGTTCATCTAACGCAACAGTAATGTCTTGTTCTGAATGTCGTTGATGCTTACTTAGGTGATGTTTATTCGTCTAGAATTTTAAGCTTTTAAATGAGTTTTTCTGATGAATATCATGTTTATGAAAATCCGCATGTAATTATAATAAGCTTGATTGTTTCATTTCTTTACTCATTTTTAATTAAAGTAAAGGGAACGAGAAAGAAAGAGAAAAAGTTCAGTCAAAGTCAATTTCGCTCTAAATAAGTAATGGAATGAAAGATTTCTTAGAAGATGCATAAGTTGCACGGTCGTATTATTCATTAAACATTTGACTGAACAAAAAAACTAACATAAACTTCATGTTTCGCCGACACTGAAAGAAGAAATGAACAAAAAAATGAAAGAAAGAAAGAAAAATGAAGACGCGAAAAACAAATAATCATGATGTCAAGAAGACACACACAGGGCTTTTTAATTTCATTTAACTTTTTAGTTTTTTCCCTCTACGTTTATGTATACAAATATCATCAACGTCGTTGTAGAAAAGAATGAACAAAAATTCTTTTCAAAGGCTTCAGACCAACTGGGTTGGGAATTAATTTTAATGCATTTTATGTGAGAAGAGAGAAGAAGAAAAAGAAGAAAAAAAGCGACCATTAATTTAGTTTATGTTGTCTTTGTTCTTCATCCTTCAATTATTAACATTATATCGCAAACGATCTCTTTCAGTATAATTGTTGTTAATTCATAAACGGTTGAAAGTTAATTAAAAATGAGAAAAAAGAACGAATGGAATCTTCCAGATATTTATTCTTAAAGATATTCATATTTAATTCAGGGTGGCTTTAAACTTTATATACAAACATATTTATCATTCAAAGTTTCATCGAAAAGATCAAGAGAAATAAAAAAGAATTAAAATCTTTTATTTTCATTTTCTTCGACTTTAAAATATTTGGCAATAGTTTTTAACGATCCGTTTAGCCTCAGAGTTAAATCTTATAGATATTTAGAGATATTTAAGCAAAACTTCAAAGCCATATAGTAATAAATGTGTAAATAACTTACCACATTTGTAGCACCTGATGAATGTTGGATCATTTCGTGCTTCTCTAATAATTCTAATGTTGGGAATGAGGCGGAGCACTGATTGTAAGAGCATGCGTGAGTATTCAAATTATTTGGACTGTTCGATTGACGCCCACCTTCGTTTACACCTGTAGTTACATTGTATGAGAATTGTCCAGGCGATAGTAACGAAGGTGGTGGTGAGAAATGTTGTTGCTGTTGGTGTGTCATTCCATTTATTGACATATTCGGTGCTTCGGATGTTGGTTGGTGTACTTGCATTATATGATCTTTTAACGACTAAGGGATAAAAAATAAATTACATTTAAGGTAGGAAGATGGATTTAACGATTAAGTAGAAACTAGACAGAAGGAAAATTAACCTACTTGAAAGTTAGAGAACTCAAGTTGACAATGAGTGCAGTTAATAAATTCATTTTGATGTGAAGAGTCGTCGTCATTACGTGCAATCGCCAATGGCTGAACTGAAAAGACATTAAAAGATATTTTAAAACGGTTATTAAAATTACATTTCTAATTGAAATGACGGCACTAATGGAACCATTTAACAGGTGTTTTAAAAAGAAATATGGATCACTCAATTAATTATGACTCGAGAATGAAAATACAAATTCAAAGACAAATCTTTCCCTCTGCTGTCGTGAGTTATTATTTCAAGTTGAACATTGCCTAAGACACATAGAAAAGTTTCACTGTCAAGCATATGCGAGATGCGACGACTGAGTTTCTTATCCCATTATTGTTTGTACAGATAAACAAAAACCTCAACGTATGTGAGCGAATGAAAGGTACGCTCATTTCAACATACATACTTACATAGATATCTACACATAAGATTTTTCTTTTTTTATTTAGAAGGGAACGATGAAATGAAACATGTCTACGTAATTCGACGTTTAAGTAAACCCCTACACAGTTCAGTATTTCCAACAGTCAAAAGGAAATGAGGTATAATAAAGATGAAGAAGAAGACGAAAGAGAATCTTCTTCTCTGGATATTTATGCTTTATTTGAGGTAATCATATCATTCATCTTCAAATATCGATTCAGAAATTTAACTGCTATTTAAGTTTGTTTATTTTCATGAACAGGAAATCGTGCAGTATTTTTAGTTACACTCTCACATTTTGACTGTCGAAATTATGTTTGGAGAAAAAGGTGTTTGCATGATGAAAAGTTTACATTGAAGATTTGGATGGGATTAAAGGAAAATAGTTTTCAATCAAGGAATGACGGAAGGAATTTTAATTTTTCTAAATTATCACAAATTAATTTGAATTCCAACAATACCAAAAAGATTTTTTTTTCTTCTTCTTTCTGTCACATGCGAAGAGTATTCGCCCACGCAATGAATTAAGAGCACATGAAAGACTCTTCTTCCACGTTCATTGTTGATTTGAAAAGTAGAGAATATTTACCTCAAATAGTCAAGTCAACAGGAAATTGATTTCAATTAATTAACAAAACATTTTCTATTTTTAGGGAGCATGTGTGAATATACCTTAAAGATGCTTCTTTTTCTTTCTTCTTCGTCAATCTTCTCCCATGTCGGATATGATGATGAAGAGAAAGAAAATGAAGAAAGAAAAAAGTGAATTTAAGAAAATGAACACGTTTAGCACGTACAGGCAGTCTTTTAATGTTTACTTTAATTTGAGAATTAGCGAATTTGCATGTTTCTGTTGCACATTAATTTCTACACCTGTCAGAAATGTGAATCGGGAAAATACTCATTTTCCTTGCAATTATTTTTGCTGCTGAGCATCTCACAAACTCGTCGAACATGTGAAAGATTGGACATCTTCGTTTTTCACAATTTCAACGGAAAACATTATGAAAAGTGCTGCTAAGCCTTCATGTCGTTCAATGTACTGACAGTTAACTTATTTTGTTGTATAAATACATCGTCTGAAAATATGTTGGATTAAGACCCCTCGAGATTATTTAATTCGTTTATTTGAAAATACTGTTAAGTTAGATATCCGACTTTGTGCAGAAGATAAATGATATTTTCTTTGGGGAAGATTTCTTAAACTTGTTACATAAAATATTCGCCATTAATAATGTCATCATTTTGATTTCTTAATTCTCACTCGCTAGACATAAGAAATAAAATCTTTTGACTTTCATTTACTTGACGTTAATTTAAAATATTCCCTCAATCGTCATCATCGTCATGATGATCATCAGATATCAACAAAAATATTATATCTTGGTACATATGATCACGAGCCGCGAGATTTCTTTGTTTTGTTGATGTTGGCAGACAGTTTTTAATTGCAATTTAATCCTTAGTTTCAATTCTGTCATCAACAATACCTGAGCTGATTCTCAAGTTGAATGTTGGTTGGCGCGAGATGAGAATAAGTTTAAGTGCCATTTTACGATTGAACGCTTTACGGTCTAAAGAAATTAAAGTTATTATTGTTAAACAAATTTATGTTCGTTTCTCGCCTCAAAGTTATGACGATTATATTTCTGACTCTGTTTTTATTTAAATATTTTCTTTTATTCCGTTTCTTACTGTGCAATGCCTGCCATTGAAAGCCGTAATTTTTGGTCGTATTTATTTATTTAAAATATAAAACCCGAGAGCAAGGTGTTTTCAGATGTTTATGAATTCAGGGCTCGAGACGAACAAACGACTCATATTCAAACTTTGAATCATAAACACAACATATTTCAATTCTAAGAATTTATTAAAGGTAATTGAGATTGTAGAATGTGACTGTGAATCTCTCATTGTGAACGATGCATGAGCAACAATGTTTATGAGAGGTTCAGTTCAGGGAAGCTTAATGACATCATCATGGATTGAACTCTGTGACTCATTGTCGTATTTTTTGTTATTTATTTGCTTTTAATAAGAATTTTCTTCTTCTACATATTCTTCCAGTCGAAAGTTCTTATCGGAAACATATTTTTTAAATGCGCATTTTAGGAATGTTGGTTAATACAGTCCAAATAAATTTAAACGCGAATACAACGAGTTAAAAATGTAATTTGTTTTGCGTTTTATAATCTACATGTTTTGAAATGTGTGCTTTACAAACTCATATTGATGGAGAAAGTAAAAAGTTTTTGATTGTATTTTGTTTGTTTCCTTCCTTTACAATAATGTTTTGAATCATTCAATTAGATATTTCTTTGAGTTGGTATTTTTTAAAGGAAAAAAAAATCATTTTTCGTGTGATTTTTGAGCACCTTTTCATGAATTATGTTTAAAGTTTCTGTCAACGTCAACTTGAATTTCTTTACCCACGCGATGACGCCAAGAAGAATTTTATTTTAAAAAACATTCAAATGCGCGTGTTTCAAACAGAATTCTCTACCTGAAGTCTTATAAAACTTGTTTTCATTCAAAGCAACCATTCTATGAAGCTAATTGGCTAAGAAGTCAACACAAAAGAATTTTAAATGGCGTTGAAACCTGTTTTAATATCTTCAACTCACAATCAACATTGATTCTTTTCCATTCATTTCTCTGCTGCAAACAATCAACAATTGATCAATAAATAATTATTAAAGCTAATTTGAAGACGTCGAAAGGAAAAAAAATAAGAGAGAAAGAAAAAGTTTTTCCAAGTCTCGTGAAGGAGAAAAAAAAGTAGCAGAAAATCGTTTTTCTCCTTCATTCATAAATATTATGTGTCCTGACCTTGCCATCGCATTTCTCAACTTTTTCTCTCCAACATTTTCTTGTCGGGGAAATTTTCGTTTCCTTTCTTATCGTTTTTCTTCTTTTTTTTTCTTCGTTCTCGCATCAGACATAAATCAATATTCTGCATTAATTTCAAAGTGCAATGAAATTTATTTATATTTCTTTTTAGAAAAAAAATGATTTGTTTCTACTTTTGCAGGTCATTGATCAATCGGACTGCTGACCCGATGTGAAACAAGAAAGAAAAACTGTTATCACATACATACGTTTAATGACCACAGGGCACAGGAAGGAATGTTGTAAAGCCTGCGATAACATTTATCAACGAACCGAAGTGAGTAAATACCCAAAAAAAAACTCCACCCATTAAAATTTACTTTTGTGTTCTTTATCATCATCAGTCATTATTTTCAACCTGGTTTCAATTTATAATTTCCTATACACACATGAGACCCGTGAATACAGTGAAGGAAAGATTCACGGCTTCAATGATTTGTGATTCTCGTAGATTCTTAACAAACGATCAACATTTTGCGATCCCTCACTGTGGCTTCTGTCTGGTTTTTCAATTGAAACGATAACATTTTTTAGTGTTCAAATGTGTAGGTAGCGTGAGTATAATGTGTATGTAAGTTTCGTTTCATTTCATTTTCATGGAAAAAAATGGAGAATAAAGAAACAGAAAAAGTGTAAGAAGCTGCAAAGAGCAACAAACATCTAAAATTGTTTACGGCCATTTTTTAATGACTACCTTTCTTGGAATGCTTTTCTTGTGTCTGACTTTTGAAATGTATCTTAAAGACTTCAAAAGCATGGAGGGAATAAAATTTGTTGGAACAAAAAATATCGCAGAGACAAAGATTGTAATCAAATAATTTCAACTTATGTTTAAGTTTAGATGAATAAATAAAACTCTCACATTGTATGTCAAATTTTGTTGATGACGGCATATCTTCTTGTCCAAAACGAGGCACCAGACAGGACAACATTTGTAAAGTCTTTTTAAACTTCTCTTTTATTTAGAAATTATTTATGTAAAACTTTAAAAAATTCATGAAAAAGAAATCTTTGGTTGCGCAAATCTTCACATTTCTAATATTTAAATTTTCTTTTCTTCACACCTTATTGACTTTGCCACTTTGTTTCAGCACTAATCTTTAAAAATATTTTATTTTCTTTTAAGTAATAAATCTGTTCCAATTCTTCTGCGATTTCACCACTTCATTAAACATTAATTTATTCACTTTTCATCAAAAAGAAAGATTTCCTTCATCGCAAGGTTTCAAAAATAAAATAAATAATTCTTCTATTTTTTATATATTTATTTAATCACGAAAAGATTTTTTTGCTTAAAAACTTAATTCCTTCCATCCGTGGAAACCACCGCTTTGCTATTGTGACTCGAAAATATTATTAAATCTCTAATCCGTGATGCTTCTTGCGTCTTTATTCCACAAAATAAAAAATACAAATACTAAAATACTTAAAACCTAACTATCGATGAATCTTTACTGTGTACAGAAAAGTAACTGAAAGGTATGAGAGGTTCGGATGAAATAACGAGAGAGAATCTGAATTGTACAATCCTGCTACAGGCAGAATAAACACGAGAAGCTATTGGAGGGGAAATGAAATTTTCAATATTGTTTGCTACATTATGCTTTTCGTTGTGTAGCAAATTGTAGAATATCACAACGCACGTAGAAAACTTTACGAATTTATTCCCCTTTTATTTCTTACATAAAGAAGTTAATTTGAAACTGATAATTAAATGACGATACATTTTCTATTTATTCTTAAAAGAAAACATTTCAAATTAAAATGCAAACATTAATTTTTGATATTTTACATGTTAAGTAATCTACACGACATAAACGAATTGAAGAGCAATGAGGGGAAATCACACAGAAAATTCTCCTTTTCTTTCTTTAATTGTGCAATAAAAGGAATTATTTATCTACAATCATTTTACAAACGATAAGGAAGCAAGAATCTAATTTTAACTTAAAGGAGAAAATGAGACCAATTAATGTTGAAATTATTCTCCTCAAACAATCCCTGAACAAGGTGAAACAAGGGGGAGTGGCTTACGGTGCGTAGTTCCCCTTAAAATTTTGTTTCTCTTAAAGAAAGAAATCTTTTGAAGCACAAAAGTTATACACAATGTTTCTTTTGTGTTGCTTCAATGAATGAATGAGTGAACAGAGGACAACCATTTATCGGGCATTTTAAAAAAGTATCACGAATAAGAAGGTAAAGCAAGAAGCCAAGCCATTGGTTTTTATGCGATCAAGCAAAAGTATTCGTTAGACCAACACGATCGTCTTACCAACTTCTTAGATTGAAAATTTCAGACAATGTTCTCATACTTCTAAATATAGAATGAATGAACACTTTTGGGTTTCACGTTGATCTCTCCTGAAATTGGACACTTTTCCACTTCTTTCTCCCGTAACTGTCCTAACCGAAAAACTAAAACTACATGCATATGAATATTGACAGATGTTTAATGTATGGGCTTTTAGCACTTTGATGAAAATTGAATATTTTTCAATTAGAAAAACTCTGAAACTCGAGCACAATCTCTGTGAACATTTTCCATCCCCTTTTCCAACTCTTAATTTTAAAGTAGAAACAAATGAATGCGTACCTTTGTTGCAAGAGCAAAGTAAACAAGATTTACTCCCTTCACATGAGTGCCACATGTGCACAGTATACAGTTTCAAAAATCAAAGTCGCCAGTTAACGTTCTTCGAAAAAGGAATTCCTGTCGGCTTTTATGTTAAGGCTCAGATTTTTAATAAATATTTTCTGTGTTTATGTTTATACCTTGGGCTAAATTATTTCTTTTGAATATTTTCAACCGTTTCGGGATCGTTTTATAAAAAATAACATCAACATTTCTCGTCTTCATTGATTGGAATAACGAATAGAAAATTTTACATTACCTTTGAATTCACCCTTCCAAATATTTCAGTTTTGTCACCGAAAAAAGCAGCAGAAAAAAAAATTAAATTTGACACGCGACAAAAGAACAAAAAATTCGATTCAATTCATTCAAACCCCGATGATCACCCCGACGTTTCAATGGAATCTTGATTTGCTGTTTACACACACGCACACACACTCACGTTGGAAAATCACCTTCCATTGTCCGTAAAGGTTGATTTTTATTTTCCTCCCTAACCATCCCTAACATGCATCCCTTCTGTGATTTTAAGCAGACGAGAAGTAAAATTGTTAACAGTCGCTTGCGTTGACTGCGACTCGATATTTACAAAAGATTTACCTTCCACCTTGTGCTGAAATAAAATTGTATTTTATTTTTAATCGTAAAAATATGCGCACATGTTCATCATGATTTTGAACAAAAGCATCGATTCACGAATTAAGGAAAGAAATCCCTTCGATCGAAAACCAACGTGAAAATGGGAAAATCTCATTCCATGCTGTACTTTATGCTTAACATCTCCCTTTATAAAATAACCGGTTTAGAGTTACATCCAGGGCACACGAAATACTGTAATTTATTCGCTCGTCTAATTCCAAATGAATGAACAATTGAACAAATGGCATTTTGGTATTTAAATTTTAAATCGACGTGGCGCACCGTGTCAGACACAATCGACAAATCCAATTTCTTCTCAGTTCTTTTTTTTCTGCTATAATAAGGGAAAATTGAGCGAATGATTCTTATAGGGAATAAAAAGTCAATTTCGCCTTTGTGTGGGATGATTTTCATCACCTTCGATGAGTCAACGACATTTGAAATAAATACGTGCCGTTTAAATAATTACGTCTCATCAACAAGCAACAATCATTATCATTTCTCAAATACATTCGAAGATTTCTACTCAAGTCTTTTACCTCAAAAAGTCGTTACTGTTTGTTTACACATATCATTCTTACTCTCGACGATAACGTTTCAGTTGATTATTATTGTCTAAGGTCATAGGTCAAATTGGCTACGTTTGGTGATGCCACACGAAATTAGTTTCATTTCCTTGAAATACTAAAAATATTCAAATTTTTTGGGATTTATCAACTGACAGAGATAACGTGAACTGGAAAGAATTGTAAACAATCAAATCACATGAATGAAATGACAAAAACAATTTTGTTTTTTTCTTTATGCCTTTTAAGAATATTTACGGAAAAAAAAGTGTTGATGATTGCATGAAGGATGACTTTGAAAGCTTTAAAAAATATTTTATAAAAATTTTCAATCGTAATGTAAACAGAATTTATATTAAGATGGGTCTCTTGTTTAAACATCACTCTCGTCCCCCACAATTCCAATGATTTACACAGCCTTGATTAAAGCGATGATATTTTTGAGGCTGCCTTGTCGTTATCGCATTGACATAGATTCCAATTCAAAAATATTCTAGCATCGTATGTATGTATACGATGCGCCAAAAACCGGCTCAAGAAGATTTACGACTTCTAAAAGCGTTACGATGCGAAGCGCCAGAATGAAAAGAAACTTTGTTAGGAAAGGGAAAAATTGAATAAATTAACATCGAAAAGGTGACATCTTTATGAATGAACTCGTACGAAGACTTCTCTTGTTAACGCAATCTTTAAACAAACTCCCACAGTTTTTAAAATTAGATGTTCGAGTATTTATTGCTTTTTTCTGTCCTATTAGTTTCCTTCTTCATTTTACTTTCCGAAATTGTAGTGATTGTGATTCTAAAAGTGTTTACCTACATAATTCTATCGTTTGTTATTTCAGGCTGGAAGAAAAATATTTTTTCCCTTCATCTTCAAATTCGGTTTAGGTTTTTGTTTTTCTCTTATTGTACACCGATTGCCTTCGCCTTTAAAGACATGTGTTGACCAAATGATGTTTTAGCTATAAACAAGCCAATATACATATGAATACACTTCTTGAAATGCTAAGAATTTCAAAGTGTGATTCTATTAAATAAATTAAAACGAAACGCAAACAGAGAGAAAACTTTGAAGATTTATTTTTGTTAGATGAATTTCAAACACATGGCATGGCTATGGCGAAGTCAAACTTCATGGAGAGTCGTTGCGAAGACAAAGAATTCTTTTATCGTTCTTTTTAAGGTATTGGTTTTGAAATTTTTCTAGCATAATTAATGATCTCACACATGAAATATTAACGTTCATGACAAATAAGCAGATAAATTAACGTCTTTTTTATAATTATTCTTCAAGAAACCATTTTTCCATTTTCATTTGATGACTTCACACAAATCCACTTCAAATTTCTAGTTTTTCTCTCGCTTACTTGACACGGTATTCAGAAAGACAATTCAAATTAGAAATTGGCATGTGAGACGAGAATGTGAGTGAAACTTTTGCACTTCCTGACAACGCATGATACGGTCAGATATTTTTTTCTCTACTCTTTGTCTTGATTTCATTTCTCGGAATTATGACAAATGAAAACAACACAATTTGTGACAACTTCCTGCAAGATAAAACTTCAGAATTCCCTCCCTCCCTCTTGATAAATCACTCGCCTTTTTTCTACCGTTTTTATGTTGTGACGAGTGGAATGAATGATTTGATAAAAAAGAGAAACAAACTTAAAGAATAATCAGCCAGCATTGTGCTTTGAGGAAACCTCTTTTAAAATAATAATTTTTTATCAACATTTTATGCCCTACAATGTTCAATTAATTAAAGATGTTCATCCACTCCCCTCCCCATGGAAGAAGGAATAAAACGAAAAATCTAAACACGTAATTTGTTGAAAAAATTAAAATATCTTGGCTAATTTCTTTTGATGAAAACACAAAATCTCAGACAATTAATTTTAATAATTTTTTACAACTTTGGGTGATGGAAGATGACGAAACACCCTCGCAAGATGAAAACGGTTAAAAAATTACACGTGCAACACTCAATTGCCTTCTAACTCAAATTATTCTTTCAACCCTTTTTTCGTATCATTTTGCCGCGTCCTAACAAAAAGGTCCAAGACAGTCTCTGCCTTGAAACTTTTATTATTTGATGGGGACGATTGATGGCCATGTCACGAAAGAGTTTTTCTGAAAGAAAACATTTCCCGATCATCTTTTACGTTTTCTTAACGCAGCCACTCATTTAATGGAAAAGGATGGTAATTAGGCACCAAATAGAAGAAGCAAGTCAGTGGTTTCTTCTCGTTCCTTTCGACTTCCTAAACATGAAAACCAGGAAAGTGAAGAACACTTCAAAGTGTAATTATTTGGATCACCAAATGTTGTAATTTTTTAATTCGCTATCGCCGCCGACGTCTAAAGCATTCCACTGAGATAATTTTTCTTCTTTCTTTGGAATGCCTTGTAACTCTTCAACTTTGCGCTTTTCTGTCTTCTTCCTTCATTTCGCCATTCAGTAAAAAATGATTCGAAGCTGCGAATGGTGAAAGAAAGCAAGAAAGAATTCCATTCTTATTTAATGGAAATGTTTTCATTTCATTTAATTTATTTAACTGTATTTTATAAAACTTTCAAGTTAAATGATAAAATGATTTTTTAATGACCATATCGCACACATTTTTCAAGTAATCGCATCTGCTGACATGGTGGAGCAATGGAGGAGAGGAAGCGGAATTATCAAGCAACTCTTACATATATTTTTTTACACTTCGTTCGTTCATTGCTCCGGCAATGGAATTGTGTACGATATCAAATAGCAAAAAGAAAAAATAATAATAAAATAAAATAAAAACAATGAAGTCAGACGTTCAATGTTTCCACTCTCACTCTCAACAACGAAAGCCTGACGACGTGTACATTTATACATACATGAAGCAGCAAATAATTCATCAATTAATTCCAATTAAAATCTATTAAGGTTTCGAGAGGTAAAGAACCAAAAAGCGTAGCAGAACAGCGAAAGAAACCCGTATAGTTATTGGATTTGATGTGCTCTACCCTCATAACAGCAAATTAAGGTTTTTTGAGAGAAAACTTTTATTAATTTATTTAACCGTACTGTGCTGTTGCATTCATGCATCAATGTTTAGGTGCCCGAAAAAAGTGTTTAATTGAACCTATTAAAGATTAATTTAAATAAATAATTTAAAAGTTCTTTCCTTCTCCCTTAGACTTTTATTAATAATAATTGATGTGAAAGCTTAAGTACCTTACATGATTGTCTCCACCCGCATTAAAAATCATTATGAGTAAATAAACGTACGTTCACGTGTTGCCCATTATCGGTTGATTTAAATATCCATAACATCAAGGTATGTAAAGGAAGATGAACAAATGAACGTTATGAACATCCCAACAATAAGCAATAATTCGATCCTTGATGTGCTTGCTGGTGCCTATTATTTATGGAAATAAATCCACTCGTCGTGGATACCATCACATAATACGGACAGCTTAAATGGCATTAACCAATTGCTCAAGCGATGAAATATACACTCGAACAAAGTAATAAAAGTAAAATTCCTTTTTTAGCATAATTTATTGTTCTTATGCTTCTTCGAGTTTTATGTTCGTGGCATGAATTATGTCATATTTCGTTCTCTACTTTTTATAAGTTATAACAAGATTTAAAAAGTATTACTGCAAAAATAAAATAAAAAGTCTTTGCAAGTGTGTGTGGAAAGCGACAAAGAGCAATTTTGGCGAGAAACAAGAAGATGAAGGAAGGCAAGAACAGCAGTAGTAGTAACAGCAGCAGCAGCAACATCAAGAGAAGCAGCAAAACAAGTTGTTCATTTCACTTTTAAATGAGATAATAAAAATTCATAACTGTATAACTGTGTCCAATCCATTCTGCCATCCATGATGACTTTATGCAGCATTTTCTTTCCATCATCTCTTCAACATCGAAACGAAACGAAATGTTTCGAGTGAGTGAGATCATTCAAATGGATTAATAAGGGTAAAAGATGTGTATTCATCGTTCATGACTTTATTTACCATCTTAATCCATTAGAGTAGGGGGGGACGAAGAAAGAAGAAGAAAGAAAGAAAGAAAAAAAGCGAATGAACCGATGAGAAGCGAAATGTCTTCTCATTCATTTAAGCAATGAATAAAAGAAAGAACTTCTCAAATCTCTAGTTAAAACTCACCAATTTGTAAAGTGCACAGTCGCTTCTTTCGATCGAGGGTTGCAATATCGAAATCAAGATTGCGTATGAAAGAATAACAATCGAGAGAAACTACAATATCAATAAAATTAATGACCTGAGAGATGTTTATCAATTTGCGAAAAGAAAAAGACTTTTCGTTAGTATGTAAAAGGGAAGGAACGTGGCCGTGGGGAGCGAAATAAATAAGCAGCATAAAGAATCTCAAAGCGAATAAAACGAATCAATTTAGCTTCTGCCACTTGTTTTTCAAGATTTATTTCAACTTTTCTTCTCGTCTTGTGTGATGTTAAGTTTTGAATAACAAATGTCTCTATATGTTTAGATAAAAATTCACTTGAAAGGACAGAAATGCGGAAGAAAACAAATTTATTGATGGAAATTGAAATGTTGATTAAAATTATCAACCTTGACTGTAAAGACTTCTTTTGCTTTATCACATGATGATGATCAGTTGGCAATTATTGCAACCATTGAATCTTTTAGAATCGACAAAGTTTTATCAGAAACTTTTCTCAGGATTGATGAATTCTGTTTACCTAATAAACCTCAATTTATTAATTAAACAAATCATTTTCTTGTCTCTTTCATCGACTACTTTGAAACGTTTGTTTGTCATTGTTAAATATTTATGAAATATAAATTTACGAAATTCTTACTTCGCTTCATATTCGAACTAAAATTTAGACATTTAACGCTTTCTAAATCGCATTAAAACTGAGAAGTGTAATAAATAATCAAACACTTCAACGTCGATCAAAGCAAATCAATTTCCAATGTTTAAAGTCGCAATCGATTGGAGCATTGTTCCAATTCCTTCAGCCACTTGTTCTCCAAGATTTATACGATACATTAACCATTTAGTAATTTAAGAATCGACTGTAAACGAGTCTACTTCGAGAAGTAGCTAATAAACTAAACGAGTCGATAGTTAACTTAAGTTATTACAAAACTCTTGTGTTATTGAAACTTCGTAGTTGTATTGAACAATTTCGACATTCGTTTTTAATGTTCCTTCAAAAACTTTTTCATGGATCTATGGAGAAAAAGACGTACTCAATATTCTCAAGTGGAACAAATGATTGATTCCATTTTTAAACCATTCATTGCCTGTGAGTTATGTCTTTCGTTCATTTCAATTCTCATTCCCCACAACATTCTCACGAGTTAATTTTTAATATTTAATTTTTTGTATCGCGACGAATGTAAGAAGTTTAATTACTTTTACAGATCTCTCATTCAAATTCAAGCTCATTCTCATACACAAGCAAACGATCGCGATCGTCTACACATTTTAATACTAAGTTTATTAGAGTTAATAAAACTTTTTTTTTGTTGTGCACATGTTGTTTAAGTCGGTGTTTCTCAATAATCTGTACGCTTTTTTATTTCAAACATGGCATCAATGTTTTCGATGACTCGCCTTGATGATCGTTCAGCTTAAAGAAAAAGGAAAGAAAAAAAAATAAGAAACAACAACGGAAAAGGTCATAAAAGCATTAAAATGACAAAGAGAGGGGAACATTTATGAGTATTTATGCCATTTGTAAAGTCAAGAAGTTTAATGAGTTCTTCTTCTTAATATTTACTTTCAACCAGATATCGATACTTTATGATTGACGTCACAAAACTTCCAAATAATTCCTGACAGAAGAAAAGAGTTGGAAAAATATTTTTAATGACTCAAGCTCATTAAATTCTTCAATTTTTTTTCGTTCTTTCTCACAACTTCAAGCACATATCAAGATCACACACTGTTGATTCGGCTTTTTAACAAATTGCGTCAGCTTTGTTACTTAGCAATCGTAAAGTAGGGAGAGAAGTTCTCACACGCAGTTTGTTTAATTTTTCATGGAAATCCAAACGAAATTATCATGGTATTTGACTTTTGGTGGAAAACCCTTTCGGATATCTTCAAAATGACTAATTCACTTCGCTTTCTCATTCCGACTCTAACATGTGCACTTTTTTCTCATGATTCTCGTCTCCATCTCTATTTAGTTAGAACAAAGAATAAATGATATCTCACGACACAGTTTCAGTTTTTTTTTTCACTTAATTCTTCTCTTTTCCCTCGCAACTTAATATCAATTTCATAATTGCGCTTTTTTACACAGGATGATATCATTTCCCTTTACAGATAACTTCATTTTGTTGTTGTTTCATTGTTCAATTCAATTCATTCAACACAAAACAATAAAACCGCGCAAAAAAACCCCGAAAAGAAGACGCAGCAGAATCCATCATGAAGTCAGATGATGCAAGAGAACGAAAAAGAAAGAAAAAACAGAACAACGTAATTAATTAACAGAACGAAATGACAGAATTTTACATTTGGTTTAATTTGTTTCTGCTTTTGAATAATTATGTGTGGTGTTGTTGTTCTTATTCATGTATTAGGAAGCATCACACTCATTACTGATCTTAAAAGAGATTTTTTTGTTTCTTTTCTTTACGACATGACTTCAATAAAAATAACATATTTCATCACTTGCATAATACCATCTTGAATTGAAAATCCGTGTGAACAGTTAGGAATTAACATTCAGTTATTACTTTCACATGTCGCGGGGTGAAGAAAGTTGAAAGAAGAAATTTCCTATCGTCAATTGACAGTTCACATCTTACGTGTGTGGCTTCAAACTTTAAAAAGGATTCAAAAATCTATCAAATTAGATTAAAATGGCAAATGAATGAGATTCAAACTACTATTGAATAAGGTGTGAAAATCTTTTAGGTTTGTGTGGATGGCTTAAACCTTTTATTGTGTTTTATCGACAACACAACAGACAAAGTTTTTATTTTGTTAAATAAATTCTTTCTTCTCAATATTCCTGTGTGAAATAAAATTAGGGGACAAAATTCAGGTTGAATGAGAGAAAAACATTTGCAGAAATGATGGTTGATGAATGTGCATTAACATTAACGATCGTTGTGACGATTCACCCTCATAACTTATATCTTCCTTCAGAATGAATAAAACTAACATTTAAGCTGTTAAACGTATGACTCACCCTCGTTCAATTCCATTCTCTTCTTTTGATTTGATTTGATACACACCGTTGATTTCTCGTTCATATTAATCGTTCACTATGCATAATGTATTTATGTGAACACGGTTGCCGTTTTTTCTGAGATTTCAGGATGTCACTTCCATTTTTCTCTATCTCTCTCATCTCAACTTCAGCTTAGAAATGGCAAAGGGAAGAAAGAAGAAGGAAAACACGCAAAAAGAAATCACAAATTCAACTTCCGTGACATATTTTAAGTTCGGAAAACATAGATCAAGACACGTGCTTATTGGATGATAGTGAAGGACACTTTTCGTTTCTGTTTTCTCGACATTTCTCATGAAACTTCAGCGACAATGAAACGATTGAAGAACAGTGTCAAAAGGTGCAATAAATTTGCTATGCTTGCGTCCCCTTCCTTTGCTACATAACATGAAAACTTTAGCACGTGTCATTAATAGACAGAGGATGAGATTTATGAAAAAAATTATCTGATTCAATGCGATCGTCTTTGGTCTGATGCTAACTTCTTTTTTTTTTTAATAATTGTCGTTTTATAGTTTTTGTTTGTTATTAAAATTAAACTGAAGTTTCATCGTGCAAATAATTCTAAATATTTTTCTAAGGCCATGCGTTGCTTTCATTTCTTCTTTGTTGAAGACGATTTCCTTCCTGGAAGGAAGTTCAGATCGAACTTTGTTCATCCATGATGATAGTTGGAAGATATTTTCCCTGCTAATTAATTCAATGAATCATGAATGAATGTGCTAATTTAAACGATTCCTCAACCATAATTTCATCTTCTTTCTTTCTTTTTTTATTTTCGTATAGAACTTGAGATTCAAAAACTCATCAAATGAAGATGAAGGAATTCAACATTAGCTTCAACTTAATTAAAAATAAAACCAAAGAGAAAATAGGGGCATGTTTTATATCCAGAATGGAGAAAAAAAATTTGATACGTTTGCTTGCTGAGATAAAACAGACGGAAAAATGTTTTTAATTTTTCTGGTCATCTGATATATGTGCGAGCAATTAAAGATGGGAAATTTGTGAATGTAACATTGAAGTTAATATTTATTTAAAATAATTATTTTCACTACGAATGACAATGGCCAGTTAAGATTGTTATCTGAAATTGAAACAGGCTTTTAGTTTTAGGGTAGCTTGACATGCTTTGACTTGAGTTTTGTTGCCACGATGATTTTGATTGCTGAATATTCTTTCATCTAATGTCAGGTTTCAATATTCACAGTGCAAAAGTACCACTCAATGACGATCGTATGAAGAAGGCTCATGTTACATAATCATCAAGACTGGTTTCTGTAAACTGAGATGAGAAACCAAAAAACAAAAGAAAAAAGATGAAGAAATGAACCTCAAAGAAAATAGAAAGCTGGTCGTAGTTATGTGTGATGATTTCGGGGTGTTATCTTGCAATATAGGAAATTATTTATGAGACAATTAAAAAAATATTTAGTTGGTCCATATTAATATAAATCTCTGTAACGAGCACTCTTAAGGATAAGCAGCACAAGGATCTCTCCTTTGTCTCATCCAAACTTCTCTTCATTATTCTTGTTCATATAATGGAGAGCGAGACTAATATTTTCACAAATGAAAATGATGATTATGATTATTATTATTATTTTATTATTAAAATATGAGTCTTAATGGAATAGTCGTTTGATTTTTATTGTTACATTAAAGGAACACATAGTTTTTTTGTTTTTCTCTTTCGTCCGACTAAGTATCAACATGCATGGTTGAGTAGAGTTGAGTGGATGGAAATAGGGATGAGAAATCAAGGAAAATATGATGCATAATGACAATTTATGGAATGCCAATGAAGTCGAAAATTATCTTCATTCTTGGATAGATTGAGCGTGAAAGGAAGAAAAAAAGAGATAAAGATGAAACGTCTTCAAATTTGAATAATGAATCTCATCGTATCTCCATCGTTATGATTGTCTTGCGATGATATAAAACAGTTAATTATGAGGCTAATGGAGCATCATAATAAACACAAATTTATTCATTTTCCAGAGTTGTTAATTGGGAGTTTTCATTTCCACTATTTAAAATATTTATGAATGTCGGGAATCTATCAGATTAACAATCCTGTTGTCAAACAATTTATTGAATTCAATCAATAAAGTGAAGCTTAAAAGGACTACACTGTTGTCTAGGACAATTAAAGTTTGATAATTATCCTGAAATTAATTTACAACTCGATTGAAGGAGACTTAAATTATCAATAAATCATGAAATGGTGTCATAAAAATTTTCAAGCGATTGTTTAAAATGACAATAAATAATACGAGCGAGATATGAGATGCCAAAAGACAAGAACTTATGCACTCAATAATTTCAGAATATATCATATCGAGGCTAATTTAAAAAGAAACATTTCTTAAAATATGTTTTAAATAAGTGTCTATTTATCAAAATAATAGTTTTTGTATGATGATTCTCTTTGCTGAAAACATCGGAGATTAAATTGCGAATCTCGAATGATTTCTTCTCTCTAGAAAAAGGATCGGAAACTTTAAAAGATAAATAAAGTTTTCTTGAAAACTGGCGAATGAAGACATAAAACATTTTAAATTTCCCCCAACATACAATTTCCTTGAAGAAGTATAGCATTAGCTTTGGTGATGAAATATTTTTATGTTTCTTTCACTCAAGGAAAGGCAAATAGGCGAAAATAGTTTGCGAGATGAAATGAAAAGAAAAATCTTTCGAATCAAATGATAAAAAATTTTATGTTTCTTGTAATTTCACAATATAAATTCACTATCACGTTTTTTGTGGTACATATCTCAGAATTAGAATTAAGTCTAATATATTTATATATGAGAGAACATATCCAACCAGAGGAAAGGAAGAAAAAAAATGCTAAGATATAAGAATGTACATTTCGTACTTAACAGAAGACGAAAGAGAAAAACAATGAAACGTTTTTCGAATTTCGCCTTCAAATCTCACGATTCTTTTCTGTCGTGTTTGAATATGTAATGTTACTCGAAAAGAAATTTTTATGTGATTTCTGACTTAGTTTTATTCCTTCTGACGCTCATTCGCCTTCATTCTTTCCTTCCTTTCATTCGTTAAGCCTTGCTGATGAATTTTTGTCAAATTGAATTTTCACTATTTAACATTCATATACCAAACGTTTAGTCATATATCTCTAATCTTGACGCCAAGAAAAATATCGTATGGCGTCTATTTAACTTTTATCTGCTCAATGTGTAAGACAAACATCTCGCAATAGATTTTTGCGAGAAGAGGCTTCGCTTGTTCACTTTCGCATGCCTAATCTGACTCCTTTTCTTTCGTAAAATTAATTCCAAGTATTCTAAGTGCTGTTCTTATAGTTCAACGACGCTGTCATTTCTTTCATGTAAATGTGAAGCAATTCAATCTTGAGAATTAGAAAAAAGCAAAGAATATGTTTAAATGGCACAAATGTATAAACGAAAATAAGAACTGAAGCAGGATAAAAATTTAATCTTGTGTGAAATTTTATATCTTTTTTCTTTAAATTTTTTATCGATCTCATAGTCTTATTCATTCTGATTCAGAAGAAATTAAAAATAGTTGAAAAGAAAATTAAAATAAAATTCCTAAACTTTCACAACTTTATGAAAAGTTTTTTTCAAACAAACAGGCAACTCATTAGTTGTCGTATGAGAAAGTGCAGGTGAATATGATCGTTTATTTTCTTTTCTTATTGACGCTCAATTCGTTTTCAATTTCCTTCCGTTATTTGTAGATTTTTAAAATCTCGGAAATCTGCTACTTTCTTCCGTTACATTTAAAATGAAAATGTGTCCCGAATAGGCCACACCAACTTGTTCAGGTGTCTAGGATATCATTATATCTTTCATACTTTTGTGCTAGGTGGCGCTTTCAAGGTACAGGCCCATTGATTTCCGCTTGGAGCGCTTGCATTTTGTGTCTCGGCTTAGATATGATACATGTATTACCTAGTAACAATGTCATTGATGTTTTGTTTTTAGAGAAAAGTTTTTCATTGGATAAGTCGTCAGACATAAACTTGTTTAAACGATTTACATATATGTAGAAAGAACTTAAATTGTAGATGTTTACTCAAGGTTTTGTTTCTTTTCAGAACTACCTACATGTAGGATGAAAATTTCCAACTTGTCTCATCTGAAATTCATTTTGGTGCGTTCGCGCGGATTTGACCTTCCATACAAAATGCACAGTTCTCCGTGGATGATAATTCTCCGTGGGTGATTACACTCTCCACCTGAAACTAGACTTTGGGAGATGAGTTTCGGGTAGAGAGTTTAGGAGGATTTACGAATTTTCGTAGCGGGGCTTATAACTAAAACCAAACGGTTTGCGTCATTAATAAATGTTTTGTGTCTTGGAAAGAAATTCTAAAGAATTTCATAGAGAGATTGAATAAAAAATTTAACAGTTTCTAAGTTAAAAGTTGAACATAATTGCATGTAAGACAATGTATAAGTAGCTCAGAGTGTTAACAAATGTGTATGCGGTGCAAAAAAGGTGAAAAGTGCATCGGAATTTGACGAAAATAAAATCGCCATAAATCTCAATGAAAATTGTAGAAAACAAATTTAAACTAAGATTAAAATGCACAAATCAAATTCAATTGCACCATCTGAGCGATAATTATAACAAATTTGACGTGTTTGGTGTAAAATAGAAGCAATAAAAAGTGTGAGGAGAAATTTTTTCACTTCGCGCAAGCAAAAACAAAACAAAATATAAAAATAATGGACTCGAATGGTGAGTAAAGTGTCTGTCTTGCTAATGTACATTCATTTCTTAAATTGATGAGCCTCCTTAAAGGCTATCTTCATCCTTGCCTTTCTTCATTGAAAAATGAACCAATTTATCAAATTTCTGGGGGGATTTGATGAGATTTCCTTATGGTGGCGGATTGGTTTTGGAAGTGCCTCTCACTTTCTCTTTAGTCTCGATTTTCTCCCCCGAAAAAGAAAAAGAAGCCAAAGACGAAGAAAAGAAATAGAAAAAAAGAAGTATTCACGAAATGAAAAGCAAAACGCCGAAAAATAATGTAAAGAAGAAGACTCAAGATGATTTTATGTCCATTTCCTGACAGAAAGGGGAATCTAAGAATCCGAACTTCCTGTTTCATGTCGCGCCTGAAAATATTCTCGTTTCTCTCATGCGCCACCCGGACCAGAGAAATGAAGCAATGACCAATTTTGATTATCGACATGTTTTTCTCTTCTCCTCTATTAACGCGCTATGGGATGGGATGCGATAATGATATTATGTTTATATATTCAAGTGTCATGAAGCATGGAGAGAGTATAAAACTTGTGACGTCTTTACGTACATCTTGTCACAAAACAAGCCACCAGTCGAATAAAATTTCTAATGATGATGATTTGCGAGTTAAAAATAAAACAAACATGTTTGCGTTCCTGGCACTAAATCATCTTTGTATTATTTCGGTTGGTTTGCGGCTTCTTCTCGCAGACTCATTAAAACTTTTTTTTTCACTTTTCTGATCCTCGTGCTATGGAATTTGAATGATTGCTGTGTCAAAAAAATCGTAAATCATATCAAAACTGTGTGTAAAGATATCTTAATTGGAATGCAGAAAATTCTAAATGTTAAACTTCCCAAAGTTTGAAATGTCATTATACCATCATCATCAGTAAGGGGGGATCTACAAAATAAATCCTCTTAAGGCGAGTAGGACCTTTTGTCCAATGGACGTCCTGTTTCGCTCCCCTAATCATCATAGATGATTTATTTGCTAGTGCATTCGATCCTTTATTTTAATTTTGTTGTTAAATTTTTTCTGAGCAGAAGAGTAATACGTTGTCAGAGCAGACAACGCTAATAGTGCTGAGCAGCAGAGATATAGAAAATGTCGATTTTTTGAGATACTTCTTACTTAATAACTTCTTTCTTTTCTCTTAATTGATTATGAGGTTGATGATGGTAAATAGTCTAAATAGAGTTATCTAATAAAAAGTTAAAAGTTAAAATTGATTTTACGATTGTTAATTAAAAGTCCAATTCTTTCGGAGGCATTTCAATTCAGGAATTAAATATTTTCAGAGCAGAAGAATAAAACATCGTCAGAGCAGACAATGTTGAATAATGCAGAGCAGCAGAGTGAAGGCATAAATATATTTTAATTATGAAAATTAAATTCTCAGTAGAAGTTCGTTTAGCATCTCACACTTAGACAAGTTTAGTTCTTAATTAACGTTTACATTGTAAACTTAATAAGTGTTGTCGAAAGTGAAAGATTTAGATAGTGTTAGAGTTTAAAAATAATATAATCCAAATCTGCAAGGCTTTGTGAAAAGTTTCACAGATTGGATTTCAATTCTAAAGAATTAAAAAAAAAAAAACTTTCCTTNCGATGGCAGCGCCGCCACTATTTTTAAAATTTCTCCGTGTTCACAAATTTCTCCGTGTACACAGGAGTCTCCACCTGAAACTAGACTTTGCCCGACCGGAGGCTGAAATCCTTAGGTGGAGAGTGTAATCACCCACGGAGAATTATCTCGAGGAAAGTCAAAGAGCTTCAAGACCGAGAAAAAAGTTAATAAGCTTACCTCCGAGATTATTGTCAACTTTTAAAGTTCTAATTTAGAGATGAAATTTCATCTTGTTATTTAAAAGATTTTTCTTCTTATTTGGAATCTGACGAAAAATAAAATTTAAACCTGTCTATGATTCTATTTTTTACCTAAATTACGTCGCATTGTATACATAAAAATCATGAAAATTCGGATAAAAAAATCACTGCATATTATAATTTATTAATTAATAAAGACCTTATCAACAGTGACCTTATCAATAATGATATGAAAGATTACTTTTTATTCGATTTTGCCTTGAAATTTTAAAATTTTGGTTTTATTAAATACAGGAAGATTATTACCTAGGTAGTTAGAGACATTTACAATTTTCATAACATCATAGACATTAAAGATCAGCTTTAGTAGAAAGTTACTGATATAACGGAATCTCTTTCATTTCCTTTCGAAAACTCCTTCGCGAAAACAATTGCACTGATGTTGAATTGAAGTAAAAGATGAAACTAAAATAACAAAAGGATTGATCTTAAGAATACTATTCTGATGTTACTTTTATTTATAAAGATGATGTAAAGATTAAAATGACATTTTAAGAAACAAGAAAAAACATGTTCGAAGAAAGTGAAGGAAAGTAACTAGGTAGTTCGACGACAGCAGGATAATTTTTTATTCATGATATAATATTTCAGGTATTTATCGAACAGCATTACCAGTTTATATATTACTATCTCTAATAAAAATGATGCTATTGAAATCATTAAGAATACCTGGAATACTACAAAACCTGCTGATAAATCATCCATTGTCAAAACTTTAGGATCATCAATTGGTTTTTCTTTGTGAAGTTCATAGTAAGGCTTTGTTACATGATCCATGATTTCAGCTTCTTAAACTGTGTCAACTTTTCGTCGAAAGTTTTCGTTGAAAGTTTGTGTACAATCTTTTCGATTGTTTCGAAATGCCTTAAGGTACCTATTTTTATTTCTTCGATTTTAGTTTAAAATATGAAAATTTTCGTTTTATTATAGGAAGATTATTAACTAGAGACATTTACAATGTTTACAACATCATAGACATTAAAGATCAGCTTTAGTTGAAAGTGACTGATATAACGGAATCTCTTTCATTTCTTCTTTTAAACATAAATACTCGCTCGTCACAGTCATTATCACTAAGCACGTTACGTTGAGAAGCCAATAAGAAAGTGAAGGAAACTCGCCTTCAAAACAACAACATATGATGAAATGAATAAAATGATATGTGCAACTGCAAAAAGAATAAGAACCATTGATTTATCTGTGAATAACATATTAATTAAAAGTTTACCAAAAATCCAAGCACAATTTCCGTCTTTTGACAAAGGTCCATAAGAATAATGCTCCGAAAAGTGAATTGATTATAAAGCAAGAAATAATGAGAACTCCTTCACTATTTGATACATTTATTTGCTAGAATGAAAGATCAGGAAATTATTTATATCACATTTGTGTAATCGTGTATCACTTACTCGAAAATCGAATATAGCAGAAAGTGACAAATTTATGTTTAGAAATGTTAATCCTAATATTAAAATTAAGCTCAATGTGACATAGAGAAAACTTTGAAATGCACAAATCTGTGATGAAACAAGGATTGGATCAAACTTGTTCAATTGGAAGCTCCCTGTTTTAGCCATTTGATTTATTTTAAAATAATATTTTTGGTTTCATCAGAAAATGTAAACAAACTTAGTATTCAAATTCAACACTAGGTGGCATTAAATAATTATTAATATTAGTTTTCAATTTATTTTATTTTATTAAACATTTCACTACATTTTTATTAAATACATACAGGTATTTCAAATATTAATAATATATTCTGAAACTTGCACGTATCAATGATTCAATTCATTGATGTGAAAATAAGTGCAGATATTAAGAAGAAGAAGCTGTTTAAAAGCTTTTATTCAACAAACACTTTTTATCAAATTTTATATATATGACACACTCAATTTTAAATAGTTAATTTTTTTACCTAATTCACAAATATTCTAATTTCATATTTCTCTGTTTTTAGACTATTTCGATGAGCGAACTATGGATCTATTAGATAGTTGCATGATAAAACTGGAAAAAGAAGTTGAAGGAAAAGAAACATCAAATATAGTCTTTAATCCCATTGAAAATACGGAAGATCCACTGTCCTTAAATGTGCACATTAAAGAAGAGTCTATAGAAGAGCAAGTTGTTAAATTTGAAAACACATCTTATGCTTTATGTTACCAAGAAAGAACTGAAGATAAAAATTCTCGTGATCTTAAAAGAGCTTCAATTACTACATACACACGAGAAAAACGTAAGAATGAGAATTATCGAAAGTCTGAAAGGCTCAAAAATGCTGAATGCATGAAGAAGAAACAAAAGAACAAAAATCATCGTAGAAATGAAAGACCAAGAATTGCTGCGAGCGTAAGAAAGAAACGTATGGACCCACAATATCGTGAATCTGAAAGAGCTAAAAATGCAGCACGCATAAAACAGAAACGTAAAGACCCACAATATTGTGAATCTGAAAGGGCTAGAAATGCTGCATACAAGCGAGAGAAACGTAAGGATCCGCAATATTGTGAATCTGAAAGGGCTAAAAATGCTGCACGCATAAGAGAGAGACGTAAAGATGAGAATTATCGTAAGTCTGAAAGGCTCAAAGATGCTGCATACAAGCGAGAGAAACGTAAGGACAAGAATGATCGTAATTCCGATTCATACTTGATGGAGATATACAAACAAGAAGAATGTCAACAAGTAGAAGAAAGTTTCATACCCGAAAAAGATTTTAACAATTTTAGCGACATAATTAAAGAAGAAGAAGAATGTTTTGATAATAATTATGCCATTTACTTTAAAACATAAATGTAAAAATAATTTTAAAAAAGTTTTAGAAAATGATGAAGATTCATGTGAACTTCATTGCATGGAATTGAAGGAAATAGATTGAAATCGAAATACAATTTAGATAATATTAGATATTTAAAAACAAATTAATAAATTTTTTGTAAATGAAAATTTAAATTGTTAGCTTGCAAATAAGTTTATCGTTCATCCAACAGAAAAATATTTCTCATCAAATTGACCCTTACCACCTACTTCATGTAAGCAATGGCATTTTTAACTTAGAAAAATCGTGTGAAACGACTTTAATTTATTTTTTAAATAAAGAAATAAAAGCTGATATTCTGTTGTCAGACTATAACTTCTCTGAAAGCATAAAAAGCTTAATGATCAATTGCAGATATTTATGAATTAATTTGTAACAATTTTCATTCTTAAAGAAATATCTTTACAGTCAATTTCCACAAATAATTTTCATGCAGATTCACGAACATCATAAATTAAATAGATCAAGAAAAAATTATTTAGAAGAAATAAATTGTAAAAAATGTGGAACGCTTCACGATTTTGCGTGTCATCCTTGCGCAGGGGCCATGCTAATCTTCTCTGTATCGTTCCAATTTTAGTATATGTTCTGCCGAAGCAAGAACAAATGTTATCTGACAAAACTGCTATATAAGTTGAAATAATACTTCACCATTATAAGTGAAGTATGAAAACCTCTGAGAATATTATGAAACAAAGCTGAAAATGAAACGCATTTTATCCTCTAACAACAAACTTTCTTTCATTTTCATATTTCAAATTTTATAAAATAATTAAAATATTCCTGCATTTATTCTAGAAACTACTTAAAATATAAATTGCATACAAAATTCTTCCATTTCACTCAAACAATTATATTGTTAATAATATTTACATACACACAAAAAATTGAAATGAAAAAGGGAAAAAATTTAGTTCAAGTTTTATATTTGTTTATAAACGAAACCATTCGTTAAAACGCATGTGATGTGTAGACAGATGTTTTGTAACAGGTACTCATTGTATTAGAATCCATCTATTAGTGTTTTGTACTTAATTAACTTTTTTCCTCTACTTTTGAAAGAATAAATTCATCAAAGATCCGAGAACGTGGATGTTTGTGAACAGTAACCGGATGAACCTTGTGAGAGCATATAAGAATCACTTTGCTCATTTTCATTGTCAGTATTTTGTGATTCATTTATGCTTGAGAAATTCAACGATGAATTGCTCATTAATGACATTCGCTTAGCTGGTGTTGATGTCTGTGCGGTTGCTGCTTTTCTCTTACCAATGTTGTTGATTTTCTTGACATTCTCTTGAGCAAACTGCTCTCCCATCTCATCAAATTTATCTCGATGCAACACTTTTGATCTTAGTGTTATTTTAATATCATTTGGATTAGTTGGATTCATCATGGTTTGTTCACCACAATCAATATCAATATTTCGATTGTTGATCTAAAATTGAAGAAATTTCATTATCAATCTTCTGTAATTAAGAAAATTTTTCGTTGTCTTACCAATTGAAGCATCGTTAGAAAATATGCTGGCATTCTTCCTTCTTCTGCTATTGATTTGAAACTCGCAGAATCATTTACGTCTCCAATTTTATTGATTATCTCAATTCCACATTGATGAACGTCAATCTTACTTCTCGCTTCTGATGCTGCTAAAATTGGTTTTAAAAATTCTTTCCACTTTGATATCTAAAAACAATCAAATTATTAGTGAAATTTGTTAATAAAATAAGGACGCTTAAAACTCACATTGACTGCTGTTTGTTGCATTTGTAAGATAACTTCTCTTGATTCATTTAAACTTTCATCATTGCTGCTTTCCGAGGTATCAATTGTGACATTCCGACTCTCAAAATCCTTAAAGAATGAACATAAATCTGGTTTTGTGCTGTCACCAGAAGCAAGTGATTGGTAACAAGAATCACCCCCATTGATGTTATTATTGGTATCGTCTTTCGCTTCATTGCAATCAGAAATTGTTATCTCAGACAGTTCCGCTTGATTTCTTTCGTCACTAACATTGAAATCATTTTCAAAATCGAATCCAGAATCATTTGAAAACTTTCTGATGATATCTGATTGTGGTGTTTTCGATTGGAATGCTGGTTTCAGACTAGATAAATATATTGACTGTAACGATTCTTTTTGCTGCTCCAAAGTGAAACCTAAGAAAGGCAAATCATCGTCATTTAGTGTATCAAATTTCTTAAAAATTCTCATTTCTCGTATTGGCTCATAATCCTTGACAGTTGATTTATGTTGATCTCGTTTTCTTCTCTTCATTTCTCCATACTCATCGTTGGGTAAATCAAACGCGCACTTATGTTTGAGCTTCTTTAAAGGCACAAGGAAAATATTCTTCATTTTCACTTCACTCGTACACTCTTCTAATATTTGTGATGGCAAATCGAAGTCTGTTATTTTATCAGTCACTTCGTAAGGAAGCGTCAACATTGAACGTTCTAAAGAATTGATATCAAAGTCCTCGTTAAGATGAAGCTCGGAAGGAAATAAACTTGGACTTTTTACTCGAATGTCAATCATTTTCACAGATGGATTTATGTGAAGAAGCATTTGAGCTCGCTCGCTTTCATCAAACTCAATTCCTTCATCTATATTAATGCTCGAACTTGACCAGTCTTTATCTGAATTTTCTTTTCCTTCCTCACCAATATCCATATCAATTCTTTGATCATTTGGTGTTGTCGGTCGAGTTTCCCAATTAATTGGACTTTGATTGAATCGACTTGATGGCGAATCAGGTGAAGGAAGATTATCTTGATTTGACAAGGATTGATTGTCAATGTCACTTTGAAGTTCTCCACTGGCATTATTAATGAAATATGAGAATGATCGGAAATCTCTTCGACTTCCAATAATTTCCTTTTGATCATCAATGTCATGAATCTGCGTCCCGCCAAAATTCGATTCTTTGTTTTCATCACCAAAGAGAAGGTTTTTCGGTATTGCAAGTTTACCACCGCGTGATTTATTATTGGAGAAGAATTCTTTCATCCTTTTTAAGCGATTTATTCGACTCGGTGTTGCTAAAGTTTTATTGATATCAACTTTTGCAAGAACATTTATCGGACCTTCCTCAAATTCTATTTTCTCAATGTTTACGCGGTCTTCGATAACAAACTTTTTAGTACGGCTTTTCTTCTTCTCCTTCTCTTTTTTCTCATCTGTTTTTTCATCAGATGTTTCTAATGACTCGAAATTCTTTGCTATTCCCATGATGTCTTGCTCCAAATAATCCACTTTACGACCGAAAATTTTTGCAGCTGCAAAAATGATAACACCCGAAAGAGGAAAGTTTGTTTGATTAGAGGCATTTTGATGGCTGAAAAAAAAAGAACTTTAATTAACCACAAACAAATCGATTAATTTTTTTTGCATTTACTTTATAAATTTTTCTAGCTTTTCGCCGATGGGATAATTTACACATTTATCAGCATTCTCTGATACTACTTTTATTTCATCTGCTATTTCCAGCATATTTTATGTTCTTATTAGATTACAGCAAGAAAATTGTTTGTTTTGATACAAAATTACAACAAAAAATGCTATCATTTAAATCTCTTTAAAATAAGACTTCTTTCATATATTGAATATTTTATTTGACATATTTGATGATTTGAATTCACTTTGCACATAGTTTTCACAACTTTTACTCAACTTTTAATAAACATCTTTAAATATAGGCAGATATCGCGAAATATTTTTTTTACAACATGAGCTTTTAGTACAGTTTGGAGAAAAGTGCAGCGCCCTTCTCAATAAAACCCAGCCTCCTTCCCTTCGTACATCGGGTCATGTCGGGTGCGTGATTGACGTCGGACAGGTCAATTTTGGTAGTTTTTCCGCGGACCGGAAAAACCAGTTTATATATTATAAAGTGCTAGCAAATAATTTGTCCGGCTGATCAATTTGTCCGTGCTGATCAGTTGTCCGAAGCTGATTTAACACTCTCCACCTGAAACTGACTTTCTGGGAGGCGAGTTTCAGGTGGGGAGTGTGGGTCATGTGACCATATTCAAGATTTTTAGTCTTCACTTCATTCTCTCAATAACAGTTGGGAAAATTATTTTGATTATTTTTTCTTTCATTTGGTAGCCTGAATAATGACTAGTCCATCAACTGGAATTCAACAATTGCTTGCTGCTGAAAAGAAAGCAGCTGACAAAGTTGGCGAAGCAAGAAAACGTAAGAAAAGAATTAATTTTTGTCGATTTATTCAGATAAATTTTGAATTTTTTGGATCATGTGATGTTTGAAAAATATTTGTTGAATCTATTTGTATAAGGTTTTTAAGGAAAATCATTCGTAAGAAGTTTTCTTTTCACTGAAAAACAAGAAAATATGAAAATCTGGATAAGTGGGCTAAAATTAATAAAAGAATTAAATTGAAAGAGAACAGAAAAGTAAATTTACAAGATAAGAAAGGAAATTTGATAAGAATTATAGATACCTAATAATTCTCCTTGTTGTTAGGTAAGGCAAGAAGATTGAAGCAAGCTAAAGATGAGGCTACTGAAGAAATTGAAAAATATCGCGGAGAACGTGAAAAGCAATTTAAGGATTTCGAGACCAAAGTAAATTTATTGAAAATTTTCTAAGATTTCTTCTAACGTTTTTTCTATCATAATTTTGTAGCATGTTGGATCACGCGAAGGAGTCGCACAGAAAATCGATGCAGATACTCGATTGAAGATTGAAGAAATGAACAGAGCATTGGGATCAAATAAAGAACCAGTCATAAAAAATATCTTGGATTTTATCTATGACATCACTCCCGAATTGCATAAGAATTATAAGAACAAAGCATAAAAAATGCAATTATCCTGATCGTGTTCTAAGCGATAAAAGTCAAAGTATTAAATTATTGTGTAACATATCTACATACCTAAATACAATTTTAAACATTTCATTCCATTCAAACTTTAACAAAACCAGGAATAAAGTTAAAAATTATGCACTTTAAAAAATAATTAATTAATACTATGTTATTATAGAGAAGACTTTGATTTTCAGAAATTTTTAAATGAAAATGTTTGAGTGAACTGATAAATAACAACATATCCAATTTATACTCTCAATTCTTGCTCTTAAGCATGTTTCAATAATTAACACGTTTGTGAATTATTTTTGAACATAAACTGATAGTATGGGAGCAATCAAATATCTTTTAGAGGCTTCATATGTATGTAGATATTTAGAAGTTAAAATGTTAAACATTTAGATAGATCAATAAATATCCCTTAAATTAAACTTATATTTTATTGTGTATTTTGAGCTCTTTAATTAAATTCAGTATATGATCCTGGACTAATTAAACAGGGTGAATGTTCGTACACTCAAGTGTGTGTGTGCATGGGCATTCGTTTTTGCATTAGGGTTAGTGAAGAAGCCAAAGAATTTACTCGATCTCCCTCACTCACACATTCACATTTAAAGCTGCCGCTATAAAGCCGGAATTTTGCAATCTTTTGAAATTAATCGAAATATGGCATTAAATCCGAAGCAATCAGGAGAATTTATTGTAAAAAATGCCAAATATGTGAAGGTACAAGATGTTGGTGTAAGGAACCTTGCACATCAAGTGAGTTGATACTAATTTAGAAACAATTTATTAACATGAAATTTAACTTGTTAAATAAAAAAGGTGATTGAAGGGATTCTTACTGGTTCATTGGATATTAAAAACTTTACTCAACATGAGTTTCATCCCAAACCAACAGAAAAGCATGCAATGAATTGGATTTTTTTGATTGATACTTTAAATTTCTGTTTCTGGACGAAAGGCGATCAACCAAATAAATGGAAAGTCGATGGTCAAACAGGATATTTCGCTCTTTGTGCAGCAATCAACAGAGCAATGAGAAATTCCATTGACATCACAAATCCTCAATTCTATGCAACAATCAAGAAAGAGCAGCTTGAAGAAATCTTGAAATCTGACGACGGAGAAACCAAAGTTCCACTTTTAGATGCAAGAATTGAATGTCTTCATCAAGTTGGAAAGAAGTTGCTTGAAAAATACGACGGGAATTTCGAGAATGTTGTGAAAGCTGCTGAAGGTTCAGCTGAAAAGCTTCTTCAATTGATTGTCGATGAATTTCCATGCTTTCGCGATGAAGCAGAATTTAAAGGTCAACATGTAACGATTTACAAACGGGCTCAGATCCTTATTGGCGATGTTTACGCTTGTTATCAAGCAGAGGGACTTGGATCATTCCATGATCTCAACAATACAATAACAATGTTTGCTGATTATCGAGTCCCACAAGTCCTCGTTCATTTCGGTGCTTTAATTTACAGTGATGAATTAATGAGCGAGCTGAAGAACGATAAAATCCTCAAAAACGGAGAAGAAAAAGAAGTTGAAATCCGTGGAGCTTCAATCTACATCGTTGAAGTAGCTAAAGAAATCATCCTCAGAGAGTTGACAGCAAATCATCCAGAAGTGTCACTCAAACATGTCAACTCAATCTTAATCGATCACTTTTTGTGGGATTATCGTAGAGCTAATGCCGAACTTTTAGCTTACATTCCTTTCCATAAGACTTTCAGTGTTTATTACTAAATAAAGATTTTTTTGTCTTAAAAAAGGTTTTATTCTTCTATTTTAATTCAACTAGTATCGATTTAAGTCATGATTCCTAAATAATGAAGACTTTGCCGCAGAATACAAATTGTTATTGTAAATATTCCAGCAATTTGTATATTACTTCGAAGTTGACAAGATGGATTTGGTGAGAGAAAGGAAAGTCTCGAACGATTAACTAAAAAGAAAATTAATTTAATTATGAATAAAAGGAAACAGGAATAAACTTACAAACTCGCAACAGACTCGATGTTGAAATGACACCGAAGAAGATCAAAACAAAGCCGAAAAGTCTAATGATCCAAGTCTTCTTACGAACCGCATAATGTTCTTCTTTGAAGATTTCTTCAATTGTCAATTCACCTTTTGAAAGCAGAATAATTTTCTTCTTCAAGTTACTTTTGTATGGTTCAATCTTTCCATTCACCAGCTTCCCGACAATTGTGTAGACTGAGCCTTGTAAGCCAGCAAATTGGAATTTCACTCGAGTGTCGCCAACTAAAGGATCGTAGAGATCGTCGACGTGAAAGTACCAACCTAAGTGCATCTTAATGTAAGGATCTTCAGGCCTTGTGTCAGATGTAACATCAATCCAACCAGTGAATAATTCCTTTGCTGACTCGCCAATTTCGAAGTTACCAATGTAAGTTTTGTCAGCAATCATCATCCTGCTTTGCATTGGAAGTTGTCTGGGATTTTGATGGCCTAATGAATGGAAGCTTCGTGAGTCGACAACATTTTCACTCCAATCTTTATAATAAAAATAATTTCTTGCTGTTTCATCGCCTTCAGCAAATTTATTCTCTGTGTAATCTTCATGCCATTGATACATTTGAACAATCTTTCTCAACTTCACAGCTTGAACGAGAATGTTGTAAGTTGCATCAGCAATTGGCTCTTGCACTCTAACATATCCTGACACATGAATTAGTTTGCCTTCGTAATTTTCCGACTTTCCATTTTGTCTTTGATAATCAGCTTCTTTAAATGAAACTGCTTTCTGTAGAGCTTCTTCCAATGCTCGACTGTGATTAAATGCTCGACCTTAAACAATTAAAACTTAGGAAAGCTTCTCATAAATAAACAAACTGAAATTCACCTTCATTTATGTTTAAAATTATGAAACCGAACACATACAAAGCAATTCCAATTGACGCAATCAACCAGTTCTTCTTGAATTCACTTAAAATGTAATTTAATCTCATTGCTGCAAATAATTTCACTTTCTCAGTTTAGTTTACTTGACTTTCTCATCGAGTAGAGTTGTGGAAATATTTATTTTTCTTTATAAAATGAGATAAATTAGAAAAAGTGGAAAAAAGAAGGAAAATTTTCATCAGCTGTTTGTTTGTTTACATTTATTCTTCTATCTCTTTCTCTCTCTCTCAGTGATCGGAAGTCAAAAGGGATTAATGTTTTTTTGTTATCAAAATAAAAAGCTTCGATGTCGTAACTATTGAACTTTGAAAAAAGAAGGTTGTGATTGACAAAAGTAATTGAAAAGTTGAAGACATGACATCGATTCATTTTGCTGTGCTTGATATTGGAACAACATCAGTTCGATGTTATGTTTACAATCAAAAGTTTGAAGTCATTTCGACAGCATCAAGAGAAATTAAGATTTTATTGCCACAACATGGACACATTGAGATTGAACCAGAAGAATTGTTTAAAGATGTCGTCGATGTAATTAAAGAAGCTGTGAATAGTTCGGGTGTTTCATTTGAAAATATAACTTTGGGAATTTCAACACAACGATCAACATTCACCACTTGGAGCAAGTCGACTGGAAAAGTCTTTCACAATTTTATAACGTGGAAAGATATTCGCGCTGATTACATCGTGAAGCAATGGAACAACAGCTGGAAGTTGAAAGGATTAAACTTCAGTGCGAGCATGATTTACAGTGTCACGAGAGCAAATCGATTTCTTGCTGGTTCTGTGTTAAAGTTAATGAACAATCAACTGACTCCAAGACTTTTATGGGTAATTAATAACAATCAGAAACTTAACGAAGCTGTCAAACAACAAGATGCTGTGTTTGGAACAATAGATTCATTTCTTCTCTTTCGACTCAAGCAAGGAAAGGAATTTAAGCCTTTTGAACATATTAGTGAAGTGACAAATTGCACAGCAACGGGACTTTACGATCCTTTCACTCTTGGTTGGTCAGCTTTGATAGCAATGTTTAATCTGAAACTTCACATGTTCCCAAAAGTTGTTGACAATTCTTACAACTTTGGCGACGTCGATAAGTCACATTTCGGTATTCCTGTGAAGATTGTTGGCATAATGGGCGATCAACCTGCTTCAATGTTTGGAAATTGTTGCTTTGATGATGGCGATGCAAAAGTTACTTTGGGTACTGGAACATTTTTCGACATAAACACATCGAAGAAATGTCATGCATCAATATTGGGATTTTATCCACTCGTTTCATGGATTCTACGAGATGGTGAAGCAAACTATTCTGTTGAAGGCTCGTCTTATGATACGGCGACGATAATTAATTGGGGAAAATCGATTGGACTGTTTAACGATCCTAAAGAAACTTCAGATATGGCAGAAAGTGTTGAAGATTCACAAAATGTTTTCTTTATTCCTGCATTTTCTGGTCTTACGGCACCTGTCAATGATTTTCGAGCAGCTGCAGGGTTTATCGGAATTTCAGCTGACACTACAAGGCATCATCTTGTTCGAGCACTATTAGAATCAATTGTTTTCAGAGTCGCTCAACTTCTCAAAGCTTCGATGAAGGAGACTGAATATAAAATAAGACGACTGAGAGTTGATGGTGGAGTATCTAACAACGATTTCATTTGTCAAACTCTTTCTGATATTTGTGATATTACTGTCGAAAGAAGCAGCGATACGGAAAATACAAGTTTAGGCATTGCTTTTCTCTGTGCTTATAATTTGAAATTTGCAACTATTGACGAGTTGAAGAAATGCTACAAACCAGGAAAAACTTTCACTCCACGTTTAGCTTCACAAGCAAAATTAGTTGCAACGATGGAAAGGTGGGAAGAGGCTATTGAGAGATTTAAACATTGGTATTAAGAAATTATAAAATAATTTTTCAGAAAAATATGAGGCTAGTTAATTATATTTTCGATTGTTTTATATATTTAGCAAAAATACTTTGAATTAGACATTTTTTATACAAATTTGGAATGAATAAAAATTTAAAAATGTTTGAATTTTAAGCGACATCTATTATCAGTCCTGAGAACTTTTTGCTCACTTTAGTTTGGCCTAAACACCAACAAAGTTCTACGCAGTGAAACCGAAAGCAAATTTTTTAAACTTTAAACAGGAAAAAATTAAATTTCAGAGTTAAAATGTCTGATGATGAATCAAAAGCTAAGGTTGCAGGCAGACCACCAGCAGGTGAATACGTTTTCTTTCGCGTTTCTAAAAATATTGAAAATATTTCATCCAACTCATCAAAATCACTTTGTTTATCACGTCTTGATGTTTTCTTCTTATTGTTTTCCTCAATGTCAATGTAGTAAAAGCCGGTGGAATGAGAATAGTTCAACACAAAACTCCTAACACGGAAAGAGCTGCTAGGTCATCACCACTTGAAGTAGTCGGATTTAATCAAAATAATCCAATCGATTCGGTGGAACAGATTTCTACAAGTCCTAGCCAAAAGACTACGGTTGAAAGCAGCCAAGTGGCTCATGCTCCAAAACCACCAGTGTCTGTTCCACATAAGCCGATGAATAACATTCAACAACCTCGCAAATAGACTGGGTTCATATATTTTTATTCGATTGTTTCCATTTTCCGTACAAAACAAAAATTTATTAAATTTTCCAACTTTGAAACATCAAAGTATAAAAACTTTACGATACTGTGGGAATTTATTTTTTGATACAATAAAATAAAAACAAATGCTTACAGCATTCTAAGTGGTTATACCACAATTTAATCATAAAAGAGTGTTTGAGAAGTATTTAATTAAACATTTCTTCATGTCATTGCAGGTATTTATAATATTTCATAATATTTTGTATTATCTGACATTGCAGGTGCAATGAATTACACTCCTTGGTATCCCCCAAACTCAGGAGTTTTAAAATTTCCCCTTGGTATCCCCCAAACTGATATTACTCCCTCGGAATATGACGCATGCTAGTCCGTAGTTTAAAACTACAAGGGGTATTGAAGTTACTGTCAATTGCCACGAAGTTCCAACATCAACTCCTTTAATTTTAAAAAATAAAGAAAATATAAATAAAACATGAATTCTGAGTTGATTCTTCTGTTTGTTTTGAGTTCATTAGTAGTTTTATCGTCATGTTGTACTGTAAAATCATCGTCATATACCACGAATGGTAAGTTCATGAAAAAATTGAAAATTGTACAAGAATTGAAAGTTGAACATATTGCTTATTGTAGATGAGCTGGTCATTGCAAATCAAGTGGGTTACATCACAGTGTTTACCTTAAACTGCAAGAATCAGGTTAATTCTATTCCATTGTTTGGTGAAGTAAATGGACAAATCTTCCCTGTTTTCCGAGTGAAAGACGATCAATATCAATTTTCATGGACTGAAGATAAGCAAAAAAGTGGCAACAGAGAAGTTCGTTTGTTCGATGAAGAACAGTTTGCCAATTATCGTAAGGCTCAACGTGCTGGAGAAACACCTTCAGTTGAACCACTTGCAGCTATTCAAGTAAAGTTCTCAAGAAGCTATGGATCCAATCTTTTAATCAGTTCAGAATTTGTCGTTCTTTCGGCAAGTTTGTTTATAGCTTATATTGCTTTCCAAAACAGAATGAAATTAGTCTCAAATTAAGAGATGCTTATTGAAATAAGTTTTCAATCATTGATCAACTCATTCTTTTGTCATCATTTTGTGAAAAGTTAAAAGAGAAAGAATAAAAAAATCGTACATTTTTGAGGGAATCATATTTATTGTGTACCCCTTTTTTTATGTGACAAAAATAGGGGATTTGTTCACTTTCGTTCTTTTCAATTTTTCTATCAAGCAGTGAAGACGTTCTTCTTCTTTTGAAAATAAAAATAATTAAGAAAAATATTAAAATGTTAGCAGAGTTCACTGTTAACATTCAGCCTATGAGTTTTCCATGTGGCTTCATATTAAACTTCAATCAGATGAAAGGAAATTCGTGAGAAAGTTTTGCATTATTAAAAGCACATGGAACTCATCAAAATAGCGGTAAGTTTTCAGAGTTCAGATTGAATTTTCTTATTCTCTAAGATTTTGATGAAAACTAAAGTTCGGACTTATGATATCGAATGATTATTAACTCTATTTTTAATTTTCTGACTTAATAAATTAAACTTATAAAGATATTTTGTTGTATTTGTTGAAAAACTTTTTTTTTTCATTGAAGGTTACAAAGTGAATGCGCACACGGCATGGAGCAACCGTCCGTTTCTTTCTGAAAGGATTTATATGAAGGTAAACATTTTTATATAAAGTTTCAGAAAATTTTCTTTAAATGATGATAACAATCTTAATAACCTTAATGTATGAGCTATTAAAATATGATTAGACTTCTCATGCACCACTAACTGAATCATCTCAAAGTTGAGATCACAATTATGAACTTAAGCTTGAGTTTAATATGCGACTTTTTTTTCTCATTTCCAGTGAGTGAATCAAATGTAACTTCAAGGAAGATTGTAAAGGAAAACCTTCAGCAAAATGGTAAGTTTTAACACAGCATTGCTATCAATTCAGTAAATTTCAAATGAGGATAACAATTTATACCTTTGTATGAGAAAATAATGATTTCAAACCCATGCACCCCTCTGATGTCACATTAAATACGTATTTAATTATCTTATAGAAAATTGCTTAGAGTGATTTTAATAGAACTTTCCTTTTTCTTAATCAGATTTCATCTGGTCGTGAACATGAAATTTCCAACATCATATGCTGAAATTATGTAAGTGTTTAACGAATTAATTTTATGACAATATTTCCATTTAAGTGATGACTAAATTCAATCCCAACTATCTGAATGTTTAATGATTAAGTTATTGTAACTCTGATGATGTTAAACTGTTCATCTCTTAAAATTTTAATTTGAATGTGGAATTTAACAAAGTTTTTTTTTAACAGGACAGAAATCTCATCAAGAAGTTGAAAAGGATTAAAAAGTAAGTTAGCTAATTAAAGGGAAAATTTGTTCTTTGATATTTTTAAGTGATGAGCAAAATCAATCCCAACTATCTGAAATAGAAATATTCATGATTAAGTAATTGTAACTCTGATGACAAAATCAAAGAACTTTTTATCTTGAATCATTTCTTGACTGTTGATAATAATTTTTTTTTTTCTTAAATCTTTTCAACAGATTGAAGGCTGATCGAAAGAAAGAAATGGAATCAAATACGTCAATCAGTCAGAGAATCGATTTTATGTTGTTTTGAAATTCAAACAAATTTTAGTTATGAAATAAATAAAATGAACTTTCATGAATACCTAAATAAAATTCTTTTTATATAACTACCTAAATTGTCAGCGCTTCAGATATTATAAGAAAATTTCTCAGAAAAATGTTTAATTTACAACTTTCAAATCTTTCACTTGATTCAACAGTGAAAAGGCAATTTTTTATGCTGACACTCAAATTAAAACCAGACAAAATATAAAAAAAGATTCTTTAATGCTTCAAGTACGCAAGCTTATTCACGAGAGTATTTTTGTCTATCTACAAATAAACTTCCCTTCCATGACCAAAAACCACAAAGAACGAAAATAAAATGAGAAAAGAAGAAAAGCTCATCATATTTAATGAGGAAGCTTCTCTGTCATTGCACAATAAAGCTTATCATCATATTTAATGAGTAAGATAAATATTTCAACTCAAGAAACTAAAATATGAAAGAAAAACGAAGGATTGTCACGAAAGGTCGGTCGTCATCACAAGTCTTTGGTTTAATATTTTCTGTGTTTAGTTTTTATTGTTTTATATCATCTGATTAAATTAGACAATCGAATTTCATGTACTGTCATTCTTAAATATCCTTAAATAATAATTATTTGAATTTTATTTACATTTAGCGTGTTTATTCTGTTTTTAATTTATTTAATTCATATTTAATATTTATATAATTAATTAATTTTAAAAAAATCATTCATTAACTTCTATCATCATGTTGAAAAGCACATCTAAGGATATTCTCTTTCATCCCATATGTTTGCAATAAATATCTAAATAGATAGATGGATAGATTCACTTTCGTTTTCAATCAAAATAGAATATTAAAGGTTGTGAATATTTAATAATAGATATTTCGTAGATATTTACATACATTTCTCACAAAACAGTATTTTAGTTCATAAAATAAAAAATAATTTGATATATTTCTGAAGGTATTTCATTCTGAATTCGTTTCTTGATTACTTTCTTTCATTCTTCGTGTTTGCAACAGAAAAATAAACTTGATTGCATTGTTTATCATATTTATGTATCTACATAGATAATTTGCATCTGCAGATATCATTTAGTTTCTAGATTTTATAAGTTAAGAAAAATAAATATACTTAGTCGTCTTAAGATTATTCAAACGGCTTATGAGATATTTTTTTCCTTCTTCCCTTTTTCTTCATCTTTTCTTTTAAATCATTGATCATCATAAATAGGATTTCTATTGGTACTTCTTTAAATCTTTTTATTATATTCTTATAAATTTTTCTTTTTTCATTTCAATTTATTTATAGTAATCAACTGGAAATCAACATGATGAGTCGCCTTTCACTACCATTCTTAAAATATATTCGAATTCTTCCTTACTTTTGTCTTTATTTTATTGTTGATTATATTTAGTTTATGTCTTATATAAATTTATTATTTATTGAACCATCATGGTCGAAAGAATTTCTTAATTTTCTGGAATGAAATTGATCTCGGTGAGAAGGAAGGAAAATCATTTTAAAATAAGAAACTCGATTGAACTGTTTATAAATCTAATCTCATCTAATTGCATTCATCAAGGAAAAGAAAAAAAAAAGCTTCTTATTTGTCAGGAACATTTTACAGACAATTTCCACAACAGTTGGGACTAAAAAAGATTTTTAACAATATAAAATAATCGAACTTAGTTTTTTAATTATTCTATTGTTTGACGATGTCGATTATTGAATTTAATCCAACCAAATGTTTATGTTGAAGCATAATTTGTTACAGTAAAGTTGAAAATATTTAACATCAACTCACATTGATATAAAAATGAGACTCAAGTGTGATGATTTGAATCAATGCAATGTTTAATCAACCATCAGGTATTGAAATTATTAAGCTTTGTCTTCAAATTTTAAGATATCTCGAAAGCTTCAAATTACCAAACATTGTTAAAAGATCAATTTTGAGTTGCAACTTTAACAAAATTCATGAAATCTCAGAATGGTTGGAATAAATTATGACTTAATAATGAAAGCTAGACCAAATTGCAAAAACATATGAAAATACATTTACTTAAATTAACTCAGACAAACATGTAAAAGAAATCTTTTTTCTCAATTTAATTTCTAGGAAATTTGATGATTCTACGTAGATATTTATTATTTATTTATTTAATTAATTTTCTTCTTTTAAAAGTTTACTTACCAATCATTCTAGTAAAACTCAATCAACAATTTTCACACAAACTGTTCACAAATTGAACTTTGAAGTTATGTCAAGTGCTTCTTGTCCTATAAAAACGAGCTCGAGTGGCTGTGACTGGACGACGATGATGTTCTAAAGTTTATCGTGTTATTTATTGGACGATTCACGACAAATGGCGAATTCGATGGCACTTGATTTGTTGATGCTAAATGATGCATTTGTGACGTTGAAGGTTGTTGTGCAATGATTGAGGATGAACTAATTTGTTGTTGCTGTTGTTGTGATGAAAGATTATTGGTGGGAAATCCTTGATTACTTCCACCAGCAGCAATATTCGAACGTGTCATATAATGATGATAATTTCCAACTGATGATGATGATAATCGTTGATTCGGTCCCAAGAAAGCTGAATGTGCGCCATATAAATGCATTGATTGAGCTGATCTTGATGGTTGATTGGAAATGATGTGACTTGAACCATCACCCAGATCCAAATGCAATCCATCTATATTCTCATTCAATTGACTACAACTGCTCACAGTTCCACCTCCACTACCACCACCACCAATCTGCATCTGACCAAGTGAAGCTGTGACGTCTGGCATAATCATCGATATGTGTCCACCATCAGCACCGCCTTCATCACCACCCAAATAATTTTCACCTTCAGTAACAAGCGACGGTAAATCGAGTCTTCTATAAGATCCACTATTAGAATGTTGCGATGAACCACCAGCACCTTGCACACCACCACGTGGAAATGTCAAATTATTTCCATATTGATTCGACGATAAAGCTTCAGGAATATTTTCGTTTGAAGCCATTGGCGATGATGGCCCAGTTATGATGTCTTCATCAGCTGCTGAATCATCGTCAATCTTATTCATCATCAAGTCATCATTGCAGAAGCAACTGACTGAATTCTCAAGCAGCGTCGACACTTCATCGGGAAAATTAAACTCACGAACAACACGCAATCGAATTTGTCGATAAATTTCATGTTTTGATGAGAGTGTCAGTGATAAAGCTCGCTGACAAGTTGGAGTTTGTCTTAGCTTTTGTTCCCTTTTCTGCATGCTGCCCATCGATGATGGATCTGGTGCTGGAATTGATGATGTCGACGTTGATGTGATGACATCAAGTTGCGTGGCTGGCGTTGTTAAGAGATCGTTGCTACTGCTACTGCTGACATTTCCAACACTGCATCGATTTAATCTTGACACCATGTAAAGTGTGTCAGGAATGTCTGGATAATGTCTCGCTCTTCGCATTCGATGAATTTCTATTTGTTGAGATGAATTGTGATCTTCCAGTAATGATTTCACTTCATCATAATACGACATGAAGAGTCGAGGTCTGACAAACAATCCATGATTCTTTCCACCACGAATCCATGCATTTATTCGAAGATTTTCACGATCATCACCAATCATGTGCGATGGAGGTGTTGACACAAGACCACGTCGAATTGCTGAATGAAGTGTTTCGTTGTTGGGCGGCAGGACGTGATCCATTCGAACGTGAGGTAAAAGTTCGCTAAGAATCTCTCTGAGTTCAATGTCACTCAAGTCTCTCTTCTTGATTCCTTTTCGAGTGACTGAGTGGGCAGTGTGTGACAAAAGATTTGGCTCGCGATCCTCCATTCGTCTAATAAGTTCCTGTTCACCCCATTTAAGAACAGCGCCTAAAACTTCGAGTTCTGATGCTTGTAAAAAATTACTTTGTAGTGCATCAATGAGTTGTGTCTTCTCAAGTTGATGAAGAATCGGCGATACAGCAATAGCTGAGAATTCTTCACGAAGATAATGACAAGCTTGTCGATAAACCCACGACGATCCATGCGGTTGACTTCCCCATTTTAACACCATCGGCAGAGATTCTAATGTCAACCATTCCAAAATTAAATCTTCACAACCTTGCGACAGAATGTCAAGTTCAAGAAATCTTCCAATTTGATAAAGTTCCATTGCTTCCTCCAGTGGATTACTTCGTTGACGTCCAGAACCAGACACAGACGATGCAATTTGTGCTTCACTTAAACTCCCAAGTGGCGCTGCATTTGCTGAACTATTTGTTGTTCGAATTACTAATGAAAGATCAACAGTGTCGAGATAAATTGCATGCAATAAAACACGAGCATAACGCTTCGGAATCACAGTTTCATCTAAGACAATTCTTGTTGGTATTGCACGATCACCTTGCTCTTCAAAGCTTCTTAAACGTCGTTGAATCATCCCACGAAAGAATGGTGAACGAGCGCTTAAAATTGCTTTGTGACATGGCAATTCAAGTTTTGGTCGAAAGCCATATTCAGAACTTCCCGAGTCTGGTCGTTGGCACTCACCGCTACCACCGCCACTACTGTTGCTGTTATTGATGTTGTTTGAAGATTCTGATGTGAAGACAAGTGTTGCATCTGCATAATCACCTGTCTCGAGAAGGTAACGAAGATCGTGCTCAAGAGGATTGGGAGTTCCAAAATCTTCTCCAAGTCTTCGCAAGACACTGACATCAATTGTTGGATCGTGAGGACAAAGATCACCTGTGTAGAGATATCGTAACAACGACGAGAACATTTGAACATCGACAGGGGAAGACCTCAACTCCAGCATGATACGAGCTCCGTATCCTGGACAACCAGCTAGTAAATCGCGAAAATATGGACATCGTGCTGAAGGAAGAAACATCAATTTCAATCAGTTGTTTAAATTGGTTCAATGTTAAACATTTTAAGGAGAAAATCAACTCACCTGACAACAGCGCTCGATGAACAGGAAATATGTTTCCACGAAAAACTAAATCACAGTCTGTACATAGCTTACAATCATATAAGGTTGATAAATCTTGCTTGAAGGTTGTTGCAGGCGGTCGTGCGAGTTCAGCTTGCATTGACAAGTCTTTGAGTGCTGACAAAGCCTCGTATTCTTCTAGCAATGAAAACAATTCTACTGGTGACCAATTTGATACAAATTCTCTTAGAACTCTTCCATGGTCATGTTTTGATGATCGTCTTCGACGACTTATTAACTTTTTACGCAATGTAGCGAATCCACCTTTTTTACGTCTTTCTCGCTCCCGCACCAAGTTGGATTGGGCACCTTGTGCCAAATCAGAAGAAATTGTTGCCCCCATTCTGTCTTGCTGCTTATTTTCACACCAGTAGAAACAACAGCTAAGGACATTAATGCTCATTTCTTCTTGGTAACGACTGAAAGAAAGAAAATAGAACGAAAAAATTTTGTGAGATTTTTTATTAGAAGGAAAAAAATAAAAAAATGAAAGTTTTTCGTCAAGAAAATTATGAGAAAAATAATTTTTTTCCTACAAAATATCACATAAAAATAATGATTTTGTTCAAAAACGTAATAAAAACTGTAAGTAATCAGTTTTCATTACGTTTAATCAGCATATTTTCATTGAAATTGTCAACTACAAAACAGTTCAATAATAAATTTTCCACCTACCCATAATCTTCACAATTTCCATGCTATAGATATAAATTTTGTGGGATCACACAATTTTGTTTTACTTCTAAGTTGTATAATAATTTATTTGTTATATTTTTGTCTAAGAAAATCCCTTTTTTGTGATAATTTAATATTAAAATTAAATATTTTGAAAATTTCTTTTTTTTGTGCTCTAGTGGCAGATCTTGAAACTAAAAAACATTATGATTCGAGGGGTTTTCCTATTTCTTTTGAGGTAGCAAAGCTCTTTGACTCTTCTTGAATAAATTCAGACCATAAATATAAAATCATTATTATTAATTTATTGTAATATACATAACAAAATTTAATGGAAGAGACTAATAGTGCTAGAGTCGATGACTGCGTGAACTTCGAAAAACTAAAGAAAATCAAATTAAACGACGACAATGAAAATGATGACGATCTGTTCAAAGACGAAGGAAGTTCCTCAAAGAACGATCAACATTCACTGCTAGTGGCTCAACACTATAATAAACTTCAAGAAAAAGGGCTTAAAGAAAGATTTAACTCAAAAATCTTTTACTTAAGGAACTTTAATAATTGGATAAAAAGGTTAAACATCAATTTTGTTTGTCTACTTTAGGCTAAATTAATTAATAGAAAAATGTAAACAAACTGTTTCAGCATGCTCATCAGTGAATATCTTCAGAAAATCAAAGATTCAATCCAATTCGGTTCACCATTGAGAGTATTAGATATGTGCTGTGGAAAAGGAGGCGATCTTCTTAAATGGCAAAAAGGAAACATTTCGTATTTAATTTGCACAGATATTGCTAGCATGTCAATCGAGCAGTGTAAAGCACGGTATGAAAAAATAACTGCTCACGATCCACCTGAGAGGAAATCTTTCAATGCAGAGTTCTTTACATGTGACGCTACTCGCGATCGTTTACGTGAACGATACAGGTATGTGAGATTGAAATGATGAATTGAAAGTCTTTTAATTATTTTTTTCTTTTTATCAGTGATCCATCAATTGAGCTAAATCTTGTAAGCTGCCAATTTGCCTTTCATTATTGCTTTGAATCACCCAAACAAGCAGAGACAATGCTTAAGAATGTATCAGAATGTTTAAGACCAGGCGGTTACTTTATTGGAACTATTCCTGATGCATATGACATTATGAAAAGACAGCGAAATTCACGATCAGATAGTTTTGGAAATGACATTTTTGAGATAAAATTTCTCTCAGATCCCAACGATTTGCCAATATTTGGTGCAAAATATAACTTTCATCTTGATGGCGTCGTCGATTGTCCTGAATTTCTTGTTTATTTTCCGGCGCTAGTAAAGTTAGCAAAAAAATATTCACTGAAACTTGTGGAAGTTGTGAGGTTCGAGGATTATTTTCATCGTAACATTGGTCGAGGTAGGAATCTGCTTGAGAAAATGTCGGCTGTTGAGCAATATGGACTTCAAGGAAATCGCATGTCAAGATCTAATGACAATGAATACAAACATGCCAAAGACTTTCTTCTTCAAAGAGGTGGTTACGATAATTGCAGGCGATGTGGAACGTTATCAGCATCAGAATGGGAAGCAGCTTGTAAGTAATCAAAACTAAAAATATGAAATCGTTTAATAATTTTGTTATCTCTTTCAGCTCTTTACATGATATTCGCCTTCCAAAAAGTCAAAGGGCCCATCGAATGAAAATGTTCTGATGCTTTCAAACCTTCATAATATGTCTCAAGTATCTCAGTTCATTTGATATCTGTTGAGTGTCACATTTTTTTCTTCTTTTCCTCCTAATCATTATTATTATTGTTATCTTAAGATTATTTTAACAATTTTCATTTCATTTATTTGTTAAACAAAATATTTAAAGTGTATAAAAAAATCCAAACATAAATAAATAAAACAAAATTGACAATTTATAATAAAAGAAAATTTTTGTTTATTTTTTAATTAGATTTAATTTATTTAATCATTTTCGTCTTTTAAATTAATGAGCGGATTTACACGCTCCAAACAATAAAATTCTTTTTTTTTTACAATTTTCTTCTTTTTAAGAACGAGAGAACGAGAAAATTCACGTGATGAACATTAACAACGATTTAACGCATTTAAATGTTATTCAAACTGATTACTCTTGAAGTTAGTGAAAAAAGTATGAAAAGCTTGCTTAAGACTTCTTTCTTATTGTAGCAAATTTATATTTTAATAGTGATTGGCACAAGGACATGAACCGCGGAGAATTTACGTGCGGACAAATATAAAATTAGTTTTGTTTAATGAAATTTTTTACGGAAGTCAAATGGAGTAATGCATTCAATCAAGGAAATATTTAAATACAATGCGATTTAATCGAACGGTTATCAAGTATCGTGAAGTAAATCTTTGAGAATTGTGGAACTGTTTCGATTACTGTAAGGCGCTAGAAGTGAATTTTCACCAAGGAGAATAGGAACAGGTGTGGTGGCATCTGATTCTGATGATTGATTTGGAGGTTGAGTTGTTACTTGAACATTCCCAGATGTTGAGGTTTTTCGACTGCTTGGCGTTGTTGTTTCATTTTCATGAATTGCCAGGAGATTTGCGTTAATACGAGGCTGTGACTCTTTTTCTAAGAAAGCAACGAATGCTTCAGTTAAACTAACATTGTTGTTGACTTTATCGCTAGATCCTCTTGAAAACCACCCACCAACGCCTGTTCCTCCACTATTCAAACCAATTCTCGTACATTCTGCGTCGTTCAAATGTAGAACATTAGCAATCAGTTTTAAGATCTGAGTTTTTGCATTCGCGTTCGGAGCTGTTATATAACCCATGACTAAATTTTTAATCAGATCCACATCAGCGTTGCTAATGTTGGCATTGCTTTCCTCTAATTGGCGCTTCAGGGATTGATTTGTGTTTTGATATGATGCAACTGAAATAAATTTAAAGGAAATGGAAATTAACCGTAAAGTATTGTTGAAAGATTTGAGTTATTTGATAAAAAATAATTGTGAATAAATCTCGTAATTGTCATGATTACTTGTTACTCTGTTACAATATATAAATGGTTGACATATGAATGTCCTTAAAACGAGCATAACATAAGCACTGGCAAAAGTAAATCGAATGCGAAATTTCTAGCGAAAAACTAAAAATCCAAACCAGTACCTGATGTAATACTCATTTCACAAACATCATAACTTGATTCAAATTAAAACTCATCGATGTGAACTTCAAACTGAAAAGAAACAAAAGAAAAACTTCGCAAAAAGCATTTGACACGATAAAAAAAAGATTACAAATATTGTATAATTAGATAAATTTAAATAAATAATAAATAAAATACAACAATCAAGGACGTCTAAACATGCATCGGGCAACCTCATTTTGTACTGTGGGCAAATCTCATGAATTGACAACATTCAACAACATGTGAATGATCAACCTGGCAATGGCCACAAACCCACAGTTACAATTTGAGATTTCCCCATAACACGTTGAGCTGGCTGATAATCAATCAGAAAAAATACAAAATTTTCTCAAATCAAAATCAAATAAATAAAAAACAAGCTACAAATGTAATGGAAAATATAAGAAAATAATTAAATTATGAAATAATAAAAAGGAAATGATGCAATCACGACATGAGTTTTTTTTTACTTAAAAAAAGCACAAAAATTTGATGAAAAGCGTGCGATTATTACAAATATCAAAGTTGTGCAGTAAAATGCTAAATATTTAAGCAAATTATTTGCTCGTGCATAAGAGACAAGCGGATTTTAATTAAAGTTCTCTCAAATATGCAAAACAAAAGTGATTAAATATTAAATAAATGGTTAAAGTGCCGATCATCTACTAAAATTGCAAACAAGCAAGCAATTCATATAATTAAAGAAGCAAGAACAAAATCTATCTTAAACCACAAATAAATAAACTAAATCAAAGCATAACAATAAAAAATCAGAAAAATTAAATTCAAATTCTTCCTGATCTGAAGATTTGTTTTCATTCCAAGCATCTTTTAATCACCCCCAAGAATCAAAAGAGTTACAAGTTTTATGTTTTTGTGTACTTTTTTTAGTGATAATGAGTGAACAATCAGAAAGTGGATATCAGTTGAAATTCTGGGAATGTCAGAACATGTGCATTTGCCACCCAGAATTACCAGCTGATATTGACCTTTCAATTGCAAATTCCTTTCTTTCTTTTCTTTCTCTCTTTCATGCCTCACCCCACCGGTGAAAGAAGAGTTCTTGGTGCGATACAAAAAGAAGATATTTATGAAATATTTCGATGTCCCAGATTAACGGTGGTTAATGAAACAATAAAATGTGTTCGATTCATGTCAATCGTTTTTTTTTTTTTGTTTTTGGATCACTTTAAGAATTTCGAAAAACTAAAATATTAAAATAAACACTCAAAAATGTCACCTTAAAATTGTGTCCCAAACAAAAAATAAAAAAAGGTCAAGTGTGCTTGGTGCAGTGCACTCAAAATACCTTTTAGCCGAATACTAATTTTATTTCCATTTCATCATTCATTTTCAAGTATTGTCATGTGAGAATGAGCGCGTACATTGTATTATGTTATGAACTGAGGATGGATGGAATGCTGGATGTTAATCATCATAAAACAAACCAAGAAAGCCACAGGAAACAAGAACAAAAAAACACATGCAACTGAAAGAGGCGATTGTTGTGCATTTAGTCTCTCGCCTTTAGATGAACACAATCAACAATCGTGTTAATGATGATGATGATGATTATGATGAAGAATATTTTTGTTTGTGTGGTCGAAGAATATCGAGAATGAACCGATGTCGACATGACACTTATTTGCTTAGGACAAGACAAGACATTCAAACTTTCTGCTCTTATTTCTGACATAAAAAATGAACTTAAAGAATTTTGAATATTTTCTGTTGAGGTAATTAGAATGACTAATAAAATAATTTAATGTTTGTTTATCTTTCAAATAAATATTTTCTCTATATGATGACATACTTTATAACTTTTAAACGTTATCACAATGGTTAAAAGAACTTTTAATCTTTTTTTACGTGCTGTGCCATCTTCCATTATAATGATAAAAAATGACAAATTCATTTCTGGTTGAAATAAATCAGGAAAAAAGAATTCGTGAAACTTTTTTCCGTTGCTTTTGGCCGTCACAATACAAAATAATTTTTAATTTTCACATCTTTGAACATCAAAGGCGTTTGATTGTTTAATAAATTTATTTAAAGAAACAATTCTCGCGATTATGTGTGATTGTGTCTGTCGTAAAAATAAAACGTGAATCTCATGTTATCACAAGACAGAATAAGAAAATGAATGATGGAAAAAAAATGATTTTTTGTTGTAACAGGAAGTTAGATAAAGATTCGAAAAAACCCAAAAATAAAGAATGCTTCAAAGTGAACTTACTTTCATTATTCAACCTTTCGATCGTGTGCTGATTCAGTTCCATTTGGTCACTAAGTCGAGCGGCTGCCATCAAACCATTTTTAGCTTCCTGAAGCTGTTGTTGTAGATTTTGAATTTCATTAGCCAGTCTCACTTGTTTGACTTTCTCATCATCGAGCTCCTTTTGAATTGTAGCAGTTTTGGCTTCAATGTCGCGTTCTTTATCTGGCAAAGTTTGAATAAAAAATTAAGATAGAAAAAAACTTCTTGTTTTTTGCATATTTTTTTTATTTATTTTTCTTTACCTTTTTGAAAGATTTCAAGGGCAACTTGAAGATTTGTTAATGCTGCTTGGTTCTTGTTGTCGATGTCTTCAGCAGCACTAAGTTTAGCTAACAGTTCGTCGCGTTGTTGTGCCAAGAGATTATACTGTGTTTGAAGTGTTTCTGCTTGCTGATTAGCGCGTATGTTTGCTGATGTATAAGCTGTCGCTGAATGTTTAGCTTCCGCTTCGATCGCCATCAATTTACTTTTATACTCTTCGACTTGCTTTTGTAAGCTCACCTGCTCGAATGTGTACGCATCAGCGACCTCAAGTAAATGTTGTCGCAATCTCTCAATATCCTTATTCAATGAGTTGTTTGTCTCAATCGCCTCTTGTTTCTCTTGTTGAACACTACGTAAATTATTCTGTTCTTGAATGAGATTTTGTGCAAGCAAATCGCATTTTTCACGTAAAAATGTAATCTCATCGTTGAGCGATTCAACTGACTCTGCGTGACTGTTTTCAGCTTTTTGCGTTTCCTGTTGTAAAAGTTGATTTAGTCGAATTATCTCGTTATGATATTGCACATTCTCGTTATGTTTTGTTGTCACCAAACCAATCAAATTTTCCTTCTCTTTCATAGAACTCGCGAGAGTTTCTTCTAATGTAGCAATTTTTGCATTCATTTCTTCAATGGAATTTGTTTCCAACAATCTCTTCTGTAAATCTTGCACCAAGTCATTCGATTTCTTTAAGTTTTCAATGTTGGCTGCGCTGGTCTTTTCAAGTTCTTCACATTTGCTTTCAAGCAATTCTTTGTCTTGATTCGCTTGTAACAAAGATTGTCGTATCTGATCCAATTCCATCATTAATTCTATCTTTATCTTCTCCAACTCACTCAACTCATCTTTAACACTTCTCAATCGCTCAACTTCCGATAAAACTTCTTTCAATCGAAAATCTTTTTCATTTAAAATCTTACTCGTCTCTTCAACTTCCTGATTCTGTGACGTCGATAAATCTTTGATCTGACTTGCAGTTTGACTTTCGAGTGATTGATATTTTTCATGTAGCATTGCATGCTCTTTCTCCAGTCTCGTCAACTTCTCCGTCAATTCCACCTCACGATCTTTATACATTTTCAGTTCCTTTTGTAGAATATTTCGTTCTTCTTCGGATTTCAATTCGTGAAGCTCAAACAAATAATTGCTTTTCTCGTTTTCTAAATTCTCAATTTCCTGTTGATATTCCTTGCACCTCGAAATGTTTTCTGTCAATTGAGTTTTGAGTTGTTGAATCTCATCAAAGTATTCGACACGTTCGACTTCAGTTGCTTCTAATTTCGAACGAATGGACATGAATTCATCTTCGAGTGATTGATTCAATGAATTTGAATCTTCGAGTTGTCTTTCTAGCACCACAATATTCTCTTCATCATCATTTTCCATGATTGTCTCCAACTTTCCCCCACACTTTAAGCTCTCAATATCAGCCATTAAAATGTTGTTGTTCTTCATCAATTCCGAACATTCGACTTCATAATTCACAAGTTCTCGCTTCAAATTGTCACGCTCTTTCGTATACTTTGTCAACTCATCTTTTATCAGCTTGTTCTCATCGATTAACTTCGACATTTCAAAGTCCATTTCACGTATTTTTGCGGATGTTGACGTAATCCATTGGGTAAATATGTCAATGAATTGATCTTCGTTTTCATATGTTATGTTCAACTTGAAGTTTCCATTGACGAGTGAATTAATCTTTTTCAAGTAGTCATCATTATTCACAATCACCTCCGGCGCATCATTGACAGTCGCTTTCAGTTCAGCGATTTCCGATTCAAATTTGAGATTTGCTTCTGAAAGTTCGTCAATTTGAACTTCATAATTTCTTGCGATTTCCGTTAGTTCACGATGGCTTGACGTCTTCACTTCCAACTGAGAGTTCAACTCACTTTTCTCATCGTCTAGTCTGTCGATTGCTTCTTGATGACATTTGACAAGTTCAGCCTTTTGTTGTTGAAAATGTTTGATATCATCAGCGGCTGCATTGAATTTTTCTTGCAAACTTTGCTTCACATCGAGAACCTTTTCAATCGCAATTTGATGCTGTTGATCCAACTCTTCGATATTTCTATTAAGGTCTTGAATTTCTGCATTCGAAACTTTAAGCTTCTCAACCAAAACAGAATTGTCGGCGCCAAGAACTTTCAATCTCGTTTCACGATCATGCAATTGACGACGAAGTTTCTCAATCAACTCATGTTCGTTTGTTTCAAGAGGAATCGATGTCAAGTCAATGTCGGCTTCCTCATAAGGCGAACCATTGTCATCTTTCTTCGATGATGTTGATGAAGTCTCAGGTTCCCAAAACCAGCTGTCATTCTGTTGATGGTGATGTCCACTAGCTTGCTGTTGTGTCTCATTCAACTGCAAATAGAAACGAAATAAAAAAAATTATTAGCGAATTTTGCAAACTGACTTTAGTTGCTAGCATTATTGCATGGAAAATTGTAATGCGCTTTCCTAAAATTATCTTTTAAACGGACATTACAAAACTCATCAACGACACAACAATAAAAATAATGAAAAAAAAGTAAATTTTCCAAATGTCATTAAAACATTATTGTTTTGTGTGTTATCACTCACAAGCTAAATTACAGCGAACAATCATGACAAACTTGCGCAATTTAACAAGACATGAAACGTTTTATTTGTGTTGTAGTTTATGGTAAAATATTTTTTTAACTTTGAGACGTCATTTCGAAACTTCATGTCAAATATAAATTCATGAAATTTATTTACTTCAATTTTAGATTTCGAAGAACTTTTATGATAATTTTTTTTTCGATTTTCATAACGATTCATATTTAATTCTTTCCTGTACTTATAATCAAACATCATTTATAAAAACATTTTCAACATTGGCTTTAACCACGTTTCAAATTTTACTTTTATCAGCGTGACTAATTTGCTCTGAAAATGCACAAAGAAGTTTTATCGCTTAAAATGTTAAATGTAAAATGTAAAATGCTATGGTTCACGACTTTCGAGCGCGACAAATGAAAATAAATAAAACTACGGGCGTGTTATCAGTTGTTCAATTCACTCCATTTCGACGCTAAGTAAAACTGAAACTAACTTAGAGTTAAAACTACGGAAGACAGCAATTTAATTAAAAATTCATAGACAAAGCGCGACATATTCGACGATGTGGAATGAAATAAACGACGAAAGTTGTTATCAAGTTTGAAGAAGTTTAGCTTCAAAAACTTTTGCTACAACACATTACATGAACTATTTTTGAAATGAATACTGTCAAAGACATTAATCACCACCGCATATGATGAATGAATAGATAGAGAAAAAATTCCATAGAATGTTTACTTAAACACAATTTAAACACAGACACTTTGGATAACAATAAAACGCGACAATTTTTCATTTCTTTTCTTACATCGACAGGAACAAATAAGAAAAGCAGAGAAACAATTCAGGCCACTTGTACAAATTCACTTTAACTTGTTCACTAGCATCGGAACCGTAACAGCAAGCCAGCTAGCTAATGATGATGCGGTCTTCATAACGCTCCAACAAACACTGAACTTGCATTCATAAAGTTTTATTTTAGTTAGTTTCAAACGAGAAAATATGACTGTTTCTCTTATCGCTAAAATATCCCCCGAACTAACAAACACATACGTTCGCATCGCACACAATACAGAACAAACAGTCATGAAGGAATAACAACAATAAATGGAAACATTTTTCTGTGCTATACAGGTAGAAGAAGAAGTGAAACAGTTTTTAGGCTTTTTCCCTTTGCGCTCGAAACAAAAAAAATGTTTTTTCCTCTTGTTTGGTTAATGATAAAGCTCGGCAGTGGAGGGAAAAGAAAGAAAAAAAAAGTTGAACAAACATGGGTGTAGAAACTATTTATATCCATCGTCCAACCAAAAGCAAGCTGAACGCTATAAAATTTAATGTGAAACCTTTTTTGATCGTTCATGATTTACTGTCGTTTTCCTATTTGACGTTTGCTTTTCCCCAAAGAGAATTATTTATGTAGGTGAAGCTTGCGCAAACGGAAACATTTCTCTCGTTTCGTTAACTGCATTTGAATCTTTCGTTTCTTCCTTTTCACAAACATCAGCAGTTTTAATTTCAGAAATAGTTTTTATGATTTGTTAGCAAAAAAATCAGATAGGAAAGAGAAACAAAAAGATCTTATTTAATCCCATGAGAAAATTGCACAAAAGCTTGCACTTCGTAAAATGATTTCAAGGTAATGTATGCTAAAGTAAATTACAATCGACACGAAATATGGATTTCAATAGATTTTATTTCACAGTCATTTATCATGGAAAACGCAAATGATGTCAAAATTTTAATCTTATTAATATTTCCACGTTTTGTGATCTATTAACTGTCTGATCTTTAAGTTGTTAATAACAATAAATAACATTTTCTTATGTTAATTCATCTAAATTATTAATAAATTTGCTTTTAAGTTCAACGCAAATTCTTTTTTGCGACATTATTCATGAACATAATTTTAATGCAATATTTTAGAATGCATAGAAAAAAAAGACAAATAAAATCTAAAACCGACGATAATACAGAAATAAAGTTTTTAATGATTTTTTTTTTTGCCTTTACATATTTACGGGACGTTACGTAAGGTGTTTGAAGTTTGTGTGACTTTTATGATGCTTTATTCAATGCTGCAAGTCACTTTCAATGACAAAGAAACCGCATAAAGTCCATCAAATACTTTCAGCAATATTGCACTGCACTTTGCTGCATAGATGAAAACGTGGCTCAATGTCGCCATCGCCATGCATGACGATTCATAAAATTGTTTTGATAAAAAAAAACGACTTAGCATGAGATTTTATATTTTTACAGTTACATGTTGCAACGAATAATTTTTTTTCGAGATTGCTTGTGAATAATGAAAATAATAAGCAACATAAAAAAATAAGTTATTGTCGCAATTCGACTCGAGGTCATCACTGGTAACAGCAACAAAAAAAAAACGTTTCAACACACTTCATAATTAATAATTGTCGTATCATCGGAAGTTGGTTATCTCCAAGTGCATTAAACTATGAAAATATATTTGTGCGACATTCTTTTCTGCTAAATGAAACTAAAAATATTTCTAGAAATGACTTTAAAAAATAATCATAAAAAATGTAAATATAAAAAAAGATCATTTGTTCATGTTTTTTGTTTAATCTATTGGAAAATTTGTGTTTATTAGCGAATCGCTACATTTTTTTTAACAAGATAAACATTGCTTTTTCACAATTAAACATCCACGGGATTTCCTGTCACAATTCAAGCTTTGAAGATTACGTAAAAAAAAATATTTTCTATAATTATTAATAAAAGTTATTTCACATATTTTAACCCTTCAAAATGTTTCAAATGCTTAAGACTTGAGTATATTATACGCACTGAGGTATTTACTTTAGCAATTTAACAATTTATCAGCCTCAATAAAGCGAAGAGAGTGCAAAAAAGTTACCATTAAGCAATTGATCATGAAATAAAAAAGCGCGCCATGTCTTGTAAGAAAATAAATATTTAATTCAAAACAACTGCATTCGAATGAATCAATGCATGTAATTGTTGGCTTTTTTCTGCTCTCTTGCTAAATGTGCTTATTAATTTCGACAATGAAATAATAACTCTAGGAAAACAAAACAACAAAACAATCAAAAGTTGCTTTATGGGACAAGAAACTTGAACTTATAAGACAAAAGCATTGTCGATCACGCTAAGCAATTTGTTCACGCAATTTTTATTTTGTGTTTATAGACGTACGAATAAATTCAAAAAAATATGTAAATGAAATTTACTTACAGACATGTAATTCAGTTCTCGAAGTAAGAGTTTTTCTAACTTTCAATAGAAAATTATAACTTCTGTTTTCGACATACATATTTAAAGTGAATTTGTCTTGAAAATCGTGACCAAGAACACATCATAAACCTGACGAACAAGACATTTTGCAACGGAAAAAAATATTTATGTGACATTTTGCGGTTTGAATTTCGAGAATTCTTTTTATTTTTCAGTTAAGTTTATTAGCCACATCAGCGAATTTTAATTGTATTTTTATTTTATTTTGTTCATACTTCGCTCATACTTCAGTACTATAAAAAACTTTGAATATGTATATTAAATAGTAGAGGTCACTGAAACCGCACTACAGCAAGGGCTTTGAATGCATTATTTATTAATGAATATCAATAAACATTTCGAGATTCAACATCAAGGTATTAACTCTAATTTGTTAACATGCATCTTTCCTTATTGTGTGTAATGCTGTAGTCAATCAATATGCACTTAAACGTTTCTCTTTACATTTTCCTAAGTGTTTAAATCAATAGCATTAAACGGTAAATGAAATGAAACTTTAAAAAAGAAAATAAATGAATGCATTTTCAACAATAACAGTTATCACAATATTTTGTCACGAAAAGATCGTAAATTTTCTAGGATTTAACTGAAAATCTCAAGTATTTGACGATTTCCATAACAACGACTTAACATCTACATGACCCACAACAACGTCTTAGTAAAGTAACTAGCGACAGCTCAAGCGAGTAGCATTTTATGAGGAAAGCATATTAGATAGCAATTATTTCTAACATGTTGAATTTCACAAATAAATATTAACACATTTTCGCCTTCAAGTCTTGGCCACAACTTCGAAGTGAAACATTAATTTATACTTTGTGCATAGACATCTATCTATCTACATACATTACAAATAAAATGCACATAAATTCGAAAGAAGGAAATTCTAAATAAAAACTAGACCAAAATCGTTTGATCTTGAAAATTGGTAAATTTTTCATTCGATTATTTAAATCTTTTATGTTTTTTTCCCTTAAATGTTTTAAAATTCAAATGATTCGGAATATTTTAGAACGAAACAAAAGTGTTTAGACAAGCCGGATAAAAAGCCCTCCAGTTGCTTAATCAATTTGTCTCGTCGGCTCGGAATATAAATTAATAAATTTTCTTTGCAACAATGATCGTTGCTGAAGCATGCGGTTGCTATCGGACAAAGTGATGACGTTTACTATGATCAATTAATGACCACGAGCGAAACTTCTGTTAGATATTCCCATAATTATTTATATGCTAACAAATTAAATGAAACAATAAACTTACTCAGCAAAAATATAAAAAAAATTCTTTCGAGAGTGAAATCTGAAGCTCTTTCAAAGTTCTCAGAATAAAAAAAAATATTGCAAGGAAACTTTTTCTCATTCCACAATTCGAAATGAACGACAAACCTTGCAGTTGTAAATCTAAACCGAGACTAACGCTCAGGATTTTTTTCTGTCTACGTTCAGTCAAGCTTCGTGAAAGAAACTTCGTTGTTTCTTCTCATGAAATGCAACACAATATCTGAATGAACAAGACGTTATTAGTACAACGAGTAGCAGCAACTCATCATCTTTTCAACTTCTTTCTCTTATTTATTATATGCACATGACAATGCATCTTAATGAAACGTTAAATATTTATCATAAACAATACAAATCAAAAGTCGGACGACTATCTCTAATTGAAGAAGATTATTGTGTTGTTTCTTATGACTGTGTTTGAAGGTGTTGAATTGCGCGATTTCTCGATTAGCAAACACGTGATAATCATCGAGGTTTTTTAAGCGTCGCACTATGAATGTATTTTCGAGACATATAAATCCGATTTGCAAAATGCTTCAAATCGTTTTCGTTCTTTTTAGAAGTTGAAGAAGACTATGGAGCATCATTTTGCTTAACATTGTTCATCTCGGAAATCAGTCATGTATTCACCTATGTCCGAAATGAATTTTTTTTATAAAAATGAGGTTAATTTTTAAAACCAAAAATTAAATGCAATATCTAAGATAAATAAAAAAACTTCAATTGTAGAATGGAAGAATATTAAATTCAAAGTTATTTCCTTAAATTCATCATTCATATTCAACACTTAAAGAAGTTTTAAATTCGGAGCTTTTGCTATGAAAATTATTAACTTTAAACGCAATTGAATTTCAACAATATGCACATTAGCAAAAATTAGTATAAGGATTTAATACTGCACTCTTTAGTTTTCCAAAAATGTATATTTTAGCTGCAGTAACTCTCGGTATTAAGGGAAAACTTAAGTTTTGTAACGACACATATCGTGAAATTTCTCCATTTTTATATAAACCTGTAAAATTTCGAGGGAAAATCTTACATTCAAAATTATCCGCTCTCCCATACAAAAAATAACAAGAACTTTATAATTTTTATCCTTTTCAAAATACGAATACAAATTGAATGAACATAAATTCACGATTAAATAATGAAAATTTATTTTTTTACTTTTCACATTTTTAAATCCTTTCGTCTTCACACACAAGAAGGAAGACAAGAAAAAGAAGTTGAAAAAAATTAACAATTTTTCCTTCGATTATGATCAACTGAACACCTTTGATACCAAGCTATAACTAAAGTGCTGGATTTTTTCCATAGTTTTATTGTCATACGTTTGAGTGAGAATACATATTTTTGAATAAACAATTTATTCTTATAACTTTACTTTATATTTTTTTTCTTTTCGATTTTAAGTTTTTTCGTTCCGTCTTTTTTGTGTATGAAAATATGTTAAGCAAATAGTGAGAACAACTACAATCAAAAGAAAAAATGTCTGATACAGTCGAAGGCATTGTTATGTTAGTGGTTGGATTGGGGCGAGAGATGAACAACTAAGTTGTGGAATATTTGTTTAAAGCTAGCAAGCAATATACGTATTCCCACTTATATGTGTACACCTTTGTTGAACATTAATTATACCCTAAAAAAAAGTCTTTTGCTCGAATATATCTCACATTCTTTACTTTAAGTAATGTGACAAAAGCGTAAATTCTTGACTCTTTTTCAATACCATGAAATATCTTCAAGTCTCAAAAGCAAATTGAAAAACAACTGAAAACTTTGTAACTTGAATCATGCCGGGGATTCATGTTTGCTTTAACGGGCTTGTGTTGGTCTGACGTTTTCATGTTTGCTGTACATAAGCGAGAAGCGTTAAGGCTTCATTTCAACGCCCTCGTAGTGGAACGAAACCATTTAAGATGTTTCAATGACAGACAGTTGTCCATGGGGAATTCAGCAACAAGGCTTAGGCAAACATTTTTAGCACTCAATTATACACAATTAAGTTTGAATCGCTAATCAAATGACTTGATAGAGATCACATCTAAAAGTTGCTGTTTTTTTTTCATATTTTGTTCCCTGTTTTACGTTTACTTTACCTTTATTTTATTCAAGAAAATTGTGAGAATGGAAACATGTGTTGATAATAATTTTCTAGTTTAATTTCACATGAACGCGCAGTTTTTCATTATCTTATCTTATCAGTGAAACATAAAATATATTTTGTAGCTTTGTTATTAGTTTTCGCAATGAAGATTTGGAATGGGAATGGCAAGGAAATGATTCCACAGAAACCATACTGTTTCATTTTTGAACGCTCATTAATGAATCAGAATTTCAAGAATATGGGAGGAATCGACGAATCAGTTTCTAGAATGTGTTAATTTTATGATAGAAATCTCGCATACAATTTTATAGCGCTTCGAGAAATTTCGTTATCGATATCACTTGCGTTATAAATTGAACGAAAACCATAATTTGAGATATTCAATGTACAAAAGCCACGTTTTTATTTTGACTTCTTACTTATTTCAAATACATCAAGTCAAGAATTCGTTTTTTACGTGTTCAAATAATTAAGTTCTTCGATAACGTGTCACTAACCTTTTTATGAACTTATGTTTGACCATCATAAAGTTTCTAGTATGCCACCATATATAATTTCAACACTTTACTATTCAAACTTTGTTTTTCTTTTTTTATTTTTAGACTAACACCATACATTCGAATTTTTTTATTTCACAGAAAATTACTTTTATTTGTGATAGCGGTTTGAATAATGAGTCGCTTTCAACAGGTGTTGCTGTCTTTTATACCTTCCGTTTTTCCTAGTTTTTATCCATTTGGCATATTGTTATGTAGATTTTTCATTAATTCCATGCACATAATGCTGTAATTGTTGATAACCATTGGTTTCCCTCATAACTTTCCCGCTCACACACATCTGAGGCCTGAAAGCCTGCGCGTATTAATAATTCTTTCACAAAGGTGATGCCCTACATGCGACTGTTATCGATATTGTTTTTTGATAATAATAAATGAAGCTATGCAAACAATTCATATCAGAAAGACGCATTAGTCTAACATTGATAACGTGAGAAGCAAAAAAAACCCGTTGAAATAATGAAAGAACTCAGGTAAAATTATAATCATTCACATTTCATATCAACAAATCGCAATTTCAATTCGTTTTATTTTAGTTCTCATAATGCAACACCGTCTCTGTCACCTAATTCGATGGAAATTCAATAAATGTTATCAGAAAGTCAACAATATGTTTCAGTTTTATAGCATTTGATAAGAGAAAAAGGGTGGAATAATTTTCCTCATAAATCATCTACGCAAGGGTCTGAAGAATGCTTAACTAAAATCCACCATCGATTTATTTACACATAAGAGCATACACACACACGCAAAATATAATTTGTTCTGCTTATGAAAAAACGATAACATATTGTGCAATGGCTGAGTCGGGTAAAAGGAAATCGCGATAAATCCATTTGTTAGATATAATCACACTTTTTTTATGACGATGATCCAAAATATTTAAGAGTCGTCAAAGCGTATCAAAATATGTACTGTCAAATATGAAACTCCACATCGATTGGACTATGTAATTGAAGGGGAACTATGTATATATAATTGATAAGGTTTCGTGGCAAGTGTAATCAATAAAAACTTTTTGAAGAGCTGTAAGGCGACACTTTGGGCAGCACAACTATGACATGACTTTTTGCTGCTTGCAGAACTAAACGATCGTTTATAATTTCACTAAAAACACCATAAAACATTAATCATAAAAGTTATGCACAAACTGCATGAATTCATATCACGATAATTTTAAAACTTGACTCGATGATGTTCCTATGTAATTCATGATTGTGCTTACCGATTTTGAATTGATGGAAATATCATTTAATTTAGCTTGTTGATATTCGAAGATTTGCTTTCTCAATACTGCAATCTAAAACGAGAAATCAATATTTTAATTTTTTTTATATAGATAAATAAACAATACATTTTCAATTAAAGCTTTTCTATTTTTATTTTGTTGTTGCGAAATCACGAAGAAAAGGAAAATAAACGTCATGTGCAGTGCACGACACGACTTAACATCGCAATAATAAAAAACATTGAAAATTTACCTCTTCAGATTGATGCTGACACAGTTTTCTAAGGCTTTCTTCATCCCCATAGCTAGCAGTTTTTGCTGGTACTCCTCCACTATCTGATGACGTTCCTTCAAAATCCACTTTTTGCTCTAAACCTTGTTCCAAAACATTTTTTAATGTTTTTAATGAATCATTTAGGAAGTTCATTGTTTCTCATATTTTTTTAAGCTTCACAAATTAAACTAGCAGTCCTTTTTTAATTTAGTAAATTTAATTTACTCAGCTGTTTTTCTTTTATTCACAAACACAATTTTCCTTTTAATTTCAAAGACGAAATTTGTAAACAACCGATTCATGAACCGACCGCAAATTAAACCGGTAATTTTTGAATTTAACGGCCCATCAAAATATTTATTTTCATGAAGAGTGTACAAGTATAAGATAAATAGGGTAGTTGGCTAGTAGTGACACCACCCCCGAAAACGCGTCCAGTAG